GGGCGGCTAACGAATCCTGGGGCATTCCTGGGGTGTAATCAAGCGACCGTCGCCGCAGCGAGACATCGACATGCTTGTCTGGGTGGTATCACGGGGCGATGTACGTCCCTGGCGAGGGCTCGGCCCGGTCGATGAAGGGCATAAACCCAGCAGGATGAGCTCGGGCTACGGTTCGGGGCCGCCAATGCGCATTCTTCGTGGGCGACATGGCCATCCGGCATCCTGTATGGCTAGTCCTGGGACCACAGCTCTACTCGTACCAAGATGGCGGAGCTGGCACAACAGGGAGGGCGGAGAAGGGGAGCCAGCCACGAACTGTGAGGTGACCAGCTGCAGATACGCAAGCCGATTGGGGGCGAGTGACCAAGCCAGCAGACAGCCATTGCATCCAGGCACCGAGGTCCTGGCAGGGAACTCACCGCGCTGCTTGACGAAGCTGAAACGTGAGCTGGGCAGGATGCGGCCGACAAGGTCATGCGGCCTCGGCAGGCTGCCGCTGCAAACACGAATGATTGGGGCTGAGCCAGAAGCAGAACATGCACGCATAGGCGACGCGCCGGTCAACAGCGGGTCACGGAATACGTCAGTGCGGTAGGCCCCCGGACAGGAGCGTCGTGCGAGGAACGACGGCAAGCCAGGGCCTGCGAGAGGGAGTCCGCGTCGAGCAGTGGGGGGCAAGCATCTTGGATCACAACCGGCGAGGGAACTAAAACGAGCCAGAGAGAAAGACGCCACGGAGCTGGCGGACGCAAACCGCTAGCCCTGGCGATCGACAAGACGGACGGAGCACGAAAAGGAGCACTGCGAGCCCGAAGAAGCCGAGGCTTGCACTCGTGCGGGCAGAGGACCGGCGGCACCGGTTGCTCAAGCGGGACAGCAAGGGAGGAACGAAACACACGCCAGACCCAGCATCGTCGTCAGCCAAGCCAAGACTATGGGCAGGTGCAAGGACGATGAGAAAAAAGCGGCCGCGAATGGAGCCAAGGCAAAATCGACGACGGAGCAGATGAGGGTCACCCGAGACTTGTTCGATAGCCTGGCCGGCCCAGCACACAAGTCGTGGAGAAGGGCCGGAAAGACGGTAGTGACAAATGTCGGTTTGACAAAATTGCCATGCGGGCTGGCGACAAAGCGCACCAGCGTCATGCTCTGGCAGCGGTGGCGGCCCCTGTTGATTCGAGAATGGCGACCGAAGCTACCGCAGCCTAGCTCGAGAACTGGTACGTTTTGGTATTGGCCGACGCCTCGGGGCGGGTCTTGGGTCTTGGATCCCCCACGGTCAGCAGCCGCGTCAATGAAGAAGCGTGGAGGGACCAAGGACTATTGTTTTGCGTTTCGGGTGCCCGCGGTCCAGCGACACCGCAGCGCAGCGGGCTCGATGGAACCCTGGGACGGGAGGAGCTCCGGCTTGGCTCCTTGGCCGGCGTCGCTCCGTTTTGCGCGGGCGTGGGCGTTTGACGGCCGTTTCCCGTTTTGCCATCGCAACAGGCGAGCGTGATGAGGATCCAATACCTGCGATGCGGCAGAGGCAGCGAGATGAGTCCATGACAGGCGTCGTCGACGTGGTTGGCCGGCGGCCCGACGATGGGGCCGGCCAGCAGACGTCGGCCGGCGTGGTCTGACAGGAGGTAAGATGAGCCCGTATCGGGAAACAAGGTGAGGCAGGGCAGGATTACGGTTCGGCGGCCATGCAATCTATTTTTGCCCGTCTCCCGGGCTCGCCGGCGGAGGTTCGACGAGGCAATCTACAGATCTGTGACTTGGCTCGGCACTCTGCGCTGGGCTGCCGTGGCACGACTGGGCCGCTGATGGAGGACGGCGCCTGTTGGGCGGCGCGTAAGCCCGTGTCGTTCGGCAACGTCAAGGTGACGGTGAGCCAACGGAGCGAGGCCGCTGACCAGAGCCAAGCAGAGCGACAGAGAGAGTGACGCAGCGCAGCGCAACGCAACGCACGTACCAGGCTGTGCTGATGCTGATGGCTGGCTGCTGCTGCTGCTGCCGCCGCTGCCAGCAGAAAGCCGCCGAGTCAGTCCCGCCGCCGGGGCTGCTCCGAGGGCGGTGCCGCGAGCGGACATGACGATAACTGCCTCGACGACCGGGCACGCCACGCTGCTGTGCTATATCCGCGCGATGATAATAATACAGCATCGCGGTCGTATGTCGAAACGGGACGGTACAGTCATGTCTCGTTTCGGTCTCGGGCTGGCTTGACCCGACGATGGCGGAGAGGCTCAGGCTCGGTGGGCGTCAAGCTCCGTCTGGTGGGCGCAAAGGGAAGCGGACGAGTTGTGCGTTTTTTGCCTCCCCACCCACGGCCGCCGCCTCCACCAGCAGCGCAGCAGCACCACTCAGACTCAGACTCTCACCACTGGGCCAGCAAGGTGGCCGACCTGTTATTTTTACCAACGGCCGTGAGTGGCTGGCCCAAGACCCTGGTCTCTTGCCCGGTCGAACCATGTGCGTCATGGCCCCAGAGTCACGCACACATTTGCACGCCCCCCCCCCCTCCCCCCCCCTTCACTCCGACGTCTGCGCCGCACCGCCTGTCTCTTATACACATCTAGATGTGTATAAGAGACAGGCGCAACACACTCTGGCATTGCATTATGGCGGCGCATTATCGCAGCGCAGCGCCGGGCGGCCAGGCTTGACACGCTGGAAACGGTGGCAAGGCAAGCCTGGCCAGGTCAGGGCCCGGGCCTGTCAGGTCGGGCAGGGCAGGGCAGATGGCATCGCCGCCGCCGCCGTCGCCGTGGCATCCCACGGCCGGGCCACCGAGGAGCGAGGGCATGAGGGGCGGCGGCGACAGCCAGACAGACATGGTCAGCGCCTCTCCTGACGTCCGGGGCAGTCTGTCACCGGGCGGTCACCTTGGAGTGACATGTCCTCGGGGAACGTGGCCCTGAGATGCGCTGCGGCACAGGAAGGCAAAAGCTCCTCAGCAGACGACGCCTTGAGCCAACATCACCTCACGTCTCGCCGCGCATGAGGTCGGGGGGTCGGTCCCCTCGCCAGAGCGCCGGCGCATCTCACCGTGACCCCAGCATCAGGCTCGCGCGGGAAGACCACCTCAGGTCGTAAGGGACACGCCAGACGCCCCCCGGCCAAGGTGCTCCCGCTCCTGCAGCTGCAGCTGCTCCTGCTCCTGGCGCTGGTGCTGGTCTAGCGTTGGTAGCGGCAGCCGCGCCAACGGGGCTCCCGCACTCCGTCTGGGTGCAAAGCGCGAACCTTCAGGCACAGCGGTGGGTCGCCTCCGTTGCGGGCGCGTGCTCCACTGGCTGGCTGGCGGACTGGACGGGGGGCTTGGATGGAGCGCTGCGCTGCACCGACTGCCCTGTGCTGCTGCACCGCGCTGCACTGACTGGCCACCGCCCCTGCCTATGAGGTGCTGGCCTCCACCGCTCCAGGGCTGTTGCCTCCATCGACGTCCCCTGTCGGCGCCCGCCAGCCCACCTCATGATTGCCCGGGCCCCGTCGTGCTGGGATGCTGGGATGCCAGTTTCCCGTCCCCGCCCGCCGAGCCAGCCCACCTGGCTCACCTCAGTTCTCCGCCGCGGCGGGCGCGCGTGGGCGTGCCCAGGCCGACGGGCGGACCCAGCCTGACCTGGCGGGCCCCAGGTTGGGCTGCTTGTCTGCCTGCTTGCCTGCCTGCCCGGCCGTCTGGCTCTGCGGTGAGGTGGCTCTGGGCTCTGGCTCCGGGCGCGCCAGGCCAGCCCCAGCCCCAGCCCAGCCAGCAGCCAGCCAGCCAGCGAGCCGCCAGCCAGCCCTGCAGGCTCCACGCCCGAAGCGACTGACTGTGCTGTGGTGTGCTGTGCGCCAGCGCTGGGTCCTGCCCGGGCCGTACGGTGCTGCAAAGTACTGTCGGTACATGGCCATGTACAGCGCAGCACAGTGGCTGGGGGTTTTTTCTGTTGTCAACCTGACGAACGGGGTCCCGCCCGCCCGCTCGCCCGCTGGCTCACGCGCTCCCACTCACACACACACACACGCACACACACACTCTCTCGCTCCCTCTCTGCCACGCTCACGCCCCGATGCTCAACTCAACCGACACACCCTCTCCCCGGCCGGCCCTCCCTCCCCTCCCTCCCACGTCGGCTTGGCCCTGGGCGGGCAGTGCTGCTCCGTCGTGTGTGTGTATTTAACGTTCTGCGTCCCCCAGCCCAACCTTCCCTCCCCCCCGGCCCATCATCCAGCATCATCCAGCAACCATACCTCCGTCTCGACGTGCTCTCGGACGCTCGCTCTCCCCAACCTCACTCTCGCTCTTAGGAAGTCCTCGTTGACTCCTGTCATTCGCTTAACGGTGTCTTGTGTGTTTTCTCGCTCTCCTCAGCCGCCCGTCTCCTCGCCTCCACGCCACCACTTCTCCCACCACCTCGCCGACCCATCTCACCCAAGAGCAACGCAACGCAACGCAACGCATCCGCAACGCCGACTTTTGCAATCTCGTGTGAGGGACGGATCAAGATATAGTGAAGGACTCTCAAGCTGGTCGAGAAAACGCTCGAGGGATCGCCCATAAGCTTCCACTCTACCACGCCGACTCGACGCCCCCCATCTCCAAGCTTCGTGACCGACGACACCCCATGTCCGTCCGGCTCGTGCTGTAATCCGTTGTTCGCAACTACCACGCTCGCTTTCCGCAACCAAAACAAACAAACAAAAAGAAAAACCCAACACTCCAAAGCCTTTCCGGATGTCCTGGGAGGTTTAGACCCAAAGAATCAAAAGACACCAAATCTCGACACTACCGAGTCCCCGAGTAGGCAGCCGTGTTCGACGCCGCCTCCGCTTAGACAACCGTAGCCGTCTCCAGTTCCCGATTCGACAGCCTTACGTTCGCTACCTGATCACACTGCTTGCTGCTGTGTGATTGTATTTACCGTGCGTCTTGGTCCTTCTCTTGTGTCCTGGGGGGGGATCCAGCTGGTTGCTGACTGGGCCACGCAGGCGCTTTTCACTTCACTTTTTGCTTCTTCAACTCTTCGATTCTCAAAATGGCCGGTCCCGGTGGTGGTCCTCCTCGCCGCAGGTTCGTTCCCTCGTCTCCCGACCGTCCTCGGATCCCGCTGACCAGTGGTGACAGTCACACCAAGTCCCGCAAGGGCTGTGAAACCTGGTACGTCGTGACGGCCGCGAGCCCGCCTCAGCTGAGAGCGGGCCTTTGAAACCCTCGAGTCTAACCCGTGCCTCGCCAACAGCAAGCGTCGTCACATCCGCTGCGACGAAAACTTTCCGCAATGGTGAGTCCCGCCTCGCCTCTGGCCGTGTTGCCTGGTCAAGGAAGCCATGCTGACCGCTCGCCCGCCCGCAGCCGCAACTGCACCAAGCACAAGATCCGCTGCCCGTACAACGACGTACAGGTGCCTGACGCCGAGCGCTCCACGACGCCGGACAAGCCCGACCTCATGTGGACGCCGCAGATCGAGGCGGCCATTGGCGAGTGGCAGGCAACCGGCGTCTTTCCCTTCCCGTCGCTCGGCGTCTACCCGGCTCCCATGCCGCATATGTACCCGGTCGAGGACCTCCGCCTCATCTACCACGTCGCCAGCCTGTACCATCAGCTCGCATCCATCGACGCCAACAACTTTACGCTGTGGACCCGCCACATCCCGACGTACGTGGTAGCCCCCTCCTGCTTGTCTCCTGCCTCCCTCCCCCGTGTGACGGCCGTGCCGTGCCGTGCCGTGCCATTCATCACCTGCTAACACGGCTGCTCCCAGTCTGCTGCGCATCGGGGCGACCACGCCCTACGTCATGCACGCCCTGCTCGCCTTCTCGGCCATGCACATCGCCTTCCTCACCGACTGCCCCCTGGTCGGCAGCATGGCCTTTGAGCACCGCGGCATCGCGCTGAGCGGCCTGCACGAGGCCATCAACTCCTTCTCGCGCGAGACGTCGGACGCCATCCTGGCCGCGTCCCTCGTGCTCTCGTGGCAGGCCACAGACTGGTAAGCCGATAGTCTCCTGCAGCGTGCCGTCGCGACCACCCTGCGCGCACGCATGCGTGTGCGACGACGGGCGATGAGTGAACCAACGCCGGCTAACCGTGACACGCACACACGCAGGCGCAGCTGGACCCAGCTCATGCAGGGCACCTCGACCGTCATCGACGCCATGGACGCCTGGAAGCACGAGTCGCTGTTCGGCGACTTCATCGCCGAGAGCAGCACGTTCCCCACGGCGCCGCCCTCGCCGGCCCCGGACCACCGGCCCAGCCAGCCCCGGGACGAGGACCTCGCGGCCTACCAGCGGACCCTCGAGCAGGTGCAAAAGGTCGAGGCCCACCTCAAGCGCAACAAGGAGGAGACGACGCAGGTCCAGCACCTCATCGGCTTCCTCAAGGGCGCCCGCAAGATCAGCCCCACGCTGTCCATCGCCGGCCAGTACGAGCGCCTCCAGCCGCTGCGCACCTGGCTCTTCTGGATGCCCGTCGGCTACCTGCAGAGCTACCACGGCTCGCCCAACTCGCTCGTCATCATCGCCCACCTGTACACCGTCGCCATCCTCATGGAGCGCCTGTTCCCGGAGATTGGTGCCGCCTACTTTGGCAGCCTGTCCATCTCGCCCGTCGAGGAGATTGCCCGCCGCCTCATGTCCTACAGCGTGGCCGGCCACCACGGCGCCGACGGCACCCAGCAGCAGACGCCCCTGACCCTCATGGAGTTCCCCATCGACACCGTCGGCGAGTTTCGCTCCCGGATGGGCTGGGTTCACCCGGAGAGGACCCCGTCTTTCCCGCAGTTCAACCCGCCCAACTTCCCGACTCTTCCGCCTCACACGGCCGCCGAACAGCAGCAGCAGCAGCAGCAGCACTACATGCCCTACGGCAACGTCTCCTTCAGCTACAGCACCGAGGAGATGCCCATCCTCAACAGCGCCTCCATCCCGGGCCAGGCCCAGCCGCCGTCGGTCAGCCCGCTCATGCTGTCGTCTCCCTTCCCGAGCCAGCAGTACCTCGGCATCCCGTCGCCCTCGTACCACGGCGCCTACAGCCCGGCCTCGTCCACCTTTGAAGGCTCCGTCGCCTACAGCGACTCGGAGGACTACTCGTCTGCCTTCGACCTGGCTGGTGCCGCCTCCTACGACCACGGCCACCAGCCGGCCATGTTTGGCGAGGCACATCGCAGCTACGGCGTCGGGTTCGTCCCTCCCCACCAGCCCGTGTGGATCTAGGCACACTTGATGGCGCCCCATGCTACACTCGCGGCTCGGTCCACCTCGCTCGAGGAGAAGAGACACAATCGGATTGACCGTTGACCGTCCAGGAACCACCCATCCTCCAGCATCATGAGGCCGCTCACCACCCCCACTGCCACCGCCACCACGACGCCCATCTACCCGCCCCCGGAGGACCCCGCTGCCTTTGCCGCCACGCTGTCTGGAGCCCCCTCGCCCTTTCTCTACCCCGAGCAGCTCGGCATGCTTCCCCTGCCTGAGTCGCCGGTGCCATCGAGCAGCACTCCACACTTTGCGGCCCCGAGGCACCACCGCCAGAGCGCCTCGGTGTCCTCTGGCCCCCACTCGGCCTCGCCCCTTGCCCAGGCCCCCCTGGTCCCGCCTGCGGACGCGTCGCAAGGACTCAAGGGCAAGCGGCGCGCCAACTGATTGCATTACTGCTGCTGCTGCGCATACCCGAGCGAAGGAACTGCTTGCTGCCCCACGCGGAACCCCCCCTTACCACCTTGCTTACCGGCTTTTGACTCTATTGTTTGCGCCGCTGCCTTGAAGACGGACGGTCGCCATGTAATATCCACTCCTTCACACACTCGCTACAACTCCCGCGCCGAGACCGACAGCTCAGTCTGTCCTGCTCTCCCGCAAACGACGCTCCTTTTTTCCGAGTTGATCTCGGACGACGATCCTTACGATGACGACACATCGATCCTAATGTATTAATCGTTTAATACGCGACACTCCTTCCGATGATACCCACCCGCCCACCGACATCACATAATCGACACTCCTTATGATACCCACCCAACATAATTACTAGACACTCCTTTGACGACTACACGACAAGATAGACACACTCCCTACGGACACACAGAACCAAGCGAGATCCACACACACACATGGCGCCAGATGTTTGTTGCACACGCTAGAAGCGGCCCCGCCCGCGCGACTGTTGGTCACAGCATGGCGTTGCTCGGAGTTTTTGGTTTGTTTTTTTCTGGAGGGACAGCACCCCAGTTTGTTTTTTTCTGATTTTTGATATTGCGTGTGCATTGGAATAGGAGTTGGACTTAATGCTTGCACCGGACGATGTCCGGGTGCCCCATCTGACATTTTTTTTTTTTGGAATTGGAATTGGAACTTTGGACTTGGGAAGAACGAAAGGGGAAAAAGAAAGGTGTTTGTGTGCTGCTGTCTCGACGAGAGGTTGGAACGTTCTTCAGATCGACTGATGCTTTCTGCATCGGTCTCGCGGGAAAAACCTTTATTTGATGATTGCCGCGGAGAGAAGAGACGGAGTGGACAGTTTGTCGAGAGAGTCGCTGGGATTGTGCCTGGCCAAAGCTAATACACGATGCGCGCACACATGCGACTACTGAAGTCTACTTGCCTGCCTTCCTTACTGTTTTGCAATGTGATATGATGTGATGTATCCCGCCCGCGTCGATCATCCAACTCTGATCGACAACGCACACACCGTCGGTGCGTTTCATGATTTGAAGCCTGGGGGGTTTAACATGGGTGGGAGGACACCCGTAGCCGCCCTCGTGGGACGCACAGTCACTCACTTCCTCCCCATCACGATCCCGAGGGCCAAGGGCACGCAGGTAACATGGACAGCTAGCTACGCACGCCTGCTCCCCCCTGGTCTAGCCGCCCAGCCCAAGCCCAGCCCGCGCAGACCCCCCTCCCCTGGGACCCCGGGAAACTCGTATCCCGCAGCCCTAGCCGAACAGGCTATTGCCCTATCAATCTCTCCCGAGGGCATGGGGCGCCCGGAGGGGAGCCTCTCCCGACGGACGACCAACCTTCCCTTCCCTCGTGCGGGTTCCCGCCACCAGACGCCCTGGGACTCGGATAGCAAACTCACTGGCACTGCGGCAGGCTACGGACACAGGGCACCTATCCGGATGAAACTTAACCGTCACTACGCATAATTTCTCTCCCAGCCTTACGTCCCGGGGATGATTCAAGCGGTGACGGGAGCAGCAGGTCCGTGGCTTAACTCGCGCCATGATGGGCGGCTTAGAGGCTGCGAGGCCAAGAAGTTGCAGCAAAGGCAGGGGGAAAAGGAGGATCATGACGATTTGGGGAAGAAGCAGGCGCAGAAGGAGTACGGAGAGAAGAGGAAGGACAAGGACAAGGGAACCGGGGGGGAGGAGGAGGGCTGATGTGGGGGGTGGGTTCTATACGAGGTTTTGCGGCCGGGCTGGGGAGGCGAAAGCAGGGATCGGCTGGCAAGCGGCAGGCACAGGCAGGTAGGCAGACAAGTAGACGGGCAAACGACTGGCAGAGAGAGCAAGCAGCAGCAGTACTGGCTGGCCGAGTGGTATCTACTTTTAGAAAACCACACAAGCAGGGCTCAGCGAGAGCCGCCGCCGCGGAACTGGGCGAGGGCTGCTGCTGAACGGTGAAGAACGGGAACGGGCACGGGCTGCTGCTTTTACTCGTACTTGGTTAGAGTGATGCTAAATCCGGAAAACGAGGACGGCATGAGACAACAGGAACGTGGTGCCGGGGAGGACAGGGAGGAAGGAATATGGAGATGACACGGCTTTCTTTTTGTGGTCAAGTTGTACGACGGCTGGGTCATCCCGTGGACATCAATGGAGGGATTTTGATATGGATGGATGTCGTGCAGGAACGGTGGGTGCGCGCGTGCGCCGCCGCGCGCGTGGGAAGCCTGGGATGATGCTGCCCTTGGTTGCACTGACGGCTGGGTCGTGGACTGAGTGAGTGAGTGGGCGGGAGTTTTCTGGTTTCTGCGTCGGCGGTTGGGGAGGTTGGTTTGTGTGAATGGGCATCCTGGAGGAACGTTTCCTGGACTGGAGGGCTGCCTGTTGCTGCTGTTGCTGCTGCTGCTGCTGCCGCTGCTGCCGCCTTTGCTGCCATTACTCCTTGGAGTTCTTGCGGTGAGGAGGCCGTGTCAACAACGGGTCTGGTCCAGCGGACGAGGCGTGGTTGTGGAGGCCCATGTAGGCGGCTCACTCACTGTACCACTCCTAGGGGCTGCTGTGGTTTCCTGTCTGGTTCCCTCGTGTTGTGTTGCGAGGGCGCGGCTGAGTTTCTTCCTGCCTGGATGAGAAGGACAAGCCAGTCTCAAGATACGTGATTCATATGGAGACCGAGCGTCCTTCCCCGTCAGCTCTCTCGAGGCCTGTTGAACTGCCATTGGCAATTATTTGTTGATCAGTTGAAAATCCTCCGGAGTCTGGTAGCAGCAGGCTTGTGGGTATCGTTAGGGACCAGACCAGTGTAGACTCGGCCAGAGGTGACGAGCCTGGTGCTCTGGAATCCTCGATGGTTTGAAGAACGTGAGTTTTCTTATATGAGTACATTGAAGTGCCGTCCTCACCCCATCGGTCACCCACTCACAAGGAGCGGGTTTGGGCTCACGCCGCTTGCGTGGTACGTATTAGCATCTGAGGTTCTCTCTCTTCGTCACGATGAGCTTTCGGAAGGAACCGACGAGACCAGCCTTGCCCGGAATCAGACGCTCAAACCACAGCTTAGAGAGGGGACTGTGGTTCCATTCCGGCGTGATCTCGGAATCGTGGCCATTTTGCGCCGTTTTCGAAACGAGTGACGCGCGCTTTCCAGGTCCTGGGAACGTGTATTGTCAGTCTTCTTTGTCAGGAGAATAACTCAGCAGACGACATCGCTTCTGAACGAAACAAAACCTCGTTTCGGGCCAGTGAGCCTGGGACGCTTGCCAAACACACATGTCCCCCAGATGTTTCGTGCACATGACGAGTAAAAGGGCAATCCAGGATCCAAGCGTCTCGCTTGCACACCACATTCATCAAGCGTTCATGTCCCTCTGCCGGTGTAGCGTAAGAGGGGTAAGCAAGGCAGGGGCAGGGCGGGTTCTACATGGCCTGGGACCCTCCCCGGCAACTGCAACAGTTTCTCAGACATCTACGCTTGGCCTCGACTGCGAAGAAGCTCCAAGACTGACATGCGTGGGCGTACGTGGCTCGTCGTCGAGTGTGGCGCGCGTGGTACGTGCGGGCCTGGCCAGAGCCACAGCCAGGACCCCGTCGGGCTTGAATGTGAAACTCGTCGACCTTTGCCATCACGCTCCGCCACGCTTGCGTACAGCCAGTAGAGCAACAAAGTAAACCGGCACAAAACGCTCATCAGCGGAAACAGGTATTTCTGCAGGCAGTCTCGTTGTAGAAAATCGGATACATGCCGAGTACAAGTAGTCCACATGCATAACAGAATGGCGTACCGGCGTCGACTTACCCGTTGTCACTCGTTGGGAGAAGAGAGATGTCTCGCAGTTTGTATTCCACAGGAGAGGGCAAAAGACCTGATATGAAGCACGCGAGCACTCGAGCTGAGCGCGCGGCCGTTGCAGGCCCTTCGCAGCCTCCATCTGTGACGCATCAAAAGGCCGCGCAGCTCCCGGGGCGTGGTTTCGAGATTAAATAACACAAACATGAAATTTACGTGACGTTAAACTGCCCTTTGCGCTGCGCTGCGCTGCGGTCTGACCCGTGCGCGCAACATGAGGAGGACCGACCGCCCGTCCCAGCGGATGTTAAGTTAAGGGCGACTCGCACTCACAACTCTGCGCGTCCAACAGACGTTGACGAGTCAGAAGCCTTGCCTTTTGATCTTAACCATTTCGTGCCGCCCATCTGTGTCCATTGTCGACGGCTCTCAAGGACGGAAAGGAGAAAAGAATGAAGTTCTCTCTCTGGATGCTCGCCCTCGCTGGCCTCTGCGCGGCCACGGCCGCCCACGACCCCCCGCCACCGGCCGAGACGGAGATACACTATCGCAGCAGGGGCAAGGGCCGTCTCAAAATGAGTGACGGTGCCCGCCATACAATGGCCCCAAGTCCCCTACTCGATCGCAGGATTCCGCAGCCACACGGCGCAGATGGCATCGTCCAACCGCCGCACGAAGACAACGACGGGCTCAAGAACGCCGACCCCAAGTCGCTGAGCGGCCCAGACCCGAAGACGGCCCCCGACCCTGCTACCGTCGACAAGCTCACCAAGTCGCGCATCCACGCCCCCATGACGATGGCGGGCGGAAACATCTTTGCGCGGAAGAAGAAGGAGCCCAGCGCGTTCTGCGTCGTACGTCCTGTCCTGTTCCCTCCCCTTCGAGACTCAACAGTGGCCCTTCTGCGTTTCTCTAGGAGAAATTCGCGCTTCTTCTTCTCCGTCACTCCCAGCGTAGCGAGGCTAACGAGGCACCTGTTCGACAACTTTTCAGAAAGCGGGTAAAAAGTGCTTCCCCATTAGCGATGAGGTGAGGAAAACCCAGTGTTTAAGTGTCGTCTTATATGTTCACCGTACAGTTCTTGTCGCGTTTTCCTTTGCTTGCTGGCTTGCTTGCTGACTCTTGCCCCCCCTTGGGAATGACAGAATGACAAGTGCTGCAGCATGGTCTGTCAGGCATGCAATAAGAATGATCACTTTGTAAGTCGAAAACGGCAGCCTCCCGACTTTCATGTCCCTGGCGTTTGGCAAGGTCTCTGCGCTGACAGCGAAACACAAGGGCAAATGCGCGGAATCGGCTGATGAGTGAGCGACTCACTCTTCAGGCGAGAGACTCAGTACTATCGCGTCGTTTGTGTAGGACGGACGCATGGGATAGATGGGTACCTTGTGGTGGCATGTATTGCATTTTGCAAGTTCTGTTGTTAGAAATGGAGTTGAGAGTTGCCGGTTATTCATAATTTGGGAATTTCTTATCTGTATCTGCATTTGCATCAGATATTCTCGTGGGCGTTGTGGCTCGGCCTTACATGTAGCCGCCTATAAGTGATGCCTCCAAAGTGCCTTTCATGTCTACCCAGTACTGTCCAGAGAGTACAGAGCCTCAAGGACAGAGCGTGACATCTGTCAAATATGCGTTATATACGTATGAGGACAGGCGCCTCGGTTACATCATGCCTGTTAGCTGCGAGTCGCTGGAGTGCGGTCTGGTCAGCCGGGGAGGCGTGAAGCCCTCAACAACACGGAGCCCAGTACAGACAAAACAGGGCAATAGAACCAATCTCTGCAAGCCCTATGAATTTTGATTGCTAGTAGAATTTTCCTCCTTCTGGCAGGTTGGCCAATGCAATGCCAATGCCGTATTGGTGCCGTTCTTGTATCGCCCATTGAAACGAACAACCCACATGCAGGCAGGGAGAACCCACCTTCCCGCGGACATCTAACCACCAAAGAAGATCCGGCATCCGACGAGAGAGAACAGGCATGGCTTGCTGGACCTGGTGCTGCGCGCCGCGTCGAGGAAAATCAAAATCGCGCCCAGGGGGAGCTGGGCTGCGCCGGACACTCGCCGACTACGGACGCAACGCCCCCTTTCCCCTCTCCCTCGAGGAACAACACCACAAAGAGACGCAACTCCGTGTTGGCCATACCCGATCGTGGTCGTATCACCGTCGCATATTACTTCTCCCAGCACCCCCACGGCCCATCCAGGCCCCCCCTCTCCCCTTATCCCTGCGTGCACGGCCAGCGATGCGTCGGCGTACCCGCGGCCCAGCGACCGACAACCCACCCCCCTCCCTAACAGACATCACATCACCAGGCCCAGCGACGGTGTTTGTCTCTCTTGCGATCAACACGCCTCTCTCTTTTCTCCAGGATGCCGGCCCTAGACCGACGGGCCCCCTTTTTCCCAAGATAACCCAACCCAACCCCCCGTCAAGCCACCTCGTATAGCACCCACTCTGCGCACCAGCTTAGGCTCTTCCCGCCCAACTAGGCGGCAACTCGCGATAGGATAGTAAGTTTGGGAGTCCTGGGGGCTTCTTTTACGAACGGGAGGGTGGTGGCCTTGGCGTTGACTGTTGTGGGGGGTGTTGCGGGACGACGGACGCTTCTAGGAATACCTCGGGGCGTTGCCGGCAGGACCCCCTGAACGGGCGGTACACTTCCCTCGTCTGCGCGCGAGATGACGGCTAGGCCCTTGGAGATGGGGCCGTGAAGGGGCTATGGGCTCGCCGGTGGGAGTGTCCGGCGATGGGTATGGGTGGCGATAGCGAGGAGTGGCAAGAGACCGTGGTGGCGCGCCCGACCTAGGGGGGCGGGTTGCCGATGGACCATGTCGTACTGACCCTCGCCGCGAGGAACTTGATTGCGCCCACCGAGCCTTGCTAGAAGGTCCATGGCTGTGAGTAGAAATCTCTATCTCCTCGGGTGACCGATCTTTTGTGCTTCTCCTGACCCCTATTCGCGGCCGGAGTCTGACCTGCCCTCCTCAACACCCGCCTCGCCAGCTGCCCCCCTTTCCCTCCCCCTTTTCCCTCTCCGCCTCTCTGTATCTCTCACGCTCGACCCTCTCGCAGTGGTATTCCTGCCTGGTCGTGCTACGCTTGCACTACACCACTCCCGCGGGTGAAGCCAACCACTGCCGTTCAAAACTTCCCGCCCGAGCAGCACGTACGTACCTGCTCCTGCTCCCCACCACAGCACAGCGATTCAAACCCCCTGCGCCCAACGGGCATGCGTGGCGACTACGTAACTAACAAGGACCTCAGCGCACAACACGCCTCTACCTTGTCACCCTCCCTGCCTTTCCCTGCCCTGTTCAGGCGAGTCGGGCCAGCCGCCCGTCAGTCGCAAGGCGGAGAGCATACTCAGTGCGGCAACCAGCGCCCCAATTCCCCGGGCGGTACGTTACTCCACCCGTGTGGCGCGCCTCCCCCGTGTCCGTGTCCGTGCCGCTCCACGGCTCCGGCCGCGGGGGGGTCTCACACTCACATCACTGCCCGCGTGCTTGGCCCGGGCGTTCACCCCGGGCCCTGTCTCAGACACGGTTTCTAGGGGCTGCTGATACGGCGCAGGGTCGAGGATGCGGGCAGCAGGAGGCCCTGACTCGCGACGCTCTTGCGGGTTCACAGCTTGAGCGGCCATGAAGACAGCTAGCTAACTTGAACATTTGGGGCGAGGCATCGGTCGCCACTTCTCGCACGGAATATCGCCTTGCACGGTCCAGACTCCGGGCGTGCCGGCACCGGGTACTCGGACCCTCCGGGCGGACTCGGGATCCAAGCCGGGTGTAACACCACGCTCCATCATCGTCATGTTACGCTCGCAATAGTCACTCACACAGGGGCAAAGAAGTCATTTTACGGCTAAACGTGTTCTCATTGTTCACGCAGCTCGATAACCCGGCATCAACAGACGCATTCAGCCGCCGCACGCAACGCCGGCCATCCGCTCCATGCAGCCGCGCTCCCGATACAGTTGGCTCCGCGCAATCAAGCGAGTGCATTCTCGTCAGGCAATCATGGGTATCGCCCATCTCTCAACTCCGTCCTGCCCGACCACTCCATCCATACAGAATGTGTTCTAAGCAAACGGCAAAAAGGGCAAAAAAGAGAAAGAGGTCGTCTGAGGTGGTATACGTGTAGGTGTTCGTGCCGATGAACCGTGGTGCTGCTGATCCTGATGCTATACAAAACTCCAAAGCGCCTTCGCAAGACACTCATGTGTCCGTTTCCTTCGTAATGACTTTGCCTCCGGCTCGACTTTTCATGCATCCGCGCCGTGGCAGGCCCTCGGCTTTCCACGGTGGGTCGTATGATGATTATTTCCCCGTCAGCTGGACTCGGAGCTGCTATTGCTGCTGCTGCTATCCGTCGACACTGGATTGGAGCTCTCGAGTCGATGCTGGCCAGCGCCGTCGCGGACGGCATCGCTGTAGCTCGGGACCGGGGGATGCGGCACGCTGTGCGCGGGGACCACCGTGGCCGACGAGTCGCCCCGGTTGCGGTTCATGACGCGTATTAACGGCGTGTCCTCGTCGCTGCTGCTGCTCCTTCGGCTGCCGCCCTCTTCTGAGTGTGTCGGACTGGCATAGTCTGGAGGGGGATTCGTCGCGTCCTCGAGATGCAGATGCAACGGGTTGTCGTGATGCTCCTCCTGATGGTGCACTATGCCGCTCCCGCTGGGCTCGCCATTGTCATCATTGGGCACCAGCTGAGCTAGAGAGATGTCCGTTGGGCTCCGGACGGGACCCGGGCTGGTAGGAGGCAGAACTCTGAAATTGCCGCTGCGAGTGCGCCCGTGCCCGTGCTGAGCGTTGAGATGGCTGCCGCCGGGCTGAACGTGGTAGGGCGAACCGCTGACTGACTGACGATGCGGGCGGCCCTGACCCGGGGCGGCGCCGTCCTTGGTGCCCGTCTCGAGCAGAATACTACCCTGCTCTGAGCCGTACGGCGGCGGAGGCGCGAGGCTGCCCGTCACCGGCGCCAAACCCCACTTCTTGACGTTGGCCTCGATGAAGACGAAGCCTGACTGCCCGAGATTGACGTGCACGACAGCCGGTCCGTTTGCCCCCACGGCGGGAAAAAAATTTTGGGCCTTGAGTCCGTGCACAACCTCCTCGAGGCGCTTGCCATTGCGGGTGAAGAAGATGGCGCCGGTCCTGGGCCGGTAGCCAACGCCAATGACGTCTCCCTGGACGAGGTTCGGCCCGTAAGGAGTCTTGCTAAAGGGTTGGTTGTAGTGGCGAGAGCCATCCGAGTGGTACGCGACAGAGTACTTGTGGTAGCCTGGATCTTGTCAGCATGGACCATGTCCGAGGAAACGTGGCTACTCACCAGGAAGACGAAACAGCGGGTACGGCTTGGTCGCCATGCCAATGGCGAGCAACGTGTTCTCGGGCTTCTCGTAGACCTTGGCCTCCCAGTAGTAGACGTCGTTTTGCTTGGGGACGGGCAGGTTGCACATGACGGTGCACTCCGAGTCGAAGAATTCGATCTCGGTGCGGGCCTCGACGAAGCAGTTGGCAATCTCTAGCTCGGGCTCAAACTCCCAGGCCGAGACGCCCTTTTCTTGTATGGCGAGGTATTGCGATAGCGAGATGTCGGTCTGCACGGACTCGGGGGGGTTGGCAGTGACGAAGGCTGGTTGGTCATGTTAGCGAATGTCTTTCTGCGGAGCAACCATAGAGGATCTTGGCAAACCTTTTGCTCGAAGATATTCCGTACGAGCCATGTCATCCATGGTCTCGAGCGCCTCCGCCTCCTCCCTGGCAAACGCCTGCTCGTCGTCATACTCGCCGGGCCGGCCGAAGCGATCCAGCAGGATGCGGCCGGAGCCGGCGCATCCTGAAGCCCAGAAGATGAAGACGACGAGGGCTATGAGAATGATGGAGCCAAAGGACGAGACGAGGCCGATGATGATGCCGGTAAAGGCGGACGACGGGGCAGCCATGGCGGTGGCGCCGTCGTCGGGCGAGGCAGGGCTCGAAATCAATGTGCTCGTTGCGGCAGGCTCGGACTGTGCGATTTGTTGTGGTGGTGGAGGTCTGGACGACTGGATGGCGTCACCGCCGCGACGGCTGCGGCTTGGCGCTTATCGCTGCGGCGGGCAAGGCAGAGCGACGGGCGGCTATCGATGGAGCAGGGTCGCAAGGACGGACGGACGGCGATGGCGGACGACACCGGGGCGAGCGCGTGCCTGTTGCTTAATCGCAGAAGAGCTCGCGACGATGGCAGAGGCGGCGATGCGGATGAGCAAAAATGGATGGCTCGGCGGCTTCGCCACGCAAGTCGTCGTCGTCGTCGGTCGGGCTTCCCGGTGAGATGCGGGATGCGGCGGGTGGCCAATCGCTGGGGCGGGCAGCTGAAGAAGCCCACTGTTCGCCGCCGTGGTCGTCGTCGGGAGGACACGGCACCAAAAAAAGAGCGTGAGCCCAGGGGCCGAAGCGGAGGGAGATGGCGAGGGAGCAGAAGCCGTGGCGGTCGCGGGTTCGGAGGGGGAGGGAGAGTGAGGGCGAATGCGAGGAGACGGAATGCGATGGGATGGGGGATGTTGGGCGAGGGAGGAGGAGGACGGGAGGATTGAGGAGAGAGACGACGGCGAAGAAAGCGGGCACGAGGCGCCGACAGCGACGCGGCCAGCCAGCCAGCCAGCCAGCCAGCCAGCGACACAGAGGCCTACCTACAGCCAGGCCTCTCTGCTGGGAGCGTCAGGCACCTGCCCACTGCCTGTAGCGCGCAGTCGCTGCCTCAAGGCGCTGGCGCTGACGGGAATCATTGATCCTCCACTGACGCACCCTTCAGCTGGGGTACGCGGGCAGCGGTCCAGGCTGTTAGTGCGTCAGCGGGGACCCCCCGCGCGGGGGCTAATGCCTCGGCGGGGCAAGGCATGTACCGAAGCGGGCCCACCGCATCGCAGCACCACCACCACCACCACCTGCATCCACCTACGCATCCCGCCCGTCCCCCAGCGCCGATGACGATGCAGTGGAGTGACGCCACGGCGGGCGCGGGCGGGCAGCGGATGCGTCGGTCCCTGTCCATCACCGACACGCGACGCTGCAACCTGCTGAAACAGCAGCACAAGCGTCAGCCATCACGCACCCACTCACCCACCCTTGAGCGCTGTACCTTGCCTTAAGGTTAGGGAATGAGGTATGGAAGGCGAGGCGAAGCAGTGCCCAACAGCCAGCCAGCCAGCCAGCCAGCCAGCCAGCCGCAGACCGCCACCACCACCGACCTACAGTCAGTCAGTCAGTCTTCGCTGCGATGCGATTGAGCCAGGCCAGGCCAGGCCAGGCCAGAACCGTCCACCCTCCACGCCCGCCCACCGAATAAGCACACAAACTTTGCCGCGGCAGCAACTAGTATTACATGATGACTCCCTCCAAATCTTGGGCCTCCTGCTGCATGGGCCTCACGCGCGAGGATCCGACGAATAGAACACACGTGGGGGGAGGGCCATCTCGCCATTGCGGCCGGCCTCCGTGCACTGCATTTATTTTGCATGTTGCATGTTGCATGACATTGCAGTTGCGCCTGCGTTCATTTCATCAAGGGTTGAATTGAACTGAATGAGCGCAGATGCCGCCGTCGCCGCCGCAGCAGCAGCAGCAGCAGCAGCAAAAAAAGCACTGGGGCGGCTCACTTCGCCCGCCCTTGAAACAGGCCTGAGGCGGCTCCTCCGGGTTCGAGCTGAGTCGCACGAGCGCGCCCTCGTCTCGGCACCTTGCCGATCGGCATCAGCAAGGGCGCTGTGCCGCCGTGACAGGCAGGCCCCGGGGCACAGCACCGCACAATGGTCGTGTGCTTTTCGGAATTGCCAACACTGGATGCTTCGTGGAGGGAGGGTTTGTCCGGCTACTCGGTGCGTTCGTGCGTCGCCCGCCGCCACGTCTCACTCGGAATACGACGCCCGGCCGGTGGTGTCCCGTCCAGCAGCGACCGAGTCGGTGGGTGATGCAGTGCAGATTTGTGGCTTTCATTGTCGTGACTTATTCTACTTCGTACATGCTAATTCTCATTCCAATTGGTGTTGTGCGCGCTGGTCCATGTCGTGTCCCATTCTGCTATCCCGCCCTTGCCTCAATGTGCCCTTAAAACCATCCACCACCCACACCCATCATCATCTACAAGTCATCGTCTCCACGGCCGCGGCGATAGCCTCCCCGTCTCGCCCGCCGCTCCTCCCTCTCCCTCTCCCTGTCACCGCGCTCCCGATCGCGCTCCCGCAGCTCCGGCATCGGGTGGTGGTAGCTCTTGGTGCCCAGGTCGCTGCTCCCGGCCGCCGACTCCAGAAGGCTCTCGCTCTGCGCGCTCTCGCGGTTGTAGCTGAAGTCGCGCCTCGCCGTCCCCGACGCGCGGCTGCGGCTCTCCTCGCGCAGGCGCCGGGCCTCGCTCCGGATCCGCTCCGCCTCGCGCGCCGTGTTGCGGTCCGCCGTCGAGTACACCTTGCGGATCGGCTGCGGCTTCTTGGTCGGCGTCGTCGTCGGCGTCGTCTGCCGGTTCGACAGCAGCTCCGTCGACGCCGTCGACTCCGTCGGGTTCGTAGATCCGTCCCACGTCGAGCCCTCCGACTCTTTGTTGAGCCCGCCGACGCGCGCCGGCCGCTCGTGTCGGTAGCTGCGCAGGTGGTCGCGCGCCTCCTTCTCCGCCATCTCGTCCGTCACGCCATTGTCGCCCACGTGCCGCTGCTTCTTCTTCTCCTTGGCATCGCGCTGCTTGCGCTTCTGCTTGTCCTTGCGCTTGTCCTCGCGCTTCTTGCGCGCCGCGATGTCGCTCGCCCCCGCCGTGATGCCGCTCAGGTACGTCGTCTCCGTCACCACCGTGGTGCCGTCGTCGTCGGCCACGTCCTTGTACACGCTGCCGCCGCCCAGGTTCGTCGACGGCGTGGCCCCCGAGAGGAGCGTCCCGTTGGGGCCCTTGCGGCGCAGCACCGTCGACTTGTAGTCGTCCCAGTCCGTCTCCTTGAAGTGGAAGCCGCCGTTCTTGGCCCAGAAGAAGAACCAGATGCCCGTCGCGACGAAGCCCACTCCGATGAGCGCGAAGAGCACGAAGAAGCCCACGTTGCTGATGTCGTGCGGGTCGAGCACACCGTGTGACGGGTCGACGGTTTCCTTGGCCGACCGTGCGAGAAGAAGCCGGCTGGCCTCGGCCAGAGGGCCGCTCTCTCCGCCGAGATGGTCTTCGGAAGTCGGCTTGGTGGGAATGATGCTCCGGAGAGCGTGGGCGATGGTGGGTGCCATGCTGGCGTTGGAATGCGGCCTGTCTCGCCGCTCACGGTCGTCGGTCCCGCAGCCCGACCGAGAGATGGCAGAGCGAGGCTGCCGAGCCCAGCTCAGGGGGAAAAGGCCAGTCGCGATGGAGGAGTGGTGCCTTTGTTGTCGTGATGTGTGATTACGACTTTCGCGGTGTTTGTCGTTGGGTCGGAAAGTCGAGAAGGCCACGCCGTTTGAGTGCAGCGAGATGGCAGGCTGGTGGCAGGCTGGTTTTGTTCCCCCAGAAACGGTGGCAGAAATGGTGTGGCGGGGGGCCGGGTGGAGGGGGGCGAGGTTGGGCAACACCTGCTCCTGCACCCACGTTTGCCGCTGGAAACACTGTTCAAATCGAGCAGAGGCCGCGCTGCCACTGTGGCACAGCTCGCCGCCGATTTTTGTCTGTCAACTAGTTTCCAGCCGCCAGCGACCCAAGTCCCCCTTTGACAGTGGTCGTCGTCTGGGTCAGCCGTGCCTGACTGTTGGTGACGCAACCAAGTAAACAAGCCCCGCTGGCCCGACAACCGCCCACACGCCACGCCACACCCCCAACTCACCTGGGCGCGCACACCCCCAGGCCCCCGTCCTCTTCACACCCCCAAGAAAACCCCCCCCGTCCGCTTCACTTGCACGCCCGTTACGACAACCTGGCCGAGGGATCCTGGCCTGGGACTCGAGGCACGGCACCGCGTGATCAGGCCACGCTCCGCATGCCTCTGCTGCGGATTCCTGTGAGCGCACAACACGTCGCGGCGATCAATGCATCGGGTCAGGGCTGCATCATGTTCAATCATTTCTCAGCTCGCCACCATCCCATGCATTCTCACACGGTATGCCATCTACAGGATACATACTCCGTACAGCAGCACTGCCCAGTCCCGCATCCGCGTCGCCGCTCGGTCCGGGCATGGCAGCCTACCCCAAACAAAACAAATCTATATTCCCGCCGACAGAAACAAGTAGATGGCATGCCATTGCAAGTGAACTACCCACGCAGGGCACAGAGAGTGCGGGGGCGCGAACCCCCATTGCCCGTACAGTCTATATCGCCTTGGTGTGTTGAGCGACCGAGAAATAACTTGCTGTCGTGGATGCCGAGGCCGCAGCCCGCGCGGCCTTCGAGTGCAAAACAGTCGATGTGTCCGGGCAGGTTGGGCATCCCAATGCTCGACACCAGCAGACACCTGCCATAGACGCCCACCCCCTGTCCACGCGTGTCCAATCTGCCCGTCCTCGCAATCATTATTCAAACAACATACCAAATCATAGCCAACAGACTGACATGAGCGCAGCCGAGAAACGCAAAGATCCCCCATACTGCCTTTTGGGTATCAAACTTTTCCATGTCGCTCGACGAAGAACGCATGTGACCACAAGCAGAAGCACAGGGATTAGGGCAGGCAGACGGCATCGCACCCTCAGCCACAGGTCGAAGCGCAGCGTCGACCGCCGTGGCAGCGATGCCGTTCACTGCAAAGAAAGGAAATGAAAGCAAAGATACTTCGTGGAAACCGGAACCAAGGAAAACAGCAACGCTCGCTTCCATAATATTCGTAGCCAAACCATGATAGGTGTCGTGAGTCGAGAAAAGTCTCATAGTCGTCAAAAAGTTCGTCATTCTTCGTCCTTGTCGTCAGAATACGTTTCCGTGGGCGTAAGGGTCATAAGGAGCATGTGGTGGTCCATAGCCGCGACTGTGCGAGTCAGCCTGGCTCGGTGCGCGTTGTCGATGCGGCAATGCCTTGCGCTCTATCCGGCTGCGCGAGTCCTCCAGCGCCCTCGAATCCTCGAGCTGCTGGTAGATCGTGCTGGCCCTATCACTCCCAGCTCGCGAGCCTGCGGGGCGACTTGACCAGGTAATCTCGCCGCCCTCGTGGCTGCACTCGATCTCAGCGCCTTGGAACCGGACGACAGTGTTGCCAGGGACCTTGATGGTGATTTCTTCGTTACCGCCGTACGATGACTGTGTGAGTCCGGTCGTGTTGCTGCGCTTGTACTCGCTATCATCACGACTGTCGCTGCTGCGTGTCGACCGGCTGCTGGGCACGCCGCCGCGCTTCATCACTTTCCGGAGTGTCTCGGCTGTCAGCGGCATCTGTGCCCCGCCGCTCACTTCGTCCTGATACTTCTTTGCTGCGCTCAGCTTGCTGTTCCCGAGGCTCGCCCCTCCCGACACCAGGCCGCCAGGGGCGTACATGGACGAGCGTCGACTGCGGTTTCCGGCTGGGACAATCTCGTAATCGGCCTGGTCGTACGCCGTAGACGCACGCCTACCACGCGGAACAATGGCTCGGCGCTGGTCATACGAGGCGTTCGGCGAAATCTGGAAGAGTCCGCCTTCCTCGTCATCGTCGTCATCGTAGTAGTCAGGGTCTTGGTAAACTGGCTCTTCGAAGCCCAACGACCTCCTGTTCGAAGGTGGGGGGCGGGAGTGCGTCTGCCGCGACGGGGGACGGTGTGCCGGAGGTCGAAACGGCGTCGTGGGTGGCATCGCTGATTGAACCCGGGATGGGATGTAGCTTGGCGGCGGCATACGTCTAGTATCCTCGTCGAGCTTTTTGGAACGGGACGGCCGGCGATTTACTCGTGGAGCGGTTTCGTCAGGGTAATCGTCGTGGTGATACTCCAATGTCTGAGGCGGCCGTTGGAAACCCATAGCGGATGAGGGGCGCGCATCGAAGCGCTGCTTCAGATGGCTGTGCTGGTCGAAGTAGCCTGCCGGCGGTGGCCCAGCCGGCGAGAGTGGCGGTGGTGGGCCGAAGCCGCCGGGAGAACCAGCGGCGCCAGACCACATGGGAGGAGGTGGCGGGAAGCTTCCCACCGGGAAGGGCGGTGGATGGCCCGGGCCGGGACGGAATCCGCCGGGTGGCATCATCTGAGGTCCGGCGGGCTGGCCTGCGTAAAAAGTTGCCGGACGCGTCTTAGCTCGAGGTCGGCCACCTGAAGCAGCAGGCTGCTTGACGCCATAGAATGCCGGATCCTCAACGCGGCCTCTCATGTACCCGGGTTGCTGGACGACGGGCTGCGTGGCCGAGTGCTTCGGGCCGGGCGGCCGGGTTTTCTGACGGGCCTTTGCTTCTCGCTCTTTGGCCGCAGCGGCAGCTGCCTTGTTCCGTCTGTCGGCCTCTTCGTCCCTGGCCCGCCGCTCTCGTCTCCTCTCCTCACGATATTGATCTCGACCATCGGGATCGATTGTGTCCCTCCTCGCGGGCCGCCGTCTCGGGTCTGATGCCCTCTCCGAGGACCGGGCCGTGGAGTCAGACGACTCATCGGTCAGGCCGGCACCGGCGGAAGACGACGGCGACCTCGAGACGGGCGGCCGCTTGTCGGCGCGCGATTTGCCCGTGTTGGGTCGCTCCTTGCGCAGCTCCTTGCCCGGAGCCTCAGAAACGGCATACCTGCGGGTGCTCTCGATCCCCTCGAGGGAACTGTTGGAGTCGTCGTCCCGAGCGTCCTCAACGTGTGCGACCCTCGCGCTCCTCTTGGAGCTGTTTGACATGGTTGGTTGTGCCCCGGCGCAAAGTCGACCGGTGACCTGTTGGTGGAGCCGCTTGGAGGCGGCAGCAAGTTGTAGGAGGCCGCGTCAGGGCAAAGGATGTGCCGCACCGAGGCGGAAATCCGACGGAGAGAAGGTATCAGTGAAGCCCCTCGAAGTCGGTGTATGACGAGCGGCGGTTTTTTGGCGGTGGAGATGTCAAGACAGTGGGTGGGCTCGCCCTTGGGGTATGGGGGTGCGTGCTATAAATTAGGCGAGTCGGGCTCCGGGTGGGGTCCTGGTGGTGGTGGTCCAGTGGTGGTGGTCCAGTGGTGGTGGTCCAGTGGTGGTGGACCCCTCCTCAGTCCAGGCAGGAGCGAGCCGGAACGCTGCTGCCGCAGGCTGCTACCGCTGGCTGATGTGCCACTGCCAAGTGCCTGCTTGTGGGGGAGAGAAGAAGGAAGGAAGGAACCACCACGGGGAGGAGAGGGGGGCCGGGGGGGATCTGGATTTGAAGTGGACTTGGGGCTCTGCTGCGTCCCGCCTTTCCCAGTCCAGTGCAGTGTCTTGTCCCCTGATAACCGAAGCGATTCGGCTCGATCACCGTCGCTGCGTCGATACGCCGAGTCGAGTTTCTCACGGCCGTCGTCCCCGCCGTCGTCGATGTTTGAGCGCTCCGAATCGTATCCCTGGTGCTAGGCGGTGGTGATGACAAGCGGAAAGCCCCGAGCGTCGACTGAAAAGAGGAGATGCCAGAGGCAGCAGCGGCAGCCTGGGTGGCGCGGGCATGCCACAAACGGGTAACGGTGACAGGCGACGGGCTGGCACGCCTGCTGGCTCGAAACGGGAAGATGGGCAATGCTCTTTGATGGAACAGGCAAAGACGGGCTCCGTGGTCGCTGTGGCATCGGCGAGGTTTTATTAGTCCGCACCGACTGGCGACTGAGGCAGCGGGAGCGCAGCGCCGCGGCGGCGTCCCATCCACCCATTTCCAATCTCTGCCACGCCCCTCCCACCAAACGCCAGCTGTCGGCCGTCCGTTATGGGAAGCAACGCCCACAGCAGCCAGAGGTGGGAGGGCGACGAGCGAGAGGACACGCGTGGGTGGACGGGGGGCGTGGACTTAGCGCCCATGCACTCACTGACAGGGCCTCCGTTGACGGCTTGCCAGCTCACACGAGCCCAGCAGCCCTCATGGCGGCTCCGACACGGATGACGGCCAGTATGGAGCATTCCACGGACGCAACCAAGTTGGACGAGTGTCCAGTACTTGCATAACGTGACCCGACACTCACGGACGCCCCAAGGAGTCATAGCACCGTCGCGCCGTGTAACACTCAAGGCCATGCTCGTCATCACCGGTCGCCGCCGGATGTCCTGACCAGGGCAGAGCACCACCTCAGCAGACATAAAGAAGGCGTGTCTCAGGAGCCGGCAAGGGCAGACGACGCAATGCGGCGGACAGGAGATGGGACGTGCTCCCACGATGCAATTGAGGCACGCGGCCGGGCGCACGGTGTGTCTGGAGGAGCTGCTCGCTGGCGCTGGACGACCATCCAAGACTACCCAACCACGAGCGAGTGGCCTGGGAAGTCCCATGTCTGCTTGACCGGCATGAAACGACTGGCTTTGGGGAGGCATCTCACTTCTTGCAGCGTCTTATACGCCCTGCCCGACACAGCGGCAGTGGCCAATGCAAAGATCAGGAATGACTCGAACCACCCATGCCGACACCTAAGGACTTTTCCCAGCGAGGGGTTGCCAGCCCAGCTGCGCCGTTTCCAGGCTGGCCAGTCCATCGTCCTCGCCCTACCTGCCCTCACCTCACAAACGGCGGCACCAAGCACCGGCGCCCAACTGTGGAGCACCGGCGACGCCAGCTCCTCGTCTCGTCCCGCGTTTCCGCTGCGCCGCCGCGCCTCGCCTCGTCCCGAGCTCTAGGTAGGTTCTCGCCATCGAACCCTGTCGCCACAGGATGCCAAGCAAGCAGAAGGTTGAGGACTTGAAGACTCGAGGTTCACAGATTGGGTTCCGATGCTGCGACCCTCGGCCAGCAGAAGACACAGCTTCGCGCCGCGGGCCGTTGGCCGCATGTCGTCATGCCCCTGTAGCTTCACGGATGCGGTGCTACACCGCGAAGACTGCCGAGCACCACAGGGACTGCCCCAGGCCAAGCCGGCGGAACGGTTCCAGTCGAGACATATGCCCCATCCTGTACCCTGCTCTAACCCTACTTGTATAGATACGCACGGGAACGGGCCTGTCGCTCCCGCACCCGGGGTGGCAAATTTCCCGCTGCCAGCAAGGGGGCCTCTATTTTTTTCTTTTCGTGCCCGAGCAGTCGGAACCCAAGTGGCGGCAGTTGGGTACCAAGACTGGACACGGCCCTGAGGGTCCTATTTTCGCCCACCAGACAGGCCACTGACTCACAAGAACGACATCGCAGCGATGTTCCGGCGTGGGCATCTCGAAGAACGAAGCGAAGGGACGGGCGAGGCCAGAAAAGCTTTTCACAACCCACGCCGATGCCAGCGAGCGGGGACGGTGAGGAAGTTGCTGGCATCTGATAGGGAGCCAGACGAGAAGCTGGCCAGTGGCTATCGTCATGGACGCCTCGAGCCCAATCGACGACGGGCTCATCATGCACGGTCGCCCTCGGGCTCGCTTATAGGACACCACGCTTCCCGTCCTTCTCCGAATGACCAGTTGGCCCTCGCACACCACAGGGCAACGAATGGAGGTCAAGTCAGGTATGAGGAGGGAAGTGGTCCACCTCGACTTCAGCCGCTGATGGAGACGCGTACGTACGTACCACGCTGCGATCAAGCTTTTTCGCATGGAACGGAAAGGTTGTTCGGGCGAAGTGCATGCGACCCTCCCGGCTGTTGTTGGGCTGGATCCCGATGCTCCGGGAGGATCCCGCACGCACGAGAACAATGTGGCAATGTTACCGTGTTCATCGTCCGAGCTCTCCTGCCATCACCGGCCAGAGACCAAGCAGTCAGTCGCCAGGACGAAGACGGCCGAGTCAAGAACAACAGGACACTGCGTTGGTCACCAGCTCTCTTCGAAACGGTCGCTGCTCCGTGAGCTCGCACCCGTCATGCCATCCCTTGCATTCGCATCCCATCATCGCCAAGAGGGCCGCATGAATGTCTCAATGCCCCCGACCCCACGTCCAATCGCGCCGTGGGGCCGGCCCTCCATCAACCACGGCCAGCAAGGATCACTCCCGCACACGATCTGACCGGGACAATGACATGCTCGTGAAGCCCTCTCCGGCCCTCCAGCCCTTTGGCGAGGACATCTCGATAGTCACGGTCGCGCAGTCACCACCACTACTGCATCACCACCACCACCACCACCACCACCACCACCACCACAATCCCGCTGCCCATACCACGCCTCTGCGACACAGATCTCCCGCCTTTTGTCGTGCGACTGTCAAATTCGGTCTGTCTACGCCGACTGATTGGAGAGGGTTTGTGTAACGGCCTGCAATGTCGCCCCCGACTTGACGCATGCGCACGCACATGTCTGCCTACATGCGCTCCTGCCTCTCACCTGCTACCGTGTGGGGGTGGGCATGTACGAAGGAGCAGTATACGACTTATGCAGGCGAGGGGGCCGTTGAGGCTTCTGGGTATCATCTCGTCGCCTGAACTTTGGCCAAGCCACAGGGCGACTGACACGGATGGGCATGCACGGCGTGTGGCTTGCAGCAGCCGCCGCTTTCAGTGTGCGCAGAGCGTTGTCATGCTGTCCGAGCAGGTCTATTCAGATGGTCGCTTATCCGTCCATGAGGATAGCTGCATATTCTATAGCGTCCGTCCGCACCGCATGCAGTCCACGTCGAGCCACGGGGCAACCTCATCGACAATGCAAGTAATAACAGCATGGAACGAGGGTGCCAATCTTGCACCGAGCCGCCAGTCAGAGAGGGGTCGTAGCAATCGGCCGGAGTAACCGACCAGGGCGGGCATACGATCCCAGCAAAGCATCGGATATGTAAGCGACACGGTACGTCGCTAGCAACGGATTGCCCAGGTCATCTGTCGCGGCGAGGCAGGCGAGGTAGCATCCCGCGGCCAAGAGTCCAACAGTTCGTTGGCGCTCGCACTCTGTCTCACATCAGGGCCCATCGCCGTCGTCGCGACGAGCATCTCCGTGCTCCCACGGAAGCGCCCAATCCTAAGGTGGTGACGATAACTCAAGAGACAATCGAGTGGAAAGCACGAACGTCCTCGCATCATGATCGATCTCCCCACGACCTTTGCGGTGCCCACACCGCCTTTTGCGGCAACCCCTCCTTGGGGCGACTGCACGCCCGGCGAGCAGGACAGACGCAAGTCCGGCGGCCGCACGCAATGCACTAGCCGGCGTGCCAATGACAGAGGGGCTGACGCGGGTGCGGGGAGGGCGAGCAACGATGCTCGCGCCATCCAGGCTTGATCGTGGGCGATAACGTTGGTGCAGTTCAACATGGATCATGCCGGCAGGGCGTGGACCAAATGCCTGCGGCATTAATCACGGGCGCCATCGGGCGAAGAGCCCGTTCGCAGTGGCGTCTGGCTGAGATCGATCATGCTTTCAGTTGCAGCGTAGATCAGATCCGGGGCCGACGCCATAGGACACAGCCATGGGGTTGCCTCACACAAACAGATCCGGAGCCTGGACCGACCAGAGACAGGAGAAATTCTACCCCAGCCTCGAGCACCCGATGCCCCTCCGGCTGTACACCGGCGGCCGGACGCCCAAATGGGCCGCCGAGGAGACGGTCGGGGCCGGCGACGGACGGCGCGACAGCAGCTAGGCGTTGATAGTGAAGTCGGCGACAACGGCGCGGTGGTCCGAAACGCGAATCTGGTCGTCGAAGCTGTTGGACAGCACACCAAAAGTGTCGACCCGAGCGGTATGCGGATCCTGGATGAAGAGGAAGTCGATGCGGCTGGGCGTTTCGTTGGGCTCACCAAAGCTCGTGTACGTGAGATGGTTCCCGTATCGCCGCTCCTCAGGCACAAGATCGGCGACGTCGAGCATTCCGGATCCGCGCGCCGTCATGACCTGGTAAGCCTCCTCGTGGGGCGAGGAATTGAAGTCGCCGCCGACGAGGACGACAGACGGCGGGCTGTGGCCAGCCTGGCTCCACTCCCTGGCGAACTTGATGAGCAGCTTGGCGCTGTTTGTGCGCGCCTTGACGCCCATGTGGTCAAAGTGGGTGCTCATGACGATTGCGCGGGTGCCCGACGTGCGGTGGGCAAACTCGCCCATGGTGACAATGCGGTTGAGGGCGGCGTCCCAGCCACGGGACGGCTTCTCGGGCGTCGGGCTGAGCCAGCGCGTCTCGTTGCGGACGCACTTCCAGACGTCGGCGCGGTAAAAGACGGGGGAGAATTCGCCATCCGTCTCGTTCTCGCCACGGCCGCGGCCAATGTGCGCCCACTGGGGGCCGAGCTGGTCCTGGACGTCGCCGATCTGAGCGTGCAGGGCCTCCTGGAGGCAGATGAAGGGACTATCGTGGCCGGCGGTGATGAAGCGCAGCTGGGCGCCCAGGCGAGGGCAGCGAACGCTCCAGGGCCGCTCGCCACCGGCGCGCTCGTCATGCTTGGTGGCGAAGCGGATGTTGAAGGTGACGAGGCGCAAGGACATGGTCGGCTTGTCGGGCGACGCAAGAGCCTCCTGGGCCATGGATCTGTCGTCGAGGTCGACTCTCATTCGGGCGGCTTGCGCGGGAGGGCGCTGGCGACTTCGGGCAGGCAGCGGCTCGCGTTGGAGGCGTGGACGTGGGCTGTACGTGCTGCTGCACCAGGAGAGGAGGAGGCAGAAGAGGAATGCGGAGAGGAGGAGGAGGCGGAACTCGCGAGAGGAGCGTGCCTGACGGCGGCGGGCGGCAAAGGCTGTGCGCGACATGGCGGCAGCGGCAGGCGCCTCAGCGCGGCACCTCAGCAGCCCAACAGGCAGGCCGCGGCTCCCACCATCGGTCGCCTTAGCATCGTCTCACACCTCCACGAGGTTTATTAGTGGAGGTACAGATGATCCAGGGGCGGCGTTGCTCCAGCGAAAAGAGGGGGATGGAAATTGGGTCGCGTCGCCGTGCTGCCGTCGTCCATTTTATTCGGCGCGCGTCGACTCCATCGTGTCCAGTTTTGCGTGGGATTTGTGGTTCTAGCTTTGGGGACGCGTGTGGGAAATGGGATCATGGCGTCGATGCCCAGCGGGAGCCTCTGACCCGATCCGTTTCCTCCCGCGGCCGCTCCACAGAGGTTCTCGCGGCGGCCACCACCTAGCCAGTTGGATCCCGTCGTCAGTGGCCCGACCTGCCTACGCAGCTGCTGCATCCGGGCTCGGGGCGCGGCGCGGTTCATCAGCAGCGGCAGCGGCCTCCCACGGCAGCCCTGAAGAAGAAGTCGCTCAGGTGCTTGCCGTTTGTCCCCATTTTTACGGGGGCACAGTGACGGCGACCACGGGATGGCGACAGCCGAGGCACTGGAGCAGCCGGCCGTCTCGATTCCTCCTAGAGGTTCATAACATAGCGCCCGCTACAGCCATCGGCTGCTGTCCGGTGTAGGTTCGTCGGCGCAGTCGAGCTCCTTCGTAGACGCCACGATACCTTGTGCGCCAGGAACCAACACACAGTCGGGACAACATGGGATGAAGCCTGATCTTGGATTGGATTGGGCCTGCGGGGGATGCACGCCGAGAGATGCTATCGTCTACCCGGCGTCATCCCGCCCAACGACCGACGGGGTCTCGCGCAGGGTAGCACTGGCCAGACACCACGAGCAACGGTCCGAGACAGGCTGGCCGTCCGTGATGGTCCACATGTGCCGGTCCGGGGCTTGAGATACTACGGAACGGGCGGAGTTGGTGACGTCGGCCGTGCTCACCTGCGGAACTTTGAGCAGCCCAGCAACCTTGAGCGTCGCAACGCCAACGGGGCATGTTTGGTGGGAAAATGCACGCGATGCTGGGCACTGTCGCCTCCGCCAAGATGCTGGAGAGCAGTGCAGGGGCCAGCCGTTCTGGACTTGTCCAAACACCGCTGACTTGACGCCATTCCCAGATGACAGCACAGGCCACGGGCCTGAGGTCGAGGAGGAGTCATGTCATGTTGAACCAGCAATACCGGGAGGGCCAGTTTGTGCTGCAAGGCGACTTGATACACTTCAGCCTTCCAGCACGAGGCTGCAGCCGTCGAGGTGAGTCAAGGCGCACCATATGGCCAGCTCTTCGATAGCCCATTCAGCTGCGGCAGCCCCGTCCCCCAGCACGGCCGCTGCATGCCTCTGCATGCCTCAGCAAGCCACATCGCCTCTTCCCTTGCCCGTATTGCATCCTGCGTCTTGCCGAGCGAGGTGGTGACGCGCAAGGTTCGGCGGAGCGGCTTGGCCCAGGCACCTGACGGGCCGAGCTCGACACCCACAAGACCTGCGGCCGGCCACCTTGGCGTGGCTCTCTGATAGACGCCTCCCGGGGGCAAAAAGCAACCTCTGGCACTCGTCCTGGGGATGCCCTCTCGCCGGAGCGAGCGTGTGATGCCGCCGCTTGACTCCTGGGGCCGGCCGAGCGACAATGCAAGGCACCGTGCATGCGGACAGAGGCCCGGAGCCAACATCCGATGCGGCGGGAAACGCTCGATCGTAAATGCAGATCATGCAGGATGGGATTCTCAGTCGCACGGCACGGCATGACCTGCCTTTCCCCACCGCGCGGCGTGGACTTTGCGGTCCGTGATGCATGGGCAAGTCAGATGGCCGTGGCGATGGAGGTCTGGAGCTCGCGGGGGGGGATGTCTCAGCTTACGAGTTGGGGCGACGACAATGAATGGGCCGGCCAGTCACGGTCGTGATCACGCCGGGCGCGCCTTGGGGCTTGGTAGTGCAGGTGGTGGTGGTGATGGTGGTATGGGATGGTGCTGCGACCTGGGGCACAATGGGCTCCTCCAGCGCTGCTGCGCAGGGGCCGCAGGCACATCAGCCACCACTGAGGTGCAGTCAGTGTTGGAGGTGGTGACGCTGGAACGGTCCCCCGGCAGCCTGCGGGGTTGGTGGGAGGGTTGGAGCGCCCTGCACACCCACTTGGCTCCCGCTGCGGACTCGACGGGTGGGCGCTGCGGATGCCCTGCCATTCCTTTCTAGGGGTCCAACTGAGGGCAGCCCAGCCCGTGGAGGCTCGTTGCGGATGGATTGATGCGGCCGCCACGCTCCGCCAGCCGTCACCATCCTTTGTTCGGCAACATCATTGTGTCCACCACCACCACCCATCTGCCATCCATCCACCCACCACAAACCAGTCACCACCCACCCAACCACCACGTCCGCCTCCGGCCCTCAGCCTCGCAGATCAAGGGCAGCCTGCGTCGAGCCTCCATCTCACGCCCCTCGTCGCGAGGCCAAATGACTGCGTCGCCGGCCCACGGTGGATGCGATTTATCGTACATGGCGTCGCACTAGCAGCGGGCCCCCCGCGAGCACCGCGAGTGTTCGATGCCTGATAGGCCCCTACACGTGAACGCCTCCGGGGCCCTCTGGTGCTGATGCTGATGGGGATGGGGATGACCACCGCGGCCGTGTCTGGCACAAGGCCACCCTGTTCCGAGACCGATGTGACGGGGGAGGGGGCACGGTCGACATGGTGAGAGAGGCGACATTCTCTCGTCTTGCGCGTTCGATGGCGCGGCGCCTCTCGGTGTCTGGGTGGCCGTTGCCCAGGACAGGGCGCAGGACTCGTTTCGGTGACTCTGTCTCGGGGCCACATGAGCTGCATATGCACATACGAAGTACATGGGCGCCCCCAAGGACTTGTATATAAGGCACCGGCAAGCCACCCCCGGTCCAGCAGCAGCCTTCTCGTCCCGTCTTTTGTTCCTCTCCAGGCTTCCATGTCGACTCTGACAAGTGGCTTCCTCAGGCTGGAGCAGGTCCATCGCTGAGAAGAGTCATACGTGCCGGCCCGGCCGGCGAGGATTTCCTTGTCCATCGCTCTTCTATACCCGTTTTCTTCACTTGTTCCCGTCTGGGCTGCCGCAGCCGCTGCCCACTGCCACTCGGGATATATATTTTCATTTTCTTCCTTGTACTCTATAGACGGGGACTACGGAACCCGTTTAGACACAACACAACAAACAAGACTTCAAGATGCCTACCCAGCCCGAGGTCTGGCCTCAGCGGGACTCATGGCCGCCGACCCTGGTTCGCCTCGGCTCCTCCTCCAGCAGCTCCAAGAGCAAGAAGAGGACGGCGTCCGGCTCGCGGCCCCGCGACGACGACGAGCCCCGTCCGCTGCTCGCGGACATCGACGACAACCCGCTCACGTACTTTCTCACGCCGCCTCCCTCGGGCGCCGCCGACATGGACGTGGACATGCCCGACGACGACGGGGACCTCGACTTTGACGCCGGCATCGAGGACGCCGCGCACCCGCGCGAGCCCGTCCGCAGCGTCAGCCCGTCGAGCCTCAGCGGGCTCAGCAACAGCAACAACTACAGCTTCAGCAAGCCCCGCCGCACCGGGTCTCCTGACCTGATGGTGGACTCGGACGGGCTGACGACGGACGAGGACGATGAGGACGCCGAGGACTACATCCACTTCTTCTCGCCGAGCGGGCCGTCGCGCCTCGCTGCCCTGCGCAATATTGGCATCGACGGCCTGAGGCTGCGCTCGCAGAGCCCGCCCGTCTTCTCCTCTCACGGCGGCGCTGGCTTCTCCCCTTCCTCCTCCCCCTCCCCGCCGCGCAGCGGCCTCTTCCGGCCACCGCTCAGCAGCAGCACGCGTCCAGGGCGAGGCCTCCTGTCCCCGGCGTGGTCGTACCCGTCGCCCGCGTTCCCGTCCCCTGGGTCCCTCTCCCTGTCCCCGTCATCGTCGCCGCCGCCGCTGCGGGGCCGGTCGCACGTATCGCGGCCGCGGTTCGGGGGCCAGCAGCAGCGCAGCTCGTCTGCCAGGGCGAGGGCCGGGGGACGCCTCTGGAGGGAGCCGAGCCCGGATGTGTGGTCGATTGAGGAGGAGACGGAGGAGGAGATGGCGAGGAGCGAGGGAGGGGGAGGGGGAGTGATGCTTAACGGGGAGGTAGAGAAGACGGCTGCAAAGCCAAAGAAGAGGGTGCGATTTGTGCTGCCGGACGCAGATTAGTCTGGCTTTGCCTTTTCCCTTTTTTTTCTTTCCCCTTTCACCTTTTTTCCCTTTCCCTTCTTCTCCGTCTCTCTTCTTTCCTCTCTTCTTTTCTTCCTTCTCATCTTCTCCTCGCATTTCTCATTTCACTGCATCTTGGGTCGGGATCACTGTCTGTTGCTTTTCGCTCTGCATGCATGCCCCACGGTGTTGGAGGATATCTCTTTTGCTGTTACCGAGCTCGTCGCGCGCATGTTGCATTGGGCGGCGTTGGAGGAGGATTTCTTCCTGTCCTGCTGCATTTTCTCTATTCTTCTGATATCCATGTATTTCTCATTTTTTGGGTGCGATCCATCTTCGTCTTCATCTGTCTTGTGTGTCCTATCTGCACTGTATCGCATCGCATCGCACGGCTATGGCTGTGGCTGGACTTCCACAGGTAATGGCGGCAAACACGGCGGGCTGTGGACATGGGGGCTTGGGTGAGGATGGACGGAGGAGAGGAGGGGCTGGGTGCCCGATTACTGTTCGATGTTGGTGACGATGGCAAGCAATACGCTGTCAAATTGACAAACTCTCTTTTCCATTTGATTACCGAGTTCCTGGTGTGGTGTTCCACGATGTCAGTGGGAAGGCGAGGTGCTGCGTCACATGTAAGTCCATGCAGCTTCGTATCTACAGTGCAACCCGACATTTTGGAGTCGTCCACCGTCAATCGACTATGCCCAAAAATCGACTACGCCCAAAAACGCCCAGCAATTCACTTTTCCACCAAATGTTAAATTGTACGGCCTCGAGGTGCTCGCGAGACATCCCGGGAGTGATACCTGTGGTCGGCGAATGTTCCCCAGGTGCCGTGTAAGTGGCTGCAGGGTAACCAACCCGTTCCGGCAGCGCCGGACAAGGGGCCACTCGCCGCCGCACCGCACATCACCAACCATCATCGTCATGGTAAATCCCAGCAGGGAGGGTAAGATGCATGGCGCGGGCGGCACGTCCTCGCGTCGTCCCAATATAGCAGCCTGCAGGAGCAGGAGGGCCAGCAGACCCCCGAGGCTGGCTGGGACGGGCGCAGGTCGAGCCGGCTGAGAGGTCCGGGGTTCTGGGCGTCGTCGCCCGTTGGTTGGCGCGTGTGTAAGTAAGCGGCCCTGTTTGGTGCGAGGTGGGTGTGGGTGTGCCGGTGTGATGGGTGGTGTGGCGGACTTTAGGGGGGGGGAAGATGGCATGGAAATGGACTGGAATGGATGGGGAAGAGGGATCAGCTGGACCCAGACAGATGGTGGCTGTACGGCTGCGTTGCGGCGCGTCGCGCGGACGGGAGGGAGGGAGGAAGGGAAGGGAAGGGAGTTTCCTTCCCCATGACGCCGGCGGCTGGCGGCGGCAGCGCGGCGCGGGCCAAAAACTCTAAAGTTGCCCCAGAGGCGAGGCGAGGGCGGGCTTTTTAATCTTCAATACTACATGCAACAAATACGAGGGGGCTCTCCGAGATGGAGATGACTTGTCAGAAAAAATCCGACGGGGATGGAGGACGTTGTTTTACAGAACGTACTGCAACGCACATGCATTCATGTAGGCCCCCTCCACTATCTTCAACGACGTTGGCATGTCTCGACAGAGAAGGAATCAGACCTCACTTGACCTCGCATCACCTCTCACTTCGCCTCACGTCAGCGTGTGCGTGCAGCAGCAGCAGCTAGCTTGGCTGCAGGAGTTCGTCGCACCGAAACGGGGGGAAAAGAACCCACCACGAGCAGGCTACCACACGATAGCGCAGTGCACCCTCAGCCTTGTCTGTGAACGACGGTTCACGGACCATGTACGTAGATGCGTGCACGTTGTGTGTATGGCCGCATGTACGTACGCCAGGGTCGATGGCTGAGCAGCCGGAGCATAACGGGCGGGAGACGGTTGCTCGTGCAGTAGCAGTAACGAAGTACAGCCCGCGCCCGTGCGTGTGGGCTCGGCAGCTCCGGAGGGCCGGGTCTTTGGAGAAGCCATGGTCCGTTTTACGTCCATGTGTGCATGTGGTGTGGTGTAGTATATCAGTCTGGTGACCTCGAGGCTCGGCGAATGCGGGCGACGCATCCGAGACATGGGCGCGCGCGAGAACTGGACGGGGATGGACGACTTGTCTCTCTCTGCTATCTTGAGAGAGACCAGAGGCGGGGGGCGAGCTTGTGATTATGTCTCGCCTATTTGGGCTCTCTCTCTCTCTTTCTCTCGCCGTCACGTCGGCCGGCCGGCGGGAGAGGGGGTGGGAAAATGAGACATGCGGCGCAGGGAAAACAAGGCAAGGGCCTGCGCCTGTTCCAACAATGACACTGAGAACAGAGGGAGGGGGAGGTTCCTGGGCGGAGGTCATTGGGACGTGTTTTGAAGAGGGGGGCCTGCATCTGCTAGGTAGAGCAGAAGAGAATCCGAGTCCGCTGCGGTGGATGTGATGGTGCTCGTAGAGAGTCGAGCTCGTGGGGAGAGCGACAGGGTCATGTCGAGAAGCGAGGTGGAGCATCATAACAATGGGCAGCGGGAGCCAGGTCAGAGGAAGCTGAATGGGGGGCATGTCGTCATGTGTCTGAGCGGCATCATGCCAGCCAGCGCCGCCGGGATGCTCGCTGCTGCACGACATACGAAGCATTGCAAGGTTCATCTTGCGTCCCTGCTTGCTCGCTGCAGCAAGTTCTGCTTTGGCAGGTTGAGCTTGCAGGGGGGAAGACGGCAACCTCTTGAATCAGCTCGCAGCGGCGCATCGCAGCGCAAAGCGCAAGACACCTTACTTCCGGGTTGACAGCCAGCCAGCCAGCCAGCCAGGCGGGCAAACCAGCTGCGGCAATCTCCATCGCCCTCCATTGAGTTGACTGCCTGCAGCACGGCGATAGAAAGCACGGAGCCCCCGGCTTGCCCCCGGCCACAGACGCTGCAAGCTGGCGCGTCTTGGGCCGCTGATAGGCCCGCCCGCCAGGCCCTTGCGCACGCTTCCCACGCTGGCGCCCGATCCAGGTGGGCCCTCGCTGCCGAGCTTCCTTGGTGCCGCCTGTCTTCCATAGGTGCTTCCCACTGCTGAGGCGTGGGCTTTTTAGTGTTTAGTGGCACCTGCTGGCAGGGATATCGGGGGGGGGGGGGGGGGGCCCTGGGCTCATGAGCGGCAGGGAGCTCTGGCGGTGCTGCGGGCTGTGCTGTGCTCCGAGCTGCTCTGTTGTTTACCTTTTGCCTGCAGAGTGCTGGAGAGCTCCCGCGCTAGCAGGGGCCCGATTGGTTACTGCGGCATCCATCTGGTGTCGACGACGCCCACAGTCGTCGTCGGTGTCCTCCTCGCGGCTGGTCGTCATCGTCCCTCGTCGTACCTTGTAATCCGCACTTTCGTACATACCTACATACATACATACGTGGTGGTGGGTGATGTTGTGCATGCTGATCGCCTCTTCGCATCTGCCACTGCCTGCTTGTCGCCCATAGACATCCGTCGTCTCCCGCCTCGTCCAACAGCTTCTCCCTCTTGCCGCCCCGCCGCCCGCCGAAGACGGGACGTCGCCTTTGTTGTTGTTGGCGGTGCCACCACCGCTGCCAGCACTACCACCACCACAGAGCAGCACCAACACCACGCCCCAGACCCGACCGACGGCCTCAGTCCGTGGACGAGCCACGCCAGCAACACAACCCCCTCCCAATTCTCGGCGGACGGAGCGGCCATGCTCGCCTGGTAGCACCGTTCGCCTCGCCGACGGGTGCCGCAGCATGCGGCTCGCATACGGTATGTCGTGTCGTGTCGTGCCGTGCCGTGACAGCAAAGCAAGGTCGTGGACGCCCGTCATCGCCCAACGGGCTGCCATGGCCGTTGTCCGTTGCTCGTCATGGCTCTGCCTCCCTCTGCTCCTGGCTTCTGTCCCTGTCTTTGCGCCCCTGTCTGTCGTGCCCTTGCTGACCCGGTCCGGAGACTGAGGTACTATGCCTGTATCCAACAACCCCCCCGACGACGATGCGTCGACGCAGCCCGCCGACGACGCCAGGTCCGGCGACCGCGCTCCCACGACGCCCAGGCACAAGAGGTCGCCCAGCCCGGGCGCGACGCCCAAGTCCGCTCCTGCCGCCGCGGGCGTCGGGGTTGCTGCTGCGTCTCGGCCGCGCTCCAACTCCAAGAAGCCTGAGCCCACCCTCCTCGTCGACTTCCTCAAGGGACGGCCCTCGCCCGCGCGCCAGGCCGCTGAACGACGCCGCCGCCAGAGCGTCGATGCCGTCAAGGCCGAGCTGCGCCAGGAGATGAAGCAGAGCTCCGTCCGCAAGCTGCAGCCCCCTGGCGGCGTGCGCGACCGGGTCAGCGCATGGCAAAAGACCAACGCCGCCGCGGCGGCCAAGGGTGACCCGGACGATGCCGCCACCGAGCCCCCGGACGTGGCATTCGCCGGCGACGACATGGACAGCGTCACCGAGGAGGACCGCATACGAATTAGGATGAGGCAGAAGAAGCGGCAGCCGCCCCGGGTCAAGCCCGTCGTGCACCACTCCGCCGATGCGCCCTCTTCAACCAGCACGGGCGACGATACCCTCGAATCACGGCCCAATGCACCTCCCAAGAAACGTGTTGTTAGTGACGAGCACTGGAGGAAGCCCAAAGCCCACAAGAACGCCCTCCGCAAGGTCTCGCCCAAGGCCAGCAAGTCGCCCAGCCCGAACCCCATACCCCCCGACTTTACGCAGCGTTCAGCTCCAAATCCCAATGTGTCGGGCAAGATCAAGGCCTGGGCCGCCAAGGTGGAGGTCCCCGACACGCCGCCGCCGAGGAGCTATAGGTCGACGCACTCCCGCAAGAGCGCCCGGTCAGAAGCCACGAGCGACGGAGGCGACACGTCCAGCCAGGCCACGGCCAAGCACGCCCCGCGGTCTGTGGGCGACGACGGGATCCGGGTCACGCCACAGAAGCTCGACGATGGGATCCGTGTCACAGGCTCCAAGTCAGCACCCAAGGACACAGATGGCGTGCGGGTGCGACCCATGAGTGCGAGCTTTGCGAAACACAAACCGACAGATGTGCCGCCTACGTCACGGGCCCGGAGTAGGACGGCCACGTCTGCGCGAGACGGCTCCGATCGAATAATAGTCGAGGAGTCGGAGCTCTGGCGGACCACACAAAACACATCAACAAGCGGATCCGGGCACATCGAGGTCATTGAGGAGCCTGACTCCGTTCTTGACACCCCTACTAAGCGTCCGGGACCGCGGAGGCGGCTCTCGCCCAAGGCCCGACCCAAGTCGGTAGCCGATACGTCCAAGCTCTCCACAGAGCCGTCCAGTCTCGACGACGAGGGCTCCAATCTAAGCAGCGCGTACAACGCCTCTGACCTCTCGAGCCTAGCCAACAAGTCGGTGGCCGACATCTCTGGCGACATTCCCTTTGGCCACTCAGCCTTCAGCGAGCTCGATCTTTCTCTCAACAAGACCCGGCCGAAGCGGCCCAAGGTGGACCGCAACTCGAGCCTCAAGGGCATGCCCAACGTCTTCAAGAAGGTGGTTGAAGAGGGCAAGAAGATGATCCACGACATCAATGAGCCGCCAAAGGCGCCTGCCGTGAACAAACCACCGAGCATCGAAAAGTGGTTGAACAACACGGTTGACCCGTTTGTGGACGATTCCAAGGCCACGCCGAAGACGCCCGAGAAGCAGCAGAAGCTGGACGAACAGAAGTCGCGCCGTCGGTCGTCCCACGAGATGCGGGCTCGCAATTCTACGCCCAGAGCAGAGAGCGCAGAGGACCAGGAGAACACGGCACCACCAACCGAAAGCGCGGACACAGTCACGGAAGAAACGCCCAAGGCAAAGCCAGACAATGGGTTGAAGCGGAGCCGAGCGACTAGAAGCTCCTCGTCGCCGCTGAAGCCAGGGGTCAGAAGACCCTTTTTGGGCGTGCTGAAGGAGGCGTTCCAGGGTGAATCAAGTGGCCAGAGCTATCCCAAGGCGTACCAGGGCCACGAGCCGCGCAAGGACTACGACGACACCGACTCATACCACTCATCCGATTATACATCCAGCGGACTCACTGATATCCGCGACGAGTACGAGCCGCCAAAGATGGCTGGGCCTCGGTACAAGCCACCGACAAACGGGAAGCATGAACTGTCAACCATCATGTCTGAAGACGATTCCAGTGCCCTCGGCTCAGACCTGACGGATAACTCTCAGTCGACCTTGACGCAGTCGACTGTCCTTACGAAGGACAGCGAGCCTGTCAAGCCTCAAAATCACGCGCCAGGGCTCAAGAGGCGCCTCACTCGGCACTCGGACCTTGTCTCGGTGCTGTCACTGCCAGACGACTCGAATATTCCCAGCGGCATCAAGAACAACCGGTCGCGGCCGAGTCTGCGGAAGAACCGCACCGGCTCAAGCGACGTGACGTCCGATGAGCTGCTCAAAGAGTTTGTCGACGACGAGAATCTGTACCTGCGCGAGCTCAAGACCCTGGTGGACGGCGTCATCCCAGTGTTGCTAACCCACGTAGTCAACGGCACCAACTCCACAGAGCTCTTCGGCCCGGGATCATCCAGCAAGGATGGCCTGTCAAAGTCGGTCGTCAACATGGGCGTCGCCCTCGAAAAGCTCAAGAACGCGCATCGCAAGGCACCGATGTCAGATGTCCGGCGGCTGGCCAACTGGGCACATGGTGTCGTACCAATATACAACAGCTACCTGAGCGCGTGGCGCCTCGGGTTCGAGGACGTCGTTGTCAACCTCGCCCCTGGCCAGCTGGACGACGAGGACTCGCTCCTCAACGCCCTGCCTCGGAATGAGCGGGGCGACATCGTGGATGCCACCGGGGAGCGGGTGGCCGTGGCGCACCTGTTGAAGCGGCCGCTCATCCGGATCAAGCAAATGACCAAGCTGATCAAGTGCATGGATGCCATTATCGACTCCAACGACACGCACGAGTTACTGCGGGACTTCGAGACCCTCCAAGACAAGGCCCGACGGCGTCACAGAGAGGAGTCGGCTCGCATGACGGACCAGGATGCCATCAACACAGACAAGACAAGGGCACGCGACCTGCGGACCCTCGGCACGGCCCGAGACGTTACCATTGACCCAAGTCGTCAGGTCAATGCCAAGGACATCTTTGCGCTTGATCTGACGCACTCCAACGGACAGCGGCTGGAGTGCCAGGTTGAAGTGGTTCATCGCGACAATCAAAAGTATGCCGACGATGGCGATATTCTCATTCGAGAGACTGGCGAGGGGCGACGGTGTTTTCTCTTGTTCTCTCCTATCCCCATGTCGATGGTCTCGGCCCGGACAGGGGATGGAGAGCTGGACATGGTCGTCATGGTCCGCGGCATGCACAACGGCAAGTCGTGGCATGAGCTCCTTACGCTGAGCGCAGACAGCGAAGACCAGATCCTCGACTGGCTGGACATTCTTCCTCTCACGCCTGTGCCGCCCAGGGAGCCGGAGCCGAGTGAGGTTGGCGAGCCGGAGCCGACCACCCCAAGGGGCCCGACGGACATGCCGTTTGGCGCGCGGGTGCCTCTGCCCGAATCGCCAAGGTCGCCAATCTCCAAGAATCTTCCGTCTTCACCTGCCACCGACGACAGAAAGGCGCTGCCTTCGCGCTACCGCCCGCACCGAGCGACGATGCCATCCTCCTTCCCATCGCAGGCGTCTCCTGGGCTGCCTGACACAGACAAGACTCCCACAAAGAGTACCAAGGAGGAGCGGAGCAGGCCGTTGAGCGAGAGCATGCGCCCAGACCCGCGCAGCCTCCGCGGGGAGAGCGCACCTCCCAATACCACGCCATTCCGCGATGATGGCGCGCCGCGGCCGCCTGTCCACCGCACGCTCAGCGTCAGCCCGAAGTCCACCGACAAGTCTGCGTCACCGACACAGTCTCCGCCTCTGCTGCAGCCGCCTATCGACGTGAACAGCCCGGAACGCATCAGACGTCGTGGGTCGTCGCCGCTTAAGCACGAGTACCTCCCCTCGGACGTGTCTTCCGCCTCGGAGGGGTTCTCGGAGGAGTCGGACGCAGACTCGAGCGACGACGAGATAGAGAGCATCGACATTCCCGAGACTGAGCTGGGAGTGAGCATCAACAAGGACGTGCAGGCGCCGGCAGTGGGTGAGTCGCTGCTGTCTGGGTCGGATTACAGCTTGACGCCGTCCAACTCTGCCTCGCAGGCTGGCCTGCACGGTCCGAAGACGGACGACGACAACGCGGCGCGGTTCGTGGCGTCGATATCGCGATGGTCGGACAAGGGTCTGTGGAAGGACTTGTCGTCGAGCGCGTGCTCCATCGTCGTCACCGCCGGGCTCATTGAGGTCTATCACTTACGCAACGGGGAGCACAAGAAGACGGACAAGCCGGTCCTGGCGCTCGACCTGACGCCGCTCGTCCTCATCCGGCAGAGCACGGCGCTCGACCTGGAGATTCGCTCCTCGGTGCAGCCTCATAGCTCGCTGTACGAGCACTACAGCGGTGGCAACTTTCGCTTCCGCTGCCCCAACCACCCCGAGTGCCAGGGGCTGTACATGGCGGTGCACAAGGCGCGCCTGAACAACCAAAAGTTCATCCAGCTCGAGAACGAGGCGCGGTTCAAGAGCTTTGGGGAGCAGCGGGCGCCCGTGGAGAGCGAGGGCAGCACGAGCAGTCGCCGGCGAAGCTGGTTCGGGAGGAAGAACAGCTACCGCAGCTCCGTCCGGGCGCCCTCGCACGACGGGGCCAGCACGACGCTGTCGTCCACGCCGTCGGCGTCGAGCTTCCTCAAGCGGCTCACGGTGGCGGGCAATCTCTCGTTCAACCTGGCCCGATCGTCGGTCGACAGGCAGAGCCTTCGCAGCGGGGGCAACAGCCTGTACACGTCCGGGTCGTCGTCGAGCGGCACGCCTCCGCGGTCGCCGTCGGTCAGCGTGGAGAACAGCGGGCGCAACCCGACCAGCCTCAACCCAGACAGCATCCGCATACGGCTGCATCTGCTGGTCGGGGCGGCCAAGTGGGAGGACTACGGCAACTGCAGCCTGCAGATCCGACGGCCGCCGCCGGGGTGGAGGCAGGCGCTGCGGGCAGACCACGGGCTGGAGAAGCGCATCACGGCGACGACGCTGCCGAAGAAGGAGTCGGAGCAGCCGCGTATCGTGCTGGACGCGGTGCTGGGCAGCGGGTGCTTCTCGCCGATGGGCAGCCGGGGCATCGTGTGCGGCGTGTGGGAGGAGGTGAGGAACGGAGACGGCGTGGTGGGCATGGTGCCGGCGACGGGGGCGACGGGCGGCAACATCAAGAAGTGGTGTTTCCAGTTTGCCAACGCGCCCGAGGCGAGCTGGGTGCTGCGGCTGGTGCACCAGGAGGTGGTGCGGGCGTGAGAGCGGGATTATGGATGCCTTTTTTTGGTGCGCTGGGAGTAACGCCTGAGGGGGGGCGGTGATTTTGTTGATACCACGGCGACGCCCATGCATTTTCTTATTTGATTCTCGGTTGCATGTATACTCGGAGGACTACAGACACATGGATAGACGGAGGGCGGTGGAAAGGGGGAGTGTGATATGGGGCTTGCGAAGTAGAGAGCATAGGACCGACGTGATAATGAGACGAACGAAGCACGCTGAATGTACATGATACCACAATGTTTATCTGCCACGATGTGCTTGTATGTGTAGAATGAGCAGTAGAGCAAGCAGCTGAGCAACACGAGATACCAAAAAAAGACAAAAAATAAGAATGGATGGTAGTTTGCAAGAAAGAGCAAAAAAGAAAAAAGAATGTCCTCGGTGAGACTCGAACTCACGACCTTTGGATTGCCCAGATGTAAATATCTGATCACATGTATGCACATACTGGAGAGGGGTTAGCGGGCCGAATTCTGGGATGCGAAGTGGAAACGGAGAGTCGTACTGAGACCAACGCTCTAACCAACTGAGCCACGAAGACGGAGCTTCGGAAGTTATCGGACCGATGCTCTTATTGTTTCATAAGAAGGGTTGGCTACTGGGGGCTTTTCCCCCCCCCTTGGCTTTGGTCTGGTGGGTGTGCGCGCCATCCGGTGTGTTAGCCTGGGCGGAGAGGGTTCGGGCGGGGAGGGGAGGGAGCCACGCGGGGCCGGGGTGGAGAATGAGGTGGATTATGGGCGGGCGGGTGGCTGTCGGCCGCTGGAGCTTGATGCCGTTGGGCGGGCCGGGCCAACGAGAAGGGCCGCGGACGGCGAGGGGAAGTGCAACAGGTGGAATTGGTTGATGAGCGCACAGGGGACTTGTCAAACGGAGAGGGACGGGGGGCGCCCTCTTGATGTTGCTTGTTCAGGGCCGGCGGCCCGTTCAATCAGCCTTGCGGGTGACTCTTTCGTGTGGCGCAGCGAGTGGCGGCCTGCCTGCCAGCCGCCCGGGGGGGACGTCATGGGCTGCCTACAGGTGCCGGCTCCTGTTCTGGCTGGCTGTGCAGTCGCTGGCACAGGCAGCCCAGGCAGGCAGGCAGGGATTCATGTTTTTAGCAGCCAGTGCCAGACGGCCTGTGGCTGCGAGCTCCAGCTTGCTCCCTCACACACACGCCTACCTCACGCTCCCTTTGACGCGCCCACTGCCGGCAAACCACCAACGACCCATCGTATATCAAGGCAGACGACTCACCCTCACACCCGCTCTCCACGAACCGCTCACACACATACTCCCTGCAGCTCACATCCAGCCCTCCTTTTCTTTCGTAGAACGAAGAGGCGCGGCGGAGACGTCGCTGGACGAGAAAAAGCACAAAACGAGCGACCGACCAGGCACACAAGAGTCAAGAGTGAGCGCGCAAACGGAGCACAGCATCACCAGAGACACACAACCACAACCGCCCACCTCACTCACCACCACCACCTCCTCCCGTCCACTACCTCAACGAACCACAAAGAAACTAACCACAACGCACACGACGCACACAACGCACGTACACATGTCGCACCACCGCGACGTCAAGCCCCTGTGGCTCATCCAGCCGTGCCTCGACGCCGGCGAGTACCGCGACAAGCTCATCGGCAGCGTCGTCAAGTACCCGGAGCTGCCCACGGAGCGGCGCATCCCCTACCGCTCGGGCAAGCAGCCGCGCGAGCTGGTCCCGGACCTGGACCCCAAGCCGCTGACGGTGCACAACGTCAACTTCTGGAAGCGCAACATCAAGGACGGCGCCGTCCGCGCCTCCGTCAGCGACCTCATCGACGTCTTTGTCGACCGCGCGCGCGCCGACGCGAGCGCCCGCACCGCCACCGTCGCGCGCATGTGGCACATGGACTCGCCCGGCGAGAAGTTCAAGGAGCTGCTGCGCGACAAGGCGTACTTTGAGGAGCTGTTTGACCTGCTGCGCGACAACCACGGCCAGGGCTACTTCGTGACGGACGTCGTCACGCTGGCGAACCTCGAGGTCGCGGGCGCAGAGGGCTCGACCAGGGGCGCGGGCGCGCACGCGAGCCTGCCGGTCCCGCTGGACGGTGGTCTCGCCGCCGGCATGCTGCTGACCTCGGTGGTGGGCGGCGGGGCGAGCGCGCGGGTGACGCGCGAGGGCGGCTTCTCGGGCGCGTACGAGGGCGAGACGGTCGTCTTCCTGGGCTACCGCCAGGTGCTGCTGGAGAAGGTGGACGGCACGCGGGCGAGGCTGCGCCGCGCGGTGCTGGGCCAGCAGCGCAAGGGCTCGGGCTACGCCGTGCGCGACAACTTTGACTACTGGCCCGCCGTCGTGGACAAGCCCGCGCCGGGCAACGCCAACTGGATGGGCACGCCGCAGACGCCCGCCGTGGAGGTGCCCGAGGGGCAGACGATGATCGCCGCCGCTGCCATCACCGCCACGACGACGACGACAACGGTGGTGGACGGCAAGAATGGTGGTGGTGCCGAGCGCGGAAGCGACACCGACGACGAGCACGACGACGAGGCGCAGGCGCAGGCACAGGCGCAGGCGCTGGCGGACCGCGAGACGGTTGAGCAGCTCCAGTTTGACGTGGCCGTGGTGGGATAAGCGGGCGAGAGGACGAGGACGAAAGATGATACCAATTTTTTCCTTTGTTCTGTTTTTCCTCCTCTTTCATTTCACCCTTGCTGCTTGGCTTTGATACCACGCCCGAGTCGGGACGAGCCACGGCAACGAGGAAGATTCGATGATTCTGACGAGCATGGAGATGGGTTTGCTGACGATTTGATGGGACAGGAAACGGGGATCGGGGCATGGCATGGCATGGCATAGGCTGGCGCTGTTTGTTCTTTACATGTGTGTGGCATATCAACAACGACGACGGAACCAAGGTAACGAGCGAGAGAGAGAGAGAGCTGTGCTCGACTGCTCACGAGAGTTGGCACAGGATAGGTACCTACCTATGTACGGAGTAGATGGATGAGAGGCTCGGTACCTTGGTAGTCGTCAGTGCGGAATATACAACTCTTCTCAGTGCGAAATACACATCTAATTTGAGTGCCGGGTATTCATTCGTCTTTGCTCAGTGCAGACCACACACGTCTTCTTGTCGAGTGTAGGACGTACCTCTTCTGTAAATTACTTGACTCACCGAAGGACAATGGACACACCTCTACTCCAAGTGGAAATATCTAACTTACCTGCTTCTCAGTGCGCGAAAACTATACCTTTCTTTGAGTGCGAAATGTACATTCTTTGCTCAGCGTGATTCCTTCCACAGTACTCGTGTTTGTGATGCGCCGAGTTGGAGTCGTTTGCCACCAATGGGTGCCGACTGCGAACCAACGACCGCCGGTTCAGTCACCCGTTACACGTTGAGGTGGGTGACGCGCAGGTGGCGGCAGTCAGCCCACCTGCACCTGGCAGGCCGGGCATGCAGGGGTCGGGGCCAGTGACAGCCCGTTGGCCAGCGGGCAGCCGTCCCGTCGTTCAGACCGGCCAGGCCAGGCCAGGCCAGGCCCAGCGCGGCCGTTCAGGCAGTGTGCCAGTGCCAGTGCCAGTGACAGGGCGCTGCCACCTCCGTCAGTGACAACCTGGAACCTGGAACACAGCCCAGCAGCCCAGCCCGTCTTGGGCGCCGCACTCGACCAAAGCAAACGATGCAAACGAACGCTTGCCACATAACCACCACTCTCACCCCGACCTTGCACAAACGCCAAACCTCCCTCCCTCAACACCTCGCCCCTCGCATGCACGCATCGCGAGACACCGCACGAAACCATGGCAGACGCGCTCGAGCCGTTCAAGGGCTTCTTGAACCGCGTGCGCGGCGCCATGCGCCGGCGCCGGCTGGCCACCCAGGGGACGGGCCTCTGCGTCGTTCACGATCCTGAGAATGCAGAGATCGAGTGAGTTTTCCCCTTTTCCGGTCCTCGTAGCGTGCCGTTCTCTGGGATTGCGTAGTTGCCATTTGTATGTGATTACTTGAACGGAAACTGACCGTCCGCGTGATAGCATCGTCGCCATCCACGGTCTGGGTGGACATAGCTTCAGCCACTGGGTGTCCGACGACCCTGCCGTCAGGGGCAAGCCGCGGCCGTGGCTCGAGGAGCTGCTGGCCGTGGACATGCCCAAAGCCCGCATCATGACCTACGGGTACATCTCCGATGGCATCAACTACCGCTACGTCGTCCGCAACATCGTCTACGGTAGGGCCCTGGACCTTGCCCGGTCGCTTGCCTACCGCCGCAACAAGGACGGCTGCGCCCACTCGCGCCCGCTCTTCTTCATCGCCCACAGCCTGGGCGGCTGGATCGTCAAGCGCGCCCTTATAATATCGGGAGAGGCTGCCGATCCGGAGCTCAGAGACCTCGAGCTGTCCACCTGCGGCGTCGCCTTCTTCGGCACAGTGTCCCCCGGCCGCCCCTCGTCGCCTGAGCCCCTTGCTCGTGTTTTCCGCCGCACCACGACTGGGTCTTGCGACGACTGGTCGCCCTCCAGCCGGAGGAGCGGCTCTGCTGACAACGACGCCAACATGCAGCCCGAGGACAGCGAGCTGGAGTGGCTGACGAGCCAGATGGAGGCCTTCAAGGCCATCTCTCCCGACCTGCCGCGCCTGTCCTTTTACGAGACTAAGAAATCCGAGGACGAGTTCATCGTGGAGAAGCGGCACTCCATCGCCGGCCTGGACGGCTCGCAGATTGGCCTCAAGGCGACGCACCAGGACCTGGTCCGCTTCAAGGGCAGAGACGAAAACTACAAGACGTTTATCGACAACTTCCGCCAGATGGTGGATGACGCCCGCAGCTCTGAGCTGATGCAGTCGAAGCGCAAGATTTACGACATGAGCACAGGTGAGAACACACGAATAGATATGCAAGGACGGTAACTGACGACATCAGTGACTGGCCTGGAATACATCTCAGACAATTTCACTGTCCCCTATACACTCCCTGACACAGGAGCCGTGGTGCCCCGCGAGGAGCTTCTTAACCGTCTAGACGGCATCCTCAATCCTGACACTAATTCCCCGACGCTGAACCTCAGTATCGTCACCCTCTGGGGTCTCCCGGGCACTGGAAAGTCGACTCTGGCACGACACTATGCAGAGCTCAACAAGGACAAGCTGTCCTTCGTCTTCTGGATTCGCTCCGAGAGCTGGGAGACGGTCATGGCGAGCTACCTCGAGATTGCCAATACGCTTGTCGAGCACTACTCCAACTCGGCGGAGCGCGAGCAGGTCGAGAGTGACCTCGGACTCATCGGGGTGCAAGACATGCTCAAGGCGAAGACTCTCATCGAACTGGACACGCCCAGGACCCATTCGGTTGTGCGCGCCATTAGGAACTGGCTGCTGCGGCCGGGTAACAGGAGCTGGCTCCTCGTCTTCGACAACGTGGAGTCGTCATTTGACATCTTCGAGTTTATCCCCCTCACGCTGGCGGGCAAGATCATCTTCACGTCGCGGGACAGCAACTGCTGCTCCTGGGGGACCAAGCTCCAGGTGGACGCCATGACTGAGCAGGAGTCGATTGACCTGCTGGCATCCATCATGGGAAAGGCGGCTGTGGAAGAACCGGTGCAGAGTAAGCGTGAGACCACGCCGCTAGCCTGAAGAGTTTTTGCTAACAGTAGCAGGGGAAGCGGCTGCGCGTGTTGTCAAGCAGCTCGAGTACCACCCGCAAAACATCAGCTTGGCGGCCTCTACTATGCGAAACAAGGCTCTGTCCGTGCTGGAATACCACACGAGAATCGAGTCCAAGCTGCCGCTGAGCATCTTTGGGTCCACCATGGACCAGTCTCCTGTCACGCACACGGTGCTGCGCGTCAGCGCCATGCTGTCGGACTCGGCGATTCCTGTGGCGCTATTCACCGTGTCATCGCTCAAAACCGTGCCGGCTCGGTTCGCAAATGTCTTTGCCGAGATGAAGGGTAGGTTTCATGGCGCTAGATGCAGGCGTTTGGCTAAGCTGACAAACGAAGACTTCCAAGACGACCACCTCGACGCTGCCCTGCAGTACCTGCTGGACCACGATTTCATACAAACCCCGTCCTCATCCTCGTCCGAGTCGACCGACTCCAACTCGGCATCCTCCCCCTCGGCTTCCTCCCCCTCGACACAGAGCTCCATGTCCTTTGACTCGTTTGTCATGGACTCGGCCGCGAGAGACCACGTCCGCGATTCTCTTACACCCGAGGAGAAATTTGACAATGCCTGGCTGGCCTGCAACGTGTGCGCCGACGGCATCGAGAAGAATGAGTCGGCGTCTTCGACCCTGCAGGAGATTCACGAGTTTGCCAGAGTCATGGCGCCCCATGCCAAGACGTGCTACAGCGACTGGTCACGCGTGCTTGAGGGCCCGGACGATGATGTTGACGGCAACGAAGACGTCGCCTGGCATATACTCGGAAGAGTTTGCATGACCCAGGGTGCGACAGAGCAAGCTATCGGATGTTTCGAGCTCTCGCTTCAGCACGCGTCCCGACTCAGCGCCATGGAGCGCACACAGACGGCCCTCCTGCTCGCCATCCTGTTGCAGAATAATGGCCAGAAGCAGCGTAGCAACGAGATGCTCGCGAGCATCGACCTCAACCTCGAATCCATTGACAAGGCGCTAGGGTTCCGCGTCGCCCTCGAAAGGGCCGCGTTCGCCGCCGCCCAGGGCGAGTTCGACTACGCCGGGGACCAGTACCAGTCGCTCGAGTACCTCCAGGAGGAGGAGCTCGGCGCGTCGGACATGACCACGCTTGGTACCGCCGAGGCCCTGGCGGCGACGCTCGCGCGCCTCCGCAACTATGACGTGGCGATGCCGCTGTACCGGCGCGTGCACCTCTCGTACCAGAAGACGCTCGGCGAGAGCCACCCCATGACGCTGCATGCCCTCGAGAGCCTGGCTCGCGTATGTAAGGATGCGTTTGACATTGACGGCGCCGAGGAAATGTATGCGCAGTCCATCGAGATTAAGACGCGCACGCTGGGGGCCGAGCACCCGGGCATTGCCAACCCGCTGATGTGCCTCGGCATCATCGACGACCTCCGCAAGCGCTTCTCCTCCGCCCGCGACCGCTACCAGCGCGCCCTCGCCATTGTTGCCCCCTCCCTCGGCAGGGCTCATCCCCTCTACGTCGCCACCATGGAGAACCTTGCACTCAGCCGCCGCTTGGAGGCCCACGACCTCCCTCCCCCTCCGCCCTCGCCTCACGTGTCACACCGCCGGCGCCGCACCTTTATGCACAAGCGCGACGGCAACGACTCGTCCCCGTCTCGCTCGTCCCTCGCGCCCTCGGCGGATCCCTCGCTGCTACGCCTCGCCAACGACGACGACGACGACGACGGCACTTCCACCACCACTCGTGCCACCCCGGCCCCCGCAGCCGACGCCAGCGAGGGCAGGATCTCCCCCCGCGCCCTGGCCTTCAACGACGCGGAGCGCCTCTACTTCGAGACCATCCGCATCAAGCAGTCGGCGCGCGAGCTCTACACCCAGCGCGACGTCTTCTCCACGGCCGCCAAGCTCGCCGAGATGTACGAGCACGAGGAGTTTTACGACGCCGACCGCCGCCAGAGGAACGGCGTGCTCAAGGACCTGCTCCGCGAGTCTGCCGGACAGAGGGACATGAAGAAGTGCGTGCCCATGGCGGTGCCTTGAACGGGCCCTACTGTCTTCTGTTGTTGTCGTTGTTGTTGTCGTTGTTGGGGGTTTGGGCGGGCCTGTTTGCGTTTGGTCTCGAGATAGCGCGTCTCGGGCGTATACGTGCGGCACACTCACTACCCCATTTCACATACATGCATGATGGAACCAAGCAAGCGAGCGAGCAAGTCTCTTGATCGATTCTATGCATCCAGGTTTCTTCTTTCTTTCCCTGTTTGAGATACCCCCCCTTGTCCCGTACCTAGGTTAGCTAGCTAGCTGTGCTTTTTATACACTGAATGTTCGCCATCACCACCACCCGTGATCGCCTCCCGTGCCCCGTGTCCCAGTTTTTGTATATCAAGAAGGAACAAACAAAAAAAGAGGACAGAGCAGAAATATCAGAATTTCCCCACATGCGCCGGCCGCCGGGATGGTGCCCCCGATTTGGTATTATACAAGGAACTGACTAGCCTGCCCACCACCAGCTTGCCTTGAGCTGTGTGCCCCACCGCCCGGTGCCGGCTAGGTACGGACGGGTACTCTCCCTCTCGCGGGGTATAATAGCTAGGGAGTTCAGTAACCCTCATGCTGTGTGTGTCCCCAACTCGTTCATCTTTGCCTTTCATGATCAAGATCAAGTGCGCCTGTCCCATACTGTTGTGGATGGTTTGATGGATGAATGGATGGATGGATGTGGTTCATGCTGATGTGATGTTTATAGTGACTGGCCGATGCCAGTCTGACTAGGAGGGGGTATATGATGTGGTATCAAGTAGTCCTTCAAGCACGCCTCAGCGGTCTCACGCACTGACGCCAAGGCCGACGTGCGGCCGCACTGTCGCTCACGTCGCCTTCTCGGTGCCGTCTCCGCCGTGCGGCGGTATCGGCGCGGGAGGCGGCGGCGGTGGCGGCGGCGGAGACTGTCCCTGGGGCGGCGCAGGCGGGGGAGGCGGGGGCACGGGCTTGCCGCCGTCGACGATGATCTGGTGATCGATGCGGGAGGCGGTGTCGCCGTACTCGATGCGCTTCCAGGTGAGGATGCGGCCGATGTTGGTGTCCACCTCGAAGAGGCGCACGCGGCGGACGTAGTCGCCGTAGCCGGCATAGCCGCCGAAGCCGACCCCGCCGGCGTAGCACATCCACAGGGCGGGCGTCAGGGGCTTGTGCTTCTCGGGGTCGGGGTCCCCGTTGAGGGAGAGGAGGCAGTAGTCGTTGCAGTGATCGCTGAGCGTGGGGGAGTCAGCCATTGGTTCAAGCGTATCTAAAAAGTGATGGGTTCCCTTGGGGAACGGATGGCAACTCACTGTCCGGCGCTGACCATGACGACGCCCTCCTCGACGAGGGCGTCGCGGAAGCCAGAGTTGTAGACGGGCGCCGTGACGCCCTCGCGCCACTCGCCGACGCGGGGCAGCTCGGGGTTCGCGTACTCGGTCATGGGGATGTGGATAAAGGCAATGTCCATGTGGCCATGCGAGTACTCGGCGTGGCTGCGCTTCAGGCTCGCGGCCGTCTTCTTGAACCACTGGATCTGGCTGGGCTTGATCCAGTCGTAGCCGGGGTACTTCCGCTCGTTGGGCGAGTACGCATGCGTGTCGAAGAGGTAGATGGTCAGGGCCGAGTGGTCCGAGCCGCCGCGGCCGAGCACCTCGATGTAGTAGTTGCCCACGCCGTCCACGTCGGCGGGTCCGGCTTGCGACAGGGAGTAGGGCAGCGTCTCCATGAGCGCCATCTGTCGCGCGCGCGACATGGTCGCTTCGTCGTCGTGGTTGCCAAAGATGCCGGCGTGGGGGATCTTGCGCTCCGCGAGCAGGACCGCGTACTTGAATATAGCCTACCAGAGAGGGTCAGTCGCACGGCACAATTGGTCACTACAAGACATGCAGGGGGGGGAACTGACCGTCGGCGCATCGGGTGCCGTGTCGCCATTGACTTGGTCGCCGCCCAGAATCACAAAGTCGGGCTTCTCCTCGTCGAGCATCTTCTCGACAAAGCTGAGCGTCCGGGGGTCCGCCTCGCACTTGCCGTCGTGGTAGCTGTTGGGGACTGCCTCGCGGCACTCGCCGACGCCGTTGCTCAGATGCAGGTCGGAGATCTGCATGATCTTGAAGCGGCCGTTGTCCGGGACGCGCGGCTTGGGCTTCTTGGGCTCCTTGGCGCTGCCGCGGTGCACGGTCAGGTGGATGCTCAGCATCGAGGTGCCGGCGGTGAGCAGCAGCGGGGTGCCCGTCAGGTGCCAGCCCACGCGCGCCTCGACTGCGTCGTCGCCGAAGAGCACGTCGACGTCGGTGATGACCTCGCGCGAGTCGCTCGACTTGCGGCTCTTGGAGCGCTTGATCCACAGGCCGCTGGGGCGCGACTCCCACTTGGCGATGTCGTCGGGCTTGTTCTTGACACCCGGGTCCATCCTACCGACCGAGACGTCCATGACGACGCTGTCGTCGGCCGTCAGGTCCTCCTCATGCTTCCGGCTCACGTACATGTAGGCGCGCGTGGTCCACGTCTTGCCCAGGTACAGCTCCTTGTCGATGCGGTGCCATATCGCGGGGTCGAGGTCGCACGAGGAGAAGACGTTTACGCTCGAGCACGTGACGATTGTGATGTCGGTGACGACGAGGCCCGGGTGGTGCGTGGGCATGTAGCCATGGATCTTGTTGGGCAGGACTCGGTAGTTGCGGTCGAGGAAGAGGACAATAAGGAGCGTGAAGGTGACGGCGACGGCGAGCTGCGTGAGCGTCCGGACCTGGGCGGAGTATTAGCGGGTAGAGGCTCGGCGGGCTGTGCGACGAGGGCCATGCTCACGATGCGTCGCGTCATGGTCTCGTCTGGAGGGCGCCTCGGCCGCGGATCGTGGACAAGGGACGGCGCAAGGGACGGTGTCGACGGAGGAATCTATGCCCTCAGGACCGCGCAGTTCGCATTTCTGCCGCTATCGCATGGTGCGTGGGCTGCTTGAGGGGTCGGAAGAGGGACGCAGGGCTGTGCGCGGCGATGGCAGGTATGGCGACGCCGACGCAGGCTTGGGATTGCGGTTGATGAAATTGAAGATTCAAGGGCGGCGGTTCAATTTGACGTGGCAAGAGTGGAGGCACTACCAAGGGATGCTCGAGGCTCAGCGCCCGCAGCTGCCCAGGTGAATTGACAATGCGGGCTGCCCTCCGCTGGCATCCATGCATCTGAACTGCAGTGCTCTCAGGGGGCGGCGTTAGCAGCTACGGCAGTGGGGCTTGGGGAGGGTCAGGGTTCTGCCGTCGTGGACGTACCTACCTAATGACCTAATAATGACTAGCGTGCTCGTCGCCCTTATTCAAGCTCGGCTCTGTCAGCTTCAGTCCAGGCTCAGCCACAGGTCTGTCACTGCTCGCTTGTACGAAGGTTATGCATAGCGCACGAAACAATCGGTTGTTCTCCCAAAATTGTACCCAGGCATGTTTAGAGGTGCCGTTTCGAAACAGCATTCACCTGGAAATTGGGAACATGGCTGAAGGACGGACCGGCCTCAGGCTGACCGATCAATACTTGCTCCCGTCTTCAAGCCCTCCACATGACGATGATACTGATGACGATGATAGTATTGATTATAATGATGGTGGTGGTGATCATCTCCACGCCCGAACACCATGTTCGCTGAGGATTTGCAGCAGCGAGACAGGTCTCAAGACCTGAGTTGCAAGTCCCAGCTGGCGGATCGCATCGCCGTGGCATTGAATCACATCTGGATCGATGGAAGACGTTTTGACGACGAGCCGACCATGGCGGTGCCGGTGGGCGACCGTTTCCCAAGCCTGCGTGGTCGCAACCCCTAGAGTGAGCTCCAACGTCCCCCGTACCGTGATGATGGCCGACTGCCCATCTCGGGCCCTCTGGTAGCGAAAGAGCATCGCCAAACCTCGTCTGCCGTTCCATATCTCCATCGTGTCAAGTCTCGGCATCTTGAGCGCTGCCGCAGCGGCGTCTCGAAGCATATTATTGATACCCGAGGTGTCGGCATCATTAGTGAGGACCCTCGAGGTCAGCGCCAGAGAGGTGAGCTTCTCCCACGTCCATGAGTCTTGACGCGCTGCAAAGAAGTAACCGGCGTCGACCATGAAAGAGGCGGATAGCGTCGTGAGGTGCAGGCTGGCGTGGGCAAGTGCGCGGCTCACGGCCGCGTTTGGCACCCTAATAGCCGAACACTCGAAATGCCTTTCCGGGTATGACTCGTTGAAATTCTCGAATATCGTCAGCTTGCTCAATTTCGGCCAGGACAAAGACTTGATCAGCGTCTGGTTGCCTGTATTCTGGTTGGTCAGCGCTGCGTCGACTCTACTGCCAGAGGTGAAGCAAGCACTTGCGTTTATCGGTATGTAATTCCATTCCACCCCACTCCCTCCAGGGTTCGTAACAAAGCTCCTTGAGGTTGGGTAGCCGCGTGAGCATGTTCGCGAGTGCAACCGGCTTCCATCGTCGGCGGGTCTGCTGGCGAAAGAGCACGACCCCGACGACGGGTACAAGGGGGAGACCCCGCCACCACTGCATCTCTGGTTCCTCATCGTCGAAAGGCCCCTCGCCCATGATCTCGTCGAACGTCTGTTCGATGGCAAGGTGATCAGGGGCAAGGACCTGCTGCCCCGCAACCCAGCCATGAGCCGGGTCATTGATGATCATCCCTTGTTCGTGCCCCTGAAAAGACGAGCACTCGCCGAGGTTGATGTCTGAGCGGAAGCTGAGGTACTTGAACCAGTGCTGGTTGTCACTGGGCGAGTAGACACTGATGTCGAGGACCAAGTCACCGCGAGGTTCCCATGCGTTGAGCATCGTGAACAAGCTTTCAAACGTATCCGCGATGAATTGGTTGTCGATATCGTCCAAGCCCCAACGGTCCTGGTCAGTGTTGGCACATCGTGTGCAATCGTACTGCTTTAGTTCCACGCGAAACCAGATGTAGCGAATCTGGCTTCTCTTTCGGGACAGAAGTGCTTGAGCGTTGAGGTTGGCAAGGCGGGGTGCCGTCAGGCTGATTTCGGCAAAATTGAGCGGCTCGATCACTGACAGCCACTCTCGGGAAACGGTCGCGAGCAGGCTGCACCTCCCGCCGAGAGCTGGCAGGAGACTGAGGATCTCGTTTCGAATCTCGGGAGGCAAAGAGTGCCAGGAGGTTTGGTCGCTAGACATCTCTGCTTAGTCGTGCAGTAGGTTGAGCGTGAGGGATCGCGGTTGGTGGCGGCTGGTCGAGATTGGAACGGATGTGATGGGGTGACGTCGCTCGAAGTTCGTGACCTGTGTTTGGGAGCAGAGAGATCCTGGCCGAGAGCCAGTCCTTCCTGCCTGTCCTTGAGACTTGATCTTGAGAAGCACCCTGATGCGGCAGGAGCGGACTCGGATGGCGCGCCCAGGCTGGATGACTGTATTTTAACTTTTTCAGTTGATAAGGTAGTGTTGAATACCTGGCACAGAGCTTAGCCATCTGTGCCAGGGGCGTTAATTATTTTAGAGTGGTGGTATTATGTATTCGTAGAGCCAATTCTTGCTACTAGGTAGTTATAGAGCCCGCAGCAGCAACGACAGCAACGACAGCAACGACAGCAACGACAGCAACGACAGCAACGACAGCAACGACAGGAATAGCAGCAATAGGCAGTACCCCACTGCCATCCCATGCTGAGCCGCCAGCCTCAACTCAGGGTCGGCTCAGGCTAAAAGGAGCGAGGATCCGGAACGCATCCAGCTCAGAACTCATCTCTTGGGTTCCCCAGCGCACATTCCCCCCATTCTAGGGCCTGCCGACGACCCCCGGACGACAACCCGGAACCTCGGCCAGCGCAGCGCGTCGCGGTTAGGTGCCGGGCCACTGACAGCCGACACGGCAGAAAGGTGTCCTATGCAGGCACACTTGCTTGTACTAACAGGTCGACCTGCGCCGGTGCTGTGCCTTTCGCACTCCGAGCCGATGCCTCAGGTATGCGATGGGGATAACAAAACAATGCAAGGTCAAATCGGCTGCTGGGCAAGGGAACGAGTCCGGCGACGTCGCAGTCACCGAGTTCCACAATCTCGGCTCAATGACGATGGAAGAGTACGGCTTCTGTCCCCGTGTTCTGCGCCTTCCCATCCACTCATCTCATCAGTTTCCATCTGCCGTTGCCCCCATCTTGCCATCCTCCCGTCGTGTGCCACGCTCTTGCGCTGGCAGGAGTACAAGGTACTTCCGCCCTGTGCGGATGGCGCCATGCCGAATCGGGCAGCGACGCAGTACCACCAGGGCCGGCACGATTGGTCCGTGCACGCCGCCAGCTGGCAGGCTGGCTGGCCACTGGCCACAGCACAACCACCACCGCCAAAAGAACCTCGCCATCGCGCCGGCGCGTCTGTGCAGGAGCTCCTTTCAACATCCTCCCGTCACTCTTTGTCCGCGTCGCATCCCGCGCACCCTCGCTCCGCCACACCCTCGTGCCGGCTCGACCTGAAATACCTCGCGAGCGACACGTCCCCTTCCACAAGCAGGCTCCCAGAGCCAGACACTTTTCCCAGCGCGCAGCACCCGTCAGCGCCCTCCGCCGCCTCCCTCGCCCGAAGAACGAAGCTGACCCACCGCGTGAAGCATCATCAAAATGGCGGGGTACTCGTCGCTCAAGGTCCCTGAGCTCAAGAAGCTCCTGGCCGAGAGGAACCTTCCCCAGACAGGCAACAAGGCCGACCTGATTGCCCGCCTGCAGGAAGCTGACCAGAATGAGGCACCTGCCGACGCCGACAAGCCTGGTGAGCCAACGGCCCCCTCCCCTCCCTGCCATCGCTACTATGACGCACAGCTAACCGTATCGCCAGGCAAGGCAGACAAGGAAGACGAAATAACCTACACCGACGACGAGGAGACCGCGCCTGCTGCACCCAAGCCCGCCGAGCCCGAGCCCGCCCAGCAAACAGAGCAGGCTGCCGCGCCTGTTGCCGCCGAGACTGCCACCGAGCCCGCCGACAAGGCGACCGAGGAGAAACCCGAGGCGCCCGCCCAGTCGTTTGCTATTGGACTTTCCGCGACCACCGCCGACGACGAAGCAAAGAAGCGCGCCGAGCGAGCCAAGCGCTTCGGCCTCGAGGAGGACGACGACGCCAAGAAGCGTGCTGACCGAGCCAAGCGCTTCGGCCTCGACGAAAAGGAGCTCACCGGCCTCGACTCGGCGCTCCCGGAGCGTCCCCTCAAGCGCGGCCGAGCCCGTGAGGGAGACGAAGCTGCTGGCCGCGGCAACAAGCGCCAGAGCCTGGACCGCCGTGGCGACCGTCAAGGACGGGGCCGGCACAACGGACAGGGCGACCGTCGCCGCGCCGGTAGCAACGGCCCGGCCAAGAAGGCTTCTATCCTCGACGACCCCACCGAACGAGAGAAGGCCGCCAAGCGCGCGGCACGATTCGCCGCCTAGTAGGCTCGTGATGGAGGAAACATCCAGGATGGGCTGCCCCGAGGTTGCGATAGCGGACACGATTGCTTGTACAGTACGTGAGACAAAGTACAGAGGAACGGCGTTGGAGGTCGATCAAACGGTTTTGGCCAGTCGGGCTTGATATGTCAACAGAACGATTTTTCTCTCACCCTACATTCGCTTGAAATGCGTGCAGGCTGTATGTGTGGCCTGTGGAGCAGCATCTAGGTTGCTTCCCGCTCGTATCGCAAATTCGCTCTATAACAAACTGACGAGGAACAGAGGACCTACCCAATCGAGTGTCAATGCTTCTCTCGCGCCGCTCTGATGACCTCACGCCTTGGGCGTACCGACCGGGCGAGATCGCGGTCCTGCTACGTTTTGGCGCCCGTCCTCACTGCCTACCTATGACGAAGCTCTGTCTCGTCCCGCATTACCTAGATGCGTAGCCAAGGAAGGACTAACCGCCCAGCTGCCACGGGAGCGCCCGTCGGCATGATTTCGGCGGGCCACTGACCGACGCCGAAACTTTGATCGGCCAGAGGCGCATCGGCCGAGATGTGCTGTACTGAAGTCCATGCCGGTCCTGGGCTGACCTGGGCGTGCTTACTACTGGGTTCAGAGTGATCGTCAAGGTCATGAGGCCACGGAGAAGTGTCCAAAGGCCGCGCCAGGTGGTTGTCACGAGACTGGCCCAAGCATTGCTCATAGGTTTCGGCTGCAGGTGTGCGATAACAGCCACGGCTCCGGTGCCTGCGACCGCCTGGTTGGCCGGAGTCAAGGACTCAGCCCGCCATCCGAGACCAGGCGGCTGACGTTGTCGGCGGCCATCATGCGGCCATTGCTCCAAAATCCAACATCGTTATTACGGCAATGCTGGCATCGCGAAGGGGCGCAGCTGAGGTCCGGCATTCGCGCTGGCCGCGCCTATCCCGCATCATGCTGACTCGCAACCAGGCCCCGGTCTACGGCGTCGGCTCGCTTGCGTCTTGGCCGCCAGTCAACGTCGTCAATGGCTGTCGCCGTGGGCACGTGAACAGGGCGAGACTCGAAGCGGCAGCAAAGTCCCTGGAGCGTGCGAAGTCGTCACGTTACTCCGAGACATGGCGCGGGAGTCGACCGAGAGAGCCAATGGCATGCACCAGACCCTGGCTCAGCGTCTGGCCCCGGTCGCGGGAGCGTCTGGCGGCAATGATTGGAGCCATGACCCGTGGAATCAAGACTGCAAATGGCGCTCTCGACTGAACTTGGCCGTTGCCACAGCTTGTACGCTTCTCGTATCTAAAGAGGCGAATCTTGCCGGTCTTTGGGGCGTCGACGATGAGTTGTCAACGAGGCGACGCACGGTGTAGTCGGTACTTGGATCTGCGACAGAGTGACTTGACAAGGATCAGCCGTGCTCGGCTCCGAAGCCAACTGCCATGACAGGGAACAGCCACAGCAGGGGTCGGCGACTCCAGCCACGAGGACGTGCCACGTCACGGCTCGCCTCGCTCTGCTGCCACGGCGGCCTGTGGCGAAGCCATCAAACTCTGCTGGCTGCCTCCAGGCTCGCCACAGACGTCGGCAGAGATCGAAGTGATGCAGGTCTCGCAGGATCCGGGAACCGGGGCTGTTGGTTGTCTGCAGCTGCAGCGTTCAGCTTGGTTGCCTAGGCGGATGTCAGCATGACAGTTGCCTTGATGTCTGCAGGCGTTGACCATGGATGCTATTTCCGTCCGAGCTGCTGAGCATGCCTGTCAGTGCACAGAGGTGCATTGTAAGTCGTGAGCGAAGAGGAGGAGGAGGAGGAGGAGGCACTGCGTCCTCGAGCGGCGCTGCAAAGCTTGGCCGGGCCGGGCTAGCAGGGGCAAACGGCATCGACCCCTTTCCCCTCTCCTCGTCCCGACGAAGCTCGTTGCTCTCTTCTGCTCCGCGAAGCGAGGTACGCGAAACGAGTCAGAGGATGAGCGAGGCAATCGTTGGACCTGCGGCCAGGACCTGGCTCAAGTGACGGGGACTTGGGGGATCTCCGCTCGAGGCAGACTTGGGAAGTCGGGTAGATGGCAGCTGATTGGCAGGAAAAGACAGCGCTCAGGGCCAATGGTAGGCGTCAAAACAAGGGTGCATTCAGGCAATGGAGGATGCTGCGTCGATGGTAGCGAATGGACTGGGTGCAAAGTCCCTGCGGGATGCCTGCACGTGGGCGGGTTGGCGCCTGGAGGAGCATAGAGGCTTGCCTGGGCCTGGGTGAGGTGTGTTCAAGGTTTGTTGTGTGCGCGAGGGAAACCACCTCAGACCTAGAGGTACTTCGTACAAAGTACAGTGCTGTATTCGATATTCTTATCGATCCCGTGAGTGATGGAGGGAGGGCAGGAGGGGGGGGAGGGGGGTCGTGCTTTCCAGAATGTGCGTTTGCTTTGTTGGAAGGAGCACCTCAGCAGTCAACTTGGGTATTATAGTGGCCATCACTGGCATCGCCGTGCAGCATCCACCCCCCGATGTCGCACCCACATGCGAAACCCTCCACCTCTGCCTCTGCGAACCGCGTCGTCCAACCATTGCCCTCGATGCCTCCTCGATGGCGACGCTACCTCCTGCGAGACGCAGCTGCGTGCATACGCGGAGGCACACGCCGAGCTGAGGGAGCGCGGCCGGCCAGTGCGCGATCTGTATCGCATCGCCCGAAGAGGTGATCTTCCCGTCAGAGTGCACCCCGTCCTGGCTAAGGCGGCTCTGGCCCTGCTCAGAGACCCTCCGTCTTACACGGGAGGCATGCCGCGATCTTTCCTATCAACAAGCAGCTCGTCCGGTGAGGAGTGACGGGCCATGAATTCTACGCGGGTGCCGTCGCGTCGCCGTGCTTCGCCATGGGTACCGGTGACCATAATCGGCCAATGCCAGACCAAGACAAGCGCCGGGACGAGCACGCGTGAGGGCGTGGTGGCGCTCATCCTCGCAGCGAGACACAGAGATCGGCCTCTCAGCGCCGCCCAAGTGAGACACGCAGAGCAGCATGTCCTAGACACGCAGCGACATTGCCGCTCCAAGAACGACGTCGCTGCTCAAGACTCGAGACGACGACTTGCATGCCCGACAGAGGTGCTTTCTCAGCAACGAGAAAGCCTTGCGGCCGAGCGGGGAGGGGCTTTCTTCGTGATGCAGCAGCGTCCGCCGTCGCCTCGAGACGCCCAATTCGCCGCCAGTTCAATGGCTTCCGCGACACTGTTGAACAGAATGCAGTCCAACGCTCGGCTTGGACTTGGTCCTCCTCCCAGCAACCCGAGCCACTCACCCCCCACCCCGGTCGCTGGAATATTCACCCACACCTCAGAGCACGCCACAGGTCGACAAAGGAGCCAGGCGTCGCCAGGCGCTCATTCGCGGCTCCTGACGCCGCTTGCAACGGCTAATCTGGCACACACCAACGAGCGGGCGGACGGGCCATTCCCGCCGCGACGCCTCGCCGGCGCCAGGACCAAGCTTCGCAAGCCCACAGACACCCGCCATCGACGCTGCGCATCCATCGGCGGTCCCACCAAGCCGGCGCCATGTTGGGCAGTCAAGACGCTGCTCAGGGTCCGCGTCCAATCGTCGCCGCAACCGCCCCAAGCCGCCTCTAACTGGACACGACGGCATGCACCTGCAGCAGGGCCTCTCGACGCGGAGCGGCGCAGCTGCGCCCGCATCTCGTCGACGCTGGGCGACCAGCGCCCCCCGTCGCCGATCCTGACCTTGCAGAGGTTGACTCAACCACTCCGATCTGCCCCAACTGCCCGTCCTGTCTGGTTGACGGACAGCCCAGCAGGCCGCAGGTTGGCCTCGCTGCAGGATGCTACTACTGCAGGCGGGACCGGGGCTGTCGCCGCGCTCCAATATAGCAACCAGGTATTGTCGTGCTGCCCCCAAAGTACCAGTGTCTGCCCGTGCAAAGGTCGAGCCGGCCTGCCCGTTGTCATCTAAATATCATTGTGTCGCCACCTGGCCCGAGGGCGACGTTGAAGTCCCTTGATTCCTCCCATTCCCCGTGACGGCCGTGCCGTCCATCTTAATTCTGTCTGCCGCGCAACAAACTCTCTTCCCAACAGCCGAGCCCGTCACGGCTTCATCACACGCACAAAGATCCCCCTTAACCCCGTCAAGGTTAGCCCGTCACTCAGCGCCAAAAGACGGCCACTTCATTAGACGCGGGCGGCTCTCCCACCCTCCATCTCTGTGTGACCTCGCCCCGGGCCTACCCTAGCCCGCTTACCGGCCTGCCCGCCTTTAGCCCGCCACCCTCCGCATCTGGTCCGCACTTGGTCGTCGGTGGTGTTCAGTCTTCTCTTCTGGCCTTCACTCACCATTGCCTTTCTTGGCTGTGTTTATGTTTCTTTGATATTTTCTTCTTCTCACTTATTGCATCGCGAGCGAGCGCTGCCTTGGCTGCACTACATTCTATCAAGCACTCAACCCGTACAGGTGCGGTGGGTTCCATCGTTTCTAAGACAAATACTCGTGCCCGCCCTGCGTCACACTCTACGTTTCACGGGGATGGTTCTCGCGGCAGATTGAGCATGCTGGAGTGTCCATTACCCCAGGCTGGAAACTATGGCGTCACGGACTGGCTATGGTCTGCCGGCCAGGCCCTCTGACGGTTACAGGCCGGCGCGGAGGGCCGACGGACCACGTATGGGCATCCCGAGACCGACACGCCCAGCAACAGAGACCACTGCCATCCCAGTATCGCAGCCGAAGCCTTCTAGACCTCAACCTGGCGTGAAGCGTACAGGGCTCCCGCAGGCTTCCAAACCAGGCTCAGGGTCGCAGCCAGGTTCGTGGGGATCTGCGAGCAGGACTTCAGCTGAGTCCAGATCACATACACAGAGCGGATCAGGTTCCTCGTCCTCGGGCCGTTCCTACGACGAACCGCGACTTAGACAAGCCGAGCCCTTGAGGGCCTTCAAGGGCCCAAAACTTGTAGGGACACGTGCGTATCAGCGCAATGATTCAACCAGCACAACCTCGTCAAAACGGCAGTCGCAAGGTTCCATTGAGCCCGGGCTCGGGATCCAGCTCGACAGAGACATTACCGCGAGCCCAGCTCAGATTCAAACCGCCGAGATGGTCGAGATTCGCAAGTCAAGGCCCACCGTGTATCCGGAACTGGATCGGTATCGAGAGTTTCGGCGACCGGAATATGAACGGCAGCCCGTTGACGTGCCGTTTCGCCTGGCAACGCACGATCTTCCGCCACCGACGCCGGGGTCGGCCGTTTTCTCGGGAAGCAGCAGCCAAATCAGCGCCATCAGCGGCAGTCCTTCGACCAAGTACTCCGAGTCCCCCGGCCCGGGCCCGTACAGCCGCGACACGACGCCCACCTCGATGTCCTCGCAGTCGCCCGTCCTGGTCGCGCCAATCCGAGTCGCGGCCCCTCTCAGGCTCCGACAAAATAGTCCTGCCGTCTCGCGGCCGCCCGTCACCCGGAGGAGGGCGGGAAGCACAGGCAAGCCTGCCGATGTGGACCAAGGGCTAGCAGCCGTTAGAGAGTCCATGGCTTCTTCGTCTTCCAACTCGACAGTCCGAGACGGCGACAAGAACAAGAAGCGCGACAAGAAGCCGCGGCTGCCACCACCACCCCCAAGCCCTCCGCCGCGAAAGTCGTCACAAAAGTTTCGCAAGAACAAGGACACATCACCCCAATCGGAAAGTGGCAGCACGAGAAATGATGGCGGATCACGTGGGCGCGGAACCTCCCCGAAAGCCGGTCCGCCGCCTCGTCCGAGCCGTGAAGGCACTCCGGACATGCAATCGCAGTTGTTCGAGCCAATTCCAGTAATCCAGAGCAACCTTCTTCCGTTGCCGCGGGAGAGGCGTGGGAGCGAACCGGCCACAATTCGGTCCTTGCCAGGGTCGTCAACCTCGCTGCCGCAGATTAACAAGAACGCATCCACTTCACATCTGCCGACTGCAACTGAGCCACGACCTCGACCGGCTCAGAAGCAAGGGGGTTCCAACTCCCGATTCCTGTTCTTTGGACGCAAAAAGACGCCCGCCGACGTCGATGCTAAAGGCGTTCGCAAGGGACCCGTCGCTGGTACCGGTCATGAGGGATATGGAAGGGTTGGTGCTGTTCGGCGGCGAAGCGCTTCGAGGAGTGATCCCAAATCTTCGCAAGACAGTCTTGTCAGCGACTCGTTCTTGGCAGACCGCGTCAACCCGGTAGTGATTGCGGGCGGCGAGATCGTGGAAAACAGAAACCCCAGCGCCGAGCTGGCTCGTGTTGACAGCAACCAAAGTGCCCCAGCCCGGCCCAGCACGGATTCAAAGGCTTCTGCGGGCAACCCGGCACGAACAACGCTTTGGCCATCTGCTTTGCCTCGCGGTGCTCGGCGGCCCTCGGACAGCAGCAGCACGGACAGCGTCGCGATGCAGTCAACTCTTGCCTTTCGTAGGTCTGTCCAGCGTCTGCGTTCGCCAGATGATCCGTTGAAGCTGCCTCAGCCCATCATGACGAATGGTGGTCCCATGTCCTCGCCCATGACGAGCTTCGACACAAGCATCCTGTCGGAAGAGTCGCACTTGGAGATGCAGAAAGAAATCTCACGCGAAAGCGAGGCGCCCAAGAAACTGCAGAAGAGGCCGCGGTCTCCTCGCAAATGGAACCTCTTCAGCCGGTCGCAACGGTCACAGCGCCCGAAGCCGAAGAGCGAACCCGTCGAAGCCGCAGTCGTCTCGGTGGAGAAGAAGCCAGTTCCCTTTTACGCGATGATGGAGTCGGAGCAGGAGGAGGATCTGGACGTCCAAGAGGTCTTGCGCCGTGCAGACGTGTATGCTGCGTCACCAGTCATGCCGCAGCAACCAGAGCCGCTTAATATTGCACCAAAGGCACCCGCGCAGCAGATTCTTATCGACGGTGTGAGCGGCGCGGAAGCGAACATCGGCCAACAGCATCCAGTTCCTAGCATCGCGAGGCCCAGCAGGCTGCCTCAGGTCGGGCGCATCCCGCAGGTGGTCAAGCAGCGCACAGAGCCACAGAGCTTCTCCCGTCCGTTTCGCGCCAGCATGCAGATGCCGCCAGTGGTGATTCCCGTCTACGACCCTGAGTCAATCGCCAAAGGCCCGACCCCGCCGAGGCCCTCGACACCGGTTTTCGACGCAGGCAATGCTCCCAAGGACCCATCGAAGCTGTCTCCGGAAGTGACGCGCGGCGAACGAGAGTTCCTTGCCTTTTCCCCTCGCAAGAACTCTGATGTCACCATCGGAACGAGCTCAAGTAGCTCCGGACCTTCCTTTACGGCGACGGCTATCATCCCGAAGCCTGATGATCCGCCCGCCGAAGACGAGGTTTGGGACGAGTACAATGACCTGCTCGGCGACGACAAGGTGCCACAGTCGGCGACATCTTCGAAAGACCCTTTCCACTTGGAGACGTATCACGCCAAGCTCGCCAAAGACAAGCCACTCGACTCTCCCGTTGTTCCAGAGGGCCGCAAGGAGCCGCAGTCCAAGGCCACGAGCTCGACGTACAGCGCCGACATGACTGAGAGAATCCGCAAAGCCTTCCAGCCTCATCCAAGTCCAGCTGCAATAGACGTCAAGCCGGAGTCAAAGCGCACTAGTGCTTCTTCAGGCAGGACCGTCTTTTCGGATTGTAGTGCGGCGACGGATGACGCTTCACCCTTGGCGCAGGTCAACCTTCGAGTGGGCTCCATGACGGTGAGCAAGTGGCTTACCTTTGGGCATGTGCTGTTTAGCGACATTCGCCATGAGCTTGCTGGCAAAGATGCGCCGAGACAATCGGTCGTTGTCATAGACGGCCTCGGTAACGACGACTGGTCTTTCTATGCCGCCGAGACATATCCTGCCGCGTCCTTCTACAACCTCTCCCCACGCGCGCCGCTGCCAGCTCCGGCGCAGTCGCCGACGGGTTTTCCTTTGAGCCCGCCAAACCACCATCAGGTGCAGTACATGTCCCATAAGGACAAGTTCCCTTTTGCGCCGCAGAGCTTCGACTGCATGGTGTATCGGTTCCCCGCCGCCGGGTCGGAGGCGCAATATCGCAACATTGTCAACGAGGCACGCCGTGTCCTCCGGCCCGGGGCGTTCATCGAGCTGTCCATCCTCGATGTCGACCTCAACAATATGGGGAATCGTGGGAGGCGCACGGTGCGGCGTCTCAAGGAGCAGATTCACGAGCGAGCCAACGACACGAGCCTGGCCTCCACCGCGGACCTCATGGTCCGCCTTTTGGGAAGGGCGGGCTTCACCAACATCAGGGCCGCCCGCGTCGGTGTCCCGGTCGCGAGCTCCATCACGCGAGCCGAGAGCAAGCCAACGGATGCGAAGTCCAAGGATGCGAGCCTCGCCGACATGATGAAGGACAATAGCCCGATGGCGGACGCAAGCATCACCAAGATCGTGACGCGCGTGGGGCGCTGGTGGTATACGCGCTGCTACGAGAATGCGGCCGGACCTGCCAATAGCATTTGGGCCGACAGGGCTCTGCTCGCCGAGTGCGAGAACTTTGGTACCAGTCTGAAGCTGACGGTGTGCTGCGCTCGTGCGCCCGACCGCATCGCCAGCATTTGACTGTTTCTCTTTCCTTGGTCAAGAAAGCAGATCAACGGGCGCAAGCCCACCAAGCTAGACTTGGCCTTTCCGACTATGTTGCCAGCTGTATGCTGCGCACCCATGATTTACAAGCATCGGCTCACGCCCATGTTCTGGCGTTTTATGTTCTTGCCGCAGGACGGATCTCTGTTATATGCTTAGTAGAAACATTCATAATGGCGGTCCTCTGAGACCAAGGCGTCATGTACGGGTTGGGACCCAGGCGTGGCAGGATGATGGATGATGAGGGACGATTGATGAGCTAGGGACATGCATGGCAGATACCCAGTCTTGGATAGCGAATACACAGCAAGCGTGTTTATGACGCGGGCAGTCTGACATTGTGAAGCCGTTCGGGTCATCTAGCAGCGAAAGAGATCGACATACCTGCAGATGCCTGAGAGTATCGCCGACAGTCGTGCAGTTCATCCCCGCACAGCATGCGGAGATGGAAATGCACTCCGCGGCCGCTGTAGACATTATTATCCGTCTGCATTCAGACGATTGAGGGGCGGTTGTTGACGATGCTCGCGGCCTATATAAAAGTCGCCGTCTTGGCGGGAGGGAATCGAGTATGTCGAGCACCGAGAAGCAGCAACCATGAAGCTCATACTCTTACACTCCATGCTCGCCGGCGTCCGCGCCGCGTGGCCCATGACAGGATGGCAAGCCTACCGCGACTACGACATGCACGTCCTGCGGCCCGGCGAGGAGACGCACGAGTTCTCGTCGTACGACCGCGCCAACCACAACGACGACGGCTTCAACGGGACGTACTCGTGCCTGCGCCTCACGCAACCCGACTCACGCTGCGTCATCGCCGAGTACGCCGGCAAGGGCGGCGGCGGCGGCGGCGGCGGCGAGATCGCATCCATCTGGTTCACGTACGCGCCCGACAGCGTTACACCCATCGGCGACATCTCCATCACGCTCGACGGGCGGGAGGTGCTCCGCGCGGGGCTGCAGGACGTGGTGGACGGCAAGCTGGGCGCGCCGTTTGCGTGGCCGCTCGTGGGCAACACCAACGACACCATGGGCGGCAACGTCATCAAGGTGCCCATGGCGTTTCGCGAGTCGATGCTCGTCACGACAGAGAACAACCCGCATTTCTACCATGTCGTGTATCGCAGGTTTCCGGCGGGGGTGGCGCCGGAGAAGGCGTTTGACCCGGAGGAGAAGGCGGAGGATGTGGTTGCGCAGTTGAGGGGGTTTGGGGTGCGCGATCCGAAGGCCGTGAAGGGCGGTGCGCTGAATGGGAGGAAGGGGAGGCGTGTAAAGGGGAAGGTAGCTGGAGCTTCGGGCTCGGTCGCGCTGGGGAAGGGGTGCGGCGTGGTTACGCAGCTGGCGCTTCGTCTGCCGTCGGTGCCGGCGACGAGTTATGTGCAGGATGACGGGCGGGCTTTTGGGCCAGGTGGGAGAAGCGCGTTCCAACTCGCCCTGGATCCGAACAACAAGCGCTGTCGCCTTACGCGGCGCATCGACCGCAGCATCGGGAATCAAAAGGTCAAGGTGACGGTGGAGGGGGCCGAGATCACAGCAGACAGCGGTGCGGTCGCCAACGGCACCTGGATGGACCAGACGGTCGACATTCCCGCGGCGGCGACCAAGGGCAAGAGAAAGGTCCAAGTCTCGGTGGAATGCGTCTCGTCGGACCTCGACTGCAACGAGTTCTTTTATGCGCTGCACTGCCAGGCGGACGGAGCGTGGGCGAACCCGGGGTATGTGCCGAGCGACGACTGGGTGCTCATGGATGTGCTCAACGTGGGATGGAACAATGCCAACGATGAGCTTGCTCATGTAGGTCACACTTTGATACGTACCTCATGTTCGGTACGGTTTTGTTCGCTGACTTGGGCAGGGCTATAAAATCGAGGGCCAGACGTGGGAGGGCTTGCGGCAGTACATGTACGACGACGAGGAACACACCGACGCCGCCACGCCCGACATCCGCCTTTCACTCACGTTTGACGGCAATGAGACGGTCTCGCAGGTCCCGCTGGGGGCGTTTTTCGGCGCGAGCCTCGCCAAGGGACTGACGCGGTCGCTGCTCCTCTCGGTCAACTCGCTGCTCCCCAACGGCGCGTGGACGTCGTACTTCCCCATGCCCTTCTCCGACAGCGCGTCGCTCACCCTCATGCGCGGAGACGGGTCGTCCCCCCTCAACGCCACCGTCGACGCCATCGTGCAACCGTGCGCCGGCGCCTCCCCCGCCCCCCCCTCCTCCGCGTGGGGCCGCTTCTCCGTGCAGCACCGCCGCGGCCCCACCACGCCGGGCTCCCTCTGGCCGATCCTGTACGCCCCCGGGCGCGGCATCTCGTACGGCCTGACGCACACGTTCCGCGGCTCGATCCTGCAGCCCGCCAACACGCTCGAGTTCCTCGAGGGCGACGAGCAGGCGTGGCTGAACCGCACGTCGCCGGGCGGGTTCAACGACACGACGGCGAGCCTGCGCGGGACGGGCACCGAGGACTTTTACGAGAGCGGCTGGTACTTCCAGGACGCGACGGCCGAGGGCCAGCCCGTGACGGTGGCGTATGGGATGCCGTTGACGGGCCTGACGACGGCGGCGTATGGGGCGGAGGGGATGGGCTGCGTGGGGTCGTGCCTGGGGGCGCATCGGCTTATGGTGGCGGACTCGATGGCGTTTGGGGAGGGGATTGCGTTTGGGATCGAGCATGGGCCGGATGGGAATGATGTGCAGGCTGAGTATGAGACGTGTGCGTTTTACTATGCGTAGGTATGGCGCTGGGGGAGGCGGCTGGGGAGGGCGAGGAGGACTAACACACTTCTCGACCGGTACGTCCGCCCATTGCTCGACAGTTGGCAACCAGTTGGGTGACATTCACACGACGTCACAGGAGATTGGCTTGCAGCTTATATCTCTCTCTCTGGTTTCGGAAAGTTTCAAAGATAATCCATGTCACTTCAAGACCGGGAGCAATGGTGGGCAGTCTGCTGTCGTGTCGAGGGAACCCCTCGAGGATAACTTCAATTCGGTATCATGTCGCGTTTACGTTTATCCCATACAAAGCCCATTGAAAACACCCGCTGCATCCTCGTCCGAGAAATGTCCAATAGCCGCCCACATCAAATGGTATCCTCCAATTCAAAACCAATTACAGCGCGAGCGCAACGGCGAGAACGGCGGCAAAGGCGGCCGCGGAGCCCATGATCGGGCCGCTCACCACGGCGGCGCTGCTGTCCTTGCTGCCGCCGCTGCCACCGCCATTGCCGCTGCCGCTGCCGCTGCCCTCACCAAGGTAGATGGTCTTCTTGGGGATCTCGACGTTGGCGTACGAGGAGGTCTTGGTCGCGGTGGCATCCGTGTACAGCACGGTGAGGCTGGTGCTGCAGCCCTGGGAGAAGGTGAGGGAGACGACGTCGGCGCCGCACTTGGTGTTGATGCCCTTGGCCTTGGACTCGAGGGTGCTGAAGTAGGTCTTGAGGATGTCGAGGTAGCTGCTGTAGGCGGAGGAGAGGCTGGCGGGCGCGGTGATGGTGCAGCGGGGAGGGGCGGCGCCGAGGGTGGCCTGGCGCGTGGCCCAGCTGAGCAGCTTGGAGTCGACGCCCGTCGTGGGCGGGCTGAGCTCCGAGACGATGGAGCTCAGGCAGTTGCGGTCGATGGCGCGGCGGTCGAGCCCGACGGGCGTCGCGACGGGGGGTTGTGTAGGCGCGGGCGCGGGCGCGGGGAGGCCAATGGCGACGCCGCCGACGGCCTGGGCGAGCTCTCCGGCGAGGGCAGGGCCGGCGAGGAGGATGGAGAGGGCGAAGGAACGCATGATGGCGATGGTGGTGATGGTGATGATGTGGGGGAGGTTTGGGTGAGGAGTGTAATGTCCAAGCGAAGGGAGTTTATGTTTGAACGGACGAACACAAAGGGTGTAAGCGGGATGCGTGCCTCTTTATACAAGATGCGAGCGCGAGAGGACTGACGATGCGATGACTCCGACGGGCGACTCGACGATGAGCAAGTCGGCCGGGCACTGCCTATATAGACTTGGGGACCACCGCTACTAACAACAACACGACATCGCAACCTGCTCCCTGACTGTACCCAGTAGCAAACCCCCCGGCCCTTGAGCCGCACCACCGAAGGGCCTGCTAGCGCAGAAAACAGTCCCACGATCCCTTCAAGCGAAGGAAGTGGCTGCGGCTCCGCGACGGCGCCGCCGCCTCCACCTCGGGCGACGGGGCGCCTGGGCGTTTGCTCGTTCGCCGCTGGCACGCCGAGGCAGACACGCCAACACTGCCCACCGCTGCCCTGCCTCGGGCGGCGGCGGCGCGAGTGACATCACAGATTCACAGTGACAGTGGGGGGGGGGGGGGGGAGGCCGGGGCGGTTGCGGCGTCTGACAAGCGCGCCCGAAAGAGGCAACGGCCGAGCCTCCCCGGTCCGCCGCCGCGATGGATTGACCTGGCCTGGCCTGGCCTGGCCCTGGGTCTTTTTTTTCGTGTGGAAAAAGGCCGAAGGAGAGACCTTGGGGCGAGTCCGCTAGCTCTGGTTATTACTCTCGCGGCCTAGGCCGTCCTGGGCCGCTCTTGTGCATGGGTTTGGCAATTTCCGCGGCGTGAGCGTGGACAGTGGGCGTGGTCTAGATGGCATGAGGATTTTTTTTTCGTCTGTCAGCTTCTCGTTGAGGTTTGCTTGCTTGCTTGCTTGGCGGCGGCGGTGGTGGTGGCGATGGAAGCAAAACAGCAGGCAGAGACAGCCTTGCCTGAGGATCGGGCTGAGGCGTGTTTGTGTGCGCGATTGTTTGTGTGTGTGTGTGATGCCGTTCAGCTGCCGGCCGGGGATATCGACCGGGCGTGACCTTTGCTGAAGAAAGGCTGCAAGAGCGCAGACAGAGAGTGGGAGCAGGAGAGCGGGCGGCGGCGCATGTGGCTGTTCTTCAACGCCACCACACGCTTACTATTTGGGGATCCATCCATCACATCAGGTGCCTGTGGGCGAGAGGGATCGACACGTAGACTCAGCCCCACGATAAGCATTAAGCATGTTCTGACCTTTCTGCTCATGCCACCTTCACCCACTGGCACGCACCAATCCTGCGGTGACCGGCCCAATCTCCAGCCCTGCGCAAGCTAGTACTGCAGATGCTCAGCGCCAGCGCGGCAGCTATTCTCGCCAGGCACGGCCAGCAAGCTACGTAACACGCCATGGGACGGGCGGTTGGCCCTCTGGACAAGCGGCGGCGGGTGACGCGCTGTCAGCCCTGTGCCCAGCGACGCATCAAGGTAAGTAAGGGGGACGGATCGATCCAATGACTCCAGTCCAGCTCAGCACGAAGATCCAGCAGGACGATCCAAGCTAATATCATTCTACTTTGCACCACGGGCAGTGCCAGGGCGGTCCCCCCTGCGACTACTGCGTCCGGACCAGCAAGACATGCCGCCCCCAGTCCCCTCGCGCGGCCCCCAACGTCACCGCCATCATCGTGGCCTGCCACCCGCCTCCACCAAGCAGGAATCGCAGTCCCCCGACGCCCGATGACGCCCTGTTCCTCGACTGCTTTGCGTCATTCCTGCAGCGCCGCTGCCACCTCACCCAGGCGTTTGTGGCCGCCGTCGCGACCGACCTCGCGCGCCTGGTGCACGAGTCGGCGCCCGTCGGCGACCTGGCCGTCGCCATCGGCGCGCTCGACGCGAGCCGTCATGGGGCGGTGATGGCCTCGCGGGGAGGGCGAGATGCTCGATGCGCGGCTTTTCGTGCCTACGGTAGGGCGATGCGCGGGCTGCAGGCCCGTTTGAGCGACCCTGATGCCGTCACGGGCGATGATGTCGTCTGGGGCACGTTTCTGCTCGGCCTGTTTGAGGTGCGTCTACGTCACACCCGGGAGAGATCAATGGCGTGCTTTTCTGTGAAACTGACTGGGGGGGTTGCCGCGTTGTTATTAGTTGATGGCAGAGGCGTCTGGCGACGGATGGGCGACGCACATGTTTTACGGCACGGCGCGCGTGCTGCAGCTTGCCGGGCCCGCGCGGGTATCGCTGCAGCAGCGCCGGGGCTTGTTTGGTGCCTTTCGCGTCCTGGAGGCGACCCGGGTCATCATGTACGGCGAAGAGACGTTTCTCGCTGGCGAGGCGTGGCGAGGCGTGACAGGCGTGGATGATGCAGAGGCCGACTGTGCCGCGAACCCGATGGCCGAAGTGCTCGATCTCATGATCCGCGCGTCGTCCTTTAGCAAGCGGTATGTACAATCACAACTTAACCAATCACCCCCCCGACTGACCTCAATAGCTTCTTTAAGCAAATCGAAAGCATCCCGCCCGGCGAACGACCCTGCAGCCCAGTCATTGACGACCTTGCGCGGGAGGGACTTACGCTCTTCCGCACCATCCACGCATGGGACGCAGCGACCCCGGCGCAAAACCCGTTTGCTGACCTAGCCCGCGCCAACCACCTCGCGCTGGAGCTCTTCTTCTGCAAGAACTTTACCTACTACGATTGCTGGCTCGGACGGCAAGTGCCGCGGCTGGAGGCGGGCGAGACAGACGCCCACGTGGAGGCTGTGCTGCGCGCCTGCGAGGCCGTGCAGCGGTCCAATATTCCGGGGGCGCTGCTCCTGTTCCCGCTGCGGATGGCGGGAGCAAACACTGCGGATGCGGACGCGGATCGAAAGGAGCGCATCCTTAAGCTACTTGGGAGAGTTCACGCGCAGGGGTTCGTGGTGGCTGATAGGATCACGGTTGACTTGCACGACTTTTGGCAGCATGAGAAGCAGCTGGCGCAGGCTCGATGACCTAGTCTAACAGTATGCTATGTACAGATGCTCGGGCCTCGCCAAGGTGGCTGATCTGGTTGAGCGGCAAGAGTTCGCCATTCATATGAGACCAGACGACGCCGCGTCTCAGGCAGCCTCAATGTTGAAAAACTCGGTGACGACCCGCGTGCGTCGCCCAGGCGAAAAGTAGTCATACCCGACCACCACGCCGCAGTCATTCACAAACACCGTCACCGGGATCGCGCCCTGATACATGATATTCCACTACACCGTCGCACCGTCAGCATAGATCCACGATCGCATCGACACGAAACTCACAGCCGCCACGCGCCCGTCGACGAAGCGCCGCTCGACAAGGCCGCCAAACACGGCGCCCGCCTGGACGAGCATGTCGCCCGCAAACAGCGGGTAATTCGTGTTGACGTAGTCGCGCCACACATCCGGCTGCGTCGCATTGTCTCTGTACGTGGTGAGCGTGTTGTCGACGAGCCCGTCGGCCGTGACGTTGGAAAAGTCAAAGAGCGACGAGGCGAGCGCGTCGTCGAAGGCCTCGTGCACGCGGACGAGCTTGTCGGAGGGCGAGTTGCGGATGTAGCCCGTCATGATGTGCGAGAGAGTCTCGTCCCTGCGGCAGGGTGATGGTCAGTGAAGCTAGAAGGGACAGAGAACCAGGGAGAGAGAGGTGCTCACCACTTGTGCTGGACAAAGTTGGCCGTGAACTCGGGCTTCACCGTCGGGGGCGGCGGCTGCTTGAACCCGGATGAGAAGGCGAGCATGGACGCCGGGAAGGGCTCGCAGTCGGCGGCCCGGACCGCGGCGGCAAGAGAGACAACGACTTGAACGGGGCGCATGATTGCGGACGAAGATTGCGTGCTGATGAGATCGAAATATTCGTGTCACGCGGAATCTTGAGGAGATGTTTACGCCTGAACTGCGGTAAATAGAAGCGTCCTCAAACGAAGCCTCTTATAGCTTCGAGTCCATCCAAATCCTCCACGATGTCCTGAAAGACGCGTCATCGGCATTCGTAAACGCGCCCAAAAGGTACCATTTCGGGGGTGGTGTCGCTCGCCGGGAAGCTCGACGGGTCTTCGGGGCTTAGAGGCCCGTGGCGGCGACGGCGCGTTCGATTACTTCCCAATTTGGCAACATTCGGACGGGTGGGTCCCGCACGCCGGGCCGGAGCCCGAGAACCGGGCCCGGGCCGTCATCACGTGTCACCTCGTACTGGACGTCTCCGTGTCCTCTGCCATACATTGTGGTTCCTGGACAGACTAGCCAATGATTGTAGTGCGCCATTTATGTGACCAACCCATTGGCAAAAGGGCTCACTCGCTGTTATTCGCGGCCGACCCCAACGTCGGTGCGTGCAGGGACCTCGGAGGCGTGGCCAGATCCAGTTCTCGCGACCATGCGTCTCGACAGTGCCATACAAGCAGCGCTGGAATCCTCCTTTCCTGTAAAGGAACGAGTCAGCGTTCCAAAATTGGTATCATTTACCTAACCGATTGCCTACAACTTTGCCCCGGAGAAGTTGGGAACCCCCCAGGTTGGCACAGACTTTTACGCGTCAAGTCGCATCCATGTTCTGACTCAGGTGGCTTTCGAGGGAGTGCCAAGCCGGAATCTAAGCCGATGTATGCATACTTGTAACCCAGGGGTTTTATACATGAAGTAAATGCTTGCCTTGGTCGCTTGCCGGGCCAGGAGGCTTTGCCAAATTCCTGCCCAGGGCCGGGAGTCTCGCAGTTATCACGTAATGTGCAGGAATATCGTGGTAGGCATGACTAGCGTCAAGAAATATATACCCTGGTGCTGCAGACGAACCGCGCGAAGTTTGTCAGTCAACGTGGAACGGGATTCCTATAACGTCCCACGGCACCTGGCCTGGGCTGTAATCGCCGGGCATCGGTCCTCGATGGCTCGTCTTCTGGAAGCCGTGGCCTGCTTGCTAGCCGTGTTTCTTCTACTGCAGTCCATTCCTACTACGCTTTCCGCGCCTCCTCCGGCACCTCCTCCAGCGCATCCCCTCCCCCCTCCGAAGCCAGCACAGCCGCAACCTCCATAACACGGACCGAAACCTCCACCATCCGGCTCCAAGCCGGCACCCAAGCCGTTCTATGCCATCGCCCATCGTGTGCTCACGAGCGCTGGGGTCGTAGCAGCGCTCAAGCATGGCGCCAACGCCATCGAAGTCGACTTCACGGCCCAGCAACAGGGCTGGTGGGCCGACCACGACCGCACACCCACGAGCAGGCGCGACACCGCCGAAGCCGTATTGAAGACCATTGCCGATCAGCGCCGGCGCGGCATGACCGTCGGTTTCGTGTGGTTCGACATCAAGAACCCGGATGCGTTCCCCGCCAGCAACAAGGCGGCCAGCATCGAAGCTCTTCGCGATCTCGCCCGCAAGCACCTCGAGCCGGTTGGCATCGGAGCCCTCTACGGCTTCTACAACTGGACCGCCTGGGGCCGTGCATATGCCGTCGTCAGCGCCGACCTCCACAGAAACGAGGCACTCAACCACGAAGGCCCCGCGGCGCAGACGACTAGACTGTTCAATACCCGCGGGCCTGCAAATGTCGCGCAGCGCGTCTTATCTGTTGGTGCTCTGTTTAAACCGTCCGACGACATCGGCGTGTGCGCGAGCAACGGGGGTGGAATCTGCCCGCAGCTGCGCATAGGTGCTGCGTCGCATGAGTTTGGCAAGGTGTTGGGATGGACTGTTGTTCAGTACAGCGTGAAACAGGCGTATCAAATGATGGGAGAAGCGGGTGTTGACGGGGTTTTCTACGGCTTCGCTGAGACCGACTACGCTGACCACATGGACACACGCGGTGCGTTTGGGATCGTGAGAGGCTGGCTTGACACGAACAAGGATAAACGGTACCTCGCAACCAATGCCGACAGGCTCTGGTGATAATTCTTAGTTGAATACTTTCCGAGATTGACAACATGAAAGCAATGGGCGACGCAGTTCTGTTTCAATAAGAGTAAGGCTTCGGAGAGCCAACTTTTGCTAGTTGTATCAGTCCGCCGAATTCAGACGAAGGGCATCATTCGGATTTGCCTCTGTTCATCGCCGCTTGAGTTAATTTAAAGCCCGAATCCAACAATGCCCGCCATGACCTCTTGCAAAGCCGGCCATGACTTTTCCGCCTGTTGGCAAGCACCCCCCTCTGATTTTCCTGTGCTGTGCAGATCACTCCAGAAGTCACTTTCATAACGATATTTGCTTTTCCGAGATAAATGCGTAGAGGGGCACCACGACGGCTTCCTGAGTGCTTCCATAATTGTCATCAGTTGCCCCACGCTTTTGCCACGATACGGAAGCTTTGGTCGCAGAAGCAGATTGTTCGTAGCCATTTCCCTAGTGATTGCCCCCAGGCTCATCAGGTCACATCTGTCAGTGCACGTGCGAGGGAAACTCTGCGACAGGGAAGTGAAGTGCACATGTATCTCATCAATCAATCGACCGATGGACTGTGTTCTAAATGCCTCCAGCCTGTCTGTGGCGCAAATTGTTAGCGAGAAACGTACTTCAATCACGCACTGCAGTGCAATTCGTACCAACAACGCTGGCGGGAATTGGAAGACCCAACGTGGACAGCGGCTCAGTCAGGTCACGCTGCATTATCCTGGTCATGGACCGAACCGTTAGGTCGTCCGAAAAGACGTTGGCGATGTGCAACCATAGCACAGCATCACGGTTGTAGGCTTCTGGAAGGAGAACCGTGCGCTTCAACTCCTTCAACCAGATATCGGAAAAGACCTCGAGCGCTTCATGACATTGGTAATAATCCACGATGACTGCAATCTTAGCCATCATCTCAATGTCTACCTCACGAGGGACTTTCTTGTTTCGTCCATGAATGATGCACATGACGGTTAAGAGAGCATCTTGGTCCCACGACTCGGCAGTGAGCACTCTGGTCTGGGTTCCGCTTCTGTCGCCTTCCTTCCACGGCCCACAGAGCATGGATTTGAAGTAGGGTGACACAAGGGTCAAATGTTTTGAAGACAGTCTCAGGTGTACCTCTGGAGCAGGTACCACAGGCCTTTCCGGGGTGTTGACGTTCTCGTCCGCGCTTGACGACACAGAATTGGTGCTCGGCTTAGTGGCATCGCCTTGCTGTTCTGGGTCCTCGCCGGCTTCGCTATTGGCGTCGATGCCGTCTAGATTGTCTGTGAAGGTTTCATGTTCCTTGCCGTCGGCATCCGTAGCATCTTTTTCCGGCCATACTGCAAATGGCGCGTTCGCATCCGTCAACTTGAGAATGATGTCCCCATCTGGGTCGATGTCGTGGGTTGCCGCAGCCATTGAAGGAGGTATGTGCGATTGAGCTTCGGGAACACCCCGTGGTCGTGTACCCAAGAGGGGCTTACAGTACGGTAGAGATAGGCTCGCCCGTCAAGCAGGAGATGCGCCAAACTTGTAGTCGAGAAGTCGAGTCAATCACTTAGGCGCCAAGCTAGAGAGAGAGGTTGACGCTCTTGCCCCGCAGCTTGACCAGGCCCTCTCTATGTGTTTGTTCGCCAGGAGGCCTTGCGTTTGGCCCCCGACAACACATGTCGGGTCTTTGCTCTGATTGGTGTGTTCAAGAGTCCCGGTCCCCCGGTTTCAGGAAGTGACATGGGACGGGTCATGTCGCAGCCCGCAAATCGGTGAAGCGAGTAACACGCACGAAGTACCTGGCCCCAGGGAGTACGGTGTATGCAAACACGATCGAAGGCGAGTGACATGGCGTGTGGATGCAGACCTGGAGCACTGCAGTCTCCGATTTCCCAAAATGGCACTGGACATGACTTCTGGGAACCAGGTGGTGACCGCGGTCCACCGCTAGGTCAAGCTGCGGCGGGTCGCCGTTAAAAGGTGATCGTCAGAGGTAGAGAAAGGTAGTCAATCAAAACAGCGTTTTCGCAAACGGAAAACTTCCATACGTACATCGCGGACTCAGCAAACGCGAGTAAGAACAAATTGTTCTAGCATATCGCGATTTGCTAGCTCAGAATCTGCCGAAAACCGACTTCAATTCCGCTCCGTTCGTCCCAGGAGCGGATCGACCCAGCGGAGTTCGCTAGGCGGACTGAAACCCGCCGTGTAAGCACTTTCATGCGCTATCCCCTTCGCTGAAAGCCGTCGCTGGATCCTCAAACCCATACCTGTTTGCATACACGAGGTGCGCAACAGCAATTCACGGCATGGAATTGGGAACTGCAGTGCGGGAGTCCGCTTCCTACGGGAAAGCGTGCAGCGGCTGCTCCAAAGCCAAATGCCGGTGCATTCTCCGAGGCGAAGGACTCAGCTGCGAGCGCTGCCACCGTCTTTCGAAAACCTGCGAACCCTCAATCGCCGTCAGGAAACGTTTGAACACGAGGCCTACGCGCAGGACGACTCGTCTTGAGGACCGGCTCGATGCTCTCGTCACATTACTCGTGACTCGGGCCGAGCCGGGGGGTAGGAATGCGTCGTCGGCTCGGCGGGTTTTTGTCAATCCGGTCGCGCGCAGTCCTGGGGCAATAGCGGCGGCAAGGGCGATATCGCCGGCGTCAGAGCCGAACCGCGCCAAAGAAAGCATTGAAGGCCCAACAATATCGACAGACGTCTCGCCAAGCGCGTCCGGGCATGGCTTGTCGCAAGGGGATCACGCCTCGGCCGTGGCCGAGCAGTGTCTTGAGACTTTTCGCACCCACCATCTTCAAGCCTTCCCATATTTTCACATCACTCCTTCAACAAGGTACGCGGTGCTCATCGCGTGGTGGTTTCGCTACATGCAGCTGACTTTACGAGAGTAGTGCAGCGGATGTTCAGCGAGACTGGCCGTTCCTGTGGCTCAACGTCCGAGCCAGCTGCTGCAAGTCCTACGTGGAGCAAAGAGCTCTTGAGCTCAAGGTCCGCGAGGCCATCTCGCAAAAGATGCTTGTGGACCTGGAAAGGAGCTTAGATTTGCTCTTGGGTCTCATCACGTACCTGAGTTGGTAAGCTCTCTTTCTATGTGGAAGACAAATTACCAGGCTCTGACTACATGCTTCATGAGGCAGGGCCGTGGAGAAGTATCGCGGAAAGCCGCTCCTGAGCGCATACTCGAGCCTTGCCGCGACACTATTGTTTGACCTTAGGCTCGACAGAAGCTCGCAGGAGATCCCTTGTCGGGAAATTAATGTGAGCAAGGCCTACAGCCACCCAATTAAGCAGGTCGTGGCAGCAGTGGATCGAAACAATGTGGAGCGGCGGGCAGTTCTAGGCTGCTACGTGGTGACTGCAACGTGAGGGTTCCAACTTCTTGGGACTCCCAGGGATTCATCTGACGTAGACAGCATCGCCTGGTTTCTGAGGACGAAGCCCGTCGGATGGACGGCGCACATGGAAGACTGCCTCTCCCACCTAGCGCAGCACCCTGAGGCGCCCGGGGATTCCAAACTGGTGGCAACTGCACGGTTATTCCGAATAATTGAGGAAGTTCATTCGGTGTCGACCTGGCGCAAGGTCGAATCTACTTCGTCACAGCCGCAGTTTTACGTCAAAGGCCTGCGAGCGATGCTTGACAACGTCAAAAATACGACCCCTCCAGAAGTCCTTCAAGACAGTAATTCTCCACGTCGCCATCATGAAGTTTGCCGCTGATATTGAAGCAGAGAACATAAAATCATACCTTTGCATGGTTGAAGCACTGATCTTTGAGCTCGCTCTATACACGGGACGGCCCACCAGCGTCAACTTTGAGCGGACAGAATGTTTTTACATGTGCTTGCAGGGGCTCAAAGGCTGCGTCGACAATTTCTTCACATTCACGCCCGACGAAGCCTTCGGGCACCCCATGCCCATGCACCTCCATTTTAGCCGCAGCACACACATACTCTACCGCCTCTGCCTGCTAGACGACCCGGCATGCGACCGCGTGGCGGTCCTGCGCACCGTGGATCTGCTGGGAGCCGTGGAGCAATGCGCTGCCATGTATGCGGCTGTCCCGGCGGCGGTGGGCCTGGAGACGAGCGGCGACGACATGTTCACGCGGACGGCCGAAGTGCTCAGAGCGACGGTCCCCATGTGGCGGCGGGCGCTGGAGGACTCGGGTGCCATTCCCGGCCCCCTGACAGCCAACATGAACTCCATGGTCCAGGACGACATGCTGTCGACAGACCTCTTGACCGACTGGTGGTTTGCGGACATTTTCTCGGTTGACGGCACGCTTTAGCCGTTTTGCGTACCAAGAATAGAAGACCAGTCCAGATTCTGCGAGACAAGACCATTTCTCGCGATCCGCGGGCATCGGTGGCAGTGGGCATCGTATCGACATTCGTTGTCAGTAGCCCTAAAAGTTCAATGTTCTGGTCTCGCCCTCGCCCGTGCGCGAGCCCCACTGCGGCGTAAGATTGGAGCAGCCCTACGGCTCGACTCAGAATGACGGGAGCAGAAGGCGGAAGTATTTCGGACACTTTTTTGTTATGGGCATGTGGGTGTAAGCGCCTGCCTTACTCCGGAAGTTGGTGCCGTGGACTCCACGGCACCGAGGCAGAGGCTCTGTGTTCAGGCTGAGATTGACGATGAACACGACTGGACCCGAAGCGGATGTCAGAGAAAATGAGTTTAGGGCTTCAACAAAGGAAGGGCGGAGATAAAACGCAGTTTTCCCCCGAAGTATGCTGCATCATCAGAATACAGAATAAATCTGACAGTCGCGGGGGTCGGAGCATTAACAGAGCGGAGTGTAGTCTGATGTCGCCTCGAGACCAGCTACCGGCAATGGCAGCAGCAAAGCCACACGCCTCGACTCCCGATTCTGGGGAGCCTGAGAAGGGTGCGGATCCAGTTGAGCGCCCAATGGTAGACGCTTCTGCCCAGTCGCAACCTCTCAGCGGCCCGAAGCTGCTACTTGTCATGGCCGGTGTAGCAGTCGTCATCCTGCTTGCGATGCTGGATATCTCAATCATCAGCACTGTAGGTTTCTTGACAACATCGACTGATGTCTGTTCCTCTAATCATATTAGGCAATCCCCCAAATCACAAGTGACTTTCACCGGCTTGAAGACGTGGGCTGGTATGTCGGTGCCTATCAGCTTGCCAGGTAAGTGCCAGTCCTTCGCAACTTAAAGAAACATCTTTAATGACAGCACGCAGTGCGACTGTGCAACCTCTCACGGGGAAGCTACTCAGCTACTTCAGCTCCAAGGTGAGAACAAGAAGAAGCGCTTCATCCAGATCATGCTGTTGACGTCGAATAGTGGACATACCTGTCATTCTTCCTTGTCTTTGAGGTCGGATCGGCCATTTGTGGCGCGGCCACGTCGTCGACCATGCTAATTGTCGGCCGTGCGGTTGCTGGACTGGGGGCTGCAGGTCTCATGAACGGAAGCCTTACCATCGTGCAGGGTGCTTGCACGCCCGAGTCGCGACCACGTAAGAGGATTTGACTTGGTTTCTCGATGTTCGCTTACCATTTGATAGTGTACACTGGCCTTACCCTTGGAGGTTTGTCTTCCATCTACACGCAACTGACTGCATTGGCTGACTGGCTCAGTCGGACAAATCGGCCTCGTTCTTGCCCCTCTGCTCGGCGGGGTGTTCACGGAACACGTTACATGGCGCTGGTGTAAGCCTTTTCGAAGATATGGCGATATTTCAGGAGGCTAACAACTGAGCCCCAGGCTTCTACATTAATCTACCTCTCGGCGGCCTTGCTGCCGTTTTAATACTCCTCACCGATATACCTGAGCAGACCCCGAAGAAGCCCGCTACGCTCGCATACGTCCGAGCCTTGATCCCTACCTTCGACCTTGTCGGCTTCGTCCTCTTCGCGCCGGCATCTATAATGCTGCTTCTCGCCCTCCAATTTGGCAGCGGCGACTACGGGTGGAAGTCGTCCCAGGTCATCGGCCTGTTCTGTGGCGCGGTCGTGACGGGCATAATATTTGTCTACTGGGAGCGGCGCATGGGCGACGATGCCATGATACCACTGCCCATGGTGCGGCAAAGGGTCATCTGGTCGAGCGCACTCAATTTCGCGCTGCTGATGCTGGCTGTGATTGTCGGGAGCAATTTCTTGCCCATCTACCTGCAATCTGTCAAGGGACTGTCGCCGACCATGAGCGGTGTATACATGCTGGCTTCGATATTGACGCAGATCATCTTCATCTTCCTGGCTGGGGGACTCGTTACGAAACTCGGCTACTACATCGGCTGGGCAATCTTTTCAGCTGTCGCCACGGCCATTGGATGTGGCCTCATAGCAACCTGGAGGCCAGACACAGGCCTAGGCAAGATTATTGGGTATCAGATCCTCTTGGGTGCCCGCGGCGCGGGCATGCAAATGGTGAGTCATCAGAGATTCTCAAAGAGGGAGCTTCGTCAACGGAGCTGATCATATGGCACAGGGAGTTGTGGCCATCCAAGCCACTCTGCCACGGAAGATGGCCGCCGTCGGCAACAGCTTCCTCGTCTTCTGTCAAAACATCTTCGGCGCCATCTTCATCACTGTCGCAAACAGCATCTTTCAGGAGAGCCTCCGATCCGACATTTCGTCCAGTGTTCCAGGGATCAGTCCAGAGGCAGCCATTGCAGCGGGCGGGAGTAGCCAGGCGGTTCGTGCGTTGGCTCCCGCGGGACCGATCCGGGACGGCTTGCTGGATGCGTATACCAACGGGTTCAACAAGGGTTTTTATATGCTTGCAGCGACTAGTTGCGTGGCCCTTGCTGTTTCTTTCGGGATGGGATGGGTGGATCTACGGACCAAAGTACAGCAGCCTAAGCGGGGAAACAGTTGAACGGAAAACGCCTACTTCGTACGCCAAAAGCCTTCTGTCAAGCGTGGGTTATATGCCCCAGAAGCGCCGTAATCTCATGTATAGCCACGAACAATGGTTTTGTAGCTTGAGTGACATCGTTGTGCTGGCTACCCACTCTTGCATCATTCTTCTTCGAGAGCCACTGCCGTTAGTGGATGTGATGCGATGTCCGTGTAGGCGTGATCCGGGGACCAGTGCCAACAACGAATGAGGCGAGCTCGAATGGTACCTCCCGGTGCCTCATGGCACCTCTTGCTTCGTGCGCCCCCTAACAGTATGACCGTCCCAGGGCGCTGGATACTGCGGGGCGCATGCGTGGGTGTGCTTACATGCAGTAAAGGCAGCTGTTCTTTGCAGCGTCCGTGCTCTAGACTATGTACGCTCTAGCTGCATATCAAACCTAACCAAAACGTTTTCGGGGACTTTCTGCACTCAGCTTGAATGCACTTAGGTCTTGCCGATGTTATCGATCGTCCACGGTCTGCATGAAGTGGCCGCTCGTGACAGTTCAATATGACTGCCCTCAGGCGACCTATCTCGTGACGAACATGCTCATTCACCCTGGCGCGGTCACATGCCAAGATACGCCGCCCTGGCCTGTGCTCTGGCAACCGCCAGGCACATCAAAGACCGGTGTGTCCTCACACACGGCGGTGATGATGCAATCTTGTGTGGCAACAATGGCTGAGCGAACTAGATGTCGAGACGTTGGAGACCAAGAGCTCGCGTCCAAGCACTATCGGCCGTTTCCGCCGGACGGAACGCCACGGCCCTGTTCCCCGTCTTGAAGCTGGGCGTTCGAGGCCAAGTGCCAAGCCTTGCGCCTCGCCCGGCGCTGCAGCCAAGGGCATTCATGTCCCTCAGCCGCGGCACATGGGGATGGACAATACCGTGAGCGAGCTTCGGCGCTGTGATGCCATTACAACGGCCTGGAGGTGAGTTCTGCCTAGAGCTGGAGATCTTCGTCGTGTTGGCCATGATGTCCTTCAGCGCAGTTTCAAGAGCTCAATGCTGCTCAAATGTTGTGACTTATACCCAGATGGGCCCGCTTGACTTACCACTCAGCCCTACCTGTAGCAGTCGTCGATTTTGGGTTCAGCCAAAGCATCGAGTCCCTGACACTAAACTTGTGGTACTAGCTGGACTACTAACTAGTCTCGCGTGCACTTTCCCGCACTGGACTCGTCTCAATAGATCATTCAACGCTCGGGAGGCCTCGGTCACCAAACCCCAAAATCTTTCTATTCAAAACCCGTCGGACACGCGCATAACTCACTCATGGTGCAACGCGGAGGCGCAATGGCGACATTGCCCAGAGCCAAGAGACTGACGACGCCAAGACGATTCCCATTCGGTGCGCAAGCTGCCCGGACCCAGATAGATCCATGCAGTTCCGCAGCCACGTTCTGGTCCACTTTCGGCTTGGCTCCCCCCTGGCCGCCCTTCAGGTTTAAGCTTATCGAGCGGCGATGGCTTGGCGGAACGCTCCGCCGCGCGGCAGTTAAAGACTGAGGCTCCTCGCTCGGGCTGTCGCTCACTCGAGGTCTACGAATCCGACTTTTTCTTCCAATTAATACCGTTGTACCAAGAAAGCACACAACATTGAAGTGCACACAAAGTACTATCGGCGTCTATGGCGGACACCAAAGAAGTCTCGCCGCATGTGCAGGCGACTCCTCCCGATGGGGAGACCATCCTGGCCCGGGAGGTCGACTGGACAGTCCAAGAGGAAACCAAGGCTAAACGGAAGTAAGGGATCCTACTGCCATTCGAGACGAAGTGTAAGCTAATGAACAGGCTGGATCTCATCATCATGCCCATCCTGACACTGGGTTTCTTCTGTCTCCGTAAGTGCAAAGATCCCCCTCGCGCCAACATAACGGGACAACTTCTGACCACAAAGGCAGAGCTCGATCGCGGCAACATGGCCAACGCCATCACGGACAAGTTCATGGAAGACGTGGGCATCAACCAAGACCAGTTCAACGTCGGCCAGCAGATGCTGTCCCTCGGCATCGTGCTCTTCGAGATCCCCTCCAACATGATCCTATACCGCGTCGGCCCCGGCAAGTGGCTCACGCTGCAGCTCTTCCTCTTCGGCATCGTGAGCACCTTCCAGGCCTTCCAGCGCGGCTACGGCGCCTTCATCGCCACGCGCCTGCTCCTCGGCGTCACCGAGTCGGGCTTCATCCCCGGCGGCCTGTGGACCCTGTCTACGTGGTACACGCGCGACGAGACGGCCAAGCGCGTCATGGTCTTTTACTTTGGCAACCAGATCGGCCAGGCGTCGGCCAAGCTGCTCGCCTTTGGCATCCTGCACATGCGCGGCGTGGGGGGCCAGCCGGGTTGGTTTTGGCTGTTTGCGCTCATGGGCGCGTTCACCGTCCTGGGTGGCTTCGTGTTTGGCTTCTTCCTGCCGGACTCGTTTCGGAACCCGAGAAGCACGTTCTTGCCGAATGTGCAGTGGTTCACGGAGCGGGAGCTGCATATCCTACAGACGCGTGTGCTGATTGACGACCCCATGAAGGGGCGCAAGAAGAAGCGCATCGGCGGAGACGCCTTTAAGCGCACGGTGAGCTGCGACTTGCCGCCCGTTGTCGATGATGATGTTACTGACCACTGTGCACAGTTCATGGACTGGCGCATCTGGGTGCACTTCCTCATCACGCTGTGCAACAACGGCCCGCAGCGCGCGTTCGACACATACGCCCCGTCCATCGTGACCAGCTTCGGCTTCGGAAGCCTCGTCAGTAACGCGATGGCCGCCGTCGGCCTCTTCCTGCAGGTTCCCATGTCGTTTGCATTTAGCTGGGTCTCGGACCGCTTGTAAGCTCCCTCCCGTTCCTTGGACTAGTCAATCGTTGTCGAGAATTAGCTGACAGTGAAAAGCAACCGCCGAGGCGAGACCGTCATGGTCGGCTTCTTCTGCCATTTGCTGGGCTACATCTTCAACCGCACCTTCACCGACGTCCCGCTCCGAGGCGTCCGCTACTTTGGCGTTGTCTGGACGCAAACCTTTGGCACCTTTTCGCACCCCCTGAATATCGCGTGGCTGTCGCTCGCGTGCACCGACTCGGAGCAGCGCGCACTCGCCATGGCCGGGTAGGATCCGTCTCGGCCCTTGTCGTGTAAAGTCAGTTACTAACATCTCTTGCAGGGTCATCATGAATGCCAACATTGCGGGCATTTACGGTGCCCAGATTTTCCGCGCCGACGACAAGCCTCTGTACCGCCGCGGCTTTAGCGTTGCCATCGCTGTTCTATCGGTTGGTCTTGTGCTTGCCGTTGTCCGATGGGTCGACGATCTGCGCCGGCGCAGAAAGAGCAAGCACTTGGTGCAGGTTGAGACAAAGGATGCGGGGGCGGTGTCAACCTGACAAGGAAAAGGTGCTTGTGTGGAAGAAGAATACTTTGGAACACAATACGGGGCTTCATCTACGGCAATACACATCTTACAGACTCGAATAATGCAAAGCCATTTATACACAAGACTAAGTCAGGTATTAACTTGGAGAAGGGGTATAGCTACAGGAAGCGACAGTGCCTAGGGAAGGTATCTCTCGAGAGGTATCAGTCAGGAATCACTCAGGTATCAACAACCAACTACCGCCCGTGGCATCCTTCATCATACACACTGCAATTATCCCTTGTAGGCAACCCGGGTCTCGTCCTTGTACAGCTCGGGGCAGACGGCGTCAGTCTGGAAGAAGATCCAGCGCTTGATCCACCAAGGCAGAACGGTGAAGAGCTGGTAACTAGCGTGCGTGCGGTCGGGAACAGCAAACACGTAGTCGAGTTCCTCGAGCGTCTTCTGCTTCGTCTCGGGAACGAAGAGGAAGATGAGCACGAGTGCCACCAAGTTCAGCCCAGCGTAGAAGCCAAAGGCGCCGACCGACGACATGGCCGTAAGCATACGCGGGAAAGTGAGCGACAGGACCGACGCCCAGAAGTTGTTGGTCGCGACGGCCCAGGACATGCCAACCTCGCGGTGGGACAGGGGGAAGACCTCGGCCGAGTACATGAAGGGTACGGGTCCCTCGCCTGGTCTGGTCAGTAAAGGGTCCTCTTCGCTCTGGCTTTTGTTGTTCACTTACCAGGAGAGTAGAATGCAGCAAAGAGATAGACAAAGGTCGCCACGGCAGCAATGCGAGCGGTGCTGTGCTCAACATCAGGCTCGATAAGGTAGCAGAGGCCGGCGGCTAATACATGTTAGCGTAATGCGCTCGCTCAAGGCGCGTGTGGAACTTACCGAGCAGGGTCCAGAACATGTTGGGGAAGGTAAACAGGAGCAGGGTGCGCCGGCCAAAGGTGTCGATGGTCCAAACGGCGGGCCAGGCGAAAATGAAGTTAATCATGCCAAAGCCAAAGCTGGCCCACAGCGCGGTGTAGTCGTCAATGCCGCTCTGCTTGAAGATGGTACTGCTGTAGAAAGCAACAATGTTGATTCCGCACATCTGCTGGGCAATCATGACGATACCGGCGGCCCAAGTGGCGCGGCGAATGCGCGGGATGGTGAACAGCTCGATGAAGCGAGTGAACAGGTTGCTCGTGACCTTGAGGCCGGCCTCCTCAACAAGCACATCCTCCTGCTCGAGGAGCACGTTGATGTAAAAGAGATCTCTGGCAGCTTGCAGGGGAGTGTTGCGGAGCCTCAGAAGCGAGCGCCACGCCTTCTCGAACTTGTTCTTCTTGATCAGCCATCGAGGACTCTCGGGGCAGAAGTAAGTGCCGATGACGAGCGGGACGGCAGGGATGAAGGCAGAGCCAAGCTGGAGACGCCAGGCAATGTCGCCGGTCTTTCCGACTGCCAGGTTGGCGCAGGTACCCAGGAAAATGCCTGAAACATTAGCCTTGAACACTTGTTGAGAAACTGGTCATTCTTACCGAAAGCCGTCCAGACTTGCCAGGACATGACAAGACCACCACGGATGGCGGCGGGCGAGTTCTCAGCTGAGAAGACAGGGACAGTCACTTCCTTCAGACCCATGCCGATTCCGAGAAGCATACTGTTCAACCACTTTAGAAGATGCATTGGCTGAAGAAGCCAGAGGCGTGCACATACCGACACACGAGCAGCTGTTGCCAGGTCTGGGACACTGCCATACCAAAGGGAGCGAGGAGGGAGAAGATGGCCGCCACGAAGATGACACCACGACGGCCCATCCAGTCATTGAGAGGGTCGGAGATCCAGCCGGCACTATTCAGTCAGTTCCATCGCAGGCAACGGGCGACAGAGAGGCACAACTTACAACAGGGCAATGGTGATGTAAGGCATGGCATTGACGAGGCCAATGATCCAGCTATTCTTAGCACAGTCTCCCTCGCTTGCGACCGGCCCGCAGGAGGAGCCAGCCGAGTCCGGGATACCCAGAGCGACGGGGAAAGACAAATTGGCGCCATTGGAGCCGGTCTAAGCGATGTCTCAGTGCTCTGTACAAGCGTTGCTAAAGTTCGTAGTGTTGCCTACCTGATCCCAACCCTGGATGGCGGCAGCGATCGAGTTGAGGAAGATTGTGTAGTAGAGGGCCCAAGGGTGCTTCCAGCGATGAGTGACCTCCTCTCTGAGGGCGAGCTTGTCGGCCTCGTCGAGGTCGTCGATGGTCTCGAAGCCGACGGGGTTCTGGGCGACCAGGGCACCCTTGCGCAGCAGGGGCAGAACGTCGGCCGGCAGGCCCTTGTCGCGGTGGAACTTTTCGACTCTCTCGAGGAGAGCCTCGCGTGGAACGCCTCGGAGGGGGTTCTGGATCTCACCCTCGAGGTTCTCGGCGAGGCTCACTCTGCGACGCTGGCCCTCATGGTCAATGGCCTCCTTGGAGGCGTAGCCACTGTGACATTGTCAACGGCAAGTCTCAGACAGAGGATTGCCAGAAGCGGGACTTACACGGCCTCGTCTCTCTCCTCCGTCACCTTGCGCTCGTGGTCAGACATGGCGCCAACGGATCACTTGAAAGTCTTTGAAAAAAACTCGCAACTGCACAGGCTCAACAAGGAGAATGCAGAGCGGGATGGGAGCATACGAGGAGCTTCCCCCGGTGGCGAGAAGGACGGACATTGGCTTAAATAATGCCAGAATCGAAACGAGGGAATCACGCAGGTGGCTGCAGCTTGGGAGGTCCGGGACACAACGCCACTGGCCTCGATGCCAAATCCTCTCGTCCAGCTTCATCCGGTCGTTGCTGAGGACCGGGGTTAGTACGTCCGTCACTCCTGGAAACTGACCACCCCATGTCATGCGGCAAGCCAACTGTTGCTTTTGGACAGCGGGCGTGGTCGTGGGCGAGGCGTGACACTGCTGCCGCTGCGAGTTAGTGGAGTACGCGTGCGGGCCAAGTGCCGGCACCTGCACTAACAGCTTGCGCGAGCAGGGCGGCCAACGCAGCGCGCTTGAGGCGGCCGCGTGTTAGTCGTGCCGGTTTGAGGTGCCGGAAGCCAGGTCTCGCGCTGCCACAGGGCCGGGGGCCCGTCGAGGGTTGCAGCCAACAAGCCATCCGGCGCCCTGCAGTGGAGGCGGCCGCCACCCCCTTGTCGTGAATGGACAGCGCATCCAACAATCCGCAGGCAGCAGCATTTCTCACCACTCGAGGGGTGTCTCGATGCGGGGATGTGGCACAATTGGGCTCGGAGTGGGCGTCCGGAGATGAGGGCCTCGCGACGTCGGGATGGAGTAGCCCTCAGGCAGATCTCTAACGAGTCATTGCGCAACTCGCGCGAGGTCGAGACGGGCGTTGAATCCGCTCCACAATAGCGCCCTTTGGCGCCATCGTGGGGGCTGAATTGAGGTGCGGGTACCGGCAGTGGTGCGGAGAGCCGAAAAGCCAAGTTTTTTGCTTGCCTGTCGATCTGATCTGTTGTGCCGGGGGGTCACAAAAATAAACGACGACTGGCGAACGAACGACTGGCGTGCGTGCTGGTTGTCCGGTCTGACGTGGGCCAACAGCGCTCGCCATGCTCGGCTTCGCCGCCACCGCAGCCGCCCGCGAACCCTGGGCCACGTTCGCGTGCGATGAGTGAGAGCCTGAGGAGGGGGGCCGGCCGGCCCTGGTGAGGCCCGATGGTTTGCTTCTCCGAAAGACGCTGCGCTCGTTGCGCGGTTGGGGGATCAAGTTGGTGCTGCTCCGCACCCCGCTCCCCATGTCCCCATCTCCATGGCCATCCCCATCCTGATCCCCATCCGCGGCCTGGAACGGGCCAGCTCGAGGCGCCTCTCGCCGGGGTAGCCGCAGCACCATCACGGTCGTTCCACCATCAGCGCTCTTCTCGAAGCGACGCCAAGTCCGTTTGGCGTTTGCCTAATCGCGGAGCTGCACGGCGACTGCTGATTCGCGGTTCAAGCTTCTCCGCCGATCCTTCATGGCTGGTTCCACTCGCAGCTGTGACCGGGGTTTGCATCCACCGACGGAGCTTGGCGCTTGGCAACCCTCAACCAGCTTCCCGTGTCAGACAGCCAGGGTCAGAGTCAGACGGACGGGCTCACCGCAGGCGGCATGGCATGACGTTGGAGGGCCGGTCCAACGCCGGACAGCTCGTAACGACATGGATATGGATGGATGTGTTGCTGCGAAGGCGGTCGGTCGGTGGACAAGCGCATCACGCGATGGCGAGCAACGCCGCCGCTTGCGGTCGCCGTTCGAGACCAGTCGCCGAGTCGCCGAGCCAAGTCATGTCGGGCGAGGCGGAGCCAGTCGGTGCTACCCTGGTTCCTCGCGTCTTTTCTCGTTGCCAGAGGCGGGTCATGGCGATGACCTCGTCGATTCATTGTCCGCAGCGAGGGTTGCTTGAAAAATTGTGTGGACAAAAATGATCGGCACCTCGCCTCTCTCCGGATGGTGGCAGCTACACGTGACATTTCTGACACTGACTCAGCCACGCATCCTCCATCCCAACGCCCACCCTCAATCCTCCTCCCATCACCTGACACCTCACTCGATTCATCAATCACTCCTACGCACCGCCTTGACTCGCCAGCCAGCCGATGTTCGGCGTGTACACGTTGGACGAGCCCGCCGACGGGGTCGTCCGCGCGCCCAAGCTCAACTGCAAGAAGTCCCGCTTCGGCTGCACCCGCTGCAAGCTCCGGAGGGTCAAGGTGTGTCCAGAGCTCCCTCTGCTCGCTTGCTTGCCTGAAACGTCCGCAAATAGCACGGGGCACGTCGAGCAGCGCAGTGCAGCAGCTCACTGATTCATCAGTGTAACGAGCAACGCCCCAAGTGCCAGCATTGCAGGCGCCACGGCACGGCCTGTGTCTACAAGCATGACCGGGCCCAGGCGCAGGCGGGCCATAGCTCCACCCAAGGCTCTCAGCGCCGGCAGAATGCAGCCAACAATCCCGACAGCCTGGCCAGCCGCGCGACGGAGCCGGACCCTGCGGAGTCCCGCGAGCGGCGCGTGCTGGAGGCCGGCCTCATGCGCCAGTACGTCGCCAAGACCGGGCCCGGCACGGCAATCGACGACCTGACCCGGCCAATGTTTGCCGAAGCCATCCCAGAGCAGTCTTTGGGGTGCGACTCTCTCCTCTACTCCATGTACTCCATCGCCGCCCTTCACCAGGCGTGCGGTGCAAGAGACGGTGCCGCCGCCGCCGTCTCGTCAGACGTGCACCGCCGATACCTTGCCATGGCTTTGCGCGAGCATCAGGCGTCGCTGCAGGACATTACTGCGGACAATGTCGACAATCTCTGCATGACGTCAAGTCTGCTGCGCGTTTGCGCTTACGCCATGCTCCAGACGCGGCCTCGTGTGCCGTACTCGCCTCCCTCCGAGTGGCTGTTGATCTGCGGTACCGCCATGGCTCTGTACGAAAAGGCATGGGACGTTGCCAAGGAGCGGCCGGACTCCCTAGCGTGGAAGTTCCTGAGGAGCCCCTACGCTATGGCGGACGAGGGGCATAGCGGCGAGGACAAATCGACTGCATTCGACATATTGTTGACGAGGGAGGCTGGCGACTCGGACCCCTGGGACGTCGAGTCACAAGAGGCCTACCAGCAGGCGCTATGTTTCCTCGGCAGCGTTCAATGCGCCATCCAGGACGGCGAGCCCGAGGGCCACATATGCAGGCTCCTTGTCGTGTTCCCCATGGTGATCAAGAGGCGGCTGTTTGACCTGGTCAACGCCGAGGAGCCGAGAGCTCTGGCGCTACTGGCGCACTACTTTGCTCTTCTCAGCGGCTTTGACCACATGTGGTGGATCGGGCCCGGGCCGGCGCAGGAGGTCATGGCCATTGCGGAAGAGCTGTCCACGCATGGGCGGTGGGTGCCAGTACTGCGGCGGCCCATTGAGCAGGTCAATGCAGGCTCTAAGGCTTACGGTCGGACGTCGTCTTCTGCAGCCGGGTGATGAAGGATGGCAGTGCATCTCGCTGGACCTGCTGGCGCAGTGGCCGGGAAGTTCTGCTTACGGGCATCGTTTTCGCATCTTCCTAATGCGGCTAGGTCACTCATTTGTAAGTGCCCAATTGGGAAATCGTTCTCGCACCCTCGGATTCGCATCATCGGAGTTCGCGAATTGCCAGTCATGTCAGACTTGGAACTTGATCGGCAAGTATGCCAGTTGACGCGTGAGATGCCGTGTTCTTGAAGAATCCAGATGGGATATAAAAGGCTGCTTGACTTGCGAGCAGGTTCAAAATGGCACCCTTCATGCTTGGACAACACAGTCTTCACGAGGCCGTCCTCTTTTAGACTACCCTAAACTACATTGACGACGTTCCCGACGAAGCACTCATGACTTCTATCACTATCGCCTTCCTCCTGCTTTTGCAGCTGGTATCAGGCGCTCCTCAATCTATTCATTCACGGAATACAACTCACCCAGGTCCGTCAAGCAATCACACAATGCTTCAATTGAGCTCGGACGTCACCTTCAATTATGAAATCTTGCGGGTCCTGGCCGTTTCTTCCTACCAAGGCGCCGATGTCAGCGAAGTGCTCGATGCTGCGGGCCAGATCCGGCCAGCCGACTTCGAAAGCTGGTACCAGCAGTTCTCCAAGGCCGCCAAGCGCGTCCATAGTATTGCCAACTCGGTCGACTCATGCAAGCACCCCGTCTCGGCAAGGAACACCCTCTTCCGGGAGGCGACGTACTGGCGTTCCGCCGACTTCTTTCTGCACGGCAATTGGACGGACCCGCGGATCAATGAGCTGTGGGTGAAGCATCTCGCGGCGTTCAACAAGGCCATTGCGCTCCTTCCCGTCCCCGGTAAGCGCATCACGCTCCAGGGCGACGGGTTCAAGATTCCGGCAATCTTCTACAGCAGCGGCAGCAAGGAACCCCGACCGACGGTCATTATGTGCAACGGCTACGACGGCGCCCAAGAGGAGCTGTATCACGTCATGGTCGAGGCTGTGCTGCAGCGCGGCATGAACGCAATCACTTTCGAAGGTCCTGGTCAGCCCACCGTGCGCCGCGAACAGAACCTGGGCTTCATTCCGGAGTGGGAGAATGTGGTCACACCGGTGGTCGACTACGCTTTGAGCCGCAAGGAGGTCGACGCCAAGTCTATCGCGCTTATGGGCTACTCCTTTGGCGGATACCTTGCGCCCCGTGCCGCCGCGTTCGAACATCGCCTCGCCGCGGTCATCGCCATCGACGGTCTCTACGACTTTGGTGAAGCCATGCTCCGCCAGGTTGGCCCCGAGCTCACCGCACTGTGGCGGAACGGCAACTACACTTTCGTCGACGAGACGATCAAGGGGCTGCTGGCGAACCCGAAGACGCCGACGCCCGTCCGCTGGGGCATCGCACAGGGCCTCTGGTCCTTCAACACGCAGTCGCCCTCCGAGTGGCTGAACAAGACGCAGGCCTACACGCTCGACTCGGTGATTGACAAGATCCGCTGCCCAGTGTTTGTGGCCGACGCCGAGAACGAGTCCTTCTTCCCTGGCGAGGCCAAGGAGCTCGCGGACAAGCTCGGCCGCCGTGCGACGCATCACTTGTTTACGGCCGAGGATGGGGCGGGCGAGCACTGCCAGGTTGGTGCGACGCAGCTGATGAACCAGGTTTCGCTGGATTGGCTCCAGGATGTTGGCTTCCGCCGTTGAAACTTTGCGTGTACTTGGCAAGACTGGGCATTAAATAGATCTACTTTACATTTATAGAGGCAGGCGCAATTTCATAAGATGATTTTCATTCCAGACCGGCCACCCTGCTTACGCAGCCAGGGCAGGGTACTCGGGCAACCTGTACGGGTCCTCTGACTTGAGGAGCGAATGCTGAAACGCCCGGTCCAGCCCCAACGTCGTCGTGATGCCCAGCAGCGTGTTGATCACCTTGACGCCAAACTCGCCCTTTGGGTACGCCAGCCCCGGCAAGCCCTTGGGGATCTTCTGCACCTTTTCGACATACGGCCGCAGCTCGCGCTCGTACGCCTCGCACGCGGCGCGCAGGTCGTCCGGGCTCTTGGAGATCTCGCCGGCGAGCACGTACGCGCCCATGAGGGCGAGGCTCGTGCCCATGCCCGTGAGCGGCGTGGGCGCGTATCCCGCGTCGCCCACCAGCACGACCCTGCCCCGGGACCAGGTCCCCGTGCGCACCTGCACCATGGGGTGCGCGTAGAAGTCGTCGGCGCGGTGCATCTCGTCGACGAGTCGCTCTGCCTGCCATCCGGCGTCGCGGAACGTCTGCGCGAAAAGCTCTTTTTGCGTGGCAGTGTCCTGCTGCAGCGCGGCGGCGAAGTCCTCTTCGTGCGCCATTGTGCCCAGGTTGGCCTGTCCTTCTGTCTGGGAGTGCCACCGCACGAGGATGAAGCGCTGCTTGGTTGCCGTGTAGCTGATGGCGAGGTCCGGGTCGTCGGGACGGCGCGGGATCGTAAAATAGGCCATGTTGACGCCCAGGTTGCGATTCGCGTCCAGCTCGGCCTCATCCTTGAGCATCATCTTGCGGATCCGCGATCCCTGGCCGTCTGCCGCAACGAGCAAGTCGTACGCCTCGCTCGTGCCGTTCGAAAAGGCAACCTGCACGCCGTCGTCTCGCTGCTCAAACTCGTCCACCGACACGCCGAACCTATACTCGGCCGAGTCCTTTGTCAGGTCGACCAACACCCTCACCAGGTCCCCACGCAGCATCTCGAACTCGCTCGTGAAGCCCTGCCGACCGGCCGCGTCGCCCTCGATGCGCGCAAACAGCGCCCTTTGTCGGCCGGCCGAATCGACGACCTGGAGGCCGAGCTCGTCGATGATGTGGCCGCGGATCGACTCGAGGATGCCCATGCGCCGGGCCGTCTCGACGCCCTGCTTGCGCAGGTCTATCTGCTGCCCGTTGGCGCGCAGGCTGGGGAAGCGCTCGATGACGGTGCATGCGTGGCCGAGGCGAGTGAGCCAGAAGGCGAGCGCCGGGCCGGCGATGCCCGCGCCGGAGATGAGGACTCGAAGCGGCATTGGCGTGCGACTTGTCACGTATGAGTGCGTCGACGCGCGGCGCACTTTGTATGTCGAAGAGGCCTGATCGGGCACGAAACTAGAAGCCTAAAAGCGAGCGACATTTGAGGTTTGACAAGCCGCTGGATGGATGGAACGCCAACCCGCTTATGATCATGCCTGTGTGCGACACCGGGTGCCGGCCACGGGCTCGGTCGCAGAGTCCCGTCCGTCGTCGAAACGGCCATCTTTTCGGGCCCGAGCTTCGTGTGGCTGAGCTGCCCGAGATCCGACCAGACTCAGTGCCGGCGCAACGAACGCTGCTCGGTTGCTGACTCGCGCAAGCATATGCAGCAATCTACTGTCCCAAGATGCCACCATCAAGTTGCACCACGATGCTCAGCAGGCGCAAATAGCAGTCTCCAATTTGACGCGGTGGTGAACTAGGTACTCCGGCTTTCAGCGGCACGATCGTTGATGAGTGAAGTCACCTATCTAGTCTACTTGCTCGGGCGGTCAGGGCCCCCGTGGCACATGGCACAAACAACCAAGTGGCCGCCAACGACTGGGGAATGCTGCAAACTGTTGCGCTGGACGCGACGCGCCGGCTGTTTCTGTTGGTCTAGTTACCAGTCTGCACGGTGAAAATATCGCTTGATTGATGAGCGCTGAGCACAGACAGTGTTGGCTCCTCATGGTTCGCAGCTTCCAGTCCAGTCCTCCATCGGTAGTAAACAAACACTAAAGGTCGCTGTCGATTCGCCGACAGAAGAGTGGTCCAACATGCAAGAGTGTCGTCCAATAGGAGTTGGAAACGATTCTGGACATACGGATACTCCAGTCCGAATGGGATCCGATCAAGGAAGCTGGGTTCGAGCACCACATCGGTGATGCACGTGCCACAACCCGGCGTCGTTTGGACCGTGCCTGTACTGCGCTGCTCGTCCGTCAGAATCGCGCCAGGGTTCCTTGGCCAAAGGGGTTCTCACTAGACCCGGTGCTTCCCAGCGTCGTCCGGTGTAGAAGGAAGTTCACGTTGCGCATCGCGGTCGGCTTCATGTTGCGCGCCGCGGCCATACACCCAACAGGCGGCGAAAAAATCGCAAATCGAGCCTGGTTGGCTCACCTAGACATTGAGCACTTACCGGCCATCTCAGAAGACTTCAATTCTGCTCCTCATCCAGACTTTCTATGTGACTCGCAAACGTAACCTGGCACGGCTGTCCTGCGGACCCCTCGCTTGTCGGGGTGAGCGTCAGGGGCATGACGTTCCTGATGTGAATGCGCCTCGCAAAAGCCGCGCCTGCATCGAGAAACGGCTTACATGAGTTTGGTATCTCGACCTCTCGCACGTGGGCATCATCTTCTAGCGCCAGAAGGAGGTCGTTTGCCCGCGGCATGTAGTGACCCATGTCGAACAACAGCTCGCAACCGCGACAGAGAGCGTCCTCGTGCGGACCGGGGACGGGTAGATTGAGCAGCAACGTCGAGACCGCCGCGTGGCAGGCATACACGAGCCAGCATTCGAGCCGCATCCCGAACACTGTGCGATAGTCCCATAGGGAAGAGAGCATGTTCTCACAGTGTGATCGGGAGAGCGACCGAGCCGCCTCGCCGCCGTCGAACTCCAAAAAGGATAGGCCTAGGAACGGCTCTAGAAGCTTTATACAGACCAGGTCAAACGAGACCCTGGCGCTCGGTTAGCTTGTCAATGCCGAGTATGCCGCGCAACTCGTGAACATACAGCAGGCTCGCCCAACACGGAGCCTGTGCGGTGTAGTGTCCGCGCAGCATAAAGTCTTGGCTGGACGACTTCCACGCGAGGAAGCGATCGTAGAGCGCCTTGGACCTGCGATAGTCGGGCACCAGGCTTGAGCGGCTTTCCTCGATGGCGGGCAGAAACTCGCCGGCCAGCTGGGACAGCTCATACTCGGCCACATTGGCGTTGCTGTGATACGACAGCTGCGGCCCAGCCGAGACAGGATAGGGGATCCACAACGGGGAGCCGCCTTCTTCTTGAGATGGCGGTATGCCGGCCAGACCCAGCGCGGTCGACGGACGGTTCGCTATGAGGCTCAGCTTCCTAAGACGCGATCGGTCCTGTTAGCGTGGGGCTCCTCGTCATATACATGTGTGCTAACGAGCCAATTGTCATTTACAGGTCGAGGCAGTGGAATCCGTTGGCAATGGATGCCAGCGCCTCCCCCACCTTGCTTTCCTTGGGGTCTCCCTGAGCGACCTCCATCGAGTCCATCCAATCTGGCCCGTCGAAGATCTTTGACGAAGCCCTCAGCGCGCTCAGCTTGTCGAAGAACAGGCTCGTGCCCAGGGGCAAGTCCCCAAATGTCATCTCATGCACAGAGAGGATGGCCACGCCCTGCATGAGGGACACCTCGACCTGCTCCTGGTGGACGGCGAGCAGTCGGAACGCCTCGTCAGCAAAGCTGCTACCGCGGGGAGCCGCCGCCCTGAAGTCATCGCTCTTGTGGAAGCAGCTCTGTCCTCGTCAGTCAACGCTCGCTCCCACGGATCGGCGCATGCGCGCCTACGCACCGTCGAGACCGCAAGGATCGAATTGATCAAGAACTCGGAGCAGAAGCGCGTGTCCGGCCGGCCGGGGCCTTGCGTGTCGGCCGTGAGGCCGTCAAGCAGGAGCTCACGATGCAGAATCCGCGCGAGCGAGTGGTCCCACGTCCAGAATAAGGCGAAGAGGTGGTTCAGGAGCGTCTCGTCGGCGGTCACCGTCGTCCACCGCGACAGCGGCAGCACCGCCCTCCAATCCTCCACAATGTTCCAATTGAGTACAGACACCGGACAATCCTGTCCCCCTCCCAGTCGCTGACTGGGCTCGCCCCCTGAAGCCGCAGTCGTCGACAGGTCCCAGTCGCTGTCTGTTGGCGGCAGCGCGCCGCTGAAGTCCTGTGACGTCTCTGCGCCCCCCGAGCCTTCGAGGGCGCCGCGCTCGGCAGACTTACACATGGCGTCCAGTGATCTCTTTGCATGTGCATATGCACCTTCCAGCTCCGCCAAACGCTGCTTCAAGGTCGCACCGGGCCCAGCGTACACGCATTCAGCCTTGACCGCAAGGCACGACCGGCAAGACGGCCGGTGGCCATCGCACTGCGTCTCTGTCAGCGCTGGCGTCCCCTTTGGTCTGATTACGAGGCACAGAGAGACTGGATGGTGCCGCCGACCTTGGCCTTGCGCTTTCGACACCCTTCAGAGATAAAGAGACGATCAGCAACGGTCCATGCCACGCGTCCAGGATCGGCGGACGTACGGTCACATGCCAGCTTCACCTGGCTTCGTTTGGACCTCTGGACAGCCTCGCCGCGTGGAGGGTCCCCCCCGGCCCCGGTTGGCGGTTTGGGGAGGAGCTGTCTTGTGGAATCCGTGCGGTGACGCTGCATCCTGGGGTTGTCTGGGGGCTCGAGGCTCCCAAGGGTGTCTTTTTGGGCGATCAGGGAGCGCTCCGCTTACTTACTGGTCGCCTGACAGACCCGCTGGGCGCCTCGCATTTATTATGTTTGCCTCCTCGGTTGCCGCGTGACGTCAACTTGACATTGGGAGACGGACTATGACCCCATGTCGTGTCACCGGTAAACGCGGTCCGCCGGGGCCTTGGGTTTGGCGGAACGATTGCAATGCAGCTCATCTTGACACCATGCTTCGGGCCCGGCTGAATCACGAGGCAGTAGTATATGGGACCATGTGCGCGGGGACAGCAATATGTCGAGAGCGATGACTGCAACCACACATGTGCGGCCATGCAGTACATCAACGGCGCGCCCCGAACCAACGCAAACGCCTTGGGATCGATATTGAACGAGAACCGTGCTATACCGCAGAGCCATTGACGTATAGAAAGAACAGGCATGTACTACAGGGGATGCTGCACACGGCTGACGAACGGTTGGGGTCGCCAGTGCCACATCAATGCAATCCATTCAGGCCTTGCCCTCCACCTCCGCCTTGACCGCCAACTCCATCTCCACCTCGACGCCCACTCCCTCAATCCAGGCCTGCCGAATCCTCCTCGTCGCCGTCAGGTCGGTCAGGGGAGTGCCGTGGACGAGCACGAGATCCGCCCTTTTGCCCGCCTCGATGGTCCCCCTATCGTGCAGCCGGAAGACGCTCGCGGGGACGCAGGTGGCCGCGCGAAGGACGTCAAGGTTCGACAGCCCCGCTTTCGAGAGCAACTCCAGTTCGTCGTGAAGGCTCGTGCCGAACGGGATGGTGGTGTTTCGGCGCTGGTAAGCCGTTGTCCCGGCGCAGATGCGCACGCCGGCGCAATAGAGCTGCCTCACCGCCGCGATGGCGAACCCGAAGTCGCACCCGGGCGTCGCCTCACCCTGCGATGCCTGCTGGACCGAGCATAGTGTGGGCACGACGGCGATGCCCTGTTCGGCAAAGCCCTGCACGGTGGACGCATCTAGGGGCCCGTCGACCGGGACGGCCGTGACGATGTCGAAGCCAGCGAGCAGCGCCGCGTCGTAGGCATGGGACTGCGATGCGTGGGCGATGGCCAGCTTCCCCCGTGCGTGAGCTGCGGCTACGGCGGCCGCCAACGTCTCGGGGTCCAGACCTGGCTGGTCCGCAATGATGTTGATGTAGTCGGCGCGTATCGGGTCCTCCACGAGCTCCTCCACCAGACGCCTCGCCTCTGAGGGCGTCTTCACGACCCGCACGGCGCGAAACGGAAACAACCCGCGCGAGGCGGTCGCCTCGGAGCCGAGCACGCACCCAGACCCGAGGTAGCTGGGCATCTTCGGGCTGCGGGACTCCCTGCGCATCGCCTGGTTCTCGGCGCTCGAACTGACCAAGTCGATGACCGTGGTGACGCCGTACGCGGCAAAGGACGAGAGAGCCGTGGGGGACGCGTTGGCGTCGACCTTGCAGTCGATGAGGCCGGGAATCAGCGTGCAGCCGGTGCCATCAACGCTCACGTCGGGCAACGACTGAGGCTGGATGACGTTTCCGGGACTCCCCTCGAAGCACTGGCTGAGGACGTGCCTGATTCCATGGCCATCGAACAGGTCGACGTTTGTTATGGCGATGATGGTCATGCTAGGGCGCGGTATGTTGTCTTGAGTTGCTAGCGCCGCCTCAACGCTCCCGTTACCAGGAACAATGCCACCCTGTGATGCCCGCCAGTGGCTTTCAATGAGCGACCCCGGCACGTCAAACCCCCCCGGATATTCGCGCACAGCTACGTCACATGGAAAGATAGGGCGTTGTTGGCGGCGGTAGTCCACCAGTCCTACCTTGGCCGGAGGGTCGGGTATCCTCGCGGGTGGGCATGCCGTCCCTCACCCGGGCGCCGCGAGGCTTGTGGACATTGCTCAGACCCATCCCAGCCTTCTCAGCGCGACTACAAGCATGCCACGTATGGGAGCTTCTTTTAGGCGCCTCCCCTGCGTCTGTGGATTCCCATCGTCGCTGGAGGGTTCTTGTTGGCAGGATTCACCAGGCTGTACCCTCGTCTCTCTTATGCCTTGGCTTCCTTTTCCGCCACCTGGACAACGGCGCCCCATCCATGGACTACGTGTTTTCTGCTACCTTCGCCGGCCTGGGGTTTGTTTTGGACTGTCTCGCGACGAGTGTCAGGGGTCCAGTGGCCCGCGATACCACAGTGTGCCACCGCACTCGGCCCATCCGCAGTCGGCAGGCGACCACCAAAGCACCTAGGCCACACAAGAGAAAGGAAGGTGGCACCACCGTATCATGCCTGGGCTGCTATACTACCGGGATTCGACAAATTTATACCCCTCTGGCGTCGAATGGCGGTCCGGGGAGGCCTCGCGGTCGAGCCGCTACCGCTGCCTTCAAACTGGAACCCAGCTGCAGGGAAGATATGTGCTTGCCTTATGCCTTGCCGCGGCCCATGGACGAAACCCATGGCGACGGCCTTGGGCCGCAGGACTGGTTGGTCCTTGCCCATACACACACGTTGTGGGTGCGCCTCGCCATGGCGGTGCAAGAGGTGCCGCGGTCTCCTCCACCTTCCCCCCTTTTGGTCTGAACGGCTATGCTTGAGCAAACAAGGGGCCTAGCTCGGCAACACGCCAATGATGGGTCTTGGAGCTGTTCCGATGGCTTCTTATCCAATAGCACGGCTCGAGACTGCTGTTTTGGCCAAGGCATCCAAATTCTCGCCAGCAGGGCTGAGACTGCTCAGGCCTTGGTGTCTTGCGTGTGTCCCTGAACTTGCGAGCCAAGTTTGGGGGGTCGAAAGTCTAATGATCGGAGCCCCGGGCGAGGCTGGAATCAACCCTCCAATAAGGCCATTCTGAGGGGAAATCGTCGAGCCACCGGGGGGCGTCCACTTCTTGCTCCGGGATGCGACCGGGTCACAAAGGAATCCTTCCCAGCGACCGGCTCGGTGTCTTTGAATGAGAAATACAGTGGCCAATGAGCCCGAACTGTCTAGTCTCCACAATGTTGCGCCTGCAGTGACCAGACTGCACGTCGCTCAAGGAGCTAGGGGGCCAGGCGTTGGTGAAATGCCGGGTCCGGGTCGCGGCTCGGCTCCATCACGTTGGCTTATGACCCCCTCAAGGAGAGCTGGGTAGCACTGGTCCAGCACACCTATCACTGTTGGGGTATTCAGAAGTGGTACTTCTGTCTGTGTATGCGTCGTCCGGGCCAGGACCCTACGTGGCTCGCGGCGGGAACGGGGGGTCCTCTTGCAACCAGCCCTCTGGCAACCAGCGACGCCAGCGAGGACTGGAGCATCGGTACGTGCACCAGGAGATTTGATACATGGAGACTTTAGGCACTCCCTCCCTGTCCGCCTCACGGTCGTCATGCTAAACGAGTACAGCTTGAATTCCTCGTGGGCCGGTATTACAGCGAGAATCTGGCCACAGGAAGTGTGCAACCTACGCATCAAGTGTCGCATTGACGGGGGTGCAGGTTACACGCGCCGATATTCACAGAGGCAAAGGCCGGCCGAGAGCACCAGTCTGCAGGCAACCCTCTACCCCGAAGTTCTGGTGGTCATGAGTGGTACGACTTGATTCAGCTTGCCACCTTGGAAGACCACGTGCAAGATTTGGGTCATATATTGTATTGACAGTTCATGTCACACCACGATGCCCTACGACCCTCCGGACCACGATCTCTGGGCCTCGCGCCGCGACTCCTCGTACAACGTCAGACACGTTGCCAGCACCATGAGCTCGAACGTGTGGCCATGGTCCACGTTCACCTGCAGCACGCCACAGGTCCGGTATGTCCTCTGGCTGGTAAATACGGCCAGTACCTCGCTAGTCTGCACGTCCTGAAGCTTGAAGTTGCGAGAGCTCATCGAGGGCACCGTCATGCCATCCACGGCAGCGCACTTGGTGCGCTTCCATATGAGATTAGCCCGTGTCCCGTCGGGAAGATCCGTCGCCCAACGCCACCCCGCCTTCGTGAGGCGCTCCTTAGCAAGCTCCTCCCATACCATTGCGTCGAGTCGCGAAAGGTCGCCGAGGCCAATCTTGAAGCTGTTGGACAGGGCAGGCATATGGCACACGGCGACGATGGGAGACTTGTTGTCAGGGCCATCATGCATGGTCAAGTCGGGCTTTCCGGAGCCCAGGCTCCACATGTCGACATAGTAGAGGTGGCGGCCGTCGGTCGATTCGACATCGTAGTGACCGCTCATGTTTTTGCGGCCTATCTTGAACTGTTTCTGGCCCATGAAGACGTCGAGTCAACGGCAAGGGGGGTGAAGATGGAGTCCGATTGAGTTTGAAAACCGCGACAAGACCCGACAACTGAGCGGCTCTGCAAGGGGGAGTGCGCTGTGATCCAACAGAACGCACAGGGCCTTGCGCTTTTGTATTGAACGGGTCTCGGGACGCCTGGCTCTTGCGGTCATCAATTTTGCCATGTCGCAAGGAGCTGGGCTTGGATTGCGGTTGCCTGGCTATACACACCCGTATCCGTCGGCTTCTGATCCAAAATGGCCAAAGAAGGTAAACGAGGCGCCAAGGCCATGCCATCGAGGAGGCGTTCAGCTTTGGGACCCCGCGCATCATCATCACCATTTCACCACAGTGCGACCCATACAGAAGACCCAAGCCTGACAACGAGCTGCGTTTCATCACAGCGTCACTGCACCCGTGACGAAGCAGCTCGGCAGCGGCTCTCGAAGAGGCATTTCACGCTCCCAAAGGCTCGTCGTTGATGCCTCTGATAATACCACATCGACATGGCCCGGTGGTTGGCTTGGCGCTGGGCATCGCGTGACCGCCTCGTCATGCGGGAAGAGCATGTTCCTTCTTGTCTGGTACATGAAACTAGCAAGACGATTGGAGAGACGTAGAGCGAGGTAGCACAGTACTGTACTGGAGCGAGCGCTGCTTTCAGGCCCTTGGAGAAGCTTGGTGGGGAATCTTGTATTTATATTAGATGATGACGCGTTTTGTATGTCTCTGCTTGCAGAGGTACCCGTCAGCTCAGTCACTACACTGGCCTTTTATTCTCTAATGCTCATGCTTTGACTGCGAGCTCTGGGGCCTTGGCCCGCCAGTCCAGGTGCATGGATTCTTGAGCTACCAAAATCGGTGTTCGCGCCAAGACACGTCGGCTACCGCATCTCGTCAGATGAGTCTGATTGTGGCGGCATCAACTCATCTGGGGGTGCCGGCGGCGAGCTGTCTCCTGGCCCTGTGCCGGCGAAGTCGGCCAGATCGGCGCATTTGGCGGGTTCAAATGGCTCAAGAAAGACCGTGCTCATTCTATATCCGTAGACGTCCTTTTGCTCCATTGGCCTGTCCGGTGCTGCCACGGGCGACAGGTTGGCCTTGATGTTCGCCCTGACTGGCACCGGCGCAAAAGCCTCATCCTTCGTCAGTGACGTGTTGAACAGGCGAGTGTACCCGTCGCAGTTCCCGTCTCCCGCGAACGTCGGCTGGTTTGTGATGTTGCGCATGAATTCCATCGAGTATGGTATAAAGTCCATATCAGGCCAACTCTCGATGGACAGTTCGACCTTGGGGTTTTCGTCCTTCTTCGCCTTGGACCAGGCCTGAAAAGTCGCCCTGCCGTTCATGTCGCCGTCGTACGCGTCGTTGGGTGGATAGAAGAAGGAGGGAATGACGCTCATATCGTAAAGGCGCGCGCCGCGGATGGCGATGTGGTTGGCCGTCATCATCATGGTGCCGGTCCAGCGGAATGCCGAGTAACCATTGTTGAGGCGGTCGACGAATGGGAACTCGAATGCTGCGCGCTATTGCCGCAGCCCTGGCGTTAGCACGTCGGAGACATTGAGCTCTGTCGTGTCCGGTCAGTTGCGCTTACATGAAAGTTGTTGGTGTTGACGCCGTAACCGTCGCTGCCCACGTCGTGGTCATATACAGCCGTCAACATCAGCGGATACATGTCGCCCTCGAGCCCGGGAAGCATCTTCTGCCATGTTGATGCCCCGTCGAGGAACTTGTATTGCTTGGGGAGGATAATGCGGGCTTGTTCGATCGGGATAGGCACAATGAGCGTCGTGCCGTTGATGTTGCCCGTCACGAACTTTCTATATTGCTTCAACTCCTCAAAGGGCTTCCTCTGAGACAGCGTGAGGGGCGGTGTCTGCCGCGGGAGCAGCATTGACATGACTGCGTGGGCCGTGAGCACGGCCCTGGTGATGAGGTGTTCGACATGCATTAGGGGCAAGCGCTCGGCCGAGGCCCGAAGTCACGGGGACGGCGGACAGTCGAGGGGATTTCCTTCGGCAAGATCGGTGGTGTCGGGAAGACGACGGCAAGTACTTGCGAGCAGACCAGGCATCAACAATGATGGGTCGCAGGGATTCGTCCGGCTGCGCTCGAGCCATGTTGGCCGAGTCTTTATATCCACGAGAGCCTGGAGCTTGCCGGATGCCACACTGTCAGAGACTCGGGACTCGAGACAGGCGCTAGTTGCTGCCGGCTGGTTGACGTTCCGGATCGAGGGGTCGACGACGCCTACAAGTCGATGGACTGCCACTGCCCGCCGCAGGCGCCAATCGACGGCCTGCAAGAGGCGGTAGGGCTCGGCAACCTCAGCAGCCGCGCCGAGCCTTTCCGCTTGGAGGTTGGCTGGCGGGCCAGGGCGGCGTGGAGATGGCCATGGGCCGATCCACCGGGCGCCGCCATCTGACCGCCCATGTGCCTCCGGCTGCTGATCTGCGCACGATTGAGGCAGTGTTTCGGATTTCTAGCGCCCTTTGTTGTGAGCAAGTGGCCTGTTGACTTTCTGCCGGCAGCACTTTAAAGAAACTCTTTAAGACTGCGAGTGTCGAGACAAAAGACTGCTACCTCTGACACCGCGCAAGCTCGCACCTTGTATGCGACTCCGCGTCATCCAATTATGCATCACCACGGCTGCTATTATTTTTATCTTTATTTCTCTCTGCCTCGTACGCAGCAGAGGCAAGTCGCTCAGGCCGTGTCTACGGTGCTGTGCCCGTCAACCTAATTTACACCCGCGATGCGTACGCCGCCACATAGTCAACCTCCATGCTGGCGCCCTCGCCCCCTCGCGTCGCGTTCGTGGGCGTCTTCACTCCTGCGACGGCATCCGGGTACCCCCCGCCGACGGCGATGTTGAGCAGTACCATCTTCTTGCCCCCCGCAAGCGCCTCCCACGCCTCCGTGTCGTTGACCTGCGATGCCGTCAGCGTCCACCGCCGCCTGCCGTCGATGAACCAGCTCATCGACTCCTCCTCGTCGTGCGTCGCCCGCGGCCAGACCCGTCGGTCGACCTCCCAAGCGACCCTGTGCCACTCTCCGCGCGTCACGCCCTCGGTGATGTTGCCGATGCCCGAGGGCTCGTCACACGGCCCGCCGGGGTTGACGCCGCAGTGCACTGCCTGCCGGAGCTTGTCCTCGCCGTTCATGCTTTCGAGAATGTCCACCTCGCCGACGCCCGGCCAGTTCCAGTACACGCCGCGATAGTCGGAGCCGAGGGCCCAGAACGCCTGCCAGATGCCCAGCGACTCTGCCGCGGCATTGGCACCGAGTTTGATGCGCGCCTCGACGCGCATGCGCCATCCCTTGCGGCAGGCCACGTCCCACGTGGGTGTTGTCTCGACGCGCGACGACGTCCACGTGCCGTTGGGCCCGCGGACCGGAATGATCTGGAGCGTTCCTTCCGTCGAGATGGCAATGTTACCCTTGTCGGCCGTGTACGTTTGCAGCTCGCCGGTGCCCCAGTTCGCGGGTCCGCCAGGGTACGAATGGCCGGTGTCGATGGTCCACCGCTCTGGGTCGGGCTGCGAGCCAGCCGGCTGCAGGAAGTCGTCGTAAAACAGACAGTCGCGGAAGCCGCTTGGCAGGCTCGGGTCCAAGTGGCCCCTGGGTCTGGCCTGCGCTGAGCCCACCAGCCAGAGGGAAAGGCATGCAACAGCGACGGTGTGCGGGAGCATCACAGTGTGCGCCAATGCAAGTGTCGAAAACGAAGGACTGCGTTTCGTTGACATGCCTGACAAGCTGTCAAGCACCGACTTATGTCCAAAGATGCCAGTCAGCATGGCAAACCCATCACATCACGCCGGGCTCCGTTCCATGTTGTGATGTGACCCGGCTAGGCTCCAGCGCGGCGCCACAGCAGGGTCCTGGTCCTTGTCAGACCGCGGCGGATGAGGTCCCGCCCTACGATGTGTACAGCGGCTGGTCATGGCTCCTGAGACACCGGAAATGAAGGCATCGCCAAGTCGGCTGCGGAATTCTCGTCAGTCGTGGGCGGAATATGAGCGAGGGGGTGGCTCGATGTGTAGATTCCGACTTCTACCGGGTTCCATCTACCTCCGTAGACCCTTGCGTGATACGTGGCAAAGTTTTCAAGCGCCGTGAATCGCCATCGGCTATGCATGCCTTTCTTGAACCAGGTACATGTACTGGCCCAGTGGGCACATGTACGAAAACCTTGATCGGTCACTGTCGACGAGCCATTGGCAGCCGGCAAGACGGAAACACTCGTTGAAAGCAGTGATCCAGGGCTTCCGGCTTTGAAAGACGTCCTGGTTGCGGGTTTCCGCCCGTTGCGCGTCGACATGGAACGTCCGACTGCTGCTGAACTCGTCGTTGGGTTTCACGGGGTGATGTGGGTAACGATTGCACAGCCAACATGAATAGGATTAGACTTTGATCACTGAGAACTCGAATCCCGGCGGCCCCCAGGGCCGGAACGGCATTGTGACACGCCGCAAATTAAAACCCGCGCACCCTTGTACTGTGCCTTCGTCGCAGTCTTTGTGGCGTACCCCAACTGTCGGACGCAACTCGGCGAATATGTTAGCGGGCGCCTTTTAGCACGCGTGCATGAGCGAAGGCATCGCCATCAAATGGTTTGTGGCCTAAAATCTTTCCAGTGTGATGGACAGCAATGATAATCAAACGAAAGGCCAAGGCCATGCCATTGATCTCGAAGCTTCAACTAGACATCGGGCTGCCGTGGACTGGATACCCACATCCTCACTGTACAGAAACAAAGCGTGTCGGGCGGCCGCCTGCTTCGCAATTGTCTGCGGGTGGCACCATCTCTCTCCCCGGCCACAGTACGTTCAGCTGGCGCCACCAATTTGTTGATACATGTACCAACGCCCTACATGTAGGCAGGCAGGCTTACATTTGATGTACGCTCCCTGAGCCATAGCACATGTGTCCAGAGATTGGCAGAAGCGAATTGTTCCACCATCGGAATATGAGTTTTGCACCATCCAATCCTCCAATGCGTCTTTTGGATCTTTATTCTGCACTTCGTTGGGCGGTGCGTGGGCGGTCTCCAAACGTTCATGTTAGCATGGAAGACGACTGGAGCAGACGCACCCACTGCTAACAAGCAGCGGCAGTGGGGCTCCAGGTCGAAAGCATCCGCATTCACCAACCAACGGTGTCCTGCAACTCGCAAAATGCACAAAGAAACTGACCAACTTACTATTGTAAACTCCAGCACCTTACATATAATAATGTACAACAACTAAGCGACGCTCCGTCATCTTGGCTTCAGTATCCCCACCAGAGCATCCGTGTCGTTGGATTCGTTCACCAGCCTTCGAAAGTGCCCCTCTTCCCTTTGATAGAGCTCGGCGGGCGCTCCAAACTCAACCACTCGCCCGCGATCCATGACCACGATAGAGTCAAAGTCCACAACGGTCCTGATGCGGTGCGCAATCACCAGCACCGACGACCCGCCGACGCCGAAGTTGGCCCTGATAGTGGCCTGGAGGCATATGTCTGCTTCGTTGTCAACCGCCGAAGTGGCCTCGTCGAGAATCAAGAAGCGTGGCTGTGCGACCATGGCTCGCGCTAGGCACACCAGCTGTCGCTGACCGTGCGAAAGGTTCCTCCCACCCGCAGAAACTCGCGTGTCCAGCGCTAGATCCTCGCGTTGAGCGTTTCGAAGTCCGAGGTGGACCCTTGCCAGGCAGCCAAGCAGCTCGTAGTCGGACAGTCGCTCGAACGGATCGATGTTGGACCTGATGGTCCCGGAGAATAGAAACGGGTCCTGTGGAACGATAGCGATGCGGCTTCGCAAATCCGGGATCTTGATCGCCGCAATATCCCGCCCATCCAGAGTGATGCTGCCTCGCCGGGTCTCAAGGAAGCGGAACAGGCCCAATGCTAGCGTCGACTTGCCCGCACCCGTTCTCTCAACGACCCCAAGTCTCGTGTTTGGCTCGATACTCAGCGAGACGCCGTCAATGACGGTCCTATCTGCATCATAGCCAAGCGATAGATTCTCGACGCGCAGCCTCCCAGTGGTAGGCCAGGTATCATCCACATCATCACCGCCAGCCGCTTCGGGAGTGATGTCGGAGTATTCCAGGCATCGCTCTGCCGCATTCATGTCCAGTTCGAAGCTTGCGTACTGCCGTATGGCCCAGTCGACTGTTGCTGAGAACTTCAGTGCGAAGCACAGCACAAAGCCTACCTCTGAGGCGCTCAGCCGGTTGAACAGGAGCACGCTTGCCCCGGTCAACATCGAGAACAGGGCTCCAAGAAGACTCAGACGCAGGGCAAGCCATCTGTTTGTTAGGGCCAGGTACCAAGCTGCCCTGGAGTGCCGGTCCACTTTGTCATGCATGTGGTCGATGTACTTGCCGACGCAGTCGTACGCGCGGATGGTTTTGAGCCCAGTCATCGACGAGACCAAGTGGTCAATGACGGGGCTGCGGGTGTTGCTCTCGAGCCGCTTGGTCTCTCGTGCCGCTTTCAAGTACTTTCTGGAATAGACCACACAGGCTGCTGTACAGAGCAGAGCAACTCCAAAGATCCAGAGCGACACCATACACCCTGCAATGACAATCGCGAGCAGGTACATAGCGCTGTAAATGATGGATCCCAGCGCGTTGACGAGCTTTGAGTCGACAAGGTGGAAGTCCACCGTGAATCGGTTCAATACCCTCCCAGACGGTACCGTGTGGTGCCACATGAGTGGTGCGAAGACCACCCCGTGAAGCACTTCTGTGAATAGGAGGCGAGAGGCACGCAAACCAGCCGCGAGGACAAGATAGTACCTTACGGTGCCGATGATACAGGTCCCTAAAGCGATTGAGAGATAGATGGCCATATACCACGTTGTGTCGTCTGCGCCCTCATCATGAACGGGATGCTCAAGATTCGTCCGCGTCCAACTACTCGACTGCGTCCAGACGCTTATCCACCAGGGCTATAAGGTGTCAGCCACTGCATCCTTCAAAGATCATAGTACCTACACGCAGGATGATTAGAGTCGTATGGCCGAGGTAGCCCATTGTTATGAACGCCCAAGCGGCGAGTCCACCGGTTGCCTTGAGGTATCGTCGCAGAACCATTGAGCTCAGGCGGCCAATCTGATGTGACTCTTTCTCCAGGTATCCTCTGGGGTTCTGCTGTTCTTGCTCTGTGTCCAGCATTTCCTCGTGAGGCTCCGAGGTAAATAGTGGGTTGTGAGGCAGTCGGCTGCTCTCTCCTGATTGTGTCCATCCGCCCGGGGCTCCCGCGTAAGCTACCGAGCCATTGTCCAAGTGAACGACATACTCGGCGTATGGCAAGGCCAAACTAACGTGGTGGGTCGCGAGAATACGAGTCCTACCCCGTGAGAGCTCTCCCACAAGGGCGTTCTCACATACGTGTCGCGCGGTGTTGGCGTCCAGCGCACTGAAGATGTCATCAATGACAATGGTGTGTGCCCGGGAGTACAACGCGCGTGCCAGTGAGATCCGCCACTTCTGGCCACCACTGAGATTTACACCGTTTTCTCCGAGATTTGTCTCATCGCCGTTTGGCCAGCGCTGGACGTCGTGGTTAAGAGCGCATGCATACAGCACCTGACGGTATCTGGCAGCATCGTATGGTAACTCAAACAGGATGTTGTCCTTGACGGAGGCGCTTCGAATCCAAGGCGTTTGTGCGACAAAAGCGCAGGCAGATGAGATGACCCAAGGGGCTGTCATGCCGGAAGTTGGCTGCACCCCCTGTGATGCCACCATAGGCGCTGACACCTTGCCCTCCAGAACATCGCATTCTCCTAGAATGGCGGCTAGTAACATGCTCTTTCCAGAGCCAGTCTTTCCGACAATTATGCTCAAGGCCCTGTCCGGAAAGGAAACAGTTACTTTCTTGAGCATAGAACTGACCAGCCTGTCTGTTCCCGAGTCGATTGGCCAAGCGATCGTGGCGCCGTCCATGCGAACGTTGGACGAGAACTGCCGCGGATCTGCTACTCTGGGCTCGCGCAGCTTTTGTTCTATCCTAGTGAGACTTGTCCATGCTTGCAGCAGCTGCGAAAACAGCAGCGGCAGCACTGCCAGCCAAATCTCGAGCTCGCCGAATATGGACAGGGCCGTGAACGCGACGGATGCGGTGAGGCCTCCATGAATCAACGAAAAAGTGCTGAGGACAACAGCCGAGAGAAGAACCGGCGCGAGGATCCATATGCAGACCAAGCCGGTTTCCAGGGCGAAGACTCTCCGCTGAGCCGCCAGCTCCCTTCGACGTAGCGTGCCGACCCGTCCTATCCAGAGTGATTCGAGGGCAGAGAATTTGACCTGCGAGATCCCGTGGAGGAGCTCTGTCATTACAGCCGCTTTCGCATCTCTTTGGCTCATTAGTTGCATTTGCGCCCCGCCGTACTTGGCGGACAGCCGCGTGTTGATGGGGGCAATTACGGTGAATGCGGCGAGCCCGGCCAACAGGCTTTGCCATCCCACCAGTTCGAAGAGAAACACGACTGAGATGGCGGTTTTGAGGCCCGTGATAGGTATGACGGGGCCAATGGCCAGAAAATCGGCGATGCGCTGCGTGTCGACAGCCACCAGGTTTACTAGGCTCGGAGTTGGGTCCGCCAGATCTTCTGCGGATTTGATCGCGACGTCTTCGTCGACACTGCCGCCGCCGTCATCTCCCTCAAAAGCCTGATCTCCGGCGAGGGGTGTTTCCTTGCGATGCATGGCACATTCGAACAATTCCGAGGCGAGCTGCGCGTACAAAGGTATGCTCAGCCTTGACTGTGCCAGCCACGACAACCACTCGTCGACGGTTGCCGTGAGAGTCATGGTCATACCCAGACTCACAACCCATGGCATCATTTGTGAAGCGGTTCGGCATTCGACGCCGTTTTCCATACATTCTAGGGCTTTGAGGATCTTCCAGAGAAATATTTGCGGCGCGAAGCCGAGCGCGGCGGACAGCAGCACGAGAGCAGCGGCAGCAAGTAGCGTATGCCAGTTCATCTGTGCAAGGCACCTCCACAAACTGGGATGGGGAGACTTGGCACTATGGCGCTCTCTTTGCGAGCGGAACGTGTTCGCAAGAGTGGCTGATCGTGTTTTGTAGTCGAGCTCTGGCAGGATGTCGATGTCACGGACATCGTGAGGAGCCTCGAAGTGCATGGAGCGGATGACTCGCTCGGTCCAGGAAAACGACCAGCGTCCGAGTATGGATGATGATCCTTGCCCATCGACGATTCTCCCATTGGGCCTGCGATACACGTTCGGTCTCCGGGGTGTCGTTACGAGGAGGAAGATCGCTCCTGTGACAGTGGCCATCTGAGCAACGACCGACGCGTTCCGACGTAGGTGATCCTGCTTGCTTCGCCACGTAATGTGCAAGTCAATAAGCAAAGCGAGCAACAGACTTGCGTTTGCAGCAGCACCTAGCGCGATTGCGACGAACCGCCTAGGGACGAACCTATCGCATCGAATTGCAGTGGTAAGGAGGACTTGGCAGGACTCGACGTCAATGTCAGCCGGCGCGTCGAAAAGAGGGCAACGTTCAGCATTCAAGTTGCGACATACCCAAAGTACCGGAAGCAGCCACAGAGCAACCAGGCGCCAAGGAGCAGGCTTCAGTTGCGACATTTGCGCCGATGAGGCGTCGAAGAACGAGATGATAAAACCAACACCTTGAAGGGCAATGGTACTCGCGGTGGAGATGGCTGATCGGCATCGAAACCTCCTCATCGACTCACACGTCGCAAATCCATCCTGATCTTCGTATATGTTGGTGTTCGTGTCTCTTTGCTGCGCAAGGAGCGGCGTCTCGACATGGTCGACATGTCGATCGGGTCGGGTTTTCGGGAGCCACTCCGCCCCAGAGCCAGTGTCCCTTTGCTGGGCAATAAAGAGGGCAGCGGAAGTGGCCAGTGAAAAGGCAACAGCGGCGACGACGAGCAAAGACAGCAAAACATCAATGTCGGGCATGGTGATATGAACCGTGCATCAAAGTTCAAGTAGACCAACGGCGCCTGCGATCACAAACGGTCGTTGTTTGTGGAGAGCGGACGTCGGGCGACGTTGCACAAGCGCCTGGGGTGCAGAGAGCGGAGTGAAGACCCCCTTTCGCCGCCGGGGTGTTCTGCCTGCCGCGAGTAGTGGTTCTCGAGGTAGGGGCAATGGGAATTGTGGATCGTGATGCTGCCTTATCAATCTAATCTGTCCCGGAGACCGAGCTGAGCCCCGGTTCTTCAACCCTGCCTCATTCAGGCATGGCCGAAGGCTGCATCCCAGTCAACGCGCTTGAGACAGACCACAGGAAAGCATGACGACGACGCCCTGCATGTCCGTGTCGCGCCGTGCCCATCTCCGAGGCATCTTCCGAGTGGCCCTGCAGGACCAAAATGGCACTCCCGACGACTTTGCCCCTCCTCCGAGCCCGCGTGTGGCCACGGTAGTTGTCGGCAGCCAACAGTGAAATCGTCTGATCATGCTCTGGGTCGCTGTATCGCGCTTCATTGAAGTCTATGCGTTGGGCAGTACAACACAGTAACGCCAGCGAAAAGTAGGTGGCCTACTTACATGTAGCCTGCGTACTTAGTGTACCTGAATAACATACATGTAGGCAAATACAGCAGGAGACACGACTGGAAACTCACAGTAGCAACAGCACCAACTTGTCTTATCTTGCTCTGTGATCTCTTGCTAGCGTACTCTAGCTGTCGATTCCAACCCACGCTCTTTGAAGCTTGAAGCAGTAGTACCACTTTTCTCTCCAACCACCAAGTGTATCAACTCAGTCCAGTCCCCGCTGATAGCTCTAGTTCGTTTGTAGCCCTGCGGTACTAAACCCCTCTGATCGGCAAACATGGGATAGTCATCGCGACTCGCTCCATGCCTGGTCTTTCCCAATCACCATCAGACGCCATTGCCTTCAACGCCTGGAACGGAAGCACCGGAAGGGTCCCCATTGGAAGGGACACCTGGAACACCACCAGGCGCGGTGCCCAGACCATCACCAGGCGGTCCACCCTCGGCGCCACCGAGAGGACCTTGGCCACCAGGACAGCTGTCAGGGCAGGGCGGACAGTTGTTTGGCTCTGGACCCCCAGGGCCACCAGGAGCACCTCCCGCGCCTGGCGGAAGCTGGGTACCGCCGGGGCCCTGCGAGTCACCGCCAAAGTTGCGGCGGGCATTTCGCCTCGCTGAAGGTGCCCCATTGAAACCTCCTGGACCGCCAGGAGACTGCCCACCACCGGGGACTTGCTCCGGAGGAGGCAGCCCGCCAGGAGGCAGCCCACCGGAGAGTGGTCCATCACCGGTGCCCGGGCAACTGCAACCAGAGCCGCCACCGTCACCAAGTTCATTCCCTTCGCCTGACTGCAAGCCACCGGGGCCAAACTGACGGGCAACATGCTTTGTCTTTGGGGCACCGTATGCTGTAGAGTGAACAGCACGGTCATTGTTGTCCCTTTTCATGATTATAGGCGCGGTATCACGGTGCACGTCAGTTGCTCCCGTTGACTTGAGGGGGGACGAAAGCCCAAGGGTCGCAAGGAAGGCAATGGTGGCGATGGAGTGCTTCATGGTGGCGAAGGGATGTTGCTTGACAGTCGTCTTTTAGGGGTGAAATTTGTTGATAGTAAGCTTTTTGATGGAGTGAATGATATTGTTGATCTCGTCTCGTCTTGGTATGGAGACTGGAGTGTTGAGTTCAATGTGTAAATTTTCTTGGTTTGTTTGTCTTCATTTTGGGACACTTGGTCATACTTATACGTCCTGAAGGCCTACTTCCTATCATGAGAGTTGCCTGAACTTACTATGTGGTGAATTCGGCCGAGTTCTATCTGCAACTCATTCGAACCTCTGCGACACTTGGTGTATCGCGCATATGGTTGGACATCGGATCGCATGACAGCATCCGTGAACAGCGAAAACCCGGGTGTTGTGAGTATACAAGGCCGTTGCGTGTCGCCGGTTTTCAGGGGGATCAATTCTGTCAAGGCGATACATCTACGGGCAAGCTAGAAGAGCCTTTGGTCCTGCAAGGCGCGGCGACATACACGATCGCGACTGGTTACTCCAGACACAATTGGCCAGTCACCTAGGTCAGCCACATCCCAATATCGATTCAGATGAGACAGCGACTGATTGGTCTACCGCATACGCAGACTGAGCAAGAATTCGGTCTGAACCACGGCTCAACCGTAACGCCATCTCATCACTGTCGCATCAGTGGCACATCTAGATATACCGCATGCCAGAAAAGGCTGCATAAAACAACTTTGCATTAACATGGTCTGGACTGCATGTTATGCAAAGCCATATCAGACGGTTTCGAGTTGACGGAACCTTATTATGCTGGTGAGACTTGAATTTACCTGACATTACGGAGGTGTTTCAGTCTGCAAGTACATCTATGCCTCCGCCAGCAGGTCTTTGATGTAATCAAAGGCAGTGGTTTTAATGAGTCCTGGCTGAAACGCATCCGAATGTACCCGCGACGGCTGCGCCCACGCAGATGCCCGCGGAATGTTCAAGTCAAAATCCTCATTACGAGCTTTTGTGCGCAGCTTGTCCCATGTAGACCAATAAGCATTTTTTGTCCCTCGGTAGCAACTGTACGCACATATCTCGTGTGTCAGCGCCGAAAACGTACCATGGATGACCCAAACGCCTCATGATGCTCCTCGGGCCTTCCTACCTCCGGCGATCAACTGCCTGGCTTCTCACACTCAAGTCCATCTATTCCATACTTTCCAAGCAAAGAAAAGGGGGAGGGAAGGCTGTGAATACGATTCGGACATGTGATACCAGTGCCTTGCGATATGATGCCCAAAACGCCGTCTTGCATAAGTCCCGGGGGGTCTCCCCGCGCGGCGCCTTCATCTAGTATACAGCACCAAATCTTACATTCACTGATCACGGCATGGCAATACTGTTGAGTTTTTCATCATGCATACGCGACTCTTATTTGTTTGCCTTGGTATCTGTACGGGCGGAAAGGCTATCGTCCGGCGTTCGGGACAACCTCATCATGGTATTGACGTCGAGCAGTACCGCATCAAGCAATCTTCGTTTTATCACCGTCCCAGCAGTGGACAACATACTCTGGGCGTCATAGATGCCTTCAACCCCCCACGCCAACACATTTCCTTCTACAACAATATCGCCACCGCGCTGGTCAAAGAGGTCGCCCCGGGGACAGATTTCCTGATCATGGGAAGCTCGTATGTAGACGAACTGGGGAATGCGCACGTTTACGTCTCGCAAACGCTTAATGGCATGGCAATTAAAGCGGCAAACATAAATGTCAATGTAGTATAAACCCTAGCGCAGTGTTCTGGCTTAGTACTAATAAGTTGATCACAGCTGCGACCAAACGGCTCCGTCATTTCGTACGGAGATAGTTTCGTCCGAGACCTGGCACCGCAACACAATCCGTTGGCGAAGCGTGATTTTATCAGCGGCCTTCAAGCCGCGGAGCATATCACGCAAAAACTTCAGATTCCGATCAAAGTTTCCGGGGCTGACATTGAGCGTCTCGAAGGCCCCGAGACTTATCGTATCACGACCTCGACTAACGGCACTGGCACTTTGAGGGCGAGCTTGCAGTACGTCCAGGCAAATGGCGTTCCGAAACTGTCTTGGTGTGTAGAAGTCATCTCCAAGGAAGGCTGGCTGGAGACTTGCGTCGACGCCAACAATCCGCAGGAGATCCTCGCCATCGTGCACCCGAATCACAGCGCCGCCAATGGAGCGAGATACAATGTGATTGCGCCCCCGGGCAAAGATCCGTCCGAGGCTCCGAGTCGCCTTGCCACTGAGCCCATTCAAGCAGCGCGCGGCTGGGCTACTGAGAGCCAGGGCCACTTGGTCTTGCAAGGCAACAACGCGCGTATGCTTATCGAGGGCCAGCCTGCCCAGATTGCGGCTCAGGGCAATACCTTCAACTTCCGTTACAGCGAGCAGGCACCGTCCGCGGAATCGCTCAAGGCATGTGCCACAAACGCGTTCTATGTGGTAAACGACATGCACGATGTCTTGTCCACCCTGGGCTTCACAGAAGAGTCCGGCAACTTTCAGGCCACCAATTACAAAGCCAATGGCAGAGGCGCAGGGGACCCCGTCTTGATTGACGTGGTATATAGCAGCGACATGAACATAGGCCCTAACTTTCAGGCGGGCCCGGACGGCCAAAGCCCACGCATGAATCTTGTCCTTATGACAAACGATGAGAGAGCGCGCCTCCCCTGCATGGACAACTTTATTGTCATTCACGAGTTTGTACACGGCGGTAAGTGCTCCGATCCCAGTGGTCATGGGTGGCCTCGAAGACTCAGATGCCAACTGTGTCCGCTGACTAGCATCTAGTGTCAAATCGTCTCACAGGTGGTCCCGACAATCCGGCGTGCCTTGTAACACAAGAAGGCGGAGGAATGGGGGAGGGCTGGTCGGATTTTGTGGCCATGGCAATGTTGCTCAAGCCTACTGACAGTGCCCAGACCCCAGTTATCCTCTCAGCGTGGATAGTTCGAGATCCGAATGGAATACGCTCGCATCCGTACTCGACAGACCTCAAAGTAAATCCCTTGACACTGGAAGATCTGGGCTACCGGCAGGAAATGCACGACGCAGGCGAAGTCTGGTGTACCATGCTCAACGAGGTCATGTGGGCTTTGATTAGAGTAATGGGCAGGGGCAATAGCACTGTTCCGGAGCTGAACGAGAAGGGTGTCGCCACAGATGGGAGGTTCTTCGCCGTGCAGCTTGTCATGGCCGGGATGAAGATGCAGCCATGCAATCCTGGGGTCTTCGAAGCCCGGAATGCCATCATGGACGCGCTGGAATCGATCGCTGGCGATAAGTTTTCCTGTGCCGTGTGGACTGCCTGGGCGAAACGGGGATTCGGCGCAGGGGCACAACGAGGGCAGTTTGTCAACGACTTTACCGTTCCCCAAGGATGCCCGCAACCCCCTTGGGGACAACAGGGCCCAGAGAGGCCACCGTCACCAGGGCCACAGGGTCCAAATCCTGGTCCTTTCCCAGGGCCGCAAGGTCCGTTTCCGGGGCCACAAGGTCCAAATCCTGGTCCGCAAGGTCCTTTCCCTGGGCCACAGGGTCCGGTCCCGGGGCCGCAAGGTCCTTTCCCGGGGCCACAAGGTCCAAATCCTGGTCCTCAGGGTCCATTCCCTGGGCCGCAAGGTCCGGCTCCCGGGCCTGAGCCCGGGGGCCTAGGACCATCGGTGCCGGTACCACCAGAATTGTTCCCACCAGGGTCGTTCCCTGAACTTGGGCAGCCTGAACAGTCGACGGAGCAAGAGTTACCGGGATTCCCAGTGCCGCTGGTCGTGCCACCCGAACCGCCGGTCGCAGGAGAGCCAGGCAGCTTTCCAGGTTCGGCTTTTCCCCGTCGGTAACGTTCGGGATCCACAACCCCAAGGACAGTCGGTCGATGGAAACAGTTTCGCATTGGTGTTCAGTCTTCCTGGCTGCACGGTCCATATTGCCACGAGAATTGGCCTGCCGAGGCGACGGGCCACTGTGAATGGACGGCGACTGGACACTGGTGACGAGCTTGCAACAGCCGTGTGGGCTACTAGATCCCACTGGCACAGGTAAATAGCGACGGAGGTATCAATATCTACTCCAAAGACGCTCGCCGTAAATATAGAGCGCGGTCGCATCCGAAAGAGTTCAGGTATTGCATCAGTTGTGGTCACGGCGGCTGGGGGCCAAATCCGGCTTACGGGGCGACTTATACCGTTATACGTGTCTCCCAGCCTGCCCCGCAGCACCTCATCGTCATCCTTCCAAACTCCCGAGGTCAACGCCCTTCACGTTGGGCGTTGAGCAAAGCGGTCCATATCCATCAACCGCTCAATACTCACCATGCCCGACGCGACACCATCCCGGTTGATACCGCATATTCACCTGCTGTGCATGGAAAAGCGCTTCGTCAGTGCCTTCACGTCGGCGATTGCCCACCACGGCCTCGAGTCCTCCACAGCCCTCACCTTTGAGCTTCACAACGCCGCGTTGCAGTTCGTTCCCGAGTCAACGCGCTTCGACCTCGTCGTCTCACCCGCCAACTCATATGGGCGCCTTGACGGTGGCTTCGACGACGCCATCTCGCGCGCATTCTCCCCGCGCGACGACTACCTCGCTCTCACGCGCGTCGCCCAGCGCACCCTCTACGACACGTGGCGCGGGTTCGCACCTCCAGGAACGTGCACCCTCGTGCGCATACCGGAAGACTTTGATCCGCCTCGCTCGCGCAACGTCTGGGGGGCGCGGTACCTGGCGCTCTGCCCGACGATGCGCACACCGCAGGAGGTGACGTGGGATCGCGAGGTCGTCTACGAGAGCGTGTGGAGCCTGCTCGTCGCCGTGGACCGGCACAATGAAGGCGTCCGAGCCCGCTCCAGCAGTCATCAGGATGTCGAGATCGAGAGTATCCTGATGACGCCACTGGCGACGGGCATCGGGAGAGTGAGCGAGGAGCGGTGGGCGCACCAATGCGTCCTGGCCATGAATCACTTCCTCGAGGCCAAGCAGCGACCCGACAAATGGAGCAGCCTGGCCCCCGTGGACATCTTTGAGCATACCAACGAAGTGGTCGACACATGGACCATGTGAAGGAATAGACCTCGCACTACGAGGTGGCGCCGAGCGCCGTCGCGAAGGGTGGCTGCCATCAATGTGAAGTCTGGCAGGAGGTTATCCTTTGCACTTGTCCGCCTCAGTCGCCGGCGTCGCAGGAGCAGCCTGCCTCTCGGACGCCGAGGGGGCTGCTACGCTTTCTTCTAAGTTTTTCGAGGAGACTTGTCGAACCGTAGTCGCGAGCGCCTCGCACTTCAATATGGCCAGCCTTTGTTTACATATATGAGCAAGTTGACAGTAAGCAGCTCGGAGTATTCTTTTTCACCCAACAGTCTTCAGCTCGCAAGTCGAAGCATTGTCGAACAGCACTCAAAAGTTACCCGAATCGAAACACGCCCCCGGCTTCATCCCGGCGGCTGGAAGACATCGCGTCCATGCTGATTGTATTTCCACGCCGCGCACTCGCGCGGTTCTCCCGTTCAGTCCCCGGAGAGGTACGCAGGGCATGGCACATAGCCAGGTGCGGCATCAAGGACATCCTCGACGAGACGGAAGGCATGCGCTACAGCTGGGCATTTCTGGATCTCGACGCTTGCGGTGCATCCCACCTCGACCCGCTCTCTAAGCGAGAAGTCAGCATCTTTACAAGTCGCGAGATTCCCGAGGCGGCTTGGATCGATGTACTCGACCAGGTTCACGACTATCTCGAGACCTTTGAGGTTGGATTCAACGTCCAACTGCGCTACGTCGAAGATATTGAGTGGTAGGACCCCGACGACATGGGCGACGCGGGCACTGCGGATGAGTCGTCGGACATGGACCCGGCGTGGATAGAATTGGGCTCGCAGGAAGGCGACCGAGATGACGATTGGATGCCCCCGGAATTTGGGCTTCGCCCCATGCCCCTGCACGCGCATATGGGCGCCGTTCGACAAGAGAGCGTGGGCGGCGTCTTGTTCAGCGCGATTGGCCCACGGCCAGGGCGCGTCCGGCGACGTCGAATTGTGTTTGACACACATGAGTTGACGGCATTGGGGCGCCGGGCAGAGGAGCGCCTGGAAGAGGAGCGTCTGGAAGAGGAGCGCACCAACAATATGCGACGCGTTGGCATCATGCTGGCAAGAGCTGTCACAGGAAGGGCGCAGTCGGCTCCTCCGCCTGCCTGGCCGCCGGACGCTCCAGACAGCCGGTAATTCTCTGCAGGCGATCTATCCACGACGTCGATGTTGCGCCAGATTTGCGGGGGGCGCTGTCCTGGAGGTCGTTCTGAAGCATTGCATCGGTGCGGTTGGGATCGAGTGCCTTGGATGTCGCGATCAAGAGAATGGGTTGACGGTGATGTTGCGGATTGGCATGTTGGGATTTTAGTCCCACCGATTAGCGGCACGTGAGAGAAAGCGGAAATGGTAGCCTCGAGCGTCAGCGCAAGAGTTGCTGCGCATCAATCAGATCCTGCTTCAATGTGATGAGTCCGATGAGAGGAGTCCGTCCAGGTTCTTTGGGGTGGATTTCTCGAAGATGTACTCCGTAAAGCGTATGTATGTATGGGCAACAGAGCCACGAGTCCGCTTTGTCGACAGCATGCAGCAGCAGACGGCCAATGGCGCCTTGCGTTCCCACTCGCTCGTGCGACTGCCGGGAATAAAATGTCGACGATCAAGATTGCACTGGCGAGCGGGCGAGGCGAGGGTAAGGGGACTGAAGAGGGCCCCCCTGCCAGAGCTGGTGGTGACCCCTGCAAGAAAGTTAGTCAGCGGGCGGGCCCTGGCATGCCTGGCAATTGGGGGGCGATGGGGGGGGCCAGACTCGCTCTCACTGATTGCTGGCGCTGATTGCTGATTGCTGCTGGTGCCCCAACAGACCTGGACAGGGCCCTTAGTCGCTGCCGCCCGCCGCCGTCGCCGCCGTAATTCAACGGGAGTGACGGGCGGCCGCCTTTTTCGGCGTTGGTGGGGCCCCGCCAGGGGAGCTCGCTGGTTGGCCAGCATCCCCAATGGAAAAAAAAAGCTTGGGATGCCGGGCTGGCCAGCGACTTCGCACCGCCGCAAAACGCCCAGGGAGCTGGTTTCGCCGTTCTCCGGAAATTCCCTCTCCATCGACCTCGACGACGACGACGCTCAAAACCGCCTCGCCTCCCTCTCCCGTCCCTGCCCCCCCGCCGGACCGAGACGACGTGCCCGAGACCCTTTCCTGCCGGCCCAGAGCTGTCGCCGTCCCCCCTTTGTCGCCCGCCCAATTGACTGAGCTCAACATCGTCAGCCTCCACCACCATGTCCCGTCTCCTGCGACCTGCGGCCCGTCTGGCCGCCGCCTCGACGCGCGCCGCCGCCGCCGTCAAGGCTCCCGCCGCTTCCTCGCTCGTCCTCCCGCGCGCCACGACCCCCGTCTTCTTCGGTGCCCAGCAGACCCGGCGGTACGCCGAGGGCAATGGCGTCAAGGAGTATACGGTCCGCGAGGCCCTCAACGAGGCCCTGGCCGAGGAGCTCGAGTCCAACCCCAAGGTCTTCATCCTGGGTGAGGAGGTTGCCCAGTACAACGGCGCCTACAAGGTCACTAAGGGCCTGCTGGACCGGTTCGGCGACAAGCGCGTCATCGACACCCCCATCACCGAGAGCGGCTTCTGCGGCCTCGCCATCGGTGCCGCCCTCAGCGGCCTGCACCCCGTGGTACGTGCCGTCTCCGTTGGTTGTCGCGAGCAGAGTCCATGAACTAACGTTTACATTCTCCCAGTGCGAGTTCATGACCTTCAACTTCGCCATGCAGGCCATCGACCAGATCGTCAACTCGGCCGGCAAGACCCTCTACATGTCCGGTGGCATCCAGCCCTGCAACATCACCTTCCGTGGCCCCAACGGCTTCGCCGCCGGTGTCGCCGCCCAGCACTCGCAGGACTACTCGGCCTGGTACGGCAGCGTGCCCGGCCTCAAGGTCGTCTCCCCCTGGAGCGCCGAGGACGCCAAGGGCCTGCTCAAGGCCGCCATCCGCGACCCCAACCCCGTCGTCGTCCTCGAGAACGAGCTCATGTACGGCCAGTCCTTCCCCATGTCCGAGGCCGCCCAAAAGGACGACTTCGTCCTGCCCTTTGGCAAGGCCAAGGTTGAGCGTGCCGGCAAGGACCTGACCATCGTGTCGCTGTCCCGCTGCGTCGGCCAGTCGCTCGTCGCCGCCGAGAACCTCAAGAAGAAGTACGGTGTCGAGGCCGAGGTCATCAACCTGCGGTCCGTCAAGCCCCTCGACGTTGAGTCCATCGTCAACTCGGTCAAGAAGACGGGCCACCTGCTCTCGGTCGAGTCCGGCTACCCCGCCTTTGGTGTCGGCTCCGAGATCCTCGCCCTGACCATGGAGTACGCCTTCGACTACCTCGACGCCCCGGCCCAGCGCGTCACCGGCGCCGAGGTCCCCACGCCGTATGCCCAGAAGCTCGAGGAGATGAGCTTCCCCACCGAGCAGCTCATCGAGGACTATGCCGCCAAGATGCTGCGCGTCTAAGTCACGGACGGGGTTGGATATGCGGAAAGAGGAACAAACATAATGACGGCGAAGCGTTGGTCGCGGCACGAATCATCCTCGGCGCTCAACGAAGCATGAGGGACATGCAAACACCTTTTTTACCAGTATCGATAGACGGCGAGGAGGGGGCACCTGTACTTGTATTTGCGTTGTCGTGTATACACCCTCTTCTTGGCCGTTACTTCATGGCGTGTGTGAATTGTCGTCGCATCATTCAGCCTGGCCGACGCGCAAAGTCTGCTGCGAAGCCAATGTCAGTGAGGCGCCTGCGATGCTGGCTCAATTCATAAATGTGCTTAAAACGAGGCGGTAGCTCACGCATCTGTTTGCTGCCAACTGTGCGCGTGCTGTAAAATTGAACGTTTCCGAGGCGCCGATCGTACGAAGCAGCTGCTGGAATATTTGCCCGCTCACCGCGGTGTGCGTCAGAGCCCCTCCACACACCCATTCAGCGACAGTGGGGCAGGCCAGCTCTAGCTTGTACCTCAACCTCACCTCGCAACGTCACCAGTCACCGCAGCCTCACCCATCCTCACCACTCCACGTTCTCGATAGCATCGCGCAGTCGCCATGTCCGGCATAGACGCGCTCCTGCTCTCGCAGGACCAGCGCGAGGCCGACATTGCCGCGCCTGCGCCTCAGCGGCAGCCGCCGCAGGACCCCGAGGATCTCAAGCGCCGCCTCGAGGACCTCTTCCTCTCGCCATCCGCCGAGTTCTCGACCGAGTGGCTCAACCGCCTGCAGCAGCGATGGGACTTTGAGGCCGACTACTCGTCCCTCTTCAAAATTGCGCCGCCGCAGACGCGCACCGTGACGCGCTTCCTGCGCCATGGACTCGAGGGCCGCGTGACGGGCTACAAAAACGTCACGGTTCCCATGAACAGTGCCACGGCCAAGAACTCGACCAGTCTGCTGCGTAAGCCTGCCAACAGGGCCGATTTTGTGAGAGGCGCGGCAGGTTTCTTTCCGTTTGCCCCCGGTGGCTTGGAGGGCATCGAGGCGACGGCTGCGCTCGAGGACCAGATGACCGCTGGAGGCGCAACTGAAGACGGATCGCGGGCCAATAAGCTCGACAGGGTCATCCAGCTGGGCGAGGGCGGCCTGCTTCAGGTTGCCCCCGGCTTCGAGCGGGGCATCAACTTTGGAAAGAAGGCATCCGGCAACGAGGATGCCGATGCCGTCAAGCACATCCTCGAGGAAGAGCCTGAAGCTGCGGGCACCACAGAGCAAGATGAGGAAGGCTCTCCGGCGACTGCAGAGGACGAAGTCGATGGGGAAGAGGACGGCGACGACATTGACGACATCCTGCCTGTCGAGTTCCCCTCCCTTGAGCCTCATGGTGTGCTCGCGGCATCCAGCGCTAGGAAAGCTGGTCGCGAATGGGCGCACATGGTCGACATCAGACACGGCATGCCCAACTTCCGAGAGCTTGTGCCCGACATGGCAAGAGAGTGGCCCTTTGAACTCGATACGTTTCAGAAAGAGGCTGTCTACCATCTCGAGAACGGCGATTCAGTTTTCGTTGCTGCGCACACTTCCGCTGGCAAGACAGTCGTGGCCGAATATGCCATTGCGTTGGCCGCCAAGCACATGACCAAAGCTATCTACACGTCGCCCATCAAGGCCCTCAGCAACCAAAAGTTCCGCGATTTCCGCCAGGACTTTGACGAGGTCGGCATCTTGACGGGTGATGTGCAAATCAACCCCGAGGCCAGCTGTCTCATCATGACGACCGAAATCCTGCGCAGCATGCTTTACCGCGGCGCAGACCTCATCCGAGACGTCGAGTTTGTCATTTTCGACGAGGTTCACTACGTCAACGACTTTGAGCGCGGCGTCGTCTGGGAGGAGGTCATCATCATGCTGCCCGAGCACGTCTCGCTAATTCTGCTGTCGGCCACCGTTCCCAACACCTACGAGTTTGCGTCGTGGGTTGGCAGGACGAAGCAAAAGGACATCTACGTCATTTCAACTTCCAAGCGCCCGGTCCCTCTGGAGCATTATCTCTGGGCTGGCAAGGAGATGCACAAGATTGTTGACTCTGACAAGAAGTTTATCGAAAAGGGCTGGAAAGACGCACATGCCGCGGGCCAGGGCAAGGACAAGCAACGGCCGGCGGAGAACACGATCGCAACTCGTGGCGGAAATCCCCGCGGCGGCCAGCGAGGCGGACCCCAACGAGGCGGGCAGCAGCAACGCGGCGGACGAGGTGGCGGACCGCAGAGGGGCGGCCAGCAGCGAGGACGCGGAGGCCCTCCTCGTGCAAGCCACGCCCCCGGACACATGGGTCGCGGTGGGCGACCTGGCGGAATGTCGTCCGCTGCTCAGGATAAGAATCTCTGGGTGCATCTTGTCCAGTTCCTGCGCAAGAATACCCTGTTGCCCGCTTGCATCTTCGTCTTCTCCAAGAAGCGTTGCGAGGAAAATGCAGACGCCCTGAGCAACCAGGACTTTTGCACGGCAACGGAGAAGAGCCACATACACATGATCATCGAAAAGTCGATTGCGCGGCTCAAGCCCGAGGACCGCGTGCTGCCGCAAATCATTCGGCTGAGGGAGCTCCTCGGCCGCGGCATCGCGGTGCATCACGGCGGCTTATTACCCATCGTCAAGGAGCTGGTGGAAATATTGTTCGCCCAAACACTCGTCAAGGTGCTGTTCGCGACGGAGACTTTTGCTATGGGCCTCAACTTGCCGACGCGAACAGTCGTGTTCTCGGGTTACCGGAAGCACGACGGGCACTCGTTCCGCAACCTTCTCCCGGGCGAATATACGCAGATGGCTGGGCGAGCTGGACGTCGTGGTCTGGATACGGTGGGTTCGGTCATTATCGTGCCGCCCGGCGGCTCGGACGACGTTCCCCCGGTCGCGGAGCTCCGCAACATGATCCAGGGCGAGCCGTCGAAGCTGCGATCACAGTTCCGCCTGACGTACAACATGATCTTGAACCTGCTGCGGGTCGAGGCGCTCAAGATTGAGGAGATGATTAAGAGGAGCTTCTCCGAACACGCGACACAGCAACTTCTCCCCGAGCACGAAAAGGACGTCAAGCTGGCGCAAGCAGACTTGGCCAAGGTCAAGCGCGAGTCGTGCAAGATCTGCGACGTGTCCATGGACGAGTGCCATCAGGCGGCGCAGGACTACAAGCAACTTACGTTGGAGCTGTACAAGGGCCTGCTGAGGATCACCATCGGCCGCCGCATGTTCACCTCGCAGAGGCTCATCGTCTTCAATTGGGACGGCATCCGCACCGTAGGCATTCTGGCCGCTGAAGGCCCCAGCCCGCGCGGCTCCATCGATGAGCCGATCCTGCAGGTCTGCGCCTTGAAGCCGCTGCGCGATCGGCGAGACGCGACCGACCAGCTGCCTTTTATCCCCGGCTTCCGCAAGTACATGCACAAGCTGCCCCAGGGCCGGCGCCGGACGCAGATCAAGACTCTGCACGTGCCGCTCAGCGATGTCGAGTGTGTCACGCGATGGATCCTCAAGGGCACGATCCCCGAGATCCTCAAGCACGGCGCGGCGGGCATGCAGGCGATGGAGCGACTCCAGGAAATTTGCTCCTCGTGGGACGACCGGTGGGATGAGGTGGACATGGGCAAGATCAAGAGCCTTCAGCTGCAGGAGATTGTCGAGAAGCGGGCGCAGCTCGTCAAGACGATCCACAGCTCGCCGGCGACAAAGTGCCCGGCGTTCTTGAAGCACGTAAGTGTATCCCAGCTCAAGTACAAATGCCATCGTACCCCTGCTGACCAAACAGTTTGCCATGTGTCACGACGAGTGGCTCATCAAGGAGCATATCCAGCAGCTTAAGCAGTCCCTGTCCGATCAGAACCTCCAGCTGCTGCCCGACTACGAGCAGCGCGTACAGGTGCTGAAGGAACTCGACTTCATCGACGACGCGACGCGCATCCAGCTCAAGGGCAAGGTCGCATGCGAGGTGCACTCAGGCGACGAGCTCGTGCTGACGGAGCTGATACTCGACAACGTGCTCGCCGACTTTGAGCCCGCCGAGATCGCAGCCCTGCTCTCGGCCTTTGTGTTCCAAGAGAAGACACTCGTAGAGCCCACGTTAACGGGTAACCTGACGCGCGGGCGCGACACCATCGTGGCCATTTCCGAAAAGGTCAACGACGTGCAGACGCGGCTGCAGGTGATCCAGTCCTCCGAGGACTCCAACGACTTCGTTTCGCGGCCGCGCTTCGGGCTCATGGAGGTGGTGTACGAGTGGGCGCGGGGCATGAGCTTCAAGAACATCACGGGCCTGACCGACGTGCTCGAGGGCACCATTGTGCGCACCATTACGCGCCTCGACGAGACGTGCCGCGAGGTCAAGAACGCGGCGCGCATCGTCGGCGACCCGGAGCTGTACCAGAAGATGCAGCAGGCGCAGGAGATGATTAAGCGGGACATTACCGCCGTGGCAAGTCTTTACATGTAGGGAGGATCGGAACTGGATGGGTGGCTTGCATGGAATGGAACATGTAGAGTAACTAACTAGAACCTGGCGATTTGTGTCTCGAGCAATTTCGGCATGTACAAGGTAATGAATGAGGCACACGTCTAGAGCAATCCTATTAACAAAGAGTGAGAAAAAACACACGGCCTTTCGCCAAACGCCACCCATGTCCAAGCATTCATTCCGTCATGCGTGCGACTTCCCAGTCTCTCTTTCCCAGTGTCTCTCTTCTCTCCCTCTCTCTCTCTCTCGCACGTCCACTTCGTACCCGCTCTCTCTCTCTCATCCACTTCGTGAAACCCCCCCTTCTTCCGTTCGTGACGCCGCGCCGCCTACGCCCGCAGCGCACGCAGGCGCTGCTGCAGCTTGTCCTCCTCCTCGGCGGTGGGCTCGGCGCTCGCGGCCTGGGGCTCGGCGGCGGCGGGCGTGGCCTTGTTGAGCTCCATGCTGAGCTCGACGCCGGCGTCGTCGGCCAGCTTGCCGAGCAGCTCGTGGACGGCGTCCTCGCCGACCTGGACCGAGGTGGACTGGGTGATGGCGTCCTGGTAGATGCCGTTGGACATGGCGTACTCTTCGTTTTGCTGCTTGAACTGCTCGAGCGTGACGAGGGTCTGCAGGGCAATAATGGGTCAGCTCAATTCCGGGCATTCAACCGCACATATGTAGAGGATCGTAGATCGGGACAGAAAGAAAGGTTATGGATGAGAGCAAACGCACCTTTTCCGGGTTCGTGTTCTTCTGGGCGACGTTCATGGTGCGCGACGACTGGGCCATCATGTGCGTCATGCGGTTCATGGCGTTGTTGGCCTGGATCTGGGCGGCTGACAGCTCGGCCATGTCGGCCATCTGGTCCATCTGCTGGGCGAGGGCCTGCTTGGAGAGCAGCATCTTGGCCTTTTGGTAGGCCTTTGCCGTCTCGCCCTTCTTGAGCAGGTCCTGGATCTGCTTCTTGAGGATGGGGTCCTGCTTGGCCGCCTTTTGCGCCTCGCGCCGCGCCTGCTTGGCGTTGAAGCGCGCCTGGAACTCGACCTGCATGTCGCGCGCGAGCTGGCGGTTCGACATTGCGGCTGCGTGTGTTTTGTGCCCGTGTCTTTGTGTATGTGTGTCTGTGTCTGGTCGGGCGGCGGCGGCGGCTGCCTGTTCGGTATCGGGGCGGGGACCGGGGGGGGTTGAGGAAACGCGCACGGCCGGCGGTTTAGTTTGATGGGCAGCGAGCGGTGCGGCGAGTATGCGACGATGGGTTGCGTGGATGGATGGATGGACGGATGCGCGGTCGGGTGGGCGGCTTCGAGATGTACGAGGTTTTCGAGGTTCGGCGGCGCTGATGGTGGTGGTGGTTGTCGGCGAGGCCGCTCGTTGCGGGAGGCGTCATGTGAGGCGAGGCGCACGGCGGGCACTGGGAGCGGGGCGCCACGCGGTGACGCAACAGTGATTGCACCGCCACAGCCCACCAGCCACAGGGTCTCAGCCACGGAGCTGGGAGCGGAGGCCCGCGCTTACTTACCCTACAGCCGCCGACAGTGTGTCAATTCAAAGCCCAATGTAGGCGAGGCGAAGAGCTGTCGTCGTGTTGGACTCACTAACGAGGCAATATCTATACGTTCGAGTTACAGACTTGCGGTGCACTTCGTTTGTATGGCTCTGCACTCAAAGGTAGAACAGCAAACCGATCTACCACAGACGACTGCCTATCGATGCCCCTCCATCACCAACACGCGAAATGTCACGCAGGAACCAACCTGGGACACCAATTCAGTTGACATTTGACTCCTGGACTGGGAGGGAGTCGTCCCTAATAGTGTTTACAGGTTCTTTGTAGGTGAAGCCTGTGAGCGCATCCTTGGCGACACGGGGCTTCCCTGATCAGACAAGCTGGTACGATCAGACAACGGGCGCAACAACAGGCGCAACAACGGGCGTTGCGGGATGTGGTGGCGTCGAATCCAGGCACACCCCAGAATGTCAGCGTCATGGCTGCCGCCAACGTCAGGGAGGGCTTAAATGCAGACGTCCATGCCACCTCACAGCTCCCCTCCGTCACTCTCGACGACAACACCAGAAAGTCAATCACGTAGCGCGCTGGACTATCATGGCCTCCAAAGTAAAGCTCAACGTGCAGAGCTTCCCGCGCCCGCCCGCTCTGCAAAAGATATCCCGCGACATCCGGATCACGTTCCGAGGCGATACGATTGCGCAGACGCAAGACGCCTACTGGGTGCTGGAGACGCACCACCCGCCGAGTGGGTTCCCTGTGATGACCCCGATATCGTTCGGGAGAGCCTTGCTGTCTTTGCAGCCGCTGATGGGCACAGCATATTACCTCCCGCGGACCTCGGTCAAGCTCGCCCTGACGCCGACCGGACGCAGGACAGGCTGCGAGTGGAAGGGCACCGCGACGTACTACGAAGCCAAGCTCGGCGACGGCACGACCGTGGCAAACCGGATATGGTCGTACGAGGCCCCGACGCCGGCGTTTGAGCCGATCCGCGGCTACTTGTCCTTCTACGCCGGCCCGCCTTGGGATTGCTTCGTTGATGGCGAAAGGGTTGAGCCGCAGCCGGGAGACTTTTACGGCGGCTGGGTCACGTCCGATATCGAGGGGATCGTCAAGGGCCACACCGGTAACCTTGACCCGGTCATTTAGAGAGGGGCGTCGCCTGGCATCGCCGTTTGATGAAAGTTGCTGCGGCATGAGGAGTCCCTGAGCCGGAGTCAGGAACGCGCGCAGCGCCAGGGCTGCTTTTGGTAGGTGTCACTCGGCGGCCAATGCTCCGCCTGGCGTTCTCGATCAACGCGCCGAGTCCGACCCCGTTGAGCAGAGTTTTGCTGGATCTTGGGTCGCGTCTCGTGGCCCCAGTAGGATCGAGGCTGGGCGGCTTGGGCACGGTCTCCCGAGCTGTCCTCGGCTTGCTTGGGCCCCATCTTGACGTGACAAACGCAATTCCAGAGGCAAAAACTAGCCGCGGCGGCGCAGGGCAAAAGAGGAGAGACGGGGAGACTACACGTACGCTTGCGAGCTTGAACAAGACGAGATGTGTCGAAGAAACGATGAAGCTCGAAGGAATGCCTTAGCGGATGCGACGTTGGCTCCGTACCGTGTGGTTTTCCACAGTAACTGCGATTCCAGACACTGTGCTTGCTCCTTCCCGTTGAGACGGAAGATGCGTAGTGCTACCAAACACATTGCCAGCTCAGCCAGGACCTGCTCTATCGCCAGCGACAACACTGAGATGCGAAAATGCAAAGCACTCAATCAACGGGTCGAGACCGCGGGCCGTCCGAGCTGACGATCTATCATCAAGCCACGCGATCGGAGCGGCCCCGACGGGCCTGCGCGTGCCGAGAGCAACCACGAACTCACGCACGGCCTGTGCGTGTGTGCGCGTGTCGCAGCAGGTCAGCCCATCAGCGTCGCACCTTGCCAACTCTCGACAGGCCTCCTGGCTCGGGTGCCAGGGTTGCCCGCTGGCCACGACGTCACTTTTTCTGCAGCATGTCTCACACGACTGAGCCAGGCCGTCTCTTGCGTCGCAAGCTCTCCTGGCCGCCCGCCCGGTCGCCAGAGGACCTGGGCCTGGCTGGGCAAGGCGGCATCACTCCAGGAGACAGCGAGGGTGACGGCGCCTCCGCGCCAGCGTCGACGCCGATTCCCACAAGGACCACGGGTCAAAAGAACCCTGGATCTCGCTGCTGGACGACGCCGGGGTCCGCCTGTCGACGAAAGCCCCCACGTCGCGCCAGAGATGAGCAAGATGAGCTACGGGCGGCCTTCGGCTAGACCCCATTTCGACGGGGCGCGGCTCCTCCTGCACAGTAGCGCGCCTCGAAACCGCAGATCACGGCCCGCGGAACAGGGGCTGGCCCATGCCGGCAGATAGGCAGGCTGCGCGTAATGGGGGTGAGGCCAAGGAGCATCGCACCGCATCGCCAGAGTGATTTGATTTTGCTCGGTCAAGGCAAGGGGTGGCTGCAGCTGCCCCGACGAGGCCTCTTCGCTTCGCACCCGCCGGTACTTGGATTAGTAGTGATTCCTCAGGGCGAGTCGACACTGGCTGACTGCATAATTAAGCCTCTGACGGATCGTGGATAGTCGACCCGCTTCCTGGTAGCTGGGACGCCGGCTGTCGTTTGGTCCAGCGACAGCGGCCGCCCAGCATCCCATGGCGAGCTCACCCGCGGTTGTGCGAGGGCGTACGAATGTACCAGATACCGAGTGCCGCACCCTCCTCCTCGTCCAGCTCGCGCGCGGTTGCACCGCCTGTCTGTGCCAAATGACAGGAGCTGCAAGTCGAGCGACCCATGGGCTTCCGTCCGGAATTGGACTCGGCCACGGCAGGTTCCTTCAGAGACAGTATTGCAACTAGCTGTGACCATGCAACCCTCGCCCATCCGGGGTCGGAATCCGCCCACGGCTTCGGGTCCCTGACCTTTGCTTCTTCGCTGCCATTATTAAACTCCTGCCGCTTCCAGACCGTTTGTCGCCTGCGGTCCGGCGCATCTGACAACTGACGTTGGCTTCTCGGCGTGCCAGTGCGACCAACGCTCGGAACGACCCAACGGCGAAGCGCGCGCGTTTCGGGGACGAACGAAGTCCTCGTGTGCTTCCCGCCGTCGTGGCCAGGCTACCCATGACCTGCTCGCTTCATCGCCACCATGGAGCTCACAACCTCGCTGGCGATTGAGTCATGGATCCTCTACGCCGTCGGCGTGGCCGTCGTTGTCTGCCGGATGTTATCGCGGCGGATCAAGCTGGGCAAGTGGAGGCACCTCATGATTGACGATTACCTCATGGTGTTTGCTCTCGTATGTCGCCTGGAGAATGCATCGCTTTGACCTGTTCTCGGCGCCAAGCTGACCTGCCAGGTCAACTTTACCGGAGTCGTCGTCTCTATCAACGAAGTGGCCAAGAATGGCAGCAACTACATGTCGCCCGAAGACGCCGCGGCACTCACTCCGGAGGGCGTCGACCGAGCCGTGTACGGAAGCATCATGACCTTTGTCCTCGAGATATTTACCCTCACGGCCACATGGACCGTAAAGGCGTGTCTCCTTATGCTCTACGCCCGTCTAACGTAGGTCCGCCGTATCCCCCGTCGTCGCAGGTTGACTTACTGTGCTAGGCGAAACACTCTTACCAAGCAGCATTTGTTGGTCAAGATTGCTGCCGTGTACTGTGCGTTGACGTACCTCATCGTCACCTTCATGTTTGTCTTCTACTGGTGCAGCCCGACGTACGAGTACTGGGCGGTCCCTGTCAGGATAAGTACGCACTGTCGCCCATCCGTCGTCTCTGCCACGGCTAACAGGAACAGTGCAATGTGCGACATACTACCACCACATGATCTTTGCGACCGCATGCAACATCTCCTCCGATCTTTTGCTATTGTTTATCCCGATACCCATTATTATCAAAACCCGGCTTCCAAACAAGAGGTGCGCATGACGCCCTTGACAATTTCCCTTGGTGCTGACCCGGGCTAGAAAAATCATTCTCTGCTGTATTCTAGGACTGGGCATCTTTAACGTTAGGCATCTTCTACGTACAGGCTTGAAACCGAAACTAAATCTGACAGATCCTCGCCGCGATTCTCAACCGATACTACAATTTCAGCACGCCAAATTCCTACGTGTTCCTCTTCTGGTATGTCGCAGAGGTGGGCGTTGCCATGCTGGTCGGCAACCTGCCACTCTGCTGGCCGATCCTGCGCACCGTACTCGGAACCACGGAGAGTTCCAAGACGCCATCGTACCACGGCGAAACCATCAGCGGTGGAGGGCGACCGAAACGACACAAACATCCTCTGTCCGCAGTGGGCACGACCGTCATGGGCACGATGTGGGACAAGATAGACGACCAAGAGTACGGGACAGGGGCGAGCGAGGGTGCCCAGACGCAGCGGACTCCTTCGGACCAGGGGAGCCAGATCGAGCTGGTGCTGCAGGGGCACAACCACAATCACCACCACCATGCCGCAGTCAGCGCGAACGAGGACCCGAGCCCGGATACGGCGCAGATATTACAGCCATCAAACTCAGCGGGATCAAGCGGAGCCGAAGGCGCTGGCAAGGCGGGCGGTGACAAAATCATGGTGGTCACGACCGTGGATGTGTCGTCAGAGTCACAGCACGGCCGATGAGGAACAGGATAGGGGGAGTAGGATTACTACGGCATGCATGGAAGACCGGGGTTGATTACCCTTGTTTGTGGGAATGCATTGCTAGCGATACATTACGACACGTTGGCGCGCTACGGCATCCTGGTTGTATTGATATACTCTGGGGCATATCCTAGAGAGATGATATCCGTGGACTGAGCCCTGAAAAGTTATGCGCGGGTCACGATATAGAGTTGTGGATTGGTCCAAAGATGATTGCGTCCTGTGCACTTCGTACAGGAATGGTAACGCTCCACGCCCGGGATGCCGCATTCGGAGGATAGACACGATGGCGGCGCGCACATCTAAATGGAGATCTGGTTCTGCCAGATTTAGCGAAGAAAATCTACGAGCCCTTTGTGCTGGCCACCTGGCTACAAGGATGATCCTCGGTATCAACACAGTTGAGGCTTGCGAGAAGCTCTCTCCAGCTCGCCACTACCAAAGCATTAAGCGAGAGAAACCGACTAGGCTCACGAACCGCCTCTGCCGCTACAAGGACGAGGCTCGCCTGCTGATACTCATCCAGCTGTCGAGATCCATCAGTGGCGCGCCTTCGGTTCGCCGCTAACTACCGGGGCGCTCTGATCAGTTCCCCGGACCACCCGAGAGGTTGTAAGAAAGCCTCGTGTGGCTGGCTGCCACGACAACGATATCCCCGGCGCGGCGAACAGACAGCGGAGCCGACGACGATGACCGCGGCTCGACAGCCGAACGGGGCCGGTTCGGGTCGGGTCAGGTCAAGGGTTCCTGGTGAAACATGGAGAGAGGCGCGTTTGGCGATGGGATGACGCCATGTGGGGGACGGACACCTGACGGACACAGAGGTTGAGAGAGAGGATGACGGCAGCTTGGGATGAAAGATACGAGCAGCCAATGTCAACGACATGGCGAAGTGGCAGTCTGTGGTCGCGGAGCGCCGGGCGACCGTGGCTGGCTGACGCCAGGAGGCAGGGACCGGGCTGGGCCAGGGCACTGGGTTGTGGTTCTTCTCTCAAGATTGGCAGCGTCTGGATCCTGGGGGGATGGAGGCTGCCGCAACAAGTGAACTCAACGCTACGAGTATTACAGGGCACCACCCACGGGCGATCAGCGTTCCTCTGGCCAGTGGGATTTTTCACCCAGGCAGGTAGGCGTGACAGGGGAGCAGACGTCCTTGCCTCTTCTGTTGATTCCATCGTGCGGCTCTCGGTACCGGGCTTTACCGCCGGGCTGTTATCCCGCTGATCGCAAGTTCGCAACCAGACAACCATGACCAACCTAGCCTCGGTCGGGCGACGGACGGCCAACAGAGGCAGGCACTGCATCTTCTGAGCCTCGGGACAAGGCTACGGTAGAAAAACTTCGTCAAACTGAATTGGAAGCCAGGCCGATGGGAGAGACACCCCAGTGAGGGGCCAGAGGCGAATTGTGTGGTTGCAGCGCGGAGGGTCCGCCGGCGTGTCGCCGGAGCGGGACATGGACAGGACTCACAGGAGGGGGCGCCAGTCCGGGGGGAGAGGTTGTTCCTCGGTGAAGCATCGAGGGGGTTAATCGTCCAGCGCGAAGCACTGGCACTCGATCAATGTTGTTCAGCAGGCCTCTCGGCTTGCCCTACCTGGACACACCAACACGGTACGCAGCCGTGCCAAAAGACGACCTCCCTTCATCTGCCATGCTCGGCGGGTGCCAGGTACGGTTGATAAGTGCCCGTCTTCAGCGCGCGCCACTTCCGCCAGACTAGCTGCTCGGAGCGCGCCCGCCGCGCCACAGCACAGCACGGACGGGGGGGGGGACCATCTCCTGCTCCCTCCCTGTGGGCACGGGAACAGGCGGGTTGTTGTGGGTGGTGTGGGTGGGTGGACAGCGCGGGCGGCAGATCAATCATCAAGCCAAGCCGCGCCGAACTGGGGATCGGCCGGCCGGCTGGGCTGATAGCGCAGCCCCTGGAGGGGGGGCCCTTGCCAGGCCCAAGCCGGGTTGAGAGGGGCGGCCAGAGGATGGCTTGCTGAAGTTCTGACGACCGGGCTGCGTGCCTCTGCAGAATTCTTCAATTTGGGGAGGTGCAGGTATCTTCACTAGCCCGTCCGTACTGTGCCTAGGGCCCCCCCCCCGAGGTTGCGTTGCCCTCAACTGGCGGCGTTGCATCCGGGGCGTTTCGAAGGTTCTGCCAACGTGGCGGGCGGTGGTATTGCACCTTCTGGCCGCCCGCCGCTCCCATGTCCCCCCTCTGTCTCTGGTCTCCCTCTCTCTGACCGGCGGTACTGTAACCCATGGAACGGATAATACGGGTGCATTGAGCCCAGCCTGGCGCCATCCACGGTTCGAGTTGGGTTGGAAGAGAAGGGGGTAAGCTTAAAAGCACATTGATACATAAAGCACGGAGGGCACATGCCACTGATATCACAGGCGCCTCGGAATCGGGCGGCTGTCCCAATTTTGGCCTTGCGCATGCAGCAGCCGCCCCAAGCAAAAAACAGAGCCGGTCCTAGGGACGGGGACGTCGACGTAGGGAAAGTGCCGCAGGTGGCGCGATGGCTGGGTCTTGATATGTGACGTGCTTTCTACTAGGGGGCCATGCCCATGAACCGAAGAGAGACAATCTTGGCTTTCGTAACGAGGGTTCTGCAATGCTCTTAATGCAGCAGGATTGCCGCAAAGTAAAGTGATGTGATGGTCTCAGACGGTCCCGAGCCACGGCAGCTCGACGATAACACTCCCTGACGCAAGTCACAACATCCCAGCCTCGCTCGCACCGCATTTCACTCCGATATGAAGCAAGACACACATGGGCGAGCGGGGGGGCAGGCAGGCCCGCAGGGGCCTGTGTAACTCAGGCCGCATCATCTCCCATCGCGGGGTCACTGGCCGCGCATGGAACCGTGAGTTATTACTTTGTACTTGGTTTAAAATCCATACAGTACAGTATCAGAACCAAATTCGCAGAATGTCGGATTGTGTTATGGAGCAAAAAGTGTCCTACAGGGCTTGGAGCTCTCGCAATACTACTAGCAAGCCCCTCTGAAGCCCCCCCCACCTGGCTCGTCGTGCCGTTTAGGGAACCCGAAGGACGGAAACCCTGGCCCCATTGTGCCCCGAGTTTGGCTACAAGCCGTATCTGTGTACCCGGACCGTTCTTGACAGGGCAGGTGATACAAGGACAGGACACAGGACAAGCGGCCGAGGGCACGAACGATGGATTCACTCACCCACAGGATGGCGGCGGCGGCGGCGGCAGGGTGCCACTTTGGGCGTTGGTGGTTCATGTTTTTATTTTCTCCCGCCACCTCGTGCGGAGCAAGAGCCAACATGAAGCCCAGCAGCAGCGCGGGCGGGCGCCCCCCAAATAGCTACGCAGCTCCACTCTCGGATCTTCTGTGGTGTTGGTGGTCCCCTCCCTTGTCCAGATTTAGAAGACGAGCTGCAACGCTAAGAGTCCCCGTCTGTCTCTTTTTCTTCCCCCTTCCTTGCCCTGCTCGTCTCATTCTCGTTGTGTTGCGGCGGGCCGGCCGTCAGACGCCGATTCCTTCTCGAACCAGCGCGAGAAACGTCGCCCCAGCCCCCTGGCCCCTGACTCCCTGCCAGTCCCTGGACTCCTCCAAGCCCCTCTTCTTCCTCCCCGCCGTTCTGTTCGGCAGGAGGAGACGACGCATCTCCGCTTGGTACCTACCACCATAATGGACCATGGCCCGGCGCATGGAGGGAGGGCCTGGCTTTGCGACGCCACGGGCAAGGTCATGCCCGGCGCTCTGTTGTGACTTGTGTCCCATGCCCTATCCATGCTGAGGGGACGCTCGCGGTGCCGACGGAGCTGGTGGCGGCGGTGGCTCGCAGCCCCGGCTGTCGTTCTGTCTGAGTGAGAGCGTGCATGCGGGCATCGGCTGCGAACGCCATCTGCGGCCGCCCCCGGATGCATGTATGTACGAAGTACGCCTGCGTCTCCTGCGACTCCAGGCGCATGGAGGGGCCATGGCATGCACTGCGCGCACCGCCCGCATGCCGCTTGGCCACGGTTCGCCATGTGCTGGATGGCTGGCTACCACTATGTATGGTCCATAGAGGCAGGGAGGGCCTTGCGGGTCGCCGCCACGCACGAGGTCGGCACATGGTTGCTTGCTTGGATTTTCCTGCTTGCTTCCTTGCCTGCTTTGCTTGTTGGGGTTTGGTCTGCTTGCTCTCGCCCTCTCCTGGGTGGAAGAAGCAGCACCACCACCACCAGCATGCTTGAAGCCAGCCGGCCAGCCAGCCAGACGGCAGGCCTGCCGGTCGGCGCCCTTGTTGATGCTGCAGATAGACCTGGGCCTCGCATGCATAAGCTTGAAGAGGCGCTAATCGACGACTCCCGGCACCGCGTTGTACCTCATGTAGGCAAGGTACTGCTCGTATGGTGGCATGTTATACACCTTGGACCGTTTGCCCGCGCGGAGCGCCGGTCGACTCGACTTACACGCTAGCCAGCTCCGTCGCTCCAGTCTCCAGTCCCTCGTCCATCCATCCATCCAGCAGACCAACTCGCCTTCCAGTCCCCTCAGCCCAGACAGGCTTCCCTCTCACCTTTTCTTCTTCACCGCCGGTGTCATTTCTATTCCAAGCCCTCCTTGGACATTAATCAGCCCCCGGCTCAGCCCTCGGAGCCCTACCATCCCGTTGCTGACTCTTCATCTTGAAACGCAGGTGTTGGCTTGGCCGCCGTTGCCCTCGCCCGGAGCTTGTGTTGTTGGTTCCAGTGACGTCTTGTCTCACACACATATGTCCGCCGGCGGTGCCGCCTCGCAGATCTCGACGGGGAGAGACAGATATTAATCATCTTACTCGTTGCGGACGTTTCTGGTAGCGCGTGCGGGTGGTGACACACTTCGGTTTCCCTCTCGGACGGAGCTCCAATCGACAAGCATGGCCGTTCCACAGACGACGACGACGTCGGCGGCGGCGGGGATGCCGACGCCGACCTCAGATCAAGACAACTCGAATGGCGGCAACAACAATTCCAATGCCGAGACATATTACACAGAAAAGGCCGTCACGCTGAGCACGTCGTACCCGTCCCCCGTGCCGTCCCGCCATGAAGACGCAAGCGCGCCCGGTTCAGGGACCGGAGGAGGTCGCAACAACGACAACGATGCCGCCGCCGCGCCGCTGGCCGCCGTCGTCCCCTCGCGGCTGCGCGCCCTCAACGCGCGCATCGAGGGCCTCGCCGGCTTCGAGGCCCGCGGCATCACGCGCGTGCTGCCCGAGGAGCGCCGCCCCGCGAGCCTCAGCGACGACCTGCAGGTCGCCATCATGTGGTTCAGCGCAAACATCTCGCTCAACAACCTCGCCGCGGGGATGCTGGGCCCGCTGCTCCTCGAGCTGGGCTTCCTCGACTGCGCGCTGCTCGCCGTCTTTGGCGCCCTCGTCGGCAGCCTGACGACGGCGTACATGGCCATCTGGGGCCCGCAGAGCGGCAACCGGACCATGGTAAGGAGTGCCAATTCGCCTGCGGGTGAACATAGTCGCAAAAGGACTGAATTACTGACCGAGTCTAGGTCGTGCTTCGCTTCTTCATGGGCTACTGGCCGTCCAAGATCCCGTGCCTCCTCAACATCGTCCTCATGGTCGGGTACGCCACCATCGACGGCATCATCGGCGGGCAGGTCCTCTCGGCCGTCAGCGGCGGCCAGATGACCATCATTGTCGGCATCGTCGTCGTCTCCGTCGTCTGCTGGGTCGTCGCCGTCTTTGGCATGGCCCTCTTCCACAAATATGAGAGGTACGTGAACACCATCATCATCATCGTTGACATCACGACAGAGCGTTCCCCCATGCTGACAGTCACCAAGATACTCGTGGCTCCCCCAGGTCCTCGCCCTCTTCGTCCTCATCGGCGTCGCGGGCCCCTACTTCGACGCCTCGTCGCAGTCCAAGGCCACGGGCGCGCTCCTCGCCGCGCAGCGCCTCTCCTTCTTCAACATCTGCCTGTACGTGCCCAACTCGTGGGCGGCCGCCGCCTCCGACTTCTACGTCTACTACCCGGAGCGCACGTCGCGGCGCAAAATCTTCCTCCTCACCCTCGTCGGCCTGTGGACCGCCTTCTGCCTCGTCTACCTCATTGCCATCGGGCTCGGCACCGGCGTCGCCAACCTCCCCGCCTGGTCCGACGCAAACGCCATCTCCTCTGGCGCCCTCATCGTCGCCGGGTACGAGCCCCTCAGGGGCTTCGGCCGCGTCTGCTCCGTCATCGTCGCGCTGGGCGTCATTGCCAACAGCATCCCGAGCACATACTCGGCTGCGCTTGGCTGCCAGACGCTCGGCCGCTATGGCAAGGCCGTCCCGCGCTGGGTGTGGTCCACGTTGCTCATCCTCGTCGAGTTTGTCCTCGCCGTCGCTGGCCGCGAGCACCTCTTCCTCATCTTTCAAAACTTCCTTGCCCTCATGGGCTACTGGGTCATGATCATGATTGTCATCGTCTTCGAGGAGCACATGCTCTTCCGCAGGGGCAAGTTCGCCTTTGACTGGTCTCGCTGGGAGGACCGCAGCTACCTGCCCGTCGGCTGGGCCGCCTTTGCCGCGTTCCTCATCGGCTGGGCCGGCGCCATCCTGGGCATGAGCCAGGCCTGGTACGTTGGGCCCCTCGCGCAGCTGGCGTCGACGGGCGACGTTGGCTTGTGGGTTGCCGTCGGCTTCACGCTCGTTACGTTTGCGCCGTTGCGCCTCATTGAGAGGAGGCTGATCGGCCGTTGATCCCGCCGACCCCTTTTTGCGCTGCACTTGCGCATCATTTGGTTCACTTCATGGCGAGCATGGTCCGGTGGGGGTAGTTGCTGCGGAGTTGTCATGTGCTTTCCGGATGCCGGTTCCGCTTGCTTCTGATTCTTGTCCTTTAAAAACCCATCATGGAGTCAAGTGTACGGAGTAGACAAATAGACTGAGGCCTCGAGGGTTCCCAGTATCGCCCTACGTCATGTCGTGCCAAGGCCCTCCGAAAACCGTCCCGCCGTCAGTGCTCGATATCAGACGCCGCGCAACGTCCACTGCTTTGTGAGTGATCGTGAAAGGCTTCACCGCTTGCCTCTGATGCAGCGGCGCCAGCACGGGCCGTCCGTGCCACGGGTCCCCGCCGCGACAGACCGCTTCCTCAGGCCGGGCATCGGTTCAGACCGGATATCTCGGCAAGGAAACGTACGGACGAAGTACCAGTCACTCCGAAAAAAGGACTACCCCGGCGGCCAAGCCGTTGGTTGTGGCGTGTAGTAACGCTCCGGCGACGCGGCCATGGTGCTCGGAGCGAGACCGAAACGCACGATCTTCTTCACAGTCAGAAAGTGCTCGCTATTCTGCTGAAAACCGCAGGCAATGCATTGCTATGTAATGTTTTGTTTGCGGCATACGGACCCTGGCCGATATGAAGGTGCACAAATAGTTCACGACACACGCCAGTAGATGCCATGACTGTACAAATCCAGTATCACAGTTTGAATACGTACTGCCTGGCTCGCGTGTCGAAACACCGTTTGATCCCGCCCAATGTCTCGCAAGGTCCGGCGATCGGCCGTGAGACCAGTCATCCCTGTGACCTAGTGCGCCCACACTGAGGGCTGTTGGGTTGACGACAAATGTGTCGATGCGCTTGGCCTAGTGATACCTCATGTGGTCAGGTCCTCCAGAATCATATGCGCTCCCTTCTCGGCTATGGCGTAGACCGTGGCCTGCAAGTGGGCGCTGATCTGGAGCGGCATGACACTCGCGTCTACCACCCTGAGCCCTCGCACGCCGTACACGCGCAGTCGCTGATCCACGACGCCGCCTTCAATGCCCTTTCGCCCGCCCATGCCGCACGTTCCCACGGGGTGCCAATCCGTGATCGTGTTGCGCACGATCCACTCTCGAAGCTTGGCCTCGCTCCTCAAGGTCGACGCATCGGGGGAGGCTGGCTGGCGGATGATGCCAGCCAGCGGATAGGTCGAAGCAATGCTGCTAGCGAACCGGACGCACTCCTTCATGACCTCAACGTCAAGTCCGCCGTGCTCGCCCGCATAGTACGCAGGGTCGATGCTGGGCTTGTCCTCCGCCGTAGCCTTTCCGGAGCTACCAGGGCGGATGTGGATGGACCCGACCGAGAAGGGATACTGAAGGATCTGCAACATCGTGCCGTACTGCTTGCCGTCTTCGCCCTTGAAGAAGGTGCTCCAGTTACCAAGGTCAAAAATGTACTCGATCTGCCCGAGATTGGCAGTGCCGTCCAGACGTTTGCGCAGAATGGCCTGCTTGTCCGCGGTGCCCGTGCTCAAGCTCGCCGCCTTGGCGGATAGCGAAGCCAGATACTCTGCCGAAGCAAAGTGCTTGAGCGGAACATACGTAATGGAACAAGGCAGCACGGTTAGAGGACCGTTACGATCCTTCAGGTATTTTTCCATAGCCTTCTCCGCGAGGGACGTGTCCGACTTGAGCTTGTCGGGGTTATCCAACGAGGGATCGACCTCGAAGATCATCGCCAGCACTGTCACCGGTCAGATGCATCCTCGGAAGTGCAGCGTTCAACTCACTGAGGTGATCTTGGAGATTCTCTCCCACTTGGGGGCTGTTGACTTCGACAGGCACACCCGCCTTGTCAAGCACGGCAGGGTTACCGATGCCAGACAGCTCGAGGAGCTGAGGTGACTTGACGCTGCCGGCTGACAGTATCACCTCGCGTGTCGCCGAAACAACATATTCCTCGCCGCGGTGCGTGAAACGAACACCTGTGGCGACGTGTGTGCCTGAACTGTCATTGAGAATGACTTCCTGGGCCGTGGCCTCGGTCAGGATGTGCAAGTTTGCCGCGGGCGATGAGCAGTAGCTCGTCGAGTAGCAGCGGCTCGCCGTCCGCGGATCGACGGCGTTGACGTTGGTCCAGACACCGACATTGGAGCCGGCGACGTGGGCTGAATTGGTCTTCACGCCGAGCGCATTGAGCGTCTGGTGCCACCTGCTATGAGACGGCGAGTAGTCGGTGGAGTACGAGACTTGAATGGGACCCGAAGTCCCGAAAGAACTGGCATCGTGGGTGACGTCGTATTCTTGCTCAAGTTCCTTGCTTGGGGCATGGAAAGTTTCAGACTTTTTGAAGAATGGCCTGCCATGCCGTCAGTTGCCTAAATTCTGCAGGCGGAGGATGCTAGACCAGGTCGTCGATCGCCGGGGCCATCAGCCACGACGGTTGCCGCCAGAGACTTACAGCAGATCATCCCATCCCCATCCGACGTTGCCCAAAGCCTCCCATGCGTCGTAATCGTCCCTGCTCGCGCGATTCCACGTCATGAAGTTGAGTGCGCTCGTTCCACCGAGAACTTTGCCCCTGGGCCACGGCAGCGTCCTCCCGCCGAGTCCAGCTTGGGGCTCGGTCTCAAAGCGCCAGTCATGGCGACCGCCAAGGGCGCGACCATAGAAGGCCGGGATGTCGATGTCGTTCTCGCCATGGGATACGCCGCCGGCCTCGAGGACGCCAACGCTGAGTGAGGGGTCCGCTGCGGCCAAGCGGCCGGCGACGGCCAGACCGGCAGTGCCACCGCCGACGACGACGAAGTCGAACTGCCGCTTAGAGAAATCGCCTGCCGAGAGCGGCGTCGTGCGTGGCTGCTGAGTAGCAACCATTTCGAGCCAGGGAAGACAATGAAGCAAGCCACTTGTGGTGCTGGAGGTGGAATGGAGGGGTAAAGGTCGACAGCCCTCACGATCCAACTTGGTAGTTCGCGTCCCTGCCCTTTGGGGTGTTGTTGCTCTCAGTCAGGTGCTCCTTGTGCGTCTACCAACCGATGTCTATTCGCATGGGATCGGCCCCGGTCATGGATTGGCTCTCAACCTCACAATATTACGCGGAACCAGGGCGTAACGCTCGGCTGTGAACAAGTCAGACCTGGTCTCGTAGGACGCGCCAACACGCTGGTCTGATCAACAGTGTCAATACCCTGAACACGACACCAAGGGCCCATCCCGTATGCCGACTATGTCCCCGACTCCCTGCTGACGGCGCAGCATTGCGTGCGTTAGGAGCCTCCACTGCCAAACGAAGTCCAATGGGTGCATGGCGTAGCGTTGCTTTGCAGTTGGCGCCCTAGACAGACGGACTGCAGCCGCTGCACGACCAGCGCCCTAATCATACCGTGGTTCATGTGCGCCGTCCATGGAGTAACCCAGTTGCTGCGACCCAACTACTGTGGTAGGATTTGCCCCCTCGCACCACTGCCTGCTCTGCTGCTGCACCCCCGCTGCGAGACTGTCAGTAGATAGCTAATGACTGCTATCATGGGCCTGTCGCAAACATGAACGTGTTAAAAAGCCATATCCCCAACTTCGTAGGTGAGAAGATCGACCAAAGGGGACGAAGACAAGAGTTGTACAGTCGTGTCTAGGGTAGGGTGAACCCGACGAGCCCCGAGTGACCCGCCAAAAAGGTGGCTGGGACAGAGCTGGTGGCTGTCTTCGTGGGCCCTTCTTTGCTGGTGCTGGTGCTGGCGCTGGTCCTCTGGTGCTTTGCATGGGACCTGATGGGCAGCAGGTGCTATTGTTGGAACCAAGGGCGGAACCCCACAAAGAAGGGCGCCACGGAGTTCGGGCGAAGCATCTGGATTCTGGACGCCGGCCAGCTCGGACCAAGCCCCACGATGCCGTCGTACGACGAGCAATGACAAGTCATCGAGGCCCTATACACCGCATGCATGAATGTATGTATGCCGAACATGCTGCGTCTGCGTCTGATACTCGTGGAGTTTATGCGGCCACGATGGAGTCGTGCTGCAATGCGCATGGCGGCCAAGCATCATGCCCACGCAAGCCACTGCCCCTGAGTCCCTCTCGAACGGCTGCCACTAGCGGTCGTGATGGGGCGGCTCTCCACATGGGCCAGGCAGGTCTCGAGCTGCCCGTCTCAGGTTGGGCCCGATCAGCATGGAACGCGATCGAATATTCCGGGGATCCGAGTTGGGCGTCGTCGACGTTGGGACGAGCCGGACCCCGGATCTACACGCTCGAGCACGTACAACTCAGGCTCCTTCGTACGAGCGCTGCTGGGCGTGTGCTTTTCTGACGACGCGGCGTCCGACTTTGCTGGCTGGGCTGACCGACGGCAGATGCCCTGCCGGCGCCGGCAACGCGGCTGTTTCTTCTGACAAGTAAGTTCCATGCCGCGACGTACGTACGTATTTCGTAGCAGCAACGCGAGGGGTGAACCGGGCCGAGCGAGCACGCATTCCATCCAGCAGGCCCCCTGGAATCCGTTTCGACTTGGGGCGGGCGGCCCGCTCGAGCCAAAACAAGCAAGCCATGCCCGCCTCCAGTCGCAGCCTATGCAGGCAAGGTAGGTATGTCGGGGCAGCCGAGAATGCGTCGGACCTAATGTCGCGGGGCCGAGAGGCATAGGCGTCGAGATTGCAATCACACCAGATTGATGGCGGCGGTGAGTTTTTGGTTTTGTGTGCGCCACGGGACTTGGTTGTCCAAGCCCTAGGGAACGGGACGGCCGCTGTTGTTACAGCATAGTCTAGTGCAGTAATTGTCGGGTCCTAGGGAAAGGCAGGTACTGGACAAAGCGTAGCGCCGACATTAGTGAGCAATCAATCAATCAGGCAGGTCCATCAAAGCGACACACCACAGCGCAACCGTAATGGAAGCAACGCGGACGCAACGAGCCATCACGGACCAGCGCCCATCCAGCCCCCTGCGCACCCTGGGTGCGAGAGCCACATGCAGTTAGCCGCGGCGCGATGCAACGAGCCCACGGGCTGCACGCTTGCGCCAGAGCGTGGCCGGCCCCTCGTGTCGGCCTCGTAAGAGAGCGTAAGAGAGCGTCAGCCCGCTGTGCTTACGGGGCTTCGCCACCTCAGACGCAGCGGCCACAGCGCCCGCGTTGGCGCCCGCACGGCCTGGATTGGCCCGCCACGCAGCGTCTGATGCACTGTGGAGGTCTCTGCCAAACGCTAAATCAGGCTGGCCCCCACTCCCCTGAAGCCAAACGCGAGTCTCCCTGGCACGGCGCCCTCGCTCCCTCCGCTTCCCCTTTTGCCTGCATCCCTGCCCATCAGCCCCCTTTCTGCCTCAGGCACCCAGACCCAAACAACCAACGTGTCCTGAACATAAAGAGGTGCCTGCCCTCCACCACATCCCGCCTCTGCCATAGCCGACCACGACCAAAGCGATCAAGACACTTGTCCTCGTCGCCTTGGACGCCATCCTCACCTGACTCATACTGCTTCGTCAACCAACCCCACATCTGGCGCTGACTCACTCGCGGGGTCGCTGCCTACGATGCAGTTGAACGTATAACTGATCTGAAGGGAACTGGCCTCATTTGCTTGCTACACCACTGTACTCCAACTACAGCGCTACGTCGCCTGGGCCCCGCCTGTCGACAACGCACACAATGGCGTTGCAGCAATCCTCCCCGATGGCCAAGCTCGAGGCTTCGCCGGTCGAGTCGTTCATTTCGACTCCTGGCGATAGCTACCCTTCTCTCTTCTCCGCCACCAGCCCGTCCTCTCCTTCCGCCACCATCAACCCCATGGACATGATGACTCCCAAGTCCTACGCCGATGACGCGGAGAGCTCACGCCTGTCCGTCGTCCCGGAAGATCCCACACCCGCAGACGGCGAGGCTACACCGGAGTCATCAGACAAGAAGCCGGCGAAGAAGCGGAAGTCGTGGGGCCAAGTCCTCCCTGAGCCCAAGACGAACCTTCCCCCGAGGTAAGCTAGCCAAGGTGGTATGTCGCAAAACTTGGCCGCTAACGCGCCCCAGAAAACGAGCCAAAACCGAAGACGAGAAGGAGCAGCGCCGCGTCGAGCGGGTTCTCCGGAACCGTCGTGCCGCCCAGTCATCTCGTGAGCGCAAGAGGCTCGAGGTCGAGGCCCTCGAGAAGAAGACAAAGGAGCTCGAGACAGCCCTCGAAAACGCAAACAAGGCAAACAAGCTGTTGATGGACGAGCTGAGCCGTGTCCGATGCACCTCAGGCGTCGGCGCGTGTGCTTCCTCCCCCCTCGACCCCCTCCGCGACAACCAAATTACCCTGTCCCAGCAGCTGTTTAGCTCGCAGGATGGCGTCAGGATGATGAGCGACTCCGCCGCCAACCTGGTGGACCAGCTCGTGCTATCCAACCCCAACCCGACCGTCAACCCCGCGTCACTATCTCCCGAGCTCGGCCCCGTCTCCGACGCCAAGCCCGAGTCCGAGTCCAGTGAACAGACCGCGGACACCTCTCCCGACCTGACACAACGTCCTGCAGAGATGTTGTGCGACCTGCCGTGTCACACGTCGGCGGAGGTGCCCAAGTCGTTCACGGACTCGCAGACTCAGTCACCCCTCTTGGCCTGGACTCTGTTCCTCAGGATGACGCTGCTTTCAGCCTCAGCGATTCTCTCGGCCTGTCAGCGGCCTTTGACGCAGATCGCTTTGTCCTCGAAAGCTCGCTTCTCGCTTCTCCCAACTCCTCAACTCTTGACGACGATTATCTGGCTGGTGACTGTGCCACCGGCGTCGCGAGTTTCGACCCCTTCAACATCGACGACTTCCTCAACGACGAGGCAAGCCACGTTGCCTCTGACATTATGGCAGCGAGCGACTTCGCCGCTGCGGACTACGGCTTCGAGCCCCAGGTCCACGACCCTGAGATTCAAGTCTCTTAGACAGATCCTATCCAGCAGCCCCAATCTGGCGCGTCCCCTGATGGATGCGACGATGGAGGCATTGCGGTTGGTCTCTGCTGAGGGATGCGACGATCGGGTCGAGAACTTGCGGAGCGAGTCCGGAGTGACGCGCGATGAAGTTCGCCAACTGACACAATGTCTGAGCGACATCACTTTGCCGTCGCGGGAGGTCCTCCTCACCCTTCTCTGGGCCTTGAAGGTCGAGGAGCGGAGGATCCAGAAGCGGAGTCGAAGCGAGGTACTCGGGCCCGAGAGTGGCATCCTTTCAGATACAGCAGCCAACAAGAACTATATACTGAAAGTAACCCCGGGGACGAAGCGGAGCAGACAAAACGGCGGTGGCGCGGCCAAGCGCCTCCGCCTGGCATGACAGGAAATGTTTGTTTGGGAGCGGATGGGATTGGCGCAAAAGGTTAAGGTCTCCAGGAGATGACCGCACACAGTAGGGTGTCGTCACCTGTACAATATACTAGCCCTCGGGCTCTGTTTCTTGGTTTCATTGAACTGTCCACTACCTGTCGAAAGTGACTTGCATGCTACTATTTCAACAATGCGCCGAACTCCCAATCCATGAGTCGTCATCAACATCCGTTGCGTAATCAAGCTCTACCAAAGGCCATCCATTTCCTGCATCGCCGCCTCCTCGTCGGCAAATTCGTTGTTCGCGCTGCTTGCTGCTTTGGCGTTCGACGATCCAGCGCCATCTTCGCCCTCTGCCTCGGCTATGAGGGCATCCAGATCGTCCTCGTCCGGCTCCGTGGTCGCTTGTTTCTTTCGGTTCGAGGCAGAGTCCTGGCCTTCTGCTTCCGCAATGAGGGCGTCTAGGTCGTCCTCTTCAGACACGTCCCTTCGCGTGGCTGTTCGAGCTCGTGGTGTCGCGTCGTAGAGGTCGTCGTCGCCTGGTACGTCTTGCAGTGGTGTCTGCGGTCTCTCGGGCCTGTCAGCGGCCACATCCGTGCCGTCTGCCTCACCGGCACTGCCTGCGTGACCGTTCTCGCGCGCGTCGTCCCCGTTCTCGTCCTCGTCTGCGCCCGATCTAGGCCGGGCCTCGTTTATCCACTCGTTGCGCGCCGTCATGACGCGCTTCTTGTGCCCGGCCTTTTCCACCATGGCCAGCGCGTCGAGGAACCGCGCCTTGGGGAACAGGTCGTCCAGCCATAGCTGGTAGAAGGAGAGGAGGCGCGCCGCGTCGGAGAACTCGTGCCCCTTGCCCTTGATCTTCAGGTTGCGGGAGGCGCGCTGGCGCAGGCGCGGGATGCCGGCGGGGCCGAGCAGGCGGTCCTCGTCGAGCTTGACGGCAGGCACGCGGGCGCGTTTCTGCACGGAAACCTCTTCGTCGATGCCGAGGGCGTTGGAGGAGGAGGCGGGCTCCTTGCGCTTCTTGGACTGTGGGCTGGGCGAGGCGAAGGGGTCGTCGGAGAGGTCGTCCACGCCATAGTTGTCGAGATCATCGTGCGTGGGCTTCTGCCCAGCTGCTACTGCGGAGGGCATTCTCGAAAATGTTGTGATACCCTTGATTGACAAAGGTCGTCGCCTTGAGATGATGCAGCGGATGTGCCATCACGGGCTCTCTACGCGTCTCCATAGTGGGGGACGCGACTGGACCCGTTTCGGTACGTACCTCCCGCTGACCCATGCACGTGATTTCATTCGCCAACCGTCATCACGTGACTGGTCCTGAGGCACCCACCACCTGCAGCTTCAACTGTATCGACGACTCTACCAACGACCGGCTCAATTGCGAGGAGACAGCCTTGGGCGACGACAGCTGCACCATGGCCGACACCACGACGAAGCAGAGCCCACAGACCTATGTCGGGACGAGCAAGGTCGTCCAGACGGACTATCCGGTACGCCTTCCGCCCACAATTGCTGCCAATGGACGCATGACAGACTGACTTTGGACAATTGCAGCTCATCGACAACGACCCGTACGTTACCACCCACGATCCCGATGCGAGCGGCCGACGGCGACCCAGGAGCAATTGGATGGATCGAATGCGTAGGGATTGATCGCTGATCTGAAACAGTCACTTCAAGCGCGTTGTTGGCTATGCCCGGACCTCCGACTACGTCGCCGGCGCGACCGCCGCGGCTTTCGCCCCCGGTGCGCTGTACGCTCTCGAGAGGTTTGCGCCCTCGTACGTCGGCAAGGGTGGCTTCGCCAAGGCCATGCGGTTAGCCGGCTTTGTCGGCCTCGCCGGCGGCTTCCTCTACTTCTACCAGCGCTCCGCCCGTACGTGTCCCACGATCGCCGCGATCGCCGAATCCCGGGGCCCCTGAGCCAGCATGGCTGCAAAGACGGACGACGCATGCTAACACCCAGTCGCAGTGCGGTTCTACGGTGCGACGGAGAACGCTCGCGAGCGTGAGATGGACATGCGGGAGATGGTGTCCAAGGTCAAGGCGGGTCAGCCCCTGTACGGCGAGAGCCGGTTGAGCCCGTATCTGCAGGGCGTCGCCGCCCGACAGAGCCGGTACTCGGCGCTGTTCTTCAGCACGGTGCCGTGGTTCAACTTTGTCAACCACGACCAGCACGGCGTGGACACGGCCAAGTACTACCAGCAGGCCGAGAGGGAACTGGAGGCGGAGCGGGCGGGCAAGGCATAGATGCAGGCGGCTGAACGGCGTTGTGTATATTAAGCGGAATGCCTTGACGGCGAAGGGCTTTGAAAAGACTTGAAGATACAGGTTCCTTTGTTCACGGATGCGTACTCTGAGCCGGGCGGGGGCTGCAACGGTGAAGTCTCGCTGTGTTGCAACTGGGCTTCATTCGTACGTCAGCTCGCTTCAATGAGGCATCAACAGACGCATACCGGGATCTCATTCGGGTTGTCTGAGGTCATACCCGAATCCGGACTGCTGGATCTTCGTTCTGCGGGTGCTGCAGGACCACAAACCACAGAGTCTAGATTTGACCGCGGCTCATCGGTGTGTGACAGGTTCCAGACTGCCGAACAAGTGGGTAGCATACGAAAGCCCATCCTTGTCAAGCTGAGGAAACCTCGCGAAACTAATTGATCGCCAGACCGGATGCCTGCAAATGGCTTATTCGCAAGACCAGAACCGAGTTGTCGCGACTGCCCCGTCGTCGGTGTGGTATGACGGCTTCACAGCCGGAAGCGACCCATCGGGCAATGCCGGGCCGCGTCAATATTCTGTTGATATTTCAGCTTCCCCGGAAGAGACAGTGCGACGACTCGACTTCGATGGCAATCTGGGCCATCCAAGCGATCGGTGTTGGAGGGTTGTACGGAGGGTACACCTGAGTCTGTATTTCCCACGACTTGGACTTGGCTGGATCTAGTGTGCGAAGTGGCTTGCAAGCAAAGAGAATGCTACGGTATATGACGCTAGATGAAACCAGATATCGGGCTTGGGCTTCAGCTCGGTGGTGATATGTTGTGGTAGCACGATGACTCGGCGCGTCCGTGGGCATCATCACCAATGAGGCAGGGCTCAACGTCTGGTTAAAACATATGGCCGAGGCATTTCGACTATGAGTATATAAGGGAAGGCTATTTCCAAGTGGCAGTAGAATGCTTTCCCTTCAACCGTAGCAACACACTTGGTCTGGATTCGCATCCCTCTACTGCACTCGTAACACAGTTCACTCCGATCACTCTCAAAGAGACAAAGAGCACCATGAAGTTCTCAGCCGCCACCGTCCTCGCCTCTCTCGCCGGCGCCATGGCCGCCCCCGGGCAGCAAGTCCAGGCGCTTGATCGCCGCAGCGGCGGGGGAGTCTGCCAGGGACAGTTCAAGAATGCGGTGTGCTGCAGCGAGGCGGCGACGATCTCCGGGACTCTTGCAATAGGCCTCGAATGCGAGTCAGGTTCGTCCGAGATTTCTTGAAATGCGTTTTCCCCCCTAGCACAGGCACCATCATCTGAACGTGGTGGTGTCTGCATTATACGAGGAGCTAGGTGCTTTGGCTGACGACTGGTTATGTGTGTGAGCAGCTCCCGGCACGCCCACCAACGCAACTCAATTCGCGAGCGAATGCAAGAAGGAGAAGAAGACGCATGCTCTTTGCTGCGTTCTCCGGGTGGGAACGATCGCGGCGCTCCCGTGTGAGCCTGTTACACAGGCATAGTTCTGGGGGCGTGAGGTCGAGATTGACGACGCCAGCGAGATAGGTTCATGTTAGCGCTCGGCTCTCGGCCTTGCACGAGGCGCCGCGACGCGGGATAGCCTCCTCTTCACTTCGCAAAGACGGACATTACTCGAAGGATATAGGTGCTTATGTGTTTTCATATATGAATGCACGCAACGACCTTTTGGCTGAGACACCTGTGACAGTCGACTTTGCTTGAGTTTAATGTTGGCGTGACTAAGAGCAACGAGTCTGACTTGGCCAAGCCCAACCCAGGCACACGTGAATGCAGTGGCCGTCGTAACCAGATGTTCGTACATGTACACTGGCGAACTTTCAGTGTTCCATATTACTTGGCCGATGTGGATGCGACTCTGGCCGTGAACCGTGGAAGACCGGCATAGCTCACTTCAGCGAAGCCGACAGCCGCTTGATGGGCGTTGATGTAGGCAGAACTGCCAAGTTGGGCAGCTGCGACCCTACGGTATAGCCACCCATTCCGCAAATGGTAAGGGCCCGTGCCTGAAGTACGCGCCTGGTAGAGACGCCTCCTCGTTCGAGGTCCATGAACGTTGGGGCTTCTCTCGAGGCTTGAAGTAGTGATTTCGGCTGTCACATGACGGTCAAATCATTGTCACAATGAATGAAATACAAAGATACAAAGCAGCGAGTCTCTTTACAACCATGTCTCACGGTCTTGAGAGGCTTTCAGGCTATTGGCCTGTGTTGCTCCGTCACGGGCTCAAGACTCGGAAGGTTCATCGTTGTCGAGGAAGGCGCCAGGCACGCGGGCACGTGCCCTTGCTCGTTTTGCACGAAGAAAAGTTTCCAAAACTCCTCACAGTTTCCACGTTAGTTGGTCCAGTGCCTCCTCCACATCATGATCCTTCTTGTAGTTGCATTCGGTGCTTTTTCTGAGATGGGGCCAATCTCCCGTGTCGCTGTGTGCCGCGTCGGATCGCGCCGTCGCTGGCGAGTCCCGCAAGTGGCCTGACCCGGCTCAGGGTATTAAGAAGTCCCCTCCCGCCATCCACGCGAATTCACGGCCCGGCACAGAGTCCCCTTCTCGAAACAATGCGAGCGCGGCACAAAGGCCCCTGGGCCAGCGGCTCCCTGCCGTGCAGGAGCGTGCAGAAAGGCCAACCAGGGCGTTCTCGAATCTCAGCGTCCCACTGAAAGCCCACCCGTCGGCCGGCTCCGGGGCCCGCTACAGACGCCTCCCAGGCACGTCGGCGGATCGTTGACCGGATTAAGCTCGCTGTTGGATGCCGAACCAAGCCGTGCCTCTCCCCCACACTGCGGTGCTGGGCACATGCATTTGTTCCAGAATGGGAGACGCATTTATTCTTCGTTGCTTGCCAGCCCTCGGAGAGAAAACGTCAGACTCTGCGCCTCCCAACTCTTGGACAGCGACGAAGCAAAACACAACGACCCAGAGGCAGCACCTCCATCCACCCATCATGGATCCATCCCAGCAGCAGTCGATGAACCTCCCCGTCATCGACCTAGACGTCTATCTCAACAAGCCCCGCGACTCGATCGAAGTTCAGCAAGAGTGCGCCAAGGCAGCCAACGCCCTCATCACCTATGGCGCTCTTGTCCTCCACGACTCGCGCGTGGCTGACAAGGACAATGACACCTTCCTCGACCTGCTCGAGGACTACTTTGCGCAGGCTGACGAGGAGCTGCGCAAGGACGAGCGCCCCGAGCTGAGCTACCAGATTGGGGTGACTTTGGAGAACACCGAGAAGCCCAAGTGCGCCGTCGACGAGCCGTGCCTCGATGTCATCCAGCGACTGCATCCGTCGCAGCGCCCTCTCGACATCAGCGGCCACGAGCCCGACCCCAAGTGCCGCTTCTTCTGGCGCATGGCCGAGCCGCCGCCCTACGAGACGCAGTTTCCTGGCCTCAACGCTGCCAACGTTACCCCCGCGGCGGCGCACATCAAGGAGCGCTGGGCTCCCACCATGAACCAGTGGGGCACGTCCATGAAGAATGCGTCCGTCGCACCTCGTGTCCAACGTTGGGCTTCTCCTGCTAACATCGCCCCCAGTGTTTCCAAGCTATCCGAGATGACCGCTGTCGGCTTGGATCTGCCCGCAGAGTACTTTAGCGACGCCGGGCGTTATGGGTTCGTTGACTCATCTCCCTCTCGGTAAGACGGAGCAATAGTTGGCTGACTGACTCTCCCCCTCAGACCCCATCTCTTGGCCCCGACCGCTTCGGACTTGGTAAAATACGGCAAGAAGGACACCATCCTCGCCGGCTTCCACACCGACCTCAACTTTCTCACCATTCACGGCCGATCCCGCTACCCTGGCCTGAACATCTGGGCCCGCAACACTGGCGACCGGATCGCGGTCAAGATTCCCCCGGGCAACTACCTGCTGGTGCAGGCTGGCAAGCAGCTCGAGTACGCAACCGGCGGCCTGATCAAGGCAGGATTCCACGAAGTGACGGTCAACGAGAAGACGATCGAAACCATCGAGAAGCGCAAGCGAGATCACCCCGACCGGCCTCTTGTCCGCATCTCTAGCACCCTCTTCTGGCATCTCAACTCGGACTTTGACTTGGCCCCAGTCCCTGCACTCGCTGAGCGGGCACAGCAGGTGCGAGATGAACAGGCCAAGCTCGGTCGCGATGAGGGCGCGGCGGCGTCCTATCCCCCTATCAAGGTCGGCCATCAAGTAGAAGGGTAAGAACGAGCCACGAACCACCCAATCACCTCGACTAACACGGGCAACAGAGAACTGCGGCACATTGCACTTATGGCGAACTGAGTTTGCATCATGATGTACGATATCAGCTTTACGGAGCTACGATTATGAACGAGAACATGAACCAACGTTTGACAACATTGCGCGCCGCACCCGTGTCTTTGTATGTGCTGACTGTAGGAGCGACATCACCGCGAGCAGCCGATGCTACAAACACCTCGAAGGAGAAAATATCATCATCATTTCAACATCACAGACGAACAACCAACGCAACGCCGCTGACGAATCCAGTCCTCCGCATCAGTTACACCTTCCACTCCAGTCTGCCATCGGGACTGACACTTTGGCCTTCATCCGATGCAGAATGCCATTCACTTCAAAAACAAGACGAAATCCAATCGACGCTGGCCTCATGACTTGATTGTCGCGGGCTCAGCGAGACGGCCGGTATCTGAACCAGCGTCGTTTTCGGTGCTGAGCTTGGGCTCCTGTGCAGGAGTGTCGGAGACCTGAGGATACTCCTCGCGCCAAAAGTCCTTCTTGCCCTGGAACAGGCGGACCAGCCAGGGCGGGAAGAAGCCACCAGGAATGCGCCACGTCCAGTTCTCCTTGTCCTCAATATTGGGAGGCACAACGCGTCCACCGCTGACGCGCTTGATGAGCCAGACGATGGTGTTGATGAGGATGTACGAGCAGATACCACCGATGAGGCCGTCGGCGATGGAGTACGTGAAGGGCATGAGGGCGATGGCCAGGAAGGCAGGCACCGCATCACCCATGTACTTCCAGTTGATCTCAGTCACGGCGCTGGCCATCATGGAGCCGACCAGGATCAGGACGCAGCCCGTGGCCCACGGCGGGATGGAGGCGAAGATGGGCGCGAAGAAGATGGAGATGAAGAAGCAGATGCCGGAGACGACAGCAGTCAAGCCCGTCTTGCCACCCTCGGAGATACCGGCACCGGACTCGACGAAGGCAGTGACGGGAGGCACGCCGAGGATAGCGCCGATGGAGATGCTGATGGCATCGACCATGTACGCAACGGAGGAGCCCTCGAAATCCTGGGTGACGGGGTCGATGAGGCCGGCGAAGCGAGCCATACCGTACAGGGTACCCGTGCAGTCGAGAATGTCGACGTACAGGAAGGTGATGAGAGCGAGACCGAACTGGCCGCCGTACTCGGAAACCTTCCACTCCTGCACGTTGAGGATGTTCTCAATCTTGTGGAAGCTGACGACCTGCTTGAAGAAGTCGAAGGAGCTGTTGCCCACCTCGGTGTACGGGAAGTAGGTGACGGGAGTGTTGCGGGGCCAGGAGATGATGCTGACGAGGATGATGCCGATGATGATGGCGCCCTTGACGCGGTACATGGAGAGGAGGACGGTGAGGATGCCACCGCAGAAGATGCCCACCCACATGGCGGGGTGTCGCATCTTGTCCCAGCTGGGGCAGGCTCCGGTGTCCGGGTCCCTGTTCTCGGGCGAGCAGCCGGCGAGCTCGGTCGGGGTCGCCTGGGAGCCGACGATGAGGCCGATGCCCTCGCTGTACGTCAGGCCAATGACGGTGAGGAAGAGGCCGATGCCGACGCCGGTCGCAAGCTTGATGGACTGGGGGATGGCGCGAGCAAGCCATTGACGCATGCCGAAGATGGCGAGGCCGAGGAAGATCCAGCCCTCGACGAAGATGGCCGTCAGGGCGACCTGGTACGGGACAAGTCCGCTGCCGTGGAAGCCCACTGTCGCACGGCGTCAGGTATGTCACTTTTTGGAGGCAGGGACAATGCAGCTTACCGACAGTGTAGGTAAAGTAGGCGTTCAAGCCTTTACAGCAAAACAGTCAGCACGAAACGGGAACGCGACCGAGCGATAATGCGACATACCCATGCCGGGCGCGAGGCCAACGGGACTGTTGCACACCAGGTCAGCGCGACGCACAAGCTTGGGCGGCGTGTCTCGGGAACCCACAGATTGGCGAACAGGCCCATGCAGAAGCTGGCCAGGGCAGAAATGGACGCGGTGGCGGTGACGGCATCGCGCTTGATGCCCTGGAGGCAGAGGAGGTACGCCTCATCTTTGTTGCAGATGGGGTCGGCCTCGGTGCCCGGGCAGACGCAAGTACCGCCCGAGTCGGCGACAATGGACGCGTTGACCGCGATGATGTACGCCATGGCAAAGAAGGTGGCGAGGCCGGCGCGGATCTCGGTGAAGAAGTACGAGCCCTTGCGCTCGCGGGGCTGCGGACGAAAGTCAGTCGCGCCGCTTGGTTGGCCCGTCTGCTCGACGGAACACGCTTACATGGCCGCTGCCGTCGAGGCGGAACCAGCGCCCGACAGGGCTGGCCGCGACCTTGACGTTGATTGTATGGATGATACCCATTGTGGCTGTTTCGACGTTCGGGGGCCGGGGTGTTGGCAGGCCGGATTGTGGCGTTGGGCGCGGGCGACAACACCGGCGTTTGCAGCGACGACGTCGATGAGGCTGGACGCAGTCGCGAGACCAAGTCTGCTATACAAAGGACCGCGCGCGACGGTCAATGGTATAGCAGATGGGAGTGAGGCCCGGTCGGCGAGGCGAAAAGAAAAAAAAAGTTGAAGAGCGGGTCGGGGAGCACGCGAGTCGGCGCGACAGACTTGCCAGCTCTTTAAGGCGCGGAGAGGAGAGGAAGCAAGCGGGAGAGGAGGATCGGAGGTGAGCGACGAGGCGAGGCGACGAACCTGCAGGCCAAGCAAGCAATGCAGCTGCTGTGCCTCCCAAGACTGACTGGATTGTGCAGGTTGCAAGAAGAGGGAAGAAGCGTGGCGGCGGCGCCGGCGGGAGGAGATGGATGGCACGAGGTGGGTGTGGTGTATCGCCAAAATTATACCTCGGGCCTGGGCTGGCTGGGGTGGTGCGACGGCCGACTCGCGCTTGGTGAAGGGGCCCCTCCAGGGTCCTGTCTCCGTATCTTGCGACTAAGAAGTCACTGCCAAATTACGATTGCAAGGCGGCCGACGACGAACAGTAGCACCAGGAGCAGCAGCACGGACAACCATCTACATCGAGGCGACGCCCATTGGCCTGTGCGGCACGCCTTCACCCGAAGAAGTGGACAACCCCTGTTCTTCAGCAAGCGGACGTTTGCTTTGTTGGTCCTCTACTTGGCACCCTTCCAGATCAGATCCAGACGGGCACGAGACGACGACGACGACCCGGCGGCACGACGGACGCGCGAGCGCGTGCTTATCAGGGTCACCGGCACGACGAGCCCGCCGTTATCTCTGGCCCATGTGGGCTCCCATGTGCATTTGGGCCTATTCCCGGGGGTCCAAAGGGCGCTCTCTGTTTAAAAATCTGCGCCGAATTTTTCCTGGGCCATGTGGGAGTGGTGAGAGAGGCCCGCATGTCCGGGCCCAAGCCCGAAGCCGTTACGGGCGGTGGGGCCCGGCGCCGATAACGTTTTCCGCCAACGAGCAAACGTCGATTCTCGTTGACGGGAGGGCTTCTTCTCCGCTTTCTTTGCCCCTTGTGGCCAGTGGCAGCGCGCTGAATGGCGGACGCGCCGCGCGCCTCGTGGTGTGTGGCGAGTGGCTGGCAAGCCGAGCGAGGCAGGTGGCAGGCAGGTCCAACAGGCGAGTTCGCTGCTATGGGTGTGCCTGGTGCTTGGTGGTGGCCTCACTGCGTGCTGTGCGGTGCAGTGCGGAGAGAGGGGTCAGCAAGTCAGTAACTCAATTCGACGTAGAAGCGAGGCCAGATGCCACCAGAGCAGCACTCCGCGGCGGCGGCGGCGCAAACAAGGTTCCCGACCAAGCGAAGCGAGAGGCGCCGCTCCAGCCGCCGTTTGACGACGATGATTGATTGCTCCCCCGTGTCTGGAATGGGGTGTCGTAGCATTGCCTTGCCTCGATCTGATGGGCCCTCCCTGTACCCCGCGTTTCCAAGAAGCCGGGGCCGTGCACGCGGGAGGGCGGTAGAGTGGTGGTGGTGGTGGTGGCTGTTTGGTGGGTGTGTGTTGCGGCTGGCCCAAACGAACAACGTGAGGCACCTACACACATAGGAGACCGGCGACCCCCGATGGGCTGGGGTAGCTGTGTGAAGCTCATGTGGGTGACGGCAGGGATGCGCGAGATAGGATCCCGCCGCCCCCGGGCAGCAGGGGGTGGCAGGGCTCAGATTGTCTGTCGTTGTCCAGATAAAGATAGATCGCGGGCTGCGATAACCAACGACCCAACCTAACCGACTAACTAATGGTCGCGATGGGGGTTTGTCACGGCTGGCTGGCTGCGATCCCGACTGGGCCGAGACCCTGATACGTACTAAGGAAGCGACTATTGAGCGATGAGGCTGTCGCGATGGCTTGCGGAGAGGAGGAAGCACATGTCAGGGCGGAAGGACGCGGTTGCGCTTCGCGTTACAAACTTATTCAGTTGGGGGTTGGGGGGTTTGACTGTTTGAAGGCTCGGGCGGCGACAGCTGGCCGCTGCTCATCGACACGAATGAGTGAGGCCCCATCCCAGCTCAGACAAGATGGGACAAAAGGTGACATCGACAAGGCATAACAAGGCATGGCATGGACCGCGCCGCCGGCCCGCCGCCCGGATGCCGTGCCGTCTTGCGTCTGGCGCCCGTTCTGGAGCTACACAAGGCCTTGGTTGGTTGGACAGTTGTTGCGGGCTTGGCTGAATACGATGCGATGGATGGACCGTTGCGGACGGAAGGGCAGCAGCTGTCCCGGCCCGACACTGTCAGAGGTGTTGCGAACCGCAGCAGCAGCCCCTGAGCTGCACCTCCCGTGCCGCACGTGTGCCGTTGCACAAGGTTTCATGCCTTGTGTTCGTCGTGTCGGGAAGTGTCGGCCCAGGCAGTTGGACACGAGAGGGCATTTGTGCTATCCGCCATGAATCAATCAATCAATCAATCAATCAATCAGGGCCTTTGTATGTTTGGGGACGTGTGTTGACTCTACGGCGCGCTCAGCTCGAAGACGAGCCCCGTGTACTTGCGGTCCAGCACCAGGTAGCCGAACCAGCCCCTCCAACCCCGCGCTCGTCAGCCAGAGACGGAAGTTGGGAATACGTAAATTGTACAAAGCTCTGGGCGCATTGGCTGGTCCGGCTGCGGGTGGGACACAGACGCTGGACGTTTGGGGTCCGGGGACAGGGTGGGTTGGAGGAGGAGACGCGGTGGCACGGCGGCGGCGCGTGTAAGTTGGGCAAGGTACGTAATGTAAGGAGGGCAACAACAACAACAACATGGTTTCCGATACGAACGACGAATGGTTTTGGGCTGCGTGCGTCGCCTTGTTGGATGGGATGGATGGATGGGGGCTGGGGTCAGCATGCAAACGCGAACGCCACGTCGGCCGATGCCGAAGACGACGACGACGTGATGGGGGATCATGACAGCTTCGGAATGGCAGGCAGCCTCGGCGCTGGGGGTTTTGGTCTGGAACCAGGTTGGCGAGGGGACAGGACTGGACGTGACTGATGCCGCTGCCCTTGCCGCGGCGTTTGTCGAGTGGTTTGATCGCGAGGCTCATTTGTGTGACGAGGTCTTTGGTTGACCCTTAACCAACAACCCACAGGGACGAATGACTACTTTGTGTGGCGCAACTTACATGGAGCAGCGACGGTGGCAGAAATACAGGCGGACAGAAAGGCGCTCGGATGCGAAAGGGCCAGACCTTGCTCACCTCGGGCATCACGCAGGCCAGGAGCAGGGGCAAGGTCACACGACTTGCCGGACCCTGGCGCTGACCCTGACCATGGGCACGACCACGATGACACAGAGACAGAGTGAGTGAGTGAGTGAGGCGCGTGTGTCTGCGTGCGTGGCCACGTCCCTGGTTTCAGCTGCGGGCAGCCGTGACAAGGTTGGCTGGGCTGGGCTGGGCTGGAGCATGCCCAGCCGTCCAGGCTCCATCTGTTCGGGCGGTCGCGCCGTTTCGGCTGCTCCATGGATCCCGCGTGGTGCGACCGAGGGAATGGAATAGAAGAGGAACGGCCCTGGAGGGGTGGCTCAAGGCTGTGATGCTGTGACTGCGCCGCCATCGCCGCCGTGGTGACACGGTGGTTTGGGATGGAAAAGGTTGGCTTTGGCATGTCGGGGATCGGGTATGGGCCCCCCTCTGGCCAGAGACGGTGATGCCGATGGACACGGGTGCTGCGCCGCCGCCGAGTGCTTCAGCTGCCATGACCAGGTGCGCGGGATCCAGCCCGAGTTCGAGGTCGAGGCTTCAGCACGCATGGGGGGATGCTACAGGCGGCCTCCCCCAGTGGTGGCAACGTCCAGCTGAGCGAGCTGGGCTGGGCTGGAGGCAGCCAACTGCTAGCCCAGCCCAGGTCCAGTAGGCGACAGTGTGCAGGCCAGAAACGGCTAGAGCCGGATGGGGCCCGTTAGTTCCCGCTCTCTCAGGGGGGGGCTCCCGTCCCGTCAGCTGCCCCGTCCACTGAGCCGCCCGTCCAGCCTGGCTCCCGCGGGCGTGCCTTTGCTGTGCCGCTGCCTGGCTTCCAGGGCCCGTCCGCCACCCAAAGTCAGATATTGGCCCTCAACCATCATTCCCGCGTCCACATTCCCCATCGGCGCGAAACGCGGGGGCGAACTACCAGAACCCCCCGAACGAGAAAACCAGATTCACTCCTCAACCTGCGCGGTGACGATGTCTCGCAGACCGCCAGATGCCAAATGATGGCATGGGCGCATGCGCATGGCGGGGTGGCCCGGCGCGCGTTGACGTCAAGTGACTCGGTCGCGGGGGCACCCCAAGCTGCCCCAACAAGCCCCAAAAGTGCCCTAAACGGCCCCTAAAAGCCCTCCCTTCCAACGCTTTCCACGTCAGACGCTGCCCGCCGCCAGTGGCCCGGTGACGTCAGGTGGGCTGGTCTCGGGCTGGGACCTGGACCCTGCAGCACCGGGACAGCTGCGGCGGGCGGCATCCCATGGATCCGGTTCATGCCGTCCCGGCCGACTTGGCCTCGTCTGTTTTTCTTCTGGCTGCTCTGGCACGCAGCAGGTAAGGTATCAACTGCCTGCCTGCCTGCCTGCCTGCCTGCCAAGGTCCCCGGATTTTTTTCATCCCTGGCAGATATAACTGTTTGACTTGGCGCTGCTGGCCCGATTTTTGCGCTTCCCCCTTTCGTTGGCTCGGTTTGCCTCCTTCTTCCTCTTCTTAAAGACCACCCACCTATTATTGCTCTGTGCGCGGGTGCCTTCTGCCTGCCTTGTATCACACCTCGCTCCGACTATTATCCTACACACTGCTATTACTGCCTTGGAACAAACGAGTCACCACCACCTCGATCTCTCCCACAAGTTCCCCATCCGTCATCCTCCCCGCCCGCTGCCGCTCATGGCGCAACCGCCGCCTCTGCGCAGGCGCGACCGCAACTCCCGCCTCGACGACGACTACTACTACCACCCTTCACCCACTCGCGGCGACGGTATCAACGGCGGCGACCCCTACGGCCCTCCTCCCCGCCGCCACAAGTCGGAGCGCCGCGGCCGCCCCGTCCCCGACTTTGGGCCCGATGACGCCTTTAGCCCGCCGCGGCGCAGTCGCCGCAATCGATCGCCCGACCCCTACGAATTCAAGAAGCCCGCGGCCGGCGGCAGTGGTGGCAGCAGACGCCCGCGCAGCCCGCCTCCATACTACGCCTCTGAGCCTGAGCGGCCGAGGAGGGAGTCGCGCAGGGAGCGCCCGCCTCCGCCGTTTGAGCGCGATGCGGCTGCCTTTCCGCCGGATCCCCGCGCGGAGAGGGACCGCCCGTCGAGGCGGCGCAGAGATGGCCCCGTGAGCCCTCCGCGGGGCCGCCGTGGGAGAGAGTCCCCGCCGCCGTACATGGACTCGCGGCATCGCGGGGCTCCTCGCGACGGCCCCCCGCCTGCTATGTACGGCGCCGGGGCGGGGGCCGCTGCGGGGGCTGCAGCCGGTGCCGGCGCCGGAGGTCGACACGGAAGCCCCGACGCCCGCCCGAGACGACGACACATATCGCCAGAGCCGAGGCCGCGCGGGCGCGACGCACACCCGCCCCGAGGATACAGCCCCGACCACGACCCCCGTCGGCGTCCGCGCTCCCAAGCCAAGCCCACCGCTCGAGGCGCCGCCTCACCACCACCCTTGGCCACCCGCGGACGCACGGCCACAGCAGCACCCGCTGGAGGGGCCGCCGCCGCCGCCGGAGCAGTGCCAAAGCCCGCGCGGCGCAACTCCATGCCTGCCTCCTTCATGAAGAAGGGCGCCGCCCTGTGGGCCAACCCGCTGATCCAGGCCGGCGCCCGGACGGCCTTCACCGCGGGCGCGCAGGCCGCCATGAAGAGCCGCAACGACCCGAGCCCCTGGCTGGGGGCCAAGGGCGCCAAGGTGGCGACGGCGGCGCTGGGTGCCGCCCTGGTCGACGGCTTCATGGGCCAGAAGCATCCGGGCAGTGCGCGCCAGGGCATGATGCGCTCCGGCGTCGAGGCCGTGCTGGGCGAGGCGGAGAGGCGGTCCTCGGGCGACAAGCACCACTCTAGCAGTGGAGATAAGCACCGCTCCAGCGGCAGGAGCAGCCGAAGGAGGGATTAGCAATCTTTTGTCGACTTGCTCTTACGGCCGAGAGAATGAAACTTGACTAATGATGATGACACGGTACGGTATGGGTGGGCTTTTGGGAGCTCTGCTGCCTGGCGTTGGGCTGTATTTGTCACAATGCTAAATGACGAGAAGTGTCTGGACTATCAGAGGGGCGCGGAATATGGATCATGATCGGTTACAGGACTAGCTAGACAGATTAGAAAGGACCAAACAGCTCAATCTAATTGTACAACACTATGAAGCCGAAGCAAGGTTCCGTTACAACCGAGGTGTTACTGGTTCATGCGCGCTTCTTGTCGAGCCGACCGACAGCGACCGCCGCGACGGCATTGCGACTTCAGTGCTGGCCAATGTTCCACGGGCGGCAGCGGTTCGCGGCGCAGAGCCCGTTGCAGCACGGCCCGACGGGCTGGCCGTTGTTGTCGTAGCAAGCGCCTGCGCGAAAGCATCAGCCAGTTTTCCCCTTCTTCTACGATGCCCTCAAGGTGCGCAACGGGGCTCGCCCCATTCGGGTCCAAGGCTGGTGGCGAGCGAGGAAAAAAAGGGGAATAAAGAACTTGGGTTGGGCGGCGTACCGTACGTGCCGACGCACATTCCCTCGCAGCGGACGCTCAGCACCGGCTGCGGCGGGTCCAGCACCACCTGCTGCGTGACGTTGTCGTCGGCGATGGTCGTCGATAGCTCGACGGGCTGGGGGGTGGTGAAGTGGCAGAGCGAGGAGGCGAGGTAGTCGGGGGCGTCGATGAGGTGGATGGAGAGGTCGGCGTGGTCTGTATGCGCCCGCCGTGTCAGTATGTCAGATGGGCGATGGGAGCAAGGTACGGTGCGGTAAGGCAAGGGAAGGGAGGGAAGAGAGTGGAAGGGAATGGGAAGACCGGGAGAACGCACCGGTGTCGACGGAGCTGCCATCGGCTTTTACGGCGAGGTCGTACGTCTCGGAAGAGGAGGCGGCGCGGAACTTGAGATGCGCTGTTTGTACGTCCTCCGCTGTGACGGCGGCCGCGACGAGACTGAGCAGGGCGAGTTGAAGCTTCATATTGCTGATGTCGATGTCGATGTCAAAATTGATGGATGGATGGGGGTTGGTGAGGCGCGCGCGTGTATCAAGTGTCTGCGTCGATGCGCTTCTGTGTGTCTGTGGTCTGTGGTCTGTCAACTCGGCCGAGATGCTTTCATCATGCAGCGATCTACAGGAGATGGACAGCTGCCTCATAAATACCCCCTTCACAGCCTGTCTGCTGCAACCCTGCGACGGCCCCCGACTAATCAATCTCCAAATCCCACCGACGGAACTGATGACCCGACCGGCATCGTACCGCGAATGACGACGATGATGATGATGATGGACCCCCGGGCGCCTCCCCGGCATATACGTATTTGTGCGTACTTCGTACACAAGGTACATTGCCATCATTGCCACTGTCCGTCGTCTTGGCCTCCGTGACTTGCCCCAGCCGACCGACCGACCGACGTGGTGAATACGAACCCGCAGCCACTCACGCAGAAGGGATCGTCGCCCGCAACTCCCATCATGACATCCCACGGCAATAAGCAGCCCTACTAACTCAATGAACAGGGCCCTACCATCCCAGAGCCTCCTGCCCACTCACGGGCCTTGATGGTCCCCGTCAAGCTCGCCCCCCGGGAGTGTCGAATTTGGCAACCTGGGGAGCACAGTGCAGAGGGGCAGCGGCTGGACCCAATGACGTTATGCCGCACCACAGAATGCGACTCTACCGACGGAGCGGTCAGACGCCTGGCAGCGACAGATTTTTTGGACTGGCGTTGGGAGGGAGGCGCGACGCTTTCTTTCTTGGCGTGTTGTAATGAGTCTCGTGCGCATCCCCGCGGGGCGAGAGGCTCGTGTTCTGATGGAGCGCTGGACATGTGGAAGTGCGGGCTGGCCTGATGCGTCGGGTCGGGCCATCGGGCGCGGAGGGTCCGTTGCGACTGATGGCCGGAGTGACGCCCTCGCACGCGCCTGTATGGGCGTCGTTGCGCCTCAAGATTGAATAAACACTTATTCCATTTGCGTCCCCTGCGACGTTACAGGGGCATAGAGTCGTGCTGTCCAGCACGGATGACTGTTTGAATGAGCCGAGGAATCTTGAGACCAGAGGGCGGCTTGGACAGACCCGAGTCCCCATCAGTCAACGAAATGAACAAACATATGCTCTAGCCATTCGTGAAGAACGGAGTTACGTGTGCGGGAGCCCGTGTTTTACAGCCTGGTGTATCATGTCTTCAGCTCGGACAAACGTGAACGCACGGGTCATGCCCTCCCCACAGCACTGTCCATCGCCCTGAGTTGATGAGGGCTGTCATCTGCTTCCCCATGGCGAATGGTGAAAAAGGGCTCACTTACTTCATTAGCCAAGACTGAGGTCATCACGGGCCCCGTAGTGAATCGCGCAAGGCACAGGCCGATCGGCAGTGGCCGCGCAGGATATCTGCTCAATGTCGCCGCCGCCGCATCATAAAGGTTCAACGACTCCCTCAAGGACAACACATCGTCGCAGGTTCTCCCGCATCCAAGTCCGCAGACCACAGTCCAGACTGCGATAATGAAGACCGCGTGCCTACTCCCCCTCGCGGTGCTCATGTCCGCCACCAGGGCCACGAAATACGCCCTGGGAGAAGGAGTAAGCCAACCAAACCCCCAGCCCATTCAACAAACCACAAACACGCCTTGCCACGACCGAGGAGGAGGATTCGCTCAGACAAACTGGCTGACATGCGCCTGCCTCTCTCCTCTCTTAGTACTGCAGGCCACAAGACCAAATCTGCCACTACAACCGCATCGCATACACCAACGAGCACACCCGCTTCTCCAAGTCAAGCTACACGACCGAATTTGGAGAAATACAATGTGACCCCAAGTATCCCGTGAGTCTTCTTCTTCTCTCTCTCTCTCTCTCTTCTCTTATTCTCTCTTTCTTGTCGTCGTGGTTTCGTCTTTTTGTCTGCCCTATGCCACAATACCCCAGGAAATAAGTGGCCTGTGAAATAAGTAGACTGTGAACTGCTGGGTTTCTTGCAAGCAAATGGCGAGTCTCATGAAAGAAACTTGGCTGACCACCATCGCGCGGCCTTCGTGGCAGTGCGTGGATTATTTTGGAGACTGCTTCGTCGCAAGGCTCACGGCGCCGAGGGCAAAGTGCTCGCAGGTTGACAAGAGTACTCACCCCGAGGGAGGGGTGTGGCCGGTGCGCCGCATGATTGGCCGTTGAGGTACAGAGAAGCACCGCGGCAAGTAATGTTGTTTGCCGCACGTTGGTCTCAGGGCGCCCGTGATGGCGATACAGTCAAGAAGCGAGAGGTTTTCGTGAGTTTCGCTGCACAGGCTTGACGTGAATGACAGTATAGAAGAAGATCATTATTTATGCGTGGAATGCATGTCTCACTGGAGAGGCTCTATCCTATCCCAAGTGCTTCGCATAGCCGCCCAATGCATAGTCTAATCATGCGCTGATCAAATACACTTGCCCCTCGAGGGCCCCCAAAACACCCTCGCGACCCTTTCCTGAGTGCGTGGACATGATGGGCACCAGCTTGGGCGTCTCCGGCAGACCGAGCTCAGCGGCGCTGGGCACCTCCCACGACTTTTCCTCCGTGGTGAAGTTGAGCACCGCGAGAACCCTGTCGCCACCCTGCAGCGGCTCCTTGACAAAGACAAACATATCCTTATCTTGAGGTCGCAGGTCCTTGAAGTCGCCGTAGACGAGAAGGTCGGCGTGCTCCTGGCGGAAGCGCAGCATCTTGCGCCAAAACGCCAGCACGCTGTCCGGGTCGTCGAGCTGGGAGGCCACGTTGATCTCGCCGCTCAGTGGGTGGTGCTTCATCCACGGCTCCTTGACCTCCTTCCCGGCCGCCTCGGCCGCCTCAGAGAAGCCGCCGTACTTGCCCTTGCCGTTCCAGGGCATGGGCAGCCGCGCGTGGTCTCTGGCCATGTACTGCATGGCAGCAAACGCCTTGTCGAGCTCGGCCTTGTTATCGGCGCCGTACCGCTCCTTGACCATCTCGTAGAACAGGGAGCTGTCGATGTCGAGGTAGTTCTCCACGGGGTAGGTGTCCTTGGGGGCGTTGACGAGGCCAATCTCTTGGCCCTGGTAGACGTACTGCGTGCCGCTCAGGCAAGCCTGCATCAGCGACAGCAGCTTCGCACTGCGTACGCGGTACTCGGGGCGATCATCGGCAAAGCGGCTCACCGACCTCGCCTGGTCGTGGTTCTCGAGAAAGACGGTGGACCAGCCATCGCTGCCGCGGATCAGTGACTGCGTCAGGTCGATGGCGGCCTTGAAGTCGGGGAGCCCAAAGTTCTTGGGCGTCGTGGCGAATCTGTGAGTGGTGCCGCCGCCGACGTCGACAACGTCGAACTGGAAGACCATGTTGAGCTGCTTGGCCTTGGCGCTCACATATCGCAGGACCCGCTGCGTGTCGGGAGTGCATGGCAGCTCGCCGACGGTGATGGCGCCGTACTTTGTGAGAATGGCATTCATCTCACCCAGGAACTCGTGCATGCGGGGGCCGTTGCAGTAGACCATGCCGGCCGGCTGGTAGGGCGTCCCGGGGTCGACAATGGGCGCGTCAGGCAGGGTGGGCGGCTTGCTGTACATGTTGACGGTGTCGACGCGGAAGCCGTCGACGCCGCGGTCGAGCCAAAACTCCATGGACGAGGCGTAGATGGCCCTGCGGGTCTCTGGGTTCTCCCAGTTGAGGTCAGGCTGTTCCACCGCAAACAGATGCAGAAAGTACTCCTGCGTCAACTCATCCCACTCCCAGGCACTGCCGCCGCCAAAGTTGGACCGCCAGTTGTTGGGCGGCAGACGCTCGCCGGACGGAGAGTACTTGGCGGGCCGCCAGATGTACCAGTCGCGCTTGGGGCTGTCCTTGCTGGCGCGCGACTCCTTGAACCAGGCGTGCTGGTCCGAGGTGTGGTTGATGACGAGGTCGAGCATGATGCGCATGCCGCGGGCGTGTGTCTCCTTGATGAGCGTCTCCATGTCCTGGACGGTGCCGTACGGCCGGTAGACGTCCTCGTAGTTGGAGATATCATAGCCCATGTCGACCTGGGGGCTGTCGTACATGGGGCAGATCCAGATGACATTGACGCCCAAGCTGGCTATGTAGTCCAGCTTGGACGTGATGCCGGGGAGGTCGCCGACGCCATCACCGTTGGAGTCACAAAACGACGCCGGGTAGATCTGGTAGATGACGGCCTGCTTCCACCACTGCTTCTCACGGGGGGTGACGGTCATGGTGGCGATGAGAGATGACACTGACAGAGGTTGGACGAGGACAACGAGAGGTCGACGACTGGCCAACACAGAACCGCAGGCGACTCGTCTTAAATGGCCTCGCCATGGCCGTCTGTGGAGAAGACCCGGCGTGGGAGTCAGCGCCTCCCCATCTCTATCTGGCGTGTCACGATGCAGCTGCAGGCGGATTTCGTGGGCTCACGGTGGCCAGTCGCTGCGGACTCTGGGCCGCGCCGTCGTGTCGGGGCAAGCCAAGGGACTTGCCGGGCCGACAACGATGGCCAAACGGGTGGCCCCAACGGCCCATGGCAAGGGAAAAGCTGGGGAAGCGCCAACGAAGCGGAGAAATACCAAGGCGGTGCTGGCGTGATGGCGAGAATCCGGGGGTGGTGGTGAGATGCCGTGTTGAATCGACGAAGCGGGTGAATTGCTCGGGCGAAATCCAGAAGCGGCAATTCACCTAGCGAGATCAGTGGCGCCCGGGTGCCCGTCAGCGCACGTCAGTGGGCCCGGCTGCCTTTCAGCGGCCTGGCTCAGTGGTGTCAAGCCCTGTGGTGTCAAGCCCTGTGTGCCCCCTGACAGCCTCCGAGCGGCACACTGGCCGCGCTGGAAGCCACACAGGGCAAGTGCGGAGGGCGAGCGGCACCTGCCATTGGTCTTTTGCCGGCCCGACAGCGTCCATCTCGCATGACTGGCTACATCTCGGGCCGACAGAGTCAATTCGCTCCACCCCCTCATCCCCCCCTCCATTCTTGCTGCAGCTCTTCCCCCCCAAGACCAACCTGCATCTTGACTTGGCTTGACTCGTTTCCAAATCCTTCTCGAACCCATGCACGCTGATCCCTCGACGCCATCATCCGAAGCGATGCTGCGCAGTCCTTTATTTCGCGACGCTGCGTCAGCCGCAGGCGCCGTGCCCGAGAGTCTGACCGTCGAGTTGGTGTGACGCTCGGTCCGACGCATACGAGAGGCGGTTCCTGGCGCACAACAACCTGCCCCTGACATGGAACCAAGATCCGTCAGTCCACTGGATCTCTGGCCGGCTTAGCGGGCGCTGGACGGCAGTGCGAGCCGGGACCGGCAATTGCTCACATGACCGCGGCCATAATCAGATCAGATCAATTCAAACAATAGTCAAACTCAAATGGATAGCCTCAGACGCCGATGGAGCTCGGTCGAGCGCTCTTGTCTCCGCCGCGGCTCCTCGCACCAAGCCCAAATGCCTGAACCCCGCGTGCGACAAGGCATGTCGGGCCGATAGAGACTATCCAAGTACACGGCGCGGGGCGGCATGAAAGCGCCAACATCACGCCTGCCAGGTGCCATCTCCACCTCTCTCCTGATCAGCAACCCCATGGGGACAGCAATCCGGGGCCAAGCTAGCCATCAGCTGGCCAAATGCCGGCAACACGTGCGGACGCATCCTTCGCTATGCGCCTGGACTCCATGGGCCGACAATTCCTCACAGCCCGCCTCGTTCCGTGGCGTGCCGGGTCCTTGGCAGCTATTGCACGGCGCGGCATCCATGACTTCATTGACGCCGAGACCAGCCAACAGACGATGCCGGGCCGACGAGACGATCGCTGCGCCGCCGGAACCACCATCACCACCACCACCGCCCAGCGGAATGAGGAATGAGGGTGTATGGCGGTCGAACCCCAGGCAAAGCACCAACGCCATGTCCTTGCCGAAGGCTGTTGGACCGCCCGCCACCATCCCTGGCCATAGTCGACGGCCTCGCCGCACAACGTCGTCCCAAACCGGCGGCCCAGCGGCCTCGTGATTGGGCCCCTCGCCCCAACGGGCCCTCTTTGGGGAGACTTGGTGGCTTCCCGCTAGTGGCCGACGCTGGTCTCGGTCCAGTCCAGGGAGGTCTGCAGCAAGCAAAAACTCCTTGCTGCGACCCCGACTTGCACGAGACGCGGTCTCGAGACGCTCCTCGTCCAACTCGTATAAAGATGGCACGCTATCCCTTGCCTTTGAGTCTCCATCTCCGATGATCAGGCGCTCGGGTATCGGCAGCGAAACAACCTCCTGTCGACTGCACTTGCTTCCGTCACTTCTTGTCTTGTCTCCTCCTCAACTCCTCAGTCGTTGCTTCAGGTCCGGGACCAAGGGGCGTTGTCATCATGGCTCCCGAAGCACAGACCGACGACCTCGCCGTCCGGCGGGTGTCCGTCATCAGAACCGCCGTCGATGAATCGACCGTCCACGAGGCGGCCGCGGCCACCGAGGCCGAGCACAGCATGGGCCTCCTCAAGTCCCTCAAGCTGTACAGGAAGGCCTGCCTGTGGTCCATCTTCCTGTCGACATGTATCGTCATGGAGGGCTTCGACATCGTCATCCTCAACAACCTCTATGCATACCCCCCTTTCCAGCGCAAGTTTGGCATCGAGCAGGCCGACGGTACATACCAGCTCACAGCCGCTTGGCAGTCCGGCCTGTCCAACGGTGCCCTGTGCGGCCAAGTCATTGGTCTCTTCGCCAACGGCATCATCGCCGACCGCTTCGGCTACCGCAAGACCATGATCGGCGCACTCCTGGCTTGCGTCGGCTTCATCTTCATCATCTTCTTTTCCGAAACCCTGGTCCAGCTGCTCATCGGAGAGATCCTCATCGGCATCCCATGGGGAGTGTTTCAAACTTTGACGACGACGTACGCCGCCGAAGTGTGCCCGACCCATCTCCGCGCGTACCTGACGACGTATGTCAACCTGTGCTGGGTCATGGGCCAGTTCATCGCCTCCGGCGTGCTGCGGGCCATGCTTGCCCGGGAGGACAAGTGGGGATACAAGATCCCCTTTGCCCTGCAGTGGATGTGGCCGGTTCCCTTGATGATCGGCATCTACCTCGCGCCAGAGTCGCCTTGGTGGCTCGTTCGTCGCGGCCGTCTCGATGACGCGAAGCGGTCCCTGACCCGCCTGACGACGCGAAACTCGGGCGTTCCTTTCCAACCTGACGAGACGGTGTCGATGATGGTGCATACCAACGAGATGGAGAAAGAGATGACGTCGGGTATCTCGTATACGGATCTTTTCAAGGGCTCCAACTTGCGCCGAACCGAGATTGTGTGCACGGTGTGGATGATCCAGACTCTTTGCGGCTCTACCTTTATGGGCTTCTCGACATACTTTTATCAGCAGGCCGGCATGGCGGTCGAGAACTCGTTCAGCATGTCTCTCGGCCAGTATGCGCTGGGTGCCGTCGGCACCATGACGTCTTGGTTCCTCATGGGCTGGTTTGGTCGTCGAACGCTGTACCTCGGTGGCCAGCTGCTCATGTGCGGTCTGCTGCTCACCATCGGGTGTGTCGCCTTCGCTGGTCGCGAGAATGTCGCCGCTCAATGGGCCATCGGGTCGCTGCTCCTCGTCTATACCTTCACCTATGACGCCACAGTCGGCCCCGTGTGCTACTCGCTCGTCTCGGAGCTGACGTCGACTCGTCTGCGGACAAAGTCGGTCGTGCTGGCTCGCAACATGTACAACATCGTGGGCATTGCCACCAACATCATCACGCCGCTCATGCTCAACCCGACTGCCTGGAACTGGGGCGCCAAGTCGGGCTTCTTCTGGGCGGGGACGTGCTTTGTCTGCGCCGTGTGGACCTTTTTCCGCCTGCCCGAGCCAAAGGGCCGCACCTACGGCGAGCTCGACATCTTGTTCGAGAACCGCGTCAGCGCACGCAAGTTTAAGACGACGTCGGTCGATCGTCTCGACGGACACAATGCCGAGAGGACCTCGGAGAAGGAGAAGGGGTTTGACGAGGTCATGGTGGAGCGCGTGGACAGCCGACCCTGAGACGAGCGTCGTGCGTGAGAAAATCAAGGTGGAACACAGACATGGTTTATATATGTGTATGCCTGTGCGTTTGTGTGTAAAGCGAAACGAAGGTATATGGGGCGTTTGGGAGCGTGTCGTGTTTAAAAGCGTTGGGCGGCCGTGTGGCACAAGGGCGGGCTTGACACGGCGCACCCGTGGGTGCAGATCAATGAACTACATGCCTGCAGGCCACGCTTACCAATTGACTGCCTGACAAATGCCGCTTGCCGGTGACTCACGAACGCATGCCTCGAGCTTGAGATGGGGTGCTGTGCCGGAGAAACGGACAATTAAGCACACAGGTCGGGGGAGGGCCGTGCTGTATCAAGGCTGCCCGGGTGGTGGCTGGCCGTGTGTTGCCCACGTGGTATCAAGGCGAGTACTGAGCACATATATATGCTGAGCCAAGAAGACGTTGGGCAACGGCATGCACGTTCTAGTGCAGGTTTTGACGCGAATAGTACCCTCGCCCTGCGGCCGTTGTTGGATGTGACACACGCGCCAGCCAGCTTGACGTCGTCTCGGTTGGCTTCCGAGGGCGGCGGCCCCCCCGCTGGCGGTGGACTTGCACGCCTTGTACGTGTTGGAGTAAGTTACTTCGTCTATGAAGTGTACCCGCATGCTTTGTACATGCGTGTGCGGCAGTCCAGTGTGCCCTCGCATCCACATCGCGAGACGGGGCGGGGGCCGGGGCCGTGGCCGGGTGCAGGCGAGAACGTGGGAGCCTACCCGTAAGCCGTTTGCGAATTGCGGATTGTGCTGGGCGGATACAGACGTCTTCAAGTGGAGTGCAAGCGTTCTTTGCCCGAGACCAAATAGGCATCATCTCCAATGCGAAGGTAAATGGATTAGTGAATGGACGGATATCTGGACTCAAATTATGTAGTACAGTACATGTGCACTATCCCTGCCCGCCGGCTGCAAACACGCCCTGACCGCTCGCCTGCTTGGCCGTGGCAGTCTCATGCGAAAAGATGGGCGCACAGTACGAAGTACTCAGATCCTGGGTTAAGTTGCCCGTTGCTGACGGCGTTGACCGCATTCGCTCCAGTGTCTATTTTGCCCCCGTCGTATTTCGTCGTGTTCGACGAGACATCCTCGTCCCGCATATCCTCCATGGGGAGCGCAGCGGCCAGCGCGCTGGGGCCCCCTGTCGCTCCACGAGATTCAGCTCAATCAGCGCACACAGAGGTCACTGCAGAAGGCCGGGTGGCGCCGTGTGCAGGCGCCGCCGCGTGGACTGTGCATGCTGTGTTGGCGGTGGTGCGCGACAGGGCAACGGCAGCGGCTCCCGCGGGTGACAGGTCAACAGGACGAGCCGCCGCGATGCGCGGAATCGAGATTCAACGTCTTGTCGGGTTGGTTGGCCCACCTCTGGGACAGCCGCTTTCGCATTTCTTAGCCGACCCTGGGCTACTGCATCGTTCCCCAGTCGTTGTGTCGTGGCTCATGATCCATAGATGCAATACCAAGAGTTCCATTTCGCGTGCCATCACTGTAGGCCTGTCCCTGACCTTCTCTACCACATTATGCATGACCTTCAGCCATTGTACCCCGGCTTCTGAGCGTACACGACATATCTAACAAGTCAGCCCATCGCTCACAATCGTTCGAGTAGGAACGCAGACTCACATGGGCCAGTAGCCGTGGATGGACCGGTCCCTCATCTGCTTTCGGACCCCTGCCAGAAACACCTCCAATTCTGCAGGAGACCATCCCAGCGCGCGGGTAAAAAGCGCCATGCTCAGCCCAGAAAGCCCGTTGCCCAAGTTCTCAAACGTCCACATCCCTGACGGGAAACCAGGCCGCGTCAGCAAATGCAAAAGGGAAAGGCGAGCAGATGCCGTACCTAACTCTTTGTGTCGGGAGTCTCGCGGCCACGAATTTGTAGGCCACTTGAATACATGTTCCGTCACATTGGTGAATCCGATATCAGCCAGCTGCTGCCGATAGAACGTCATGCTGTCCAGCGGTCGGTTGAGCTTAGCCGCCGCCTCGAGCATCAGGTCTCCCCACTGCGCCATAGCACAGTCCGTCGGGATGGTCTTGTCATCGGACTGCAGCTGCAGGTGCACGTCGAGCAGCTCGATCCAACCCCCAGGGTTGAGGTTGCTTGCAGAGTCAGACACCGCGATACGTGGGCCGGTATGGTACCAGTTACATACTCGTAGCTTTGTTGCAGGAACTTGGGCCAGTCGGAGATGGAGGCGGTGAGCATGCGCGAATAGATGAAGTCAAACTTGTCGTGGAACGTCCAGGTATCCTCGAGGTCGTCAATATAGAATGTCACGTTTGGTGGGACGCTGTGACACGGTCAGTGATGGTCATGCTTCGTGGCAGAAAGTGGCATACAAAGACGGCTGAATTGGACTGAGGTCAACCCCGGTGACCTAGACAGCATTAATCCTTGTGCCATTTCAGCAAGAGAGCAGTTGTCGAGGGGCTCACGTGAGTCTCCGGATGCTCATCAGCTGCTGCATATTAGCATTGGTCCGTGCTGTGGACGTTGAGGTGCCGTCTCCTACCAAAGTCTATTGCCCAGATGCCTGTCCCTGTACCGGCGTCAAGGACCCTCCCAAGAGGCTTGTCCGTACCCGCCGGGCAGATGAACAACTTGCCCCCGAGGGTCAAAGTGCAGAGGTGGTGTTGCAGGTCTACGCGAGTTCAGCAAGATCGCCAACTATCCTCGGGCGCTTCCGTGCAACATACCCAAGCGCTCATTTTCAACCTGCGACTGCTTCAGCCAACTGCTCATGCCCACCAAAGCCGGATTGACTCACATCGTCATTAGGCAGAACGTATCCTGACATGTCCCATCAGCATGTTGTAGACTGCGGAAGGGGTGCCTGTGGTACATACTGCCTTCTCTGAATGCGTGATATGTCCGTCCATTCTCTTCTCGATATTTCAGAATGCTTGACGACAATGACGTTGACGAACTGGCGATGGACTGCTCGAGGCACGACCATTAGAGAGGGCGTTTGAGAATCCTGGGGTACCGCTTACCGCGCCCATGCCATCATCAGAGTCGTCCTCGCCCTAATGTAAGATACCGGTTAGCTAGCCAAGCCCGAGAACGGTCGCGCGTGGGACGCCGCGCCGCGGAGTGAAAGGGCCCAGCTGGTCTCGTCTTGACACGCGCTTAATTGACACTGGTTGCTCACGCACCTCAGAAGCTAATAACAGCGGCTCCACAGATTGGAGCGGCGTCTGGTCTACCATCTTGACGACCGTTCCGGACGAGCCGACTGCATGCTCGTTGTGCGACCCTACACCCGGTCGGTCAATCACTGACGGTCGGGGGTTGCAGAACAGGACCGCGGGCAACTGGCCAACGAAAAGGAGCACCGAGGCGGATCTTGTTTGCCAGATAGGTCGTAAGCAGGCAAGAATGCACTATGCCACGGTGACGGTGTATGAACAACGTGGGAGGATGAAGCGCAATGGCGAGTTGGACACGAGGTGTCGAACAAAGCAATATGTGTAGGATGAGCCGCTGGCGGAACATATTCGCCAGCTCAGAGGCCCTGTTCCACCGGGCGGCCTGCTGACCACGACGGACGCTGGCCAAGCCATCCATGGTCGAACGTGCGTCAAGATCCTTAAGCAGGGAACGCTGACAAGGATCGGCTGTCTTAGCCCATGTCGGCTGGTCGTATGGGGTTCAACGGTCCGCACCGGCGCCAGGGCAGGCTTTGACCCTTGCGCGTCGCCACACAGTACCTGCCAGCAGGGCATTGCGGTGTCCGTCATGGAGGTCTTGCGTGCAGCCTGGAGACACCCCCAATGATCGTGTTCAGGAGCTTGCCTCTCTGCTTGGCTGTTTAGGCCATCGGCCAAACGACAGCAGGAGTAGGCGGTTTCTCTTGAATACACTCAGGGCTTCTCGCCGTAGCGAGTACCGTTGCCCGAGGAAGACGCTGCCTTCGGCGCCGCATCGCACCTTTGGAGCCCATCACATCAGCTACTGCAAGAGTTGTCAGCTCCAATGCAGCCAAGGGCGGAAGTCCTCAGTGGGACGGGCTCTGCATCATGTTATCCGTCCTAGTTGCCTGATCCATCCAACCACACCCACGCTCGGCCGGGGCTTGCGGGGGTTAGCGATGCTACGGAAACTAGGGAAGCTTCCGCCCTTGCTTTTCTGGGTCCTGTCTGGCCTCGATGCCCACTTCCTTGCTCTCGGCCGTTGTTGCATCCAGTGAGGAGCAGGCTCAGATGCATCGCCTGCCAGGCTCAGTACCGCCCAGGGACATCTGTCCAGGAAACGGTGGTACCGAGGGAAGGGCATTGCAAATCTTGTGCATCTCATTGAGTTGAGAATTGATAACTCGTGCAGCGGCACACCATGGAGGCCGTTTCCTCTCCCATGTCCCTCCATCGTGCATTGTTTTCGCCGCAACTCTGATTCCGGGACCATCGTAACTGCAAGGCTGACGAACTGGCCGCGTTTGAGCTGAAATTAGGATTCGAAGAGACATCAGAAACATGGCTGCACTGCCCGTGGGACCACTGACAGCACTCTTGCTTGCCGTCCTTGCATGGAGAGTCGTGTCGACGCTTCGGCAGTACCTGCGCCTGCGGCACATCCCAGGGCCGCCAAGCGCTGGCATTTCTCAATGGTGGCTTATACGTGCGGTGGGCGGCGGCCGGACGCATCTCGACCTGTACGAGGCGTGCCAGAAGTACGGTGAGCCCGCCACTTTCTTTTCGCACGATCGAGCCGCGTTGTATCGACCGTGGAGGCCATCGATGGGGCCATGGGGAGTGCAGAGCTGACTTCCTGTCCGTGCGTTCAGGGCCCGTGGCCCGGGTCGGCCCCAACTATCTGATTGCAAGCGACCCCGATCTCATAAAGCGGATGCTCAATGTGCGGACGACGTATACGCGGTCCGACTGGTACGATGGCATGCGTCTGGACCCGTCCAAGGACAACGTTCTGTCTCAGCGCAATGAAGACATACACGGCAGGTTGCGGTCGATGATGGCCGCGGGCGTACGTACATGGATGAGATGATAGGTTGATCCAGGGCTGACCGGGGTACCGCGAACAGTACTCGGGTAAGGAGGTTGACAACCTCGAGGCAAAGATTGACAACAACATCTTGGCCTGGCTGAACCTCCTCGAAACCAAGTATGTGTCTGCGAACCAGCCGTTCGACTTGGCACGAAAGGCGCAATACTTGACGCTCGACGTCATTTCGGATCTGGCCTTTGGCGAACCGTTTGGCGATGTTGCGACGGACTCGGACGTGCACGAGTACATCTCGACGATGGAGACCAACATGCCCAACATCATCGTGACGACGGTGATGCCATGGCTCATGGTTGTGCTATCATCGCCCCTTTGCCGCTGGATGCTGCCTTCGGAAAAGGACGTCATCGGCCTCGGGCGCACAATGGCGTAAGTGACATGGAACCCCCCAAGACGAAGTCAGTCTGACAGGCGGCAGCATCGCCAAGCAGGTCGCAGCTGAGCGGTTCGGCCCTCAGAAAAAGGTGCAGCGTGACATGCTGGGCTCCTTTGTCGCGCGCGGACTCACGCAGTCCGAGGCCGAGTCCGAGATTCTTATGCAAATGTGAGTGTTCGCCGCCTGCTTGGAGAAGTCTCTTTGTAACGTCCCATACCACAGTCTGGCTGGGTCTGATACGACGGCGACGGCGATTCGAGCCACGATGTTGCACGTCATGTGCAACGCGCGAGTAGGCGAAGCCCTCCGAAACGAGATTGAACAGGCCAACCCGACGTGGCCCGTCATCACAGATGCCGAAGCGCGACGCATGCCGTACCTTCAAGCGGTGATCAAGGAGGGGCTTCGCATGTTCCCGCCCGTAGCGGGCCTCATGGCCAAGGAAGTTCCCAAGGGCGGCGACACTTTCAAGGGCACGTTCTTCCCCGAGGGAACGCGGATCGGATACTGCGCGTGGGGCGTCGTGCGGTGGCCCGAGGTCTGGGGCAGCGACGCCCACGAGTTCCGCCCGGAGCGATGGCTCGAGGCGTCGCCGGGGAAGCTGAGAGAGATGGACGGCACGGTCGAGCTTGTGTTTGGGTACGGTCGCTGGCAGTGCCTCGGACGCAACGTGGCTTTCATCGAGCTCAACAAGGTGTTTGTCGAGGTAAGCTGCCCGGAAGCGACGAGAGTCGAGAACTTACTGACCATTGACGGGCGGAACAACAGCTCTTGCGGCGGTACGATTTGTGTCTTGTCGATCCCACCAAGCCGTGGAAATCGCACAACTTTGGCATATTCCTGCAGTCCGATCTCTGGGTCAAGGCGTACAGGCGGGCCGACCCGGCGGCTGTGTAGGTCGAGGCGCGGCTTGTCGATGCGGACCGGACATCCTTAGGTCGTCTTTGTACGTAGACGGCGGCGGCAACTTGCAAGAATGATACGATGCGTGCTGCCAAAGTCTTGTGGCTGTCTCTACATCATAGCAACCAGGGAGCAAGAGTCCGAGATGTGTTCCAAGCGGACACAGTGTCGGCACGAGCCTCACGGTGACACAAGACGCGACGGGACGTATCAAGCCCAACGGCGAGGAAGGCGGCATGGCCCGTGCCTGCCCTGCTGCACTGCAGATGACGGGAGCTTGGGGAGGTGCAGTGCCGCGCCTGCCGCACCAAATCGACCTCTGTCGGCAGTGACTCGAGCCCGCTGTCTGCTCCACTCCGTCCACTGCCCTGTATTCCCAGGCTGCCACCAACCGCTTCGAAGAGGGCCTGTAGGTACCAACCTTCAGTAGAAGCCGGTAGCTGGACACCCTCACAGCGGCTGGGCAGTAAAGCCCCGACGCCATCCATCATCACAATCGCACAGCACCGGCCACCAACAGCGCTGCAACAGCCACCAACAGCCTTCCAACCCAGCCCCACCATAGGCCCGTCAAAGCCCCATCGGGACAAGCGCCGTCAACAAGCTGAGCTTCCCCGGACTCTCCTGTTGAACCTCGCATCTCGAACCTCCAACCCTCCGACCTCAGGCCTCCCCGTACCATCTCTATTTCCCTTCGCCTTCATCCCCGCCGCTCGCAGCGCACCGCACGCCTCGCGAAAGCCTTGGATGTGATCAGCAACGACAGGCTCTCGGACAGAGAGACACGCCCCAGCCGCCGATCCGCAGACGCGCCCCGCAGGTCAGGCCTCGCTCGCCATGACCCCGCGGCGTCCCCGGCGTGCAGCACCCTAACAGCGTCCTGTCGAGACCTCTCGCGTCCACTTTGGCCCCCCTCCCTCGCCCGCCGCCGCCGCCGCCAGCGATTCGACCCGACCCGACCCTTATGAGCGCCAAGGTCACGCGAGCTTGCGATGCCTGTCGGGTCCGGAAGGTGAGGTGCAGCGGTGACCAGCCCTGCGCCCAGTGCGCCCACCTCAACCTCGCCTGCGCCTTTGCGCCTCCTCCGGCGAAGCGCAAGCCCGGCGTCCGGGGCCGTCTCGTGGCTCAGCTGCGCAATAAGACTGCCGCCGAGGTCACCAACGGGAGACCCGGTGCCGCGGCTGTGTCCTCCATTACTTCGCCGGCCGCTGCGAGCACCTCCTCGTCCGCCTCGTCGCCCACCTCCGGCGGCGCCGTACAGCTTCCCGCCGTCACCTCTATTGCTGGCATCGTCGACTCCAACCATGCCGTCAGTCCTCGGTTCGAGCTGGCTCCCGCCATTGGCGGTGGTGGCTACTCGCAGGAATTCTTCATGAGGCTGCTCCCCGAGTACGATAAGCTCGTCTACCCCGTCAACCCCGTCTTGACACCGGACGAACTGCGCGCGAGCATCCAAAACATGCACGCGAGCTATGAGGACGCCGCCCTAGTCCACGCTTTCGGTGCTGTGACCATAAACCTCACGCAGACCTCGTGGACCCTGCACGGCGACATTGCGGCTCAGATGACCTCGCTCATCCAGTACAGCCTGTGGGCGCATCGCAAAGCCGAGATGGGCAGGGATACCGACGCGCATTACCTGCAGTGCGAGATGCCCATGACGGTCAAGCGCGTCATGGTTGGTATCTGGAACGAAATTTCCCTCATGGCCTTTAAGCGCTTCGACCGCAGCTTCGCCAGCCTGCGCGAGTCCATCACCATGATCCAGATGCTTAACATACACCAGTATTCGGAGGACAACCCCTGCGGGCTGTCGCGCCGCGAGATCTCGCGGCAGCAGCGCATGTACTGGGAGGCCTACATCCACGAGCGCTTCATGTGCATCATGTCGGGCTTCCCCTGCACCATGATCCCGCTTCGCACCGGCCTCCCCATGACCGACGCCGACGTGCCCCCCTACGTCACCGTCGGCTTCAACCGCCTGATCCGCCTCTTCCAGATCATGGACCCCCCGCTGCTCGCGCACTGGACGGCGCAGACGATGCCCGACGCGCCCACCATGACGGCCCAGTGGATCGAGAGCAAGCAGGCGCAGCTCGACGCTGACGAGGCCGAGACGGCCGACGCCGCGCGCGACCTGTCGGCCAGGGGCGCCGGCTCCCTCAGCGAGGAGCAGCACGTCGACCTCTTCGTCACCCGCCTCTGGCTGCGCACCCTCGTCTGGCAGCTCGCCCTGTCGCACGGCCTCCTCCGCTCCGCGCCCCCACGCGACGCCCACGAGGGCCTCTCGCTGCACTTCCCCGCGCAGCGCCTCTCCGCCCAGCTGCGCGGCCTCGTCAGCCGCCTCGGCAACATGTCGACCTTCGTCATCCACGGCAGCGGCATCCTGCAGAAGCTCTTCGAGATCACCAGCACCGTCGCCGACGTCCTCGCCCTGCCGCGCGGGCCCGGCCAGACCCAGGAGGAGGCCCGCGCCCGCATCGAGGACTTTCTCTTCCTCGTCCGCTTCATCTTTGGCTTTGAGCGCACGCAGAAGCATCAGCGCGACTACCTGCGCGAGAAGCTCGACGCCTTGCGGGAGATGTACACGGTGGTGGACTTTGGGGATCTGGCCGGCAGTCCCGCCGCAAGATGAGGCAGCCTGCATGGATGGTCACGCATAGAACACAATTACGAGCATGAAACCCTTGAATGTACTTAGTTACAATGGGCAGCGATGGCGTTTCAAGGCGCCGGGTTAGTCAAGGACAGCACAGAAGCATCACACAAGAGCTATTGCTGGTCGCGAGTGTAATACTACTCATATTGTTATGGTTTTAAGTAGGTAGCTACGCAGGCATGCTGCCATGCCCGGTCCAGAATCAGAAAGTCAGTGTCGTCGAATCGAAGGAGCAGCGCGTCATCTCTCGAGCGTCCCGTGTTGAACCAGACCTCCTGGCCAGGAATAGAGCCTTTTCTGATCAAACAACCACGTCACTGCCTCAAGCCAGCCGCCCGCCCGGCAGGTGTTGGACGTGCCGGAGCCCCGTTGGCTTCAACGGCAGCACTCAGTCACAAACACCTGCGCACCTAGACGGCAGCGACGCCGTCCACGTCGACCTTGATCTTCTTGAGCAGCATCGTCATGGCCGCAAAGATAACGGGCAGGACGCTGACGATCTCGCCCAGGCCGGCGTAGGCGGGCGGGATGCGCACGTTGACGAGGGCGCCTGAGGCAAGCAGGATGGCGAGGACGTTGTACGCGGCCGACCAGCCAAAGTTGAAGGCCATGCGGCGGAACGCCACGTTGCTGATCGTCATGAGGAAGGGGATGCCCTCGAGACCGTTGAGGAGGACCACATCGGCGGCGCCGCGCGTGACCTCGCTGGCCGAGAGCACGCTGGCGAGCTGGACGCCCACATCGGCTTGGGTGACGGCCACGGCGTCGTTGGTCCCGTCTCCGACAAACATGACTTTCTTGCCCCGAGACATGAGGTTGGCGACGTAGTCTCGCTTCTGAGACGGGGTGCATTGCGACGCCACGTTCGGGATTCCTACCTGCGCGGCGACGGCCTCGACGGCACGCTTTTGGTCGCCCGAGACGAGATGGACTGCGACGTTGCGGCGGCTCAGCTGGGAGACAACCTTGGCAGCTTCAGCTCGGAGACGGGTACGCATAGCGAATGCGGCAATGGCCTTGCCATCGCGAGTAACGACGAGCAGAGTCATACCACGTTGCTGCATATCGACAATAACAGCATCTTCTGACGTGTTTGTCCACGCAGGGTTCCCAGCACGGATCTTGGTGCCGTCGAGCGTGGCTTCCACACCAGCGCCGGGGATCGAGTGGACATTGTCAAGCTTCGCTGGAGCGGTTGCGCGCGATTCCAAGTGCTTTGCCACCGCGAGTGACACGGGATGCTTGTTTCCGGCGACGAGAGCCTTGGAGACGGCAATGGACTCTGCCTCGTCAACGCCAAAGAAATGCTCCTCCATAACGTCAAGCTCGCCCTCGGTGATGGTGCCTGTCTTGTCGAAGACAACATCTGTGACCTTTCGAGACTGCTCAGTGCATTCGGCAGACTTGATGATGACGCCGTTGCGTGCAGCAATGCCACCCGCCACGACGAGCACCATGGGCACGGCAAGGCCGAGTGCGCATGGACAAGATACCGCTAGAGTAGCGACTGCGTAGGTGATGGCGTTGGAGACGGCCTTGCCCGCGTTGTAGTTGCGGACCTTGAGGCCGACGACGACCCAGGCCACAATGACAATGAGGGCGATGGACGTGACCACAGGCACGAACCAACCAGCGACGCGATCGGCAACGTCCTGGATTCGAGGCTTCGAGTTGGCAGCCTCTTCCACTAGTTGGGCAATGTCGGTCACTGTGTTCTTGCCCGGCAGACGGGTAAGTCGAGCCACCAGAGTGCCTGAGCCGTTGATGGTGCCCGCAATCACCGAGTCGCCCTCCTTCTTGAACACGGGGACGCTCTCACCAGTCAGCATGGATTCGTCTACCTCGCTCGTCCCATTGAGGACAGTCGCATCGGTGGGCACCGCGGAATGGGGGCCAATCTTGAGCTTGTCGCCATACTGGAGGAGTCGTGCATCAATCTCTCTGTCGCTGCCGGATTCAACAATAACGGCAGTGGTTGACTGAAGTGACCGAAGCGACACCGCTACGACTGCGCGGATACGAGCAAAGGCGGCGACAAGCCGTCCGAGCAGGACCAGAGTGATGAGAAGAGTGCTGGTTTCGAAGAACGCTTCCGTGTCCAATGGCTTGCCGGCCATCATAAAGCCGTAGGCAACAACCGAGTACAGGTAAGCGGCAGTGATGCTGATGACAACAAGCATGTCCATCTCTAGGCTGCCGCTGTAGACGAGGGCCGAGATGGCTGGGCGGTAGAAGTCGGGAACAGCTATAAGCTGCACCACGGTCGCAAGAGCCAGAGACACGGAGGCCTTGGTTTTCTCGTCTTGAACCAGATCGTTGCCCCAGGCCATGACGACGACCGGGATGGTAAAGCAAGCAGCAACAACCGTCTTGACGAGCTGGTCGTACAGCCTCTTCCTGCCGCTGGACACGTTGGGGTCGTCCCTCGGCGGAGCAAGCCCCCCAGACAAGTCACCCACGCGCTCAACCAAGGTTCGCGCGCCAATAATGGCCGGGTCGTAGGTCAGACGGACAACTTTCTTGTTCAAGATGGTGGCTTGGGTAACTCCTGGGATGGCAATGTCGGCGAGCACTTTGGCAGAGCCCCCTGAGGCCAAGAGATCGACTGTCTGGTCGTCGTTGGAGAGCCTGGTGCAACGGAAACCTGTGGCCCTCTCTGTTGCCCTGATGACCTCGTCGGGCGTGGTGACGTCCGTATCAAGGCTGAACTCGGCGGAGCCCATGACAAAGTTGACCCGGACCGACGAGACTCCAGCGAGAGCCTTGAGGGTGCGCTCCATCTTGTTGCCGCAGCCGGAGCAAGTCATGCCATCAACAGTCAAGGCGACATGCTCCAACCCCTCGGCCCGTTCGAGGTCCGTATTGGCGGGACGCAGAGCGGCGTCCTTGTCGCTCTGGTGGCCATGCTCAACTTGATGGCCACTGCAGCAGCCGCCATCCTGTTCCTCCTTGGTGGCCAACACGGCATGTTGATGACGCGCCTTCTTCCCACGACGCTTAATTCCGTGGTGATGGTGCGGCCCGTCGTGGGTATGAGCTCCCTGACCGGTCGCGTGTGCGTGTGCGACAACCTCGACGGGGGCGGCCTTGGGGGTCTGCTTTGGCTGCTCGGCGCAGCACGTCGTGGACCAACCTCGTTCGAGGATGCTGCGGCAGATGCAACGGGCGGACTCGAGATAGGCAGCGTACTGGTCAAACGCCTTGGCCAGATGGGTGCTGCAGGCCGAGGCAGGGTGCTGTCCGTTCTGGTCATGGGCGTGGTCGTGACTAGCATGGGCTTGGACAATGTCAGGATGCAAGTTATCTGAGGTCAGATGCGGGGGACGCGGTACCATCATGACCAGCGACGTCGCTCTCGCAAGTCTTTTCGCATTCGAGGGCGGCGGCGGCGATGATGCACTTTTCTGCCTCGGCGTCAATACACGTCACCCACGTTCCATAGCGGCGGGAGCAAACGAACCGTCGCAATGCTCTTCGTTGGAGTCGCAACAGGTCAGCGTAGCCGACTTTGTCGAGGCGGAAGAGTCGCAGCAGCCCTGCGCGTCATCGCAGCACTCGCCGGCTTGATCGCAGGGGGCGAGGGATTCGGATTCCGCATGGCCGCCACAGCTGCCGTGCTCGTGGTCATAACCATGATCGTGGCCGTGACCATGGCTGTCGTCGGAGCCATGGTCGTGAGGGGCATGGGGATCGGCAGGATGCGCCGATGTCCCTTGGGCCTCTGCGGCGCCCGAGCAGCATCCAGCCGCCATGTTGGACGAGGGAAAGGCTGGGTGAGGTTGGTTGCGTGGTCGCAGGGCGAGGAAAAAAGCAGTGAGACGCTCGAGAATTGTGATGTGGTGATGCGAGTTGGAGATCAAGAAACAGAATGGGGCAAGAACACTGGCGATGAGCTCCTGCCGCGTCCAATAGCCAGCACTAGAATGTACGTACAAATAATTACGGCGCTGCCTGAAAATTAGGGAAAAGAGGCGCGCGGAAGCCCGAGCACCCAAGCTCCTTTCCCGCCTCGGTCTCCGTCCTCACACACGCACAGCAAACACCGACTGCCGACGCCACGATGCACTCTGCGACGCGTCCCGCAGTGGACTGATTGATCGCCGCCGGGAACGACTCGCCCCGTGGCGGGCCTGCCGCGCAGCCGGAACATTCCATGTGGCACTCGCTTCGTGCGTACAACGGATGGCACCTATACCACGGACGGCAACTCCCTGGCGCCAGCGTCGTCAGCTCGCTTCGGGGGATGCCATGTGGGTATTGCAGGCGAGAAAGGTACTGGTAACGGCTCTGGACAGCGGCGTCATGGGCCTCTCCAGCACTCTCTGATTCACTGCTGCAGACTTGGCGGCGCTGTCAAACGCCATCCGAGGCACGGCGCCTACGCAGTGAAATTGAGTTTGCCGCGTGGCCTGGCCTGATTCCTGAATCCCTGGCCAACTTGCCCGTTTGGTCTGACGGCGGGGCCTCGATTGGTTTGTCCCCGCCGTCCGTGGAGACGGAGGAATTGACTGGAAGCTGAATACGTTTGGTGCAACTGTGGCTGATACTCTCCTGCGACGACGACTGCGATACCGAGTCCTCCTTGTACTTGGCGACTTCATGCGACACTACATAATACACTCGACCGGCTATAGCGTGATGAGATACTTGGTACCCCTTGCTGCGTCGATGGACGCGCGGTACCGCGACCCATTGACTTTGAAGCTCTCGCTGTCCCCAACCCTGATGTGCAGCGGGCCATCGCGCTTGGACCTCACCTCGGCCCGCTTGAGCTTCCCTGCCGCCCACTCCATGTCCACCTCGAAGCCGCCTCGGGCCAGTAATCCCCTCGCGCTCCCGGATGGCACCGCGTCGGCTGGCAGCGCAGGCAGGATATGCAGCACGCCAGCATGGCTCTGCAGCAACATCTCCGTCAAGCCGCTCGCGACGCCAAAATTGCCGTCGATCTGATAGTTGACGCCGTGGTCAGAGTTCCAGAGGTTGGTCATCGGGTACTTTGCGAACCACGCAGTGACGTGCTTCCATACATCGGCGCCCGACAGCAGCCGCGCATACTGGTTGATGGTCCATGTTCGGCTCCAGCCCGTGCTGCCAGACCCGCTGGCGAGCCTGTGGTCGAGGAGCGCCTTGGCCGCCCTGCTCAGCGTCTGGTTGACGAGCGGTGCGAACTGATGAGACGGATGCAGGCCATACAGGGGCGAGAGGTGGCGGTGCGCCGGGTCCGTCTCCTCGTACTCGTAGCGCCATTCGAGAATCTGCCCGTACGATCCGATGCGCGGCTCTCGGATGAGGGGGAGGAAATCTCTCGCCGCCTGGACGTCCTTGTCCGAGCTGGAGATGCCCAACGCAGCGGCGGCCTCGAGAAGGCCCGTCACGACATCGCGCATCAGCTGATTGTCCTGCTCCGGAGCAATGTCGATGCCGATCGGCTTGCCGGCCACTGTTGCGTTATCCGGAATCACGAACCGATTCTCGGCCGAGATGGACGGACCCGTCACTCGTGAGCCTTCCCACATCATCGTGTAGCACCGGTAGAATCTTGCCACGTCAACGAGATACGGATACGCAGTACGTCTTAAAAAGTCCTTGTCGCCAGTGAAGCGGTAGTGCTCAATCATGTGCTGCACCAGCCACGCGGCTCCCATCGGCCACATCGTCGAATGGTCGTTGTGGTCGGTTGGCGCCGGATCGCCCCAGAGATCAAGGTTGTGGTGAAAGACGACGCCGTCGCAGTCGTACATGCTTCGAGCCATGTCCCGTCCGCGCGGCCTCGCGACCTTGAGAAGGTCAAAAAGCGGCTCCTGGGTCTCGAGCAGGTTGGTTTGCCCCGCGGGCCAGTAGTTCATCTCAATGTTGATATTGATGGTATACTTGCCACCCCACGCCGCCGTCGTTTTGTTGTTCCACACGCCCTGCAAGTTCGCGGGCATGTCGACAGCGGCGGGCGTGTTGCGGGACGACGCGACGAGCAGATGGCGGCCAAAGTTCCACGCTAGGGTCGCGAGTTGCACGTCCTGCAGGCCGGTGCGCGCATGTGCGATGCGCTGGTCGGTGGGCAGATCAGCCAGGCCGTCGGGTGATGCCCCGAGGTTGATGGCCGAGCGGTCGAGGAGCGAGGTCGCATCGGCGAGTGCTTCGCGCTTCACTTTCGTGTATCCCTTTTGCACGGCGGCTGTCAACTTGCGGTCGAGGGCAGCTTCGAGAGACTTGTTGGTGGCATGCCGATAGTTTGTTTCGGCGTTGAAGAAGACGTCTATACTGGTGGCTCCAGTGATGACCAAGGTGTCGTTGGAAGCGCTCACGCGTCCTTTGCATCCGTCAGTTCCTATGCCAGCGTCCGTAGTGGGATGTACACGTACCGCCGCAAGTCACGAAACGGGCCTTGCCGAGGAACAGAATCGGATGGTCCTCTGGCTTCTGTCCGCTGGAACCGCCCATCGTCAGCTGGTGTACGCCACCAGCAGACGAAGCAATGTTCGACGTAATGTTGCCTTCGCGGGTGAACCGAGCCTTCAAGCTTAAGGCGCCCTTTTTGCTTGCCGTGAAGCGCGCAGCGAGCAGATCAGCCGGAAAGCTGGCGATATACTCTCGGCTACATTGCCAGCGGCAAGTCAGCCACCCATCGCTACAACATTGGGCAAAAACACACTCACGTATAGTTCACATCCTTGTACATGTATGAAACCCCCGCGTTACCCTGCCTGGTATCAAGCCACCGCACGTACTCATCAACATCATCGTGCCCGAACTCGAGGGCAAGGTTTCCAAAGTAACTAAAAGCTCGCTCTGCTGGCTCCGCGGCGAAGATGTCCTCCATGGACAGGTTGGTCGCCGCCGAGTAGTTGCCCGCGAGCAGCATGTCGCGCACGCGGGGCAGCGCGGCGAGCGCCCGTGGTGGCGTGCGGTCCTGTAGCGGGCCGGACCAGATGGTGTCCTCGTTGAGCGGGATGAGCTCGGTGCCAGTGCCGCCAAGGATGGTGGCGCCGAGCCGCCCGCTGCCGATGGGGAGGGCGTCCGACTCCCATTCTTTGCCGGGTGAGGTGTACCACAGAAAACGGCTGCCGTCGAGGGCACGGGCGCCTATGGCGCTGGCGATGACAGTGGCGACTGCGAAGCGTTGAAGATGCATCTTTGGCCGCTACGTGGATGCTGCCATTGGTGTCATACCCCATTGCTGGAGATGCGCTCTGGATACACAGAGGTATATATGCATGACAATAAACGATGAGCCATCATCAGGATGTGGCCAAAAGTGCCCCAACAGTATTTCCACGAATGAGTCCCTCTATCCTGTCTGCGCTGTCGTGAGGGACTGGGGTCCCCGCGACTCAATGCCGAATCTTGGAGATGACGAGCCGCTGCTTATTTGTTCCGGCAATTGGCACAAACATCCCTGTTCGCATGGCTGGATGTTTGCGGGGAAGATGACGGTGCCAACCTCCCGAGCCGTCGGAGAAATGGTTGGCGACGGGAATTTGGGCTCGCCAACAGATGACTAGAACCGACGGCTATTGATCCTTGGACCGCGATCTTTTACAGCAAAGTACGACAGGGCCCGTCACGTTGTTGAGTATTTGGTCATTCGTGGAGAAATTGAGTGTCTGTCTTCATATTCGACTACTGTGCCTCAAAGCTTACATCCAGCGTTGTGCGGCAATGAGCGCGTCTGGCTACGGACGGTTCTATCCCTGGCTTACACGAACAGAACATGTCTTTGAGCTTTCATGGAGGATATATTAAGCGAGCTGTTCTTTATACCACCAAACAGCATCCTCTCCTCAAAAATGGAACCGCCATCCCCGGCGGAAAGCAGAACGTGTATCCCGAAAACGCCCAACAGTTTCACCACCACCACTCACTCCAATTGCCTTGCCACACCGTGAACGTGAATCATGTCATGCGCCTTAGTTCAGGCCGAGCTTCTTCAGGTTGTATCCGCAGTCGATGAGCGGCTTGATGCACTTGGAGTGCTCCTCGGTCAGGCTGTTGGCGAACTCCTTGTGCGAAGAGTGCGAGCCCTTGGCGTTGCCGGCCTCGGCGGCGTCGGCGTCGCCGCCGGACGCGCTCTCGAACACGTTGATGAGGAATTTCTGGCACTCGGGCTCGAGGTCCTTGCAGTGCTGCTTGACGTGCTTGGCCATCATGGTGGGGTGGTGCTCTGCACGATGACACAATTAGCTATTTGTTTGTTCACGCCTCTTATTTTGGGGAGGCGCGGGATGTTGGTGTAGTAGTAAACGTACCGGACTCCTCAGAGGAGCGGATGGCCATGCCCATGACGGCAGGGGCGCAGAGCGCAGCAATGGAGAAGAGAGTGAACTTCATGGTGGCGGTTGTGGTTGGGAGTATGATGCAAAAGCGAATGAGTGACTGGTGAGTATGCAGTGTAAGTCTGGAGAGCACAACCGACAACATTGCGGCGCGACGAGCGACCTCCTTTATAGAACCCACGCGAATCAGCCCCGTCCGCGATGCTACAACGCTTCCTCTGCCGATTGTCAACAAAATCACCGATTGCAAATGAGGTGTCTATGACCTGTGATGAGCGCGGGCTCCAGGTGTGCGAGGGCCCAGCTGGAAGCTGCGACCTGATTGGAACCCCACGGCCTTTCCGCGTCAAGGCGCTATGGAAGCTTGAGACAATCGTGGGGATCGGTGCCTGGGCTGGTGTTGAAGAGCGTCGGCTGTGCGCGCTCATGCCGGTATGTGATCGCGAAAGCTGGAATGAAGGGCGAATCGAGACAGGACGGCCCAACGAGGTCATTGTAAATACGGACGTCCAGGCTCGCTTCCTACAATTGTATGCGACTTGGCTGATGCTGCTGGATGTAAGTCCTTCCAGATAATGATCACGTCGACTTTCGCGTTGGACACTTCGCAAATATCGAGATATACCAAGACCACTATAGCCTTGCGATTCCGCAACGCGGACTTTGATCTAGCACTTCGTAGTCACCTTGCCATTCAACGCTTGACGCTGCTCTGACGGTAATGTCTCACTACCGGGCACGCGGCCCAGCCGTTCCCGCTTGCAAACAGTGCACGCTGCAAGACACGAGTGTCTCAGGAACCAGCTTAGCAAGCTTGGCTTCCTCACAACAAGCAGCCGGCTCAAATGCTAAAAGAGCCAAGCGCTGAGGCTACGCGTCACAGCTGCTTCAGTTGCCTCGCAGCGCGAATTCGTGAGAAAGCTTGGCGGGCGGTAGTCTAAGTGTAGTCCCGGAGAGACGCATCATCGCCTAGGTCCGATTGAAAGCGCATGACCGGAGTGATTGTTCCGTGGCAAGCCTGGATACAATGCTTCAAGCAGAGGAAACTCTGCCGCTTCGTAGTTCTGGGGTCTCTCGAGATGCAACATCTTCCAATGTTGATGTGGGCTCCTAGCATGCGGATCCCCAATGATCTTTCGCAATGATCCTTCGCAATGTGTTCCACGTGCCGGCAGCAGGACGGGCAGCTCTGCGGCGGCGGTTCATCGGTGTAGCGATTCCCAGTCATGGCCATGTCTCAGAACCGGAGGTTATGTCGCGCGCGGTTCGTCGGTCGGGTCGAGGCCCTCCCATCCGTGTCTTCTTGCTCCCGACGCGCCGGATGGCGGGGCAGCAGCTTCCGAGTCCTGAAGTGCTGGACGCGCGTGGGGAACCCGACTCTCTCCAAATTGAGGTTGCGTCCTTGGAAGCTCCAGATGAGTTGTTGCACAGTTCAAGCTGCCGAACATCCGGCCCGCGAAGCATCGCAAGGCCATGTCCACCCAGCCCCAATAAACACGATGATGTTACGGCATGGTCCATCCAGAGAAACTCGGTTCATGTGCGACTACACGTATGTGTATTTCTTCCACGGGATCAATTGCTTTGGTACCGGGTAGCAGGACCTCAGCAGCTGTCCACATGCATGGAGTCTGCTCGACATCTGGAGGGTCCCAGTAGGAGGCCAGATGAGGTGCTCTGATGTCAGCGGGCGGGATGTGTGCCTCACACCTGGTCTCAGGAGCGCGGGTCAAATGCCACACGGCTTTTGCTTCGTGTAGGCTTGCAGTTTATTGATTAAAACGCGGCCATGTGTCTACAGCCTCTCATCTCGAGAATGGCGACCGCGTGTAAAGCTTTTATGCGAGCCAACAGGCCGAGCCAGCTCCAAGTTATTGCGTCGCGGCCTGGGGCCACGTCGGCCCCTGCCCATGAGTTGTTGAGAAAGCGGGAACTCGTAGACATAGTGTCGTCATGTAGTCTACAGTTTGCTTCAAATCGTAGCGATGATTTGTTCTAGTTATGTTGGAAGCTGACGGGAAATTGGTGGCGCCCAAAGGATATGTTGGTGAGCCCTGTATTGTGCCATCACGATACGCCTCACGCGCAAAACCGCATTCCAATGTGGGGCGCGTCGGGGAAAGGTGCCCAGCAGCCAGCAATGGTGGGGGACCGCGCTGGCTTCACCGACCCGTTTCATCCTTGATTGTAATTTTTGAGGGCAACCAAGTCGCTCTTTTCCCCATGTAGTGAGGGGAGTTTACGGCGTGAAATGGAGATTGCGATTTGCGATGCTGCACCGGCCGCCCGCCGGCGTAGTGCCCTACCCTGCACTGTACGCTTCGTGTTCGCCGGCATTATCCATCTCGAGTCCCAGTCGAGATGGAACACTGAACAGTGATTCAATCCTAATAAATAAAGACTTGCATTCATGCGGCGCTTTAGGCTATTGCTAGTACGGCTTATCGTGCATGCTCATGACACAACCGGCCTGGTGGTTCGACTCTCGATACATTGAATGTAACTTCGAACATATTTAGAATCTATATTGGCCGCACTCAATGCCGAAAATTCACACTGCGCAGCCTAGCTCACTATATCGCACGCATGTGATCCTATATAGCTATCTATACCAAAACTAGAACCGCCTGGGAAGATGTGATGTTCTCATCCCTTCGCATGCCGTAAAGTGTTGACGAAGTCCCGCCACAGAGCCCACTGTATTGAAAGTGCACCCGAGGCCACTGCGTCCAGCCACTGCCACGAAAAAGTGTCCACTACCGATTTAATGTCCGCATGCTCGTAAATGCAGCAGTCACCTGGGTGTCTCAGGGAAAAACGCGAGGACGGGGCTGAGTGGCTGATCCAACCACCCGTGCCTCTTGACCTCTCGCTCTGGGGCCCATTCCAAATCACTGAATGAGCTCTTCTCTTCATGATCCGGCCCGCACTTCAGGTCTCCGTGACACTCCCTGTCTTTCTCGAATAGGGCCACATAGGAGCAAAGCAGCAATCTTGCACCATACACGACCAGTGCTAAAAGAGAGACGACGAAGCTTGCCTGAGCAATGCGACAATAGCCCTGGTTTTGTCCCGATGTCTCGGCACACCCACGCACAAGATACCAAGGGTGGCTGCAAGCGTGCTTGGAGTCACTGCGGTCTCCAGATAATTGACCCGCGACGCTGACGGACCAGAGCGTCAACAGCAGCAGGTCGTAGAAGACGTTGGTGTATTCTGGCAAGAAGCTACAGCGTGACACCGCCATGCGCGTGATAAATACGAATGTCGTGAGGACTGCGATGGAGAGGTTCGATGCTGTCAGGCTATGAGGTACCAAGTCAGTCTCTCGCTTTCTGCCGAGCTGCTTGGAGGAAGAGCGCCAAGCGTACCGTTGAGACCATATCAGCGGGACCTCGGGCGGCTCGCGATGGTTGGCGTAAAAGTAAATTCTCAGTCGCGGATCGGAATTCCATTTGTGAGCGCCGCCTTCCTCCCATAATCTGGTTCTAAAACGATTGGGATAAGCAAATCCGAACAGAGTCAGAAGCGTCGCGGCCACCACGCCCTCGCACGCCAACAACGCGGTCTGAGCGACTCGCAACCGACAACGAGGCATGGTTCCCAGCCTGACGATAGTGGCTTCACTAGAGAACATTGGCCATTGGCGAGCCGGTTGCAATTATGGCACAAGTCTTCTCATGGAGAAGTTTCGGGTGTCCATGAATGGAAACTTGCTCATACTGGCGCATTGTACACATGTGCGCACATGACAAAACAATCCCACCTGGCATTTTATTGTGAGGCTGATTTGATTGGACTGTATGTGAGTGCATTACGAATTAACTACACGGGTTCTAGAAATCTGCGCTGCCATTATGAGGTCCTTGATGAGGCAGATGGCGACATTGGCCCGTTTTCTAACTCACCGTTAGCTGATCACCATCAGACACCGAGAGCGTTCGAGGCAATTCTGCGGCAGGATTCGGAGGGCGAAATCGGCGGTGAGCAGACAGTCTGACTCGACAGCCGGTCGAGCTTGAAGGGCATCTCGTCCTTTGAGCTCACTTGAACGTCGAGTCCATATCGCTTTCGCCACTGCACACTGCACTGGGCATTTAGATAGAGCAATGAAAAGAGCTCAGCCCGACAGCGAACCAGATCACTGTTTGCAGATTAAAAAATCAATTGCGTATGCGTAAGGTAGCTGTGACGTTGGTAGGGACTCAGTGTCAAGAGGACACAATTCGGACAGACCGTGTGCGGCGTGTCTTGATTGCGTTGGAAAACAACATATAATGGCCCCTTAGCACCGTAAAAGAGAACAACGTGCACGTCAACCTGATGGAGGTGTGTCAACGGCCAGGAAGAAGGGTACCAGAAGGTGCCCGACAACATCATTGAATTGTACAGGTGGTTACGAAGAATCCCATTTCTTAGAACGGGTGAACTCGCAACGACATCAATGTCCGCGAACATCAAGGCTTTCTTGACCATGACGTCGAATACTCCTCAGACCACAGCAAGTATGGCTCAGGCACGGGCTCTTCAGTATGCACTCGTTTCACGTGATAGTAAGAGTCTCTGAGGTCGGGATTTGCCACCGGAAATGAAAGACCTTGCGAACACCACGCCACCACGCAAATAGGAATCCATGCGAAGCCTTCCCTGCCGGCGGGATCGACCAAGCAGCGTTAGAGCCTGCTCCAGATTGATGTACCCCTTGCATAAGCCGCATGCATGCTTTAGTGAATCGGAGTCGGGTTGCCGCCCAGCACATGTCGATACACGTTGTGAACTAGCTTTACAAATACTCGAAGGAACAGTCCGGACCGCGGCTCTCTAACCGATACATGCCGGTGAACGCGCGCTTTGGCATGCATACGGATCACTAGCTAGATGATTATGGCCGGTTGAGGAAAAAGAATCGACGGGAGGCAAATTCTCAGGGATACACGACCAACAGGCATCTCGCGCCGCCGTTTCGCGAAACGTTTGGCCTTGCTACGGTTGCAAGACCTCCTGATCCCCAGACCAGCGTTCGGGACTCCACACCCCCTATAACTGTCTGGTCAATTTTTAGACTTCGCACGACCGCGTTCAATCTCGTTTGGCGCCGCGGGTGCATGTGGTGTGGTCTCGATCTCGCGGGAACCAGGGGCGCCAACGCAGCGCGATGGGAATTCCCTTGGCCGTAAATGGGCGTTGCCGCTCGATGACCCAAGCGTAGCCGATGTGACTCGACGGCCTGGTGAGGCTGTGTCAGCGCGGAGGTATCCAATTTCTCCTTGTGCCGGTCTGGTGCCTTGGCCGGACTCCCGAAGGCCCGAGTGTAGCGGGTGTTGCGGATGCTTAGCCCCTAGGAATCGCGATCTACAACGGTGGTAATTCGACACGACGGCGGCGTGTTTGGAGCTTCACGACCCAAACTTGTCGCCCTGGGCATGCGGCCTTGAGAAACCTCGGGTGCGTTGGACGTCATGGCTACATGTGATAAGGCTGTGGCGTTGGTGCTGGAAAACAGGGTGTTGGCCGGAGAAGGAATGCAGTGACGTCTGCGGCCAACAAGGCAGCCAGGCCATTCAGGGAATCCGGGCATCACGGCATTGATCCAACTGCGGCCAAACCAGTCGGTTGGAAGTCGAAATCAAGGCCTGGAAAGCTTGGACCATCGCATAATTGGACGGAGAGGCTCTAGGGATTGAAGCGACCCAGTTGACGGATTCAAGAGAGGCTCTTCATCGGGGCTCCCCGTACGGAGAGGCTCACCCAACCCACTGGCAGCTCGCAAATTTCGGGCTGGGGCAGAGCAATCCATCCCCCTTGGCTCCAGCGAAACCTGCGCTGCCTTGATCTCGTCCCGCGCCGGAGCGTGCAAGCGACATGGAGCGAGCCAAGCAGCTAGTCTTCTGGCAACCGGACGCAGTCCCACTTGGCCGCGCTGCTCGTACATTCTACAGGCAATGTGACGAGTACATTTAGCTTCTGCACCAAGTTTCTTTTTTTTTGCCACGCGCACTTGGGCCGTGCTTCGTTGAAGTAAGTAGAGTGAAGGTGCGAGACATGATGAAACCTGGAAGGCGCCTGACGACATCAGCGGTTGGCTCCAGCCGCTACTCAAATTGATGACTCTCGGGCGAGTCTTGCCAGCAGGACGGACCAGACAACCGCTCCTGGCATCTCCGAACGCGCACGTCGGGACATGTGCCTTGTACAGTCCCTGCCTTTGCTGATCAGGATCAGTCCAGCACCCAGTCACCCAGTTTACGACCGACGCGGAGGTCGTAACAGCTGTGGACAGGGCGGCTGGGGGAGGGTTGGGGTGTGCCGCGCTCTGGTGCTTGGAGCCGTTCAAAGGGTTGCATTTGCGAACAGGGGGGGTTACAAAGACGGGCTAGTCTAAAGCGCGCGGTCCTGCGCTTGGGCGACTATGAACACTTTCGGGATGTGGCCGGGCGCCCGTTCCGCGTGTCCCGCGCGGGCTTCTGCGGGCTGGGTGGCGAGGAAGGTTGAAGAGCATTTACAGTTTGAGCCAGCGGCATGCGAGGAGCGGCCAGGAAGACTCAATGGCGGGCATGTGAGTTCCTTCGAGGGTCCCGAATCGCGTGTCGAGTCGCGTGTCAAATCTACCTGTTTTGCAAAAGACCTCCCCGGTGCAATTTCCAGCTGGACGGCATGCTGGTCAATCGACATTGGCATCGTCAACAGTCGTGGCAGAAAGGGTGTGATGCAGGATGGCGCAGCTCACCAAGCAGCAAACAGCGGCAGCCAGAAGGCGAAGGTGGTGTGGACTATGTGGGAATACGAAGGTTGCACCGACCCCTGTCGGCAACCCTGTTGGCGGCGATGCCGTGCCACACTGGCTGCTGCAAGCAGGATGGTGGCTGGCGGCGTTGCCAGGCAAGCCAGGCACGCCGTCGATGGTGGCACCTTTGTTTGCCTGGGTTAGTCCACGGCCGAGCCGCCCGTGAGGCGCCATCGCGCCAGTGGTGTGACGCGGAACTCCAATCACGTTGGCACGGCTGCTTCCCCAGGCGGCCGCTGGAGATGGTGTGCGAGGAGCCACTGCCAAATCTCCGGGTTTCTGACGCGGGCGTGACTTGCGCCGCCTCGTGTTGCACAAGTCCACGACGACGAGGACGCAGGCACGCATGACACGGCTCCTCCAGCGGGCTGGACTGCATGGCTGGGCGCTGGCAACAACAACCTTTCACAACCAAGGCGCATCCAAGCCTGCGAACGCCGGCCGCCAGGCGCCATGCAGTTTGCCACTGTCGACGCGGCAACCTGACGGGCTGCCCCGCGCCCCCTCTGCCTCTTTTCATCCAGGCACAGGAGCCAAGCGAGGAAACGGGGCCCCTCGCCGTGGAGCCGTCGAGGAGTCCGGTCCAGTCCAGTCTTTGACTTTGCAGTCGACTTGAGCCGGCCTGTCCGGGGCGGAAATTGCAAACAGGCGATGGACTCGCGGCCCGCCCCCACGATTGGCCCTGGAAGAGGCCGAATGGGGGTGGATAGCCACCGTGGAGGGCCGGAAGAGATGAAGCCCACGCGCTGTGAGATGAAGCAGGCTGGGGCGAGGCGGACGGGCGCAAGAACCGGGCCGTCCGCCATCAACCCAGCTCGCCAGGCATATTTGCATATGTAGGTCGGCTGGGCGAACGGGGCTGGGTTGCCGAGTTCAGGCGAAGGAGTGATGCTGTGGCAGGGATGGCCGTTCGCTATAATTATGTCAAACAGCATGGGAGCCATCGGAACAGCACCAGTTTCAAGGGCCCTGGGCGGGCTGGCCCAATCGGATCCTGACTCCTTCATCGAAGACGGTCCACACACACCCCGAATGCGGGGGAAATGGGGCTGCCAGGCTTGCCAGCCAGGCCAATGCGTCTGCGGGGGAGGCGGGACGGCGTGTGGGTTCTGGCGTCCGGCCGAGTTATGCATGGCCTGGCTGTGGGAACCGACGTCGCCCAGTCGAGCGTCTCGACGAAACACAGCGCACTCCCCCAACCCTCCCCGGTCAAAGCACACACTCCGCGATCCTTCCACGACCAAGTCCTGGTTCGTCGGGCCAATGGCGCGGGTGAATATGGGCTGGTCAGCCGCTAGAGCCTGATCGCGCAATAACAACGACCGTCAACCCCTGAACTTAGCCTCGCACCCCCCTGCGCCTGCCGCCGTTGGCTGGTTGCGGTTGCGGTTGCGGACTTGCTTGCTTGCCTTGCCTTGCTTGCCTGTGTGCCTCCCTGCTGTGCGTGCCTTCCATCCTGCTTGCTTGGAAGGCACCGGGCATGGCATCATGCCTCGCGACTCGTATGGCCCTCTGCCCGGGCAGGGGTGGGTTGCCATCCCAGGACGTTGCTCACACCCTGCCTGCCCCCCCGTGTCATCGTGGTGGCCAGACCTCGGCAGCATCGACGACAGGACATGTGGGAGGCACCCACGCGGACTGCAACGCCAGCCCGCTCTCGTCGCCATCCATGGCCCCTATTGCATTGTTGTAAGCCCGAGAAGGAGAGAGGGAGATCGATCCGCAACCACCCACCCCCCCTTTCCCGCGTTATATAACCCATCTGTCTGCCCAGTCTCCCCCGACTCCTTCTTGGATTCTGTTTTCTCTCAACCCCGACACTCGTTCTACAGTCTGCATCCGCGCGCTTAAGCCAGTCCAGCCTTGCAACACTCAACCCCTCAACACCATCAAGATGAAGTTCCTCACTCTTGCCTGCCTTGCCACCAGCGCCGTCGCCGGCGTTGTCGAGCCCCCCACTCGCGTCCTCGAGCGTGACCTCGCCACCGTCACCGGCGTCATCTCCAACGTCGGCAACGAGATCGACAACCTCGACAAGGCCGCCAAGGCTTTCTCCGGCGACCAGAAGCCCGTCGTCGCCGCCGCTGAGAAGCTCATCCAGGCCCTCAAGGATGGCAAGACTAAGGTCGCCGGCTCTGACGACCTCTCCCTGGCCGACGCTCTCGGCCTCCAGGAGCCCGTCAAGGCCCTCCAGGCCAAGGGCGAGACCCTCGAGAAGGACTTCAAGGCCAAGCGCTCCGAGGTCGAGAAGGCCGGCGCCTGCGGCACCGTCCGCCAGAACCTGGGCGACATCAACGAGAACTCCCAGGCCCTGATCTCGGCCGTCGTCTCCAAGGTCCCCAAGGACGCCCAGGCCATTGCCAAGTCTCTGGCTGACGGCCTCACCAAGGTCCTGAACCAGGCTCAGGACGACTTCTCCGAGGCCAACTGCAAGGACTCCACTGGCGGCGGCTCCTCTTCCGCCTCCGGCTCCGCCTCGGCCACTGGCTCTGCCTCCGGCTCGGCCACCCCCTCGGCCACCGGCTCTGCCACTCCCACCGCCACTGGCTCTGCTACCGGCTCTACCGTTGTCCCTACCGGCAGCGCCACCACCCCCTCGCAGCCCACTGGCACTGGTGTCCCCACCAAGGCTCCTACCCAGTCTCCTCCCGTCACTGCCGGTGCCGCCGTCATGGCCCCTGCTGGTGTCCTTGCCGCCGTCATGGCCGCCATCATGGTGTAAGGGTCGAGTCTCTGGTTAGACAAAACAGTGGAATCTGGGTTCATGGACGCGGATCTGCAGATGTTTACAATGTAGATTACATGTAACCTGTTTTCATTCATGTTCGGCCCCGGCGCCGTTGAGACGGAAGTCGGAGGCACGATGGATCAGCTACGGTTAATAATAGGCTGGTATGCCGAGTAATGCACGATATTCATGCCTACCTTGTTCCTGGCTGTGATGTGATAGAGGTGTTTCAATTCAGTTCAGTTGTGGAAGCCTTCGGGAAATTTGGGAGTGAATGCTGAATTGTTGCGAGCCTTTCTCAATGTTATGTGCACGAGGAACCGGCGAAAGGCAGGGACCCGATGCTGAGAGTTGAGGGGACGATGGCTTGCTGACATTGGATTTGCAAAAATATTGACAGATCTATCCACAGCACACGCTAGGTTCTTCGATGCCCTTCACCTCTGGCGACCCCCGACCTATCCCGCCCAGGTCAATCTTGACCTCCAACCAGTCACAAACAAACTTGCCCAATCCAGCGCCGATAAAGATGCAAATGATGACATAGCCGTTGAAGTACATGGCGAGAAGCATGACGATGTACGCGCCGCCAAACGTCACCGCGTGGATGGCCGACCGGATCAGCTGCTGGACGAGGCTGGCGCGGAAGGTGACGACCTGGGACACGCTGCCCTCTTCGGTATACCGCCTCGTCGACTCGCGCTGGAACTGACGCAAGAGAAAAGCGTCGTACTCTTTGCCCAGCCTCCGGAAGAATTCAATCAGGACGACGAGAAAGACGACCCCGATGCAGGTGGCGGCGAACATGCCGCCGCTGCGGATGTGCCAGTTTGAGGTGAGGAAGCAGGCATCGATGGTGTACCAGTTCCAGAGCATCTGCGGGCGCGTTAGAGTCATGATGAGATGTGACTACCGGCTGGTCTTACCGATATTTTGCAAGAGTCGGCATCGCCGCCGCCGCCATGGCTGCTGTGATCCATCTTGGTGCTGGTGGCAGACCTCAAGCTGCCTCAAATCGACTTGGACGTGGGCTGGGAGGCGTCAATCGCGGACTCGAGCCCCCTTTGTGTAGCCGCGCAAGACCGATTGATAAAGCAGGACCACGGCACAGGGCGGCAGGTTGATAATGAAGGCGAGCCGAATCAAGGTTAAACGACTCAAAACCCGAAGCTTGACGCAGAGGCGATCCGTCCCGCGATTAAATCAGCGCTAAAGAGCCACTCCCGCCGCGCAGACTCCACAAAACTTGCTCATTCCTGCTCAGCCGAGAGACCTTGATGACTCTGGAGCTGCAAACGGTGCGACGCTGGTTCGTCGGGGTGGTGAGCAAATTCAAAGATCAACGTGCGCAACGGCGCGCGCCAAACTGCCGCACAACGGCCCCTGCTCGAAACTCGTCCTCTTCGACATTTCGTCTTCTCTCTGTGTTTCTCTATTTATCGCATTGCGCCGCGTCACGGGTGATTGGCAGCGTTGTCTCAGATTGCGTCCATGTCTCTGATGCTTTCCCGCTGAGCCGCCTCAGTCACGACTGGAACCCTTCTCCTACAGTACAGTACACAAGGGGAAACGCCAACAACATCACCATGGAGGCGCTGGGACGTCGCCATATCCAGGACCACACTGCGGGCGACGAGACGCAGCCGCACTGGGGTTACCCGGATCGCATTGTGCCATGCAAGAATGACCCCGGGTCGTGCACCTACCTCGATGTCGTCTACGCGGCCCACGATGTCGGCATGCTCTACATGGGCGTCCTGTGGGCGACGCTCGGCGGCATCCTTCTGGTCTGGTTCTTTGCAAAGCGCATCAGCCGGCCGACCGTGCACCCGGCGCCGAAGCACACCCGGAGCGGAGCTGGCAAACTGCGGCGGACGGTCGCGGCATACGCTCGACGATATCTTCTCCCAGACGCGAACCACTTTGTCTTTGGCCGCACGACACGACTCCAGGTGCTGATTCTTGGACTTCTGTCGGCGTATTTGCTGCTCTGGAGCTTCGTCGGCATCGTCTACGGCACTTGGGTCACACCCGTCAAGAAGATGCCGGGCGTCTACAACACGCGGACCAGCCTCGGCCCCTGGTCCGACCGCGTCGGTGTCATCGCCTATGCCCTGACGCCTCTCTCAGTCCTCCTCAGCAGTCGCGAGTCGCTCCTCTCGGTCCTCACAGGCGTGCCGTACCAAAGCTTCAACTTTCTTCACCGCTGGCTCGGCTACATCATCCTCGCCCAAAGCGCCCTGCACACCATCGGATGGTGCATCATCCAGGTCCGGCTCTACCAGCCTCAGCCCACTGTCGCGATTGAGTGGGTGGTACAGCCGTACATCATCTGGGGCATCGTGGCCATGATCCTCATCCTCCTGCTCTTTGTATTGAGCACGCCATGGGCGATCCGCATTACGGGCTACGAGTTCTTCCGCAAAGCCCATTACGTGCTCGCCATGGTGTACATTGGCGCGTGCTGGGCGCACTGGAACAAGCTCGAGTGCTTCCTGGTGCCGGCATTCATCATTTGGGGCATCGACCGAGGCGCCCGTCTCTTCCGCACCGCCCTGCTGCACTACCATCCCGCGGCGGTGACGGGCGCAGGCTTCCGGCCCGTGCACGCAGAGGTGACGCGGTTCCCAGACGCTGAGCACGGGGATGTTGTGCGCCTCGACTTCGAGAACGAGCAGGATTGCTGGGAGATAGGGCAACACTACTACCTATGCTTTGCCGAGTGCAGCATCTGGCAATCGCACCCGTTCACACCGATGAATGCCCCGACGCTTCTAAAGGGCGTCGTGCGGCACTCGTACATTCTGAGGGCAAAGTCGGGCGAGACGAAGAAGGTGGCGGACGTGGTTGCCAGGAAGTCTCAGCTGGCTGGGGACGCGGCCACTGCCACGACGCCCGTCATCCTCGCAGGCCCGTACGGTGAGAACCTCATGGAGAAGCTGGCAGTCGATACCAACATCGTGTGCGTGGCAGGCGGGACCGGCATCTCCTATGTGTTGCCCGTGCTTCTGCAGCTCGCCCGGGAGCAGCCCGTGCCCGACCGCAAGGTAGAGCTGGTTTGGGCGATGCGACATTCCAGCAATGTTGACTGGGTGCGCGACGAGATGGACACCCTGCGCAGGGCGCAGAAGGCTCTGAACCTGACGATCCGCCTGTTCGCCACGCGGGACGTGGACTCGGGCGAGCGCGAGAAGGACGCCAAGTGCGGAGGCGCAAAGGACACGGACGTCGCAGAGGTCGGCTCCTCCTCTTCAGAGGACGCGTGTCCCTGCGACGGCAAAGTGTCTGTGGACAGAATCGGCGACGGCGCCTCCGACGATAGCAGGCACCCCGCGCTGCGGCAGCTGCTGGGCGACTTTGTCGAGGAAACGGTGGCGGGGCGGACGGTGGTCTTTGCCAGCGGGCCGGGCGGCATGATTACAGATCTGAGGACCATCGTGGCCGGTTTGAACGACCCTGCGAAAGTATGGCGGCGACAGGAGAGGTTCGACGTCAACCTGGTATGTGACGACCGGCTGGAGTGGTAGCTCTGAGTGAGTGGATGGGAGAAATAAAAGTCGCGCGGCCAGGACATAGAGCGCAACGAGGATGTAGATACCCATATAATAACACGAAGCGATACATGCACTACCCGTGAGTTGGCGTCCTGGACAAATCTCTCTGCTCCTACAAAGCTGTCCGGGCGAAGTTTGAGTGTCACATGCATTTGAAGTTCCGGTGCAAGAAGCCTGGCCCAAGTCGTTCAACGAGTATTTATGACCAAATTTGATATGTACAAGAAGGCAAGGGCCCTCGGCGCGAGATGCGAGGCAAATGACGTAGATTCCCTCATTCAACTTGCGACTATTTACCCCGGACGATTTGAATCCAGTCTCGACGGATTGGGGCAACGATTGCCGGAGTATGCGTCGTTCCTTATGATAGACGTTCCAGCCCACATGGGTGGTGGATCCCCCCCGAATCTCTCTGCCATGACTGTAATGATCCAGAGGGAGAAAGCCATGTTCGAACCTCGGAACCCTAGACCAACATGATAGACGCGAAAGGCTGTGTCAAAAGTAGGACGTGTAATGTAGTCGACGGCAACACAGCCGACTGCCGACCAAACAAGGCTGTATCGAGAAGAACAGCGTTCTCTTCATCTGACCTTGCGCGCTCCGAAGATCTCGTTCAATTGGAGACTGTGCGCTTCGGGTGTCGCGCACAAAAGGCTCTCCCATCAGGCATGCTGATTGCGATACAAGGCTCGCCGTCCTTGCCGCACTGTAAAATCACAGCCTCAGCTCACGTATCCATGCACAGCATCAAAATGTGCTTGGGTTTTGGGAGGAACTACCGGAGACTCGTCCATGCAGGACTGAGCAGTGGTGTGTTTCCACAGTGCCTGAAGTTTCTTGTCGTCGGCGTTGGCCGCAAAATCACGAACTGATATATCGATATAGTGACATGCTCCAGGATCTCCATGGCAGGACTCAGTACAAACCTGAAGAGGCATGTGGTCAGCTTCTCTGTCTTACGGGTGGCCGTCATGTTTTGTACTGACCCCAGGTGCGCCTTGCTTGTCCACGAGCTCGAAGAAATCGGCCCGCTCTGCTATGTGCCTCATTTGCTCAAGCCAGAGATCTTGGTACATGGCATTGCATGCCGCTAGGAACGACACAAGGGTGAGTCCGATGCTGTGCCTCATGGCTGTAGAGCGGATGACTAACGGGCAGGGATGAAGAGAAAGAGAGTGCCGAAGATATGAAGTGATACCGTAGTGGTACTTCTATATGAGCATTTTGCCTCTGATACAAATGATCCAATTCTGAATACAGACCATGTACAGGCATCTCTTGACGCCAAGAGCGGAACGGGATGCCCCAAGCGTCGTTCCAAGGCGGCAAACTGGCAGGACATAGTCCACCTGCACGTGCCTGTCCAATGCCAAAACTGAGGGCAGAAGCCGCACACTATCTCTGCTTACGAGATTTATTCATACTTAAACGTCAATTAAATTACAGTAGCAAGTGCAGTATGTAAAGTCGCGTCCATCCTGTCCCGTTGGGTTAGCTGCGTATCAGCTTTCAGCTTTGATCAGCGAATGGTGATAGACAGATCCGCTAATACACCGGCTGACAGCGTTTCGTCGCAGCGCGAGGCGGCCACGGCCAGAATCCCTTGACGCTGGAGCCAGTGCGAGGTAATATGTTGGCCAACGGAAACTGATGTTCCCGCCCCAATCCGAAGTTGCTTACTCGACATATGGAGCAGATGCTCTCTTTTGCGGCGGCGATGGCATGTCCCTCGGACCACGACGCAATCTCGCACGAGCCCTCCATGTTGGCTTGGGCGGCATCGGAGTTGCCGGCGTGGTCATGCTCCGAGCTTGAAGGATCAAGAAGAAGTTCTCAGTCGACCATAGTACTGCAGCAAGCCAGAGTTCATATTGTCAGTCAAAATCCCTAACAAAATAGCGCCATGTCTGGTCTACTGCGTGAAATGTCTGAATCAGGGTAATAGTGCGTTTTCTCAGCAACCGCAACGCGTCTGAGAACGTGAGCTGATGTTGCGTAGTTCATCATCGACTGAAAACACCAGTATAGCAATGCCGATGCGTACGTACCACCATTCCTTCTCATGCCCTGCTTGGTAAACCCAGCGATGAAACTTCGGAAGGTTTATGAACTCTTTAGCCTTGGTGTCCGCCTATGAATGCTGATGCCGGTACTATATACAATGCGGAGGAACTGCGTCGATATCGTATGGAGGATTCTGAGCGAGACATGTTGTGCTTCTTATATGTTCACCACACAAGTGGTGCTTTACATGGATCAACCCCGACCAACCCAACTGATGGCGATGAATACATGTGAATACGACGACCTATCCTCTCACAAACTATTTTTACTGACATGGGAAGTTACTCTCGAGGAACCAGATGACAGGGACCATCCGTCACGACTGGCCATGGGCCACGGTGTGTGCTGTCCTTTCGACTCACTGGCCGAACAAGACCGTTCCGAGATTAGCTCTCGGTAAGTTCCTGAGACCCGAGTTCCCGCGGGAGACTCGAGGCTGTCTAGACTTTCTGGTTCGCCTTGCAGGGGCTCGATCAGGCAGGCCACTATACTCTGGGATGACCACATGCAAAGCTGAAAAGCATGAACAAAGCATCTACGCGCCCTCCAGACGTGATCCACTCTGGAGCTCAGGTCCTGGTTCGCTCTGGTGGGATGGCGAATTCTTTGGTTCCGCATGTTGCATGCTGCAGCCACTCCATCTCTGTCCGAGCAAACATGAGCCACCTTAAAAAGTGCGATAGATGAGCCCTACGCCCATTGAAGAGCATGTAAACGTCGGGTGTGGAGGCCGTGAAATACGTTCAGTGCCATTGACGACATCCTACAGCATATAGCTTTGCACTCTGTCACTAAGTCTTCAAATAATCCGGATCTTGTGGATAGTCCTCATGTTGCTCGAGATCTCGCTTGCGATACGAACCAAGGCCCATGTCAGTGAGGCTGTGTTCAGCGCTCCGCAGGACCATCAGGTGTCATTGTGTCTCATTATGGCTCATTCACACAGATTCTGTCGCTGGGGTCAACACAACTGAGCCTCTCCGTGTTGTTCATATGTCATCTCGGACATATTTGACCTTTAAAAGTATCCGAGGCCTAGACGCCCCACTATGGTTGTCTTGGACTCACCCAATGCCGGGGCCCCAGCCCCCTGTGGCGCATTCACTCGGTGCGTCGCAGTGTAATCACGATGGAGCGCATAGGCAAACACCCAGACAGTTGTCATGCCTGATCTTTACTCGCCTAGATGCGAATTCAGAAGTGCGTGGAAAGGCCAACCCGGCAGACAGCCCTCGGTTGGCACTCGGGTTTGAACAGCTTTGCCGCAAATCGTGGGGGTCACCGGGGAAGCTCGCCTGTAGCGCCGGCATACCCCTCACACTTGGACGCCAACTGCAAGACGGGCCGAAATGCACTGTTGGTCTCAATTCTGAGAGGTGGAATTCGACAACAACCGGTCCGCGGTAGATCTAAGATCTCACCGTTCCTGGCTCTGCCGTGTTTCCGTGCCCGATGAGCACATCGCGCATGGGCGACCCCTCCGACTCCCTATGCCGTTTCAACGCTTTTGCCGCCCTTGACGGGCAGTACTTAGACGAGATGTCTCGCCGTAAATTTTCAGGATAGAGCAATTGGGGATAGCGACAACAACTAGTACGACGCCGTCGAATATGAAAGCATTGAACGTGCTTCTCGGCCTTGCTTGCTCTGTGGCAGCGGCGCCTCCAGCTGTTCAAGCCGAAGTCCGGAGCGCAGCCTCTCAGGGCTACTGGTACGAAAAGATCAAACACAATGGTATCAGTCCGTTCATTCCCGGCGGCAAGAACTGGACCGTCTTCCGAAATGTCAAGACCGACTTTGGCGCGATTGGCGACGGTAAAGCCGATGACACGAGCGCGATTCAGGCCGCTCTGGACTTTGTGTCCGCAGACGGCAACCAAACTAGACGCGATGGGGGTTTCGGTACCACGGGTGCCCCGGCAGTGGTCTATCTTCCCAGCGGCACGTATCGTCTCTCCAAGCCAATACACTCTTACGTCCAGACAGTCGTCGTGGGAGACCCAACGAACATGCCGATCCTACAAGCAGCACCCGACTTCCCCGTGTCAGAAAAGTTCCTTTTCTACGGCTTCGACTCAAACTACGACTCGACCATCAACTTTTACATCGGCTTGAGAAACGTGGTCCTCGATTCGACGCTCGTGCCGCCTTCACAGAACATCACGCTGCTGGATTGGGCAGTGAGCCAGAATGTGCAGCTGAGCAACGTCGTTTTCAGCATGGCAAAGGGAGGAACGGCGCACACCGGGTTGTCGATGCCTGAGGGCGGTTCGCCCCTGATGATGAACGACCTGGTGTTCGAGGGCGGCTCGGTCGGAATACGAATGAACGAGCAGCAGTATCACTTCAAGGGACTTACATTTAAAAGTTCGTTCGCACACATGCGCGTCGAATGCAGTAGCTGACCTGCACACAGACATGGACATTGGTCTCAAATTGGACAAGCTGTTCGAGGGCACCGGCCAAGGACTGCGATTCGAATCATGCAAGGTCGGAATCGAAACAACGAACAATAACACGGGGTTCTTTGCCCTCATTGACTCGAGCGCGTCTGATGTCGGTATTCTCTGGAACTCGGCTGGATCGTCCACCGCGCAGGGTTCCATGGTGCTGGAAAACGTGCGGGTGGACGGCTCCGTCAAATCGGTGCGCCCCCCTCTTCCTCCGTCCATTCCGCAAATTCGTACTGATCGCGAATAGACCGTTACCGCTGCGGGCAAAATTATTCTCACGGGCTCTGTCAAGCCCGGACAATCTTGGATCTGGGGCAACGTGTACGGCCCTGTCGATGGAAAGCGCGCAGAAGGCAAGTTTTACGCGTCATCTCGCGCGGCGTCGCTCGTTGATGCGTCTGGAGCGTACCATACCATCAAGGGACCTACCTTTGAGGAGTACGGCGTGTCCAAGGTGGTCAATGTGAAGAGTGTCTGTGGATGGAAGGTTGCTGGTGACGGCGTCACCGACGAGTAAGTACACGAGCACAGCATCCTAACTGGCGCTAACATGCGACAGCACGAAGAGCTTGCAGCACATCATTAATGCTGCTGCTGGCAAGAAGGTTCTGTTCTTTCCCCACGGCACGTACCTTGTCAGCGATACTCTTCTGATTCCACCCGGAACAAGGTCAGTTGCGCGCCTAGACCTGGATCTTTCTGGCTTAACCGGGCCGCTTGCTGACGTCTACGACACATCAGGATCCACGGTGAAGCATGGTCGGAAATCAGTGCCACTGGTGACAAATTTAAAGACGCCAATCATCTCAAGCCGCTCGTGCAGGTCGGCCTCCCCAGGAGCACTGGCGTTGCCCAATTCGTCGACATGCTGTTCACGGTTGCCGACATCCTCCCAGGCTGTAAGTTGGTGGAGGTCAACATGGCAGGCGGGCGCCCAGGCGACGTGGGCTTCTGGAATACGCACTTTCGCATTGGCGGCGCCCGAGGGTCCAAGGTCCAGACTCAATGCAGCGACCCGGCAACATGCCGCGCAGCGCGAATGTGTGCGCATCTCACAGCCACGTCGTCCTCGTACTGGGAGAACAGCTGGTGTTGGAGCGCCGACCACGACCTGGACGACGACAACGCAGCGAACCCATCTACTGCTGGCGGCTTCCTGGTTGAGTCTGTCAAGGGCACGTGGCTGCTCGGCATCGGGACAGAGCACAACGTTTTGTACCAAATGAATATTCATAAAGCGCAGAATGTCTTTCTGGGTTTCCAGCAGAGCGAAACGCCGTACTGGCAAGGCAACAACTCTGGGCTCCTGGCGCCGCGACCTTGGCAAGACTCACTGCTTGAAAGCGATCCAGACTTTAGCTGGTGCGCTGAGGACGATGCGCAGTGCCGGATGGGCGTGTACCAGTACGTCACCAAGTCCAGGGACGTGAGCATTTACGGTGGTGGGTACTGGACGTTCTTCAACGGCATCAATCGTGACGGCTGCAAGGGAGAGTGCCAGGAAAATGGTGTCATATACGCGGACAACGAAAAGCTGTACAGCTTTGGCGTGAGCACGCATAATGTGAGAACCATGGTCCTTGAGGGAGAAAATGGCAAGTACATGAGCGTGGTGAAGGACAAGGCCAACTCGGGCGGATGGCAGTCGGGTGGCGGCGTCATGGCGGCCTACCTCAGGCAGGCCAAGTTACATGCCTAGGGAGAGGCACCAGGTCACATAGGGCGACTCACAAACTGAAAAATTCTTCAAACAAGAAGGAGGAATGCATGTGGCTTTGTGACGCGCCATTTCATTGAATCATGAGCCATCAGTGAGGAGCTGTCGATATAACGCCCAAACATGGCCAACTTCATTGAGAAACCAGAACAATTGGTTCTCCATTGACCACATCGGCGCACAGCTGTCCGCTTCCGTCCGACGTATACGTCTTGCCATCCAGCGCTCCCTTCCACGACCCGTTCTGTTTCTGAGAATTGAAGCAGTACTGCTGCGACTTCCCGCCGTTGCTCGTCAGCGCAATGACCTTGCCGCCGGCGCGACTCCACGCATACGCGGTGTCTGCGACGTAGAGGTGGACGTGATCGTTGTCAGGTAGTCCGCCGGCGCTCTTGCGCACTCCCGCTACCGCGGCTATAAATTTGTACATGGCTCCATCGGTAGCGAATCCGCTGCGCCAGAGGTCCTCTCGGTTTGCCGGATCCGCGCCGCCGGCGTAGCCTTGCTCAGTACCGTAGTAGAGAATCGGTACTCCGCGAGCGAGGAGGACGTATGTCAGCGCGTTGCGTAGCAGGACCTGGTCATTCTTCTGGTTCAGCCACCGTGGGTTGTCGTGGTTGTCCAGGAACGTGCCCAGCGCAGCAGGGTCCGGGAACTTTTGGCTCACGGTGTCGTGCATATCGACGAGGGCCTGCGATGAGCCCTTTTGCTGGTAAAAGTTATTGAGCGGATAATAGATGGCGTAATTGAGCAGACCCGACATGAGGCCCGCGTAGCCGGCAAGGTAGTCAGGGTTCCCGTCAAAGACCTCGCCAATTGTGTAGACGCCAGCTGCCGAGGCAAAGTCGGGCCAAAAGTCCTTCTCAACGTGCTTGACAGTGTCTATGCGCACTCCGTCGAAGCCAAACTCGGAGATGAGCCAACTGACCCAGGACTGGTAGAGCTTCCTGATGGTAGGGTCCTGCGTATCGACATCTGGGAGGCCCCCAATGCGGCAGTTCTCAATGCTGCTCTGATTAGAGTAGTCGATGTCGCAGGCTGGATGGTAGGACGATGCCTGATCTAGCGGAGTGGGCTTGTTGTCGGCAAGGTTGGCATTGCCCATGTGGTTGGCGACGACGTCGACCATGATGTAAATGCCCTGCTTTGGTCAGCCGATGCGCTTTAATGGAGTGGTACCGGACGCACCTTGTCGTGAGCCGCATTTACAAGGCTCTTCAGGTCATCTGCGGACCCGTACTTGGAGTTGACCGTGTACAAGTCCTGGGCCCAGTATCCATGGTAGCCTCCATCGCTATCTGAGGCGCGTCAGTACTGGCCTCCAGCCAACTTTGTCCAGGTTGGGAGACTCACTTGCAACAATCGGTGTGATCCAGATGGCGTCGAAGCCGAGACCCTTGATGTAGTCGAGCTTGGACTGCAGACCTTGAAATGTGCCGCCACAGTAGTTGCCCAGGTCGCCGCACGAGCCACCTCCGCCATCGCTGCTGCTTCGAGCGATACGATCGGTAAGCGCGAAGTAGATGTTGCGCGCCTTCCAAGCGGCGGTATCCGCAGCCAGGGCTGCGGCACACAGCTGTACGAGCGCAATGAGCCCAGAGAGCTTCATCGTGATTATCGGATCTTGGCTGGGAACTTTCTCTGTGGTGTCTTTCTCTGAGTGATTGAGCTGCGCCGGCCGAGACTTTTATACTCGAAGTCCGTTGGAGCAGCGAATGCCGGCCACCTTTGAGGCGCACTTTCGAACGAGCCTGAACAGGGGAGACTCGAGCGAACTTGGCGATGCGGGTTGGGTAAACGGCATTCAATTACGTCGCTGCCGGCAGAATAGCGAATTCGTGGCGAGATTGAACGGCCAGGCATGGGTTGTGATGCTGTGACTCTTGGCTCTGGCCATCACAGCAGGCGAAGGACAGCGACGCGCCGTCATGGGCGCCAAAGGGCCGAATACCTATACTCGCAGTCGAAGTGGATGAAGTCAGCCTGCAGGACATCGGCGCCCACGCGAGATGGGGAGATCGTGTCGATCGGCGGGGCCTGCAGTGCCGTGAGCTTCCCCGTGGGGTAAGACGCCCGAGTCGCGCGTCGCAAGTGCCTGGGTCGGGTGATGCATGGGGTTTAATTGCAGGGCTGGTGCCGACGAGCTCCAAACGCTCGCTTGAGCTGATCGGCCCGAGACTCGGGTGTGGGCGATGCGTGGCGTCCAATGATCACCTTGATCTTGCCAGATTTCGAGTCGTCGGTCCGACATAACTTCAATTCAGGGCCATGGATCAAGGTGATAGCTTGCACAGCCGCTGAAGAGATCCCTGGTGGGACTGATGGAGCAAGCTGCACTATGAACGACCTCAAGTCCTGTCGCCATCTCCTACGGACGCAGACAGATGCCTCCGGCGACAGCCCTCGGCAGAACTCATACATCGTCGAACGTGGCCAACGGATTGGCTATTTGGAAGTTATTGTGATCCATTGAACGTCGGACAACGGAGTTGACTGTAAGTCCGACCGACTTGGCTCCGCGGCTACTGCGGGCGCGTCCGTATCCCTGGGCCAGACATGCTCTCCAGTGCTCTCGCCAAACTGAGGGCTTTGTATTGCGTCATTCCATGGGGCAGCAATCAAGAAGTACCATGCGTGTGGCGAAACTGCGCTGCAGAAGTATGAACTTGAAGCCTGAAGGTGACCTTGCCAGACACTTGATGTTGAAGGCAAGCAGGTGGACAGGCGACGCCGAGGGCACCGACGAGGGATACGGATTGGAGTGCTATGCTGGCCTCCGAACAGCCATACCAAAAATTGGACGTTTCCACGCGCCAGTTGATCGGGCTTATGCTATACGATTCCGAATGGTTGAAGTGTAGCGAGGGACTTGATGACATGGGCCGAGACGGCGCCACAGAGCAGACGGCGAATTGATTGTGCGTGAAGGCAAGCAAGCCGAAGGCACACTGGCGATGCTAGCATTCGTATTCGGTCTCATTGAAACTACCAGAACGACAAGGTGTGACTTCCTCGGTAACCAGGCGTGCTGTAACTCGAGCTCCTTCCAGTCGGGCTACTTGAAGTTTTTATTATGGCGAGACTGTGAGCGGTCATCTTGGCTGCCGCTAGTGCTCCTTTCCGTTCTCCGGGATCGGGATATCACCAGCATGGCGGCATATGTCGGCTTTGACAGAAGACCTGTGCTCCAATGCAACGCTAAACTGTTGTCGCCTACACGCAGGACTTGGCTGTTCCGTCTTGAAGTGCTAATATATGCCAGGCGGTATTATTCACTTTATTCCAAAATTAATAGACACGGAGCAGCTCTACTTCCCTACGCCACTGCTCAGGCGAGTCACTCCAGCGTTATCGTTATCGACAGCGCCTGGCTCTTTGCCCCTGTTCCACGCTCTTAGCGTCGCCGGGCGCGCCGCCGGCCAAACCGGCCGCCGGCCGTTCTGCGCCCCAGCTATCACTAACCCGTTATCACGAACGCGGGGTCTGCGGGCTTTTGCAGAGCTGTAAGATCAATTGATCCGCGACGGTCCGTGTCCATGGGCTCGCTTGACTGCCTTCTACGCGGATTGCAACATGAAGGGTCCGGAAAACTGGGGTTAATGGCTTCGTCCTATTTCCATTTTATTTCCTTGAGAGTTCCTTGGAAATCGGTTCTTTCCCCGTTACCTGCCCACTTGTTATCCACCCTTGAGCAGTGCCAACGAACTCACTACATGTACTCAGGTCGTTGACTGGGTGGAGCACACGATAGGGCCTGGCATCAGCCTGGTAAGCCAGGTAGCGACTCAACGTCGTATCATGAGGATTGTAAACATGGAACGGGTGGTGTGCACAAAGTTCATTATATCAAGTAAAGCTATAGAGATAATCTACAGTATCGATCTAAAATGGAAACATTGAAGACAGACTGGTCGTGCTGTTCATAGCGATCATGCCTCACGATGATCGAATAATTGTCTCAAGAATTTTGGATGCAGCGACAGTTTCCTCGTCACAAAAGCGGTTACCAACCTATTGTCGCGTAACTGTGTTAGATGGAGCGATCAGGGAGCGGAGCTACATGTAGTAGACATACCAGCTGTAGGCCGATCGGAGCATCGACAAACTTCTCCGGAGCATATGCCCTGTACTCGAACTCGTCCTGAGCACTCCGTGGCTTGTAGTCGGTCTCTATGCCGTCCAGATCCGGATCAACCTTAAGCCCGGTAGGGAAAACAACGCCAGGCATATCCAGAATGTTCCATATAGCCGTGTAGGCAGAGTAGCGGGCCTCGTTGGGCTCAGCAGCAACGCCGAGGTAGGCTGGACAGAGGATGAAGTCAACGCCCTGCTCCTTCATGAGCATCCGATACTCCGTTCTGTAGGCCTCACGCTCCAGATTAACCGTCCACGTCTCGGCGGCGGTCATCTTGCGAGCACGAGTGAATGCTTCCTTGGTGAGTGGAAGCCATGGTTCGCCTGAAGCTTCCAGAGCAGCCAGCTGAGCAGCTGCGCCGTCGGGATAAAACAGGTCGTTAATGATGCGCATGCCGTGGGCATGTTTGTATGGCTGCCAGTCTTTCATGGCGATTCCGGCCGACGTCATCTTTGCCACAGCTTCTCTCATCGCTCGCTGAACCGGTGGATGTGGGTGAACCACCATGTCATCCCACAGGACGCCAACAGTGAACTCAGGCGACGGCGTCAGCTGCTTCCACGGAATTGGCACGAGGGATGTCTCTTCATCCCACGGCTTCCCATCTGTGACTGCTCTCATGAAAAGGTCCAAATCACGCAGTGAGTTTGTGAGTGGACCTAGGGTGCAACGAATGCCCTCCTGGCCTTCTCCTGCCAACCCGACACCGTTCCATGGAGTTCGAAGGGTAGTAGGCCGAATACCATAGCTGCCGCAGAAAGCGGCAGGAAGGCGGATCGAGCCGCCAATGTCACTCCCGATGCCGATTGCTGCACAGCGGAAGCCGATGGATGCAGATTCTCCACCGGATGAGCCGCCGGGGGAGAGACGGATGTTGTGAGGGTTGTGCGTCCGCCCCGTAATATTATTGTTGCAGTCCAGGTGCTGGCAGAGCATTAGATGGATACGTGAAGCGATGTTCCATGGGAAAAGGAACACCTACCATGCATGTTTGTGGCAGGTTTGTGCGGACATGAAACACCGCACCTGCCTTGCGCAAAGTCCTCACAATCAAGGCATCTTCAGACGCAACATTAGAAGACCAAGAGACGTAGCCAGTATTTGTGACGCGATCCTTGAAGGACACCATTTCTTTTACAGAAATTGGAACGCCGTGCAATGGCCCAACGACCTTTCTGGTACGGCGAAAGTGGGCGTCAAGATCACGGGCCTGAGAGAGAGCATCTTCGACCATGAACTCTGTCGCAAAATTGAGCTACAATAATGCGAATCTCAATATCCCCCAATGCAAAGACGCGCGATGAACGTACCAACTGATGCCCGATTGTGGCACGCTTCAGAAAAGCGATGACCACTTCTTCGGCCGTCCATGTTCTACCGGCCATGCTCTCCACAAGGCCCGTTGCATCGGTCTCCGTAATCTGAAGCTCAGTCTCAGTCAATATTCCCGACTCTCTCGGGATCTCGAGAAAGTTTGTTCGCTCGGCGGACGGGAGCTTATCCGCGGGAAGCAGCCATTGTCTGGGAATCGATTGGGCAAGGATGTCTCGGCAGACCTGGGCCTGGTCTTCCCAGCTTTGAGCAGCCATATTGGAGCAAAACGTCTGTCTAGACTAAATCTCCCTTCGAAGATGCTCTACGAAGTACTCCGTACAACAGGAGCAAAAATGACAACACAGCCGTTTAATACGTCAATGGCTGCGTGGAGGAGAGCTGGGGCTAGTGGATGACAGTTACCGCATTCGTCGTCTTGTCCCTGGTCCGACGCGGCCAATCGGCGCAGGTCCGTCTTATCTCTCGTGCTGATTTACCCCAGACTCACAAGCAATTGAACTCGAAGCTGCCCTGGACTGCTTGCACGAACAAACCGCTTGAGAAAGATCCCAAGATATCGCCGACGAGTCCTATCTCCCGCCATTTGCCTATTTCCTTATCGCCTCTTCTCTCAGTATTGATGATTGTCTGACACATTTATACAAGAAGCTCCAGTCTGCTGCCACCATGTTGCCGTCCGTGACAAACGAGTCAGCCTCACGCGGTTTGGTTACTGGTCCGTGTATTGCGCGACAGCACGATGGCGTTCACCACCGCAACGTCTTCGGTCACTTCATACCTGCACCGTCGTGCCGGGTCCATCAAGGACAATGTCAGACAGAAGGGGACAATTTCTGGCTGGGTCTTACCCAAGCAGACGACGACCTTTGCTGATGAAGGCCAATGGTCCAACATTGACACCGATGTGACTCCGATCGAGCGGCGAACCTGGTCAACATGGACTCTGCTAGGCTTTTGGTTCAGTGATGCCCTTAATGCCCAAGGCTGGCAGGTGGCAGCTTCCATCATGGCTGTGGGACTTACATGGTACGTGTGCATGCCTCTCACAGCCCGCATACAGCTCTGCGGATCTTGTCTCCCTTGCTTTCTAACATACATGCCTTCACAGGAGAGAGGCTCTCTATTGTCTTCTAATTGGCTATTCCATGGTCATCATCCCGCTCATCCTGAACGGCGCCATCGGTGCCCATCTACACGTCAACTTTGCCGTTGCTTCACGTGCGTCTTTCGGCTTCTACCTCTCACGAGCCGCTGTCGTTATTCGCATGATTACTGCTCTATTCTGGCACGGTACGTCTATCTCACAACGCTTCTCCCATCCTCAACCCCCGCCAATGCTGACAGGTCTGTCAAGCCATCCAAACATACACCGGTTCGACGGCGATGACGCAGGTCATTCGTGCGATATGGCCTTCGTACCTCGATATCCCAAACACAATCCCGGCATCAGTCGGCATCACTACACATCAGATGTGCTCTCACGTTCTGTTCTGGAGCCTCCAGTTCCCTTTCCTTCTGATTCCGCCCCACAAGCTCAGCTGGTTCTTCGTGATGAAGACGGTCGTCGTTATGGTCACTTCAGTCGCCGTAGTCATTGCACTCTGTGTCAAGGCTGGTGGCGCAGGCGAGATTTGGCAGCAGCAGGCAGTCGTGTCCGGGTCAACGAAAAGCTGGCTGATCTTGTCGTCTATGTCGAGCATCACGGGCTCATGGTATGTCTGATCCCTATGACAGGCGCATCGCCGCATTAGCAAAACCTCACAGTCTAACACGCTTCGAAAACAGGCTCACAATGGGAACAAACATTCCTGACTTTACCCGCTACCTGAAAAAGTCGAACGGAGTGTATTGGCAGGCTCTCTTCATGCCGGGCCTCGCGTCGCTCATTGGCATCTTCGGCATTATCGCCGCCAGTGCTGGCAAAGTACTGTACGGCAGGTATATATGGGATCCAGTTGAGCTGGCTGCACAGTGGGATGGGCCAGCTGGACGCTGCGGCGCCTTTTTCATGGGCCTATGCTGGATCGTGGGCCAGATCGGAACCAACATCTCAGCCAACGTCATCTCTTGTTCAAATGACATGGTAAGCATCTGGGCTGCCAGGCGCGCATGACAGTCTGCTGACCATTCTGATGCTACAGACGACGTTGTTTCCGAAATACATCAACCTCCGTCGCGGCGCCATCATCACGACTCTCATAGGAGGCTGGGTCATGGTGCCTTGGAAGATTATATCCTCGGCTGCCTCCCTGCTGACGTTCATGGCCTCGCTAGCCATTTTCCTGGCACCCATCTCGGCGATTATCGGTGCCGACTATTGGATCGTGAAGCAACGACATATTGACGTTCCGTCATTATATCGGCGCCGGGGCGTCTACCGATACAGAGGGGGCGTCAACTGGCGTGCAGCTGTGGCTTCCCTCATCTCTGTCGGCCCGAACCTGCCAGGAATGGTACACGCCGTGACGCCCAGCATTCCCGTTGGTGACGTCGTCCACATCTACGACATAAGCTTCATGTGGGGGTTCACCAGCGCCTTCGTCGTCTACTGCGTACTCAACTACTTCTGGCCAGCGACTGACACCCTCTTTGAGGCGACCATACACGAAGAGACGAAAATCGTGGACGGAATTGAGTACTATAATGACGGATTGGCCACGCCGATAGAGGTGGACTGCGTGATTAAATCCGACGAGAAAGGCATCTCGTCTGCAGCGACCTCTGTTTAGAATCGCGACGGAAGTGACCGCGCTAGGCTAGTTGCGACTTGCTATCATTTTACGTCTTAGTTTGAGGGCCATGAGGCCTCAATGAGCAATGATCAAATAGAATCCTATACTCCGATGTTCCATTTCATACCATGTTTTGTTCAATTCCGCCTCCGTTATACCTTGCCGCTTAGCCAAAGACACCTGCAACAACGGCCGACACAGGCGGGAAGCCGTAACAGAGCAGGCCGACATCGGTAAATTCAGTGAGAGTCTAGCGCTGTGAGTTCAGCCGCCACAGCCCTTTCAGCCGGCGCCGTGAACCTACTTCTGTCATCAATCAGAGGACCCCTGACCTCGGGAATAAACCCTTTATCGCTCGCCCAGGCCGAGATACAAGATAAATTATTGCCCCGTCTTATCGTAGCCTGACATCATCTCGCCGGCGGCCCAACGGCCGTTTGTCGAGCGGAGATTGTCATCCGCGGCATTGTCATCTGCTTCGCAGCCAGATCATGGGCTATATGCTCTATTAGTCTCGTCTCGGTGCTCATTTGGTATGAGCATGCTACTCGACTCGGAATTTCCAGAGTGCATTCGAAAGTACTACGCGTTCCTGGCGAGATGGCGACAACCAAGATCTCTCTGCCCAATGCGCGGCCCTACTCCTTTCAGTTTCCAATTGCAACGACCGCATTCATCATCATTGACATGCAGCGGGACTTTTTGGACCCCAATGGCTTCGGATACATACAATGTGGAGACCCCGAGATCTTCTCGTCTGTTCGCAAGATCGTCCCGACAGTTCGGAGAGCGCTAGATGCCGCCCGCGCCATTGGGATGCATGTTATCCATACCCGGGAGGGCCATCGCCCGGATCTTTCGGACTTGCCTGCGGCCAAAAAGCTGAGGCAGGTCAGCGCGCCAACGGGCCACCATACGATGGGCATCGGGGACCAAGGCCCAATGGGCAGGCTGCTCGTGAGGGGTGAATGGGGTCACGACATCATCGGCGAGTTGACGCCCCATCCTGGCGAAACCATCATCGACAAACCCGGAAAGGGCAGCTTTTGGGGCACAGGGCTACACCGAGCACTGCTTGCCCGGGGAATAACACATTTATTATTTTCTGGCGTAACAACTGAGTGAGTCAATTGAGGAACGAAAGCGAGCTGCGGTGTGCCAGGTAGCTAATCGACATGCAAAGGTGTTGCGTGACGACAACACTGCGGGAGTGCAACGACCGCGGCTACGAGTGCTGCATTCTGTCAGATTGCACAGGAGGGTTTGACCAGCAGATGGTGACCACATCTCTGGACATAATTTGCGGCCAAGATGGACTCTTCGGATACATCGGCCATAGCTCAGACTTTCTGTCTCAAGTGGAACAGATACCCGATTTGAACACGCCATCTGGCATTCTCGCTCCAGACGCAGAGCTTCCGTCAATCTCCGAGCTGCAGCGGCTTTACAAGCATGGCCTTGTGGACCTGACGACGGTTGTCAATTCGGTCTTTGACAAGATCGAAAAGTACGAAACAGTTGACCCCGCAGTTTGGATCTCCAAGCGGCCTCGGGAGGACGTCCTACGTGCAGCTGAAGCTCTCTCGGCCCAGTACGCCGGTAAACCGCTGCCACCTCTATTCGGCGTACCCTTTGCAGTCAAGGACAGCATCGACGTGGAAGGAGTGGTCACCACCGTGGCATGCGAGAGCTTTGCCTACGAGGCCAGTTCCACAGCTCCCTCCGTCCAACACCTGCTCGATGCTGGGGCTTTGTACATTGGCAAAACAAACCTGGACCAGCTTGCGACGGGCTTGTCTGGGTGCCGCTCGCCATACGGAATTCCTCACAGCGTGTATAGCAAAGACCACATCTCAGGCGGATCCTCGTCCGGGTCTGGCGTCGCAGTCGCGGCCGGGCTCGTATCATTCGCTGTCGGGACAGACACTGCTGGCAGCACTCGTGTCCCTGCCGCCTTCAATGGCATCGTTGGCTTCAAGCCCACGAAAGGAACCATCTCTGCCCGGGGCCTGGTGCCTGCATGCAAAAGTCTTGATGCAACCACCGTCTTGGCACCCTCCATAGCCGATGCGCGTCAGGTTTGGTACATCATTGACCGACATGATCCGTTGGATCCGTACGCCAAACCGCCAAAGAGCTTGTCGACTTGGAAGGTGGACTTTCGAGGACCAAAGGAGGGCGGGTTCACATTTGGCATTCCTCCGCCTTCGCTGCTGGAGAACTGTTCCGAGGCATATCGAGATCTCTTCAAGGCTGCCATCCAGAAGCTGCAGTCTTGCGGTGGTCGAATGGTCGACATAGACTACACGCCATTCGCCAAAGCCGGCGACCTTCTGTACGACGCGACGCTGGTACACGAACGACTCGCTTCAATTGGGCACGACTTTTTCGTCAAGAACATCAATACGCTTCATCCTACGACCAAATCCATCTACGAATCCGCGCTCTCGACGCGACTCAAGCCTTGGCAGGTCTTCGCGGACCAGGCTGCACAGACGCAATACACCATGCAGGCAAGAAACATCTTTGACACGCTGGAGGGCGGCATCGATGTTCTAGTCGTTCCCAGTGTGCCGTGCCATCCTACGATCAAGGAGATGTCGGAAGATCCGATTGCGCTTAACTCGAAGCTGGGGCTGTTCACGCACGCGGCAAATGTTGTTGATTTGTGCGGTGTCAGTGTCAATGCCGGACTGGTGGACAATGGGCAAGGAGTGAAGCTGCCGTTCGGTGTTACGATCCTTGGTGGAAGTGGGTATGACGGCAAGGTCTTGGACATTGCTGGAGTGTTCGAGACGTCACTAAAGGAGAGGGATAGCATCTCAACTTGATGAGGGGAAGCGCAACTTCCTGGACTTCCTTGAGCCTCTCGCTATTTCTGGGGTACGTAGCGCTGGACGGGGTTGCTGTCATAGACCAGGTGTACATGCTGGAACTCACTTCGCGATAATACAGAGGAGACGCGGAGAGTCACCAACCGCAACGCCCATTGAGCGGGGAGCACGAAGCCCTGCATTTACCTTGCGTGCAGTTGAGGGCCTAGCACAACAATGCGCAATGGCCACGAGCATTGGACGGTTGGATCGGCACGTCTCCCGTACATTGCCCTGGCTTTCGGTGCTGGATGTTTGGGGGCATCCGCAGCCGACGCCAGCATCAGCATCCTTCGCAAATCCACCGCCGGCGAACCCCGGGATCGCCGCCCGTGCGACCTCGCCTCGCATCACCATGTCCGCCTCGCGGCCATGCATTGTGGTGCACTCGCAATTGTTCCACAAGTGTCATTTGCGAGCTGAACGTCCCGTCCCCAGCAAATCGCCGTCGCCGACGATTCCCGGCATGAAATAGGCCAGATCCCGCCGTGGAAGGTAACAAGGTAGGATTCGTGCCCTGCGAGCCTGTGACAGCGCCCCGGGGTTACCCCACGTGTGCCGCCTCCAGGGACGATATTGGACCTGCCGGAGATCGTCTCGATCTGCATCCACTTCGGGCACGACGGTCAGGCGAACCTGCAGGCCGCTTGCTGCCCACTGTAACATAAAGCTTCTTAAGGCTTCTTACTTTGACACCGAGCCGGAAAGACGGCACCGGATTGCTAAGGTGGCCCGCGAGCGCCAGGGATAGCGAGCTTATAAGAGGACACGTCTGCGGCTGACTTGAGGAGCCGGCTCAGCGCGCATCGATAGTAGAAAGACGCACCATGAAGCCCTGGGCGATTATTCTTGTCGCCAGCGCCGCATTGGCGGCGGCCAAACCGACCGTGTATCTCATCCGCCACGGCGAGAAGCCCGCAGATGGCGGGGACGGCTTGAGTGAAAAGGGCAAGCAGCGAGCGCAGTGCCTGCGCCAGGTTTTTGGTGCCGGCTCGCCGTACAACATTGGCTACATCATGGTGCAGACGCCCAAGGCCGGTACGTTTACCGCCGTGTCGCATTTCCGCTTGAACGGCAGCACTGACTCGGCATGTTTCTTGCGCGAAATGCAGACGGCGGCCGCGCGCGGCCTCGCGACACGGTAGCCCCCTTGGCGGCAGACCTGGGCATCAAGATCGACCTATCGTGCGACCGCGACGACACCGAGTGCGTGCAGGACGTGGTTGACGGGTACAAGGGCAATGGCAACATTCTCATCTGGTACGTTCATCCTCTACCCTGCCCAGCGGCCTCGGTTGGGTAAATTCGAGTTTTGTTTCAGCCGTGCTGACAGCAGAACCGCAATCTGCTAGCTGGGAGCACAAGATGCTCAACAACATCGCCGAGGCGCTGGGCGCCAAAAAGGTGGACAACTACCCGGACGGCAACTTCAACCTCATCTGGACGCAGCCGGCGCCGTACACCAAGATTGTCAAGGTGTCGTCGGAAGCCTGCCCGGGGCTGGACAATTAGGCTGATGGAGGGACGACGCATCGATTGTACATATACATGCAGCCAGCTTCATATGCCAAGACCTTGTTCTAGATGGTGAGGGCAACCTCCAATGCTGCTTGTATGCCCGTCCGGCGGCCTGGGATGTGTGGGGGAAAGAAGATTCTGGCGGGTTTCCCCTGGAGGCTGAAGGCGGGTGCAACCTAACTTGATCAACGATCCACCTCCACTGGGCCCCGACAAAAGGGCGCAATGACACTGGAAGGGCTCGGCCCCGCCTCAACCTTTACTGCTAAAATGGTGGCGTTTCCGCGTTTCCAGAACGCCGGGTGAAGCAACTGAGGCGCCGCTGACCCTCCCGAGCCCCGACTTCAACGCCACGCCGCCCTGATCGCATTGCAACCTCGCTCTGCATCATTGCTACATGCGCCCGGCGGCTCATAATACGGCCGCATTTCCACTGAAGAGCCATTGCATAATTCCGCTCGTTATTCACTGTGCATCATGAGCAACGGCGCAGGCAAGATCCCCTGGATCGAGACACCGCTCATAAAGTCGGCCTCGCTATCCGAACTGGTTGGCTGGTGAGTTTAGCAAAACAACTTCGCTTTCGCTCTCGTTGCTAACGCAGGCACCACCTCCCCAGCAATGTCCTCCTCAAGCTCGAGAACCTCCAGCCATCCGGGTCGTTCAAGTCACGGGGCATCGGCAACTTCATCGTCCAGCGGCTGGCCGCCGCGCGCGCCGCGGCAGGCGATCCGGCGCTCGTCGCGCACTTTTACAGCTCCTCGGCCGGCAACGCGGGGCTCGCGTGCGTTCACGCGGCCGTCACGCTGGGCTGTCGCGCCACCGTCGTCGTGCCCATGTCCACGACGCCCTTCATGATTGCCAAGCTGCGCCAGGCTGGCGCCGAGGACGTCATTCAGCGCGGCGCCTCGTGGCAGGAGGCCAACGCGTATCTCACCGAGACGGTTATGGAGGAGGCCCGGCGCAAGGGCGAGGCTGCCGTGTACGTTCCGCCGTTTGACGCGCCTGAGATCTGGGACGGCCATGCACACATTTCGCGAGAGCTGGCGCGCCAGATCCGCGGTGTGACGAGGCACTACCCCATCACCACAGCAAGCCCTCCTTCACACAATGGCAACGGCGTGAATGGGAACGGGCTTAACGGAGAAGGACACTCGACGGCGAATGGCGAGGCAGTGATTGACAAGATCGATGCCGTCGTGTGCAGCGTCGGCGGAGGAGGTCTATTCTGTGGCATCATGCAGGGCCTCGACGAGACGGGCATGAGCGCAACTCGCGTCGTCGCCGTCGAGACAATAGGCGCAGACGCCCTGACACACTCCCTCGCAGCGGGCGAGCTCGTCACACTACCAGCCATCACAAGCCTGGCGACAAGCCTGGGCGCGCGGCGAGTCTGCGAAAAGGCGTTCGACTACGCGCGGCGCGAGACGGTATCGACGGCGGTCCTTTCTGACGCGGAGGCAATCCGCGCGTGCCGCCGCTTCGCTGACGAGGAGCACATACTCGTGGAGCTGGCGTGCGGCGTGTGTCCGGCAGTGTGCTACAACGGAATGCTGCAGAAGCTCGTGCCGGGACTGACGAAGGAGAGCGTCGTGGTGATTGTCGTGTGTGGAGGCAGCAATATTTCCTTTGACATTATGGAAAAGTATGCGGCCAGCCACCTGGATGGAAGCTGATAGAGCTGCGTCAACACATGAATTGCAAGGCTAGAAGACATAGAGGTAGACGATCCGCATCAAGGAAGCATAGACCGTTTGTCCAAAGACAAGACTTCGCACAAGCTTGCACAGGCGTGAGGTCAAGACCTCACGAAGCCATATTGCAAAGGAAGTAAACTGGTCCGGTAAAACGCTGAAGCCGGAACTCAGCTCTTCTGGTACGAAACACTGCCATCCTTGCCGACCGCAAATCTCACATCCCAATCCCCCTTGCCGACCTCGCCCTTGATGAGCTCGGCGTACACCTGCCCATGTGCCTCCGCCTCGACGCCCTCGTATCGAACAGGATTACCCTCCTCCGTCACCTGCGACGCAAAGTAGAACCTGAAGCACAACCAGTCAGTCCCATATACCAGACTCCACTCATACCAACACGGCTGCTCGTCGAATATGCACTCACCGGTCGCCCGCATCCTTGTACTCTTGAGCCGCAAGCTGGACGAGGTGCACGAGCGCCGCCTTGCCCGCACCCAGCGTCGTCGCAAACGGGTTGGGGTAGAACGGCGTGACGTTGCCCGTCGCGATGAAGACGCCCCCCGCACCACTGACGCCGGCTTCGCGCTGCTTCTTCCACGCGCGCGTGGCGTGGAACAGCGCCGCGTACGCGCTCGTCACGTTGACGGCCGTGTCGCGCGCGAAGGCGTCGGGTTGCACGCTGAATGGGTCGCCCTGCTCGGGCGGAAATGTGAGGGCCGCCGCTGTGGTAGAATCTCCGTCAGCCAAGTGCGGTCTTTAAAGCCATTGTGTCAATGATGGTGCGGGACGGACCGTTGTATACTACAACACGTGGGACGCCTAGCTTGGCCTCAACCTCGGAGAACGCAGTCTCAACGGACGGCGGGCTGGACACGTCGACGGCCACAGGCGTCACGCCCGCCAGACCAGCTGATGCGGCGATGTTGCGCCGGCCGAGGGCGACGCGGTAGCCTTGCTTGACGAGCGCACCGGCGACGGCGTGCCCAATACGCGGACCACCGCCGATGATGAAGGCAACAGGCTGCGTCATCTTATTCTGATGCGATTAAAGTTGTTGTGAAAGTGGTGTGGTCGGGCGTCGCAGCAGCGCAGTATCGATTGGTACGCAATTGTGCCTCTGGACTCAATAACATCAATTCGTTTGCGAGGATCAATCACTTCTTTTTAAGCTCTCTCCCAAGTTGATCACTCAATTCATTTCTTCATGCGGTAACAAGTCTTTCCAGGTGTACATTCCTGTTGTTGACTTCGCTTGCGTCGTATCGCGACATCGAAGCGCTGATTAATGCAGCTCGGTGGTTTGCTCGGCGCGGACTTGCGAGGGTTCCGAGGCGCGAGGGCTTATCAATCAGTGCCATGGGCGTTGATGCTCGACAGGGGCACAGCACAATACCCGCTGGGTAAAGGATTCGGCGATCTGGCCGTGAGGGGAAAGGAAGCGTGGCCGCATCGTTACCATGACGTTTTGCTGGTGTCAAATGGCACCAGCGGAACCTCCAGTCTGATATAGTGACCGTTTGCAGCCGGGAACGCCTGTCACGAAACCCAGCCTTTTTGAAAGTGGCAGTCTTCTGTTATAGCTTCCATGATATCATTGAATAACACATTGTGATAACAAACACTACACAAGGCAGGTCGGTGGAATTGAGGTCCGTGTCTGCCTCGATCCCATTATTATTGTACACTGAACAACACAAATCGGCGAACAGCATGTCCGGACCAGCATCTCATGCAGCACCGCCTGAAACTCATCGCAGCTTGAACGGATCATGATCCCCGTACGAGTGCTGCTTCCTTTCGGCGGGCTTCATCTTGGTGACGTCGTAGTAGTCACCTCCGATTTCAGCAGGGGCCCAGGGGCCGAGTCGCCCGCCGTGCTTGGTTTTGTATGATCGGACCTATGACAAGCATCGTTAGCGACAGTCGAGCATCCGTTTGTGACAATGGAGACTCACCTTGTTGGCGAAGATAACCTTCTCCCACTTCTTGACGAGCTCGGCCGTCGTGCCCTCGGCCTCTCGCTCGCCGACCTCCTCGGCGGTGTGCACGTAGCCGGACGCGCCGCCGATGGTGATACCCGCGGCTTCGGCCATGGCCATGACGCGGTACACCCACGAGACGTGGTCCATGAAGTCGTCGCCAGCGATCTCGCCGCGTACCCAGCCCACGCTGATTAGCAGCGAGAGGATGTAGCCGATGTTGGGGATGCTGTTGCCGGCTAGGACCTCACGCCTCTCGAGCTCCTGCAGCGCCGCCAAGGTCATGTAGCCGACGAGGCTGATGAGCTCGGAGCCACGGTCGGGTCGTCGCACACTGCTTGATGGTCAGCGCCTTGCCTCCTCACGAGCCTCTCGGGGATGGTGGGGGCAACTCACTCATGAAGTCGCCGCCGCCGCGGTGGAGGTACAGGGCCATGCCCTCGATCTCGCACCAGATGTCGAGGTAGTGTGACTTGGGCTTGCAGACGGAGGTGAAGTGGACAAACTATCTAGCATCAGCAGTTGCATGGCAACGAAAGGGAACAGGGAGGACTCTGGGAAATGGGAACCAACAATTTTCTCGAGAACCTCCATGGCGCCGTAGTAGGCAAAGTCATTGTAGACGTGCATGCTGAACTCGTCGGGGTCGCGCTTGAGCGTCTCGAGGAGCCACCAGTCTGCGCGATCCCTGCCTCGCATGGTGGCGACGGGGACGTGGTCGGGGTGAAGCGAGGCAAGCTTGCCAACAGGACCGTGATTATGTTCATCGTGTTCTTTGCCTTTGTCCTTGGCGCCATCGTCTATATCCTTCGCGCTGTTGTCTTTGGCTTGCGTATCCCCATCCTCGCTCTCTTCGTCGCCATACTCGTCCTCCGACTCCGAATCCTCCTCATGAGACCCCCTGTGGGCATGCAGGCAGACAAAGTCCCAGTCGTCGTTGCCCTCGTCCGGCTTGGGCTCCCAGGGCTTGGCGAGCTCGACCTCGCGGCGCTTCCACGCGGCCACCTTCATCTTGAGGGCCTTCTTGTTGGCCTGGAGCCACAGGTCGTGGGCGGCCCACCACTCGCGGTTGCCGAGCGTCGCGTCGCGGTCGGGCGTCGCGTCGATGGCCATGATCCAGAACGGCGGGATCAGCATCTTGTGCAGGCTGGGGGCCGCCTCGGCGGGCATGATGCGCGGGGGGACGAGCTCGGCATTGGGGCCGAGCGAGATGCGCTGCGGCGTGATGGACTTGCCCTTGCCCTTGTCGGCGGGCGGCTGCTCCTTGGAGGAGTCCTTGGAAGAGGAGGACGCCTTGCTCTTCTTGGGTGCGGGTGCCGAGGGTGCGGCGTTGGCATCGGTGTCGGCGAGCGCGCGCTTCTTGGAGGCCGCCTTGGGTGCGGCCTTGGGTGCGGCCTTGGGTGCGGCCTTGGCTGTCTTGGGAGGCATTGCCGGCTGTGTTTTGCGGGGGGGGATTAGAATCGGCAAGGAAATCTCTGGGGATATTTTCCAAAGCGAATTGGTCGCTAAGGATGGCTACAGAATGAAGTCGAGGATTTTTCCTCTTAATACACCTGTGGTGACGCCCCAACTGGTTACTGTGTGACGCGACGCGACGCGACCCCCTATGACATCGTTACACCAAATACCCTGACGCCAATCTCCAGGGCCCTCGGCGGGACGCTGTCCGACTCGCTGAGACGTCGCCCCGCCGAGCGCGTGCCCCCGGGCGGAACACTGGGTATCAAGACACCAGTTCCAGCAAAATCTCGATGACGGCGATGATGACTTGGATGGAATGGCAAGGACCTGACCATGAAGTCATGCCATGCGTGAGAGAACAACTGAGCCAGCTGACGGAGTCTCTCGAAGCATGGCGGAGGTCAATGCATGTCGATCAGTCACCTCCAGTTTCCTTCACCGGACCGGTGACGACGGCGTACTTTGTGAGAATGATGCCGCTGTGCTCCAGGCGCTCCAGGTGCTGAAGCTGTAGCCTGTAAGCCCCGCTGCTGCCCCTCACCGTCGCCAGCATCTTGATGCCGTCGCCCAGCACGACGGGCATGATGGCCGCCTCTACCGTGTCCATCAGCCCAGCCTCGAGACACGGCCCGGCCAGCATCCCGCCGCCCATGAGCCAGACATCCCCCTCGACGGAGGCTTTGAGTGCGCGCACGGCGTCGAGGCAGCTCGCGCCCGGCACGACGGTGATGTGCGGGTAGTCGGCCTGCTTCATCTCGTCGCTGACGACCACGACGCTCTCCTTGGGCCGGCCGGCGAGTTTGTTCTCCGGCCCGCCGAATGAGAGCATCACCTCGTACGTCTTGCGGCCCATGACGAAGGCGGCGTGCTCAGCGAAGAGGGCGTCGAAGTCGATGCTTGCGTCCTCGACGATCCAGGCGGCCGAGCCGTCGGGGGAGGCGATGAAGCCGTCGAGCGTCGTGGCGACGCCGTATCGCAGGCGGCCCATGTCGCGTCGTGATCAGCTGCCGGGGCGTTATGATGTTGTGATGCGGCACACGGGCATAGGAAAAAAGCAAAAGTGATTGTCGAGTTCAGCGGCTTTTATGGTTCGAGTCTGGTGCGACGTGACGTCCAGCTCGTGGATGACCTTGCGAGCGACTGTTCGATTCACGCTCTTGGCAGAGGGCGTTGCGCAGCAAGGCATCTCTCCTGCAATTTACGCTGGTCAAAGTCATCACCGTGAACTTCCCATCTGGAACGCAGTTCCCGACGCTTTGGGTGCAGCACCGTGCTTCGGGGGCCGCCGACATCACGTCCTGGGACTCCTGGCAATCAAGAAGGTCATTGGAATACCCCCCCTTTCCCTCTGCCACTGCCATCATAAGACAATCTCGCGACACCTGGCCACGCAAGAGCACCAGACGTGAAGTTTCCTGACACGCTCGTCATCACCCAACATGGCGCACGCAGGCAAGCCGGTGCACAGCCTCACAGCCTCCACGGGCAGTCCGCCAGGCGCACCTCGAATCGGTAACCCCATAAGCAGGGCTCGCTATCGGTCCCGCGGCCAGGTGGGGTTTAGCCCGTGCGGCTCGCGCGACCACTGCCGCTTATCCGTCTGACGCGGCGGCTCAGCTCTCGCAAAAGCGTCATCGCCGCCCGGTCGACACGATTATAATTAAGCATCAAACAACCCACCGGAGGAAGGGAATTTCGCTTTGCTTTGCATTGTCGTTTCATCCAGCCGTACAGCAGACTGCACCCATGGCCGACGAGAAGCTTCCGCCGCGCGACGAGGGCGTCCTCTCCGGCAAGGCGGCCGAGGCCCGCGCCCATGGCGGCGCCGGGGCGGCGGCGGCGGGCTCCCGCGCCGCTCCCGCTCCCGTCCCGGCAGACCCGGCTCCGGCATATCAAGAGATTGCGCCGCCCGCCCTCTCACCCGCTCCCTCCGGCAACGGCGTCCCGACCGTCGCCAACCCCTTTAGTTTCCCGTCCAACGCTGAGCTGCCGCCGTACGAGGCCCCTCCCAGTGCAGCTTATGGCGCCGGCTCCTCTTCCTCGTCCGCCGCCGCCGGATCTTCTTCACAGGCAGACCGCCGCCCTATCGCTCTCCCCCAGGCGGTTCCCGACCCGGCCTCACCGTTCGTCGCCGCCTACGCACCCATCCTCCTCTCCCATGGCGTCACCGAGGGCACCTGGCGCTCCTTTCTCGAAACCATGTCGGCCTTCCTCACGGCCAAGGTCTCGGATCGCGCCATCAGCCACGCCGGCGACATGGCCAAGCACATGAGCGAGGCGCCCAAGAGTTTCGGCAAGGGCGTCGCCACACACGTCCGCTCCGTCGGCAAGGACATCGCCGGCAACGCCAAGCGCGGCAACATCATCGGCGCCGCCTTCGGTGCCATCGGCGGCCTCATCTCCATCCCTGTGGCTACGGCCCTGAGTGCTGCCGGCACCGCCATTTCGCTGCCAGGCTCCGCCATAGGGGCCATAACTAAGCGCCCGCAGACGCCGTTTGAGCGCGCCACGGCCTACGCCATGGTCGCCAACAAGAAGTGGCTGCATGCGCGAGGGCTGCAGGCCCAGCTGGTCGAGACCACCGGCCTTGCGCAATATCTTAACGTCTCGCTTGACGCCCTGCTGGGAATGGCGAGAGCCGCCAAAAGAGATGACGCAGAGAGTCAGCTCAAGGCTCTGGAAGGGCACATTGCGGCCCTGGATGTGAGGGCTGATGCGGCGCTGAGCCTGGCGCCAAATACGCTATGGCTGGTCTTGGTCCCCCTCGGCAAGGAAGCCACTTGAAAACCTTTGACAGATTTACGGATGCAAACATGAATCATACGATACCACACTCATTCTCTGTGTCAATGATGCCATGCCAGTGATCTGTCGAATAGGAGCCTACGATTGAAACATGTAGCCATCGTGACTTGCAACACGGACCGAGCGACGACAAGGCCTATGCAATGCGTACCACATGAGAGCCACGTTCAGGGCAGCTTCAACAACGCGAGCTCCCTCTTACCTCGTGCCTTTCACCCGTCTGGTGGCGCTCTCTGGAACGTCGGCAGTTGGTGGTGGATAGAGAAGTCATGCGGGCGGTTGAACGAAGCATTCTATGTTGCAGGGACTCGCTGCAACGGGACTCCGCGGGACCGAGATCACATCATCAGCGACAGGAAGGTTTACAGCATTAGTTTTATAGACGCGCTCTTTGGATTCATCAATAGCACAAGTGCCTGGGTTGTTGAATATATTCCAGCGCATGAACGTTGAAGAACAACAAGATGCCGCGAAGGTAAACATGGTGGAAGCAGCAGCAGCGCTGCCAGTCGCGGGACGAGGCAAGATGGCGATTATCGGCCCCACGACTCGTTCTCCGCAGCAACTTCGAGTCGAACCGCGTCAACGCTTCCCAAGCGAGCATCCTAATCAGCCAGCACCACCACTGCCGCCAAGTGGGTAGCGACCCCGGGCCCAGCATCCAGGTTGAAGCCAAAAGCTGGGGTAGAGGCGCTATTTCTCCGCTCGGTTTCCCCGGGTGCGGGGCGAAACATGCCAGCCGGCATCGTGGATTCGTGGGCGCCGTCATCCGGAGAAATGGCCCATGGCCTCTACCGGCCGGGCTGGCGTGATGGGGGTTCGCCAAAGGATCGCGGCCGATGCTGGAGCACATGTGCCGCACTCGCTTCCCGTGAAGCAGTTCTCCCGGGCCGATTAAGAAGTGATTTGGTGATTTCTTGGAAACGCCACGATTCCACGAGGTGAGTGAACGGCCCACCACCGGTGCCCATTTGATGCATGTGGTTTCGTTTTCCTCGGCTTCAGGCGGTTAGAATCAGCAACGGCGCACCCGAAGTACTGTGCGGCTTGAGTTCGCCAACCTCATCGTGCTCCTAGATCGCTGAAGAGGCAACGATATAGTCATGCTTAAAATTAATCGGGTTTACTTTGACACGCCATTCTTGTCGGCACTCTTGCCTCCCTGCCCCTAGTATACGAATCATCCAAGCCGGCTAATGGTCAATGGCTCTGGTGATCTCCCGCTGTCCATCATACTAGTGTGGCCTGACGAGTTGCTCTTTCCCCAACCCCGCGCAGCAACAGAAGCTAGTTCGGCCGTGGAGAGTCGGACCGATGATGAAAGCTTGCCCGGCTCTGCCATTGTCAAGCGTCGGCAAACGTTTGTTGTTGTTTGCGACATGATCTTCGGCTTCTCTTGTTTCGCCGGCTATAAGATGGACGTGCCGGTCCTCAACGCTGTTTGTCGCAGTTCTTCCAGGTCACCAGTTCGCTCAACTTGGCGCAGGCAATACATACAGAGATGGCACGGCTCACATTTCTAGGCCAGCTGTTGCTCGCCTCTCTCGCCACGGCCCAGCAGGTATACATACCTGCAGAGGGTCCATCGCCACGGCCACAGTGCAAATGCCCTGACAAGAGCAAGCCAAAGTATTCCTTCACACCATTCAGCTTCACTTTGACCGAGACTGTGCGGTACGCGACATCGGTGCCCGCCCCGACCAGTACTACCACCTATGCGGCGCCCCGCGAAGCTCTCGTCACGTTGGTTCCGTCACTGTCCTATTCGACGTGGGGGAAATGGACCCCCAACGATACGGCCACGGCGACGGACACGAATGACCCGTACGGCCAGGCCGCATGGACGGCTCTATGGAAGCATGCCAACCCGCCAAACTTCACAGAGACGGCCGTTTACAGCACGACCGTGTCGCCGACGCCTGTCCCAAGTTCGGAGCTCGTGCTACCCCCGGCCGATTACTTTGGCCCGACGGACTGCTACACCTTCCCCAGGGGCTTCGAGTTCGGCGTCGCCAGCTCGGCATCGCAGATCGAAGGCGCGACGGCGGAGGAGGGCAAGTCTCCGTCGCTCATGGACATTCTGGTCCGGGACGACCGCCCCAAGTCATACGTAACCAACGAGTTCTACTACTACTACAAACAAGACATTGAGCGTGTCGCAGCCATGGGCGTTAAGTACTTCTCCTTCAGCATCGCCTGGACACGCATCCTGCCGTTTGCGCTGCCCGGCACGCCTGTGAACAAGGAGGGGATCGACCATTACGACGACGTCATCAACTTCATCCTGGAAAAGGGCATGGTCCCAGTCGTCACTCTTCTGCACTTCGACACTCCGCTGCAGTTCTATGGAAGCAACCTCACCACCGCCGCTGATAAGACCAAGCTCGGCTATGTCAACGGCGGGTACCAAAACGAGACGTTCCAGGACGCCTTTGTGAACTACGCCAAGGTTGCCATGACGCACTACGCCGACCGGGTGCCCATCTGGTATACGTTCAACGAGCCGCTGTTGTACTCGTACGATGCGCGCTCCGTCGATTCGGTAATTCGGTCGCACGCCCGCACGTACCGCTTCTACAAGGAGGAGCTCAAGGGCGAGGGGAAAGTCGCGCTCAAGTTCAACAACAACTTTGGCGTGCCGCGTGATCCCCACAGCGCGGCGGACGTGGAGGCCGCCAACCACTTTAATTCGATCCAGCTCGGCACCTTCTGCGATCCCATCTTCCTCGGCAAAGACTACCCAGACTCGTTCAAGAAGACGTTCCCAGACTATGTGCCTCTGTCAAAGGAGGACCTCGAGTATATTGGCGGGCAGGTCGATTTCCTGGGCATCGACCCATACACGGCGACCGTCATTACGCCGCCCGTGCCTGGCGAACAGGGTAGCATCCTCGACTGTGCGCGGAATGAGAGCTCACTGCTCCGGCCGTACTGCGTCAACCAAACCACGGTCAACGTGTACGGCTGGGACATTGGCTACCGCTCGCAGTCGTACGTCTACACGACGCCGACCTACCTGCGGAGCTACCTCAACTACCTGTACAACACATGGCGGAAGCCCGTGTCTATCACCGAGTTCGGGTACCCCGTGTACAGCGAGCGGGAGCGCGCCCTGTCGGACCAGCTCTTTGACACGCCCCGCAGCCAATATTACCTGAGTTTCCTGTCCGAGACGCTCAAGGCGATCCGCGAAGACGGCGTCGAGGTTGCGGGTGCGTACCTGTGGAGCTTTGCGGACAACTGGGAGTTTGGGGACGCCGAGTCGCAATTTGGCGTGCAGACGGTCAACCAGACGACGCAGGTCCGCAATTACAAGAAGTCGTTTTTCGATGTAGTCGACTTCATGAAGGCTCGGATGATTGAATGAGATGTTTTGCGCACGGAAACTGTCTGTACCAGGTTAGACATGGCAACACTGCTCGTGGCTTGCATTTCAAGCCATCGGTGCATGTGGTATCTTATTACCAGACTACGTCAAGTCTGGCCCTTCGCTGGCAACCGGGGTCTGTTCCAATGCTCCATGTCTGTTTCAGCGGCGTAGCAAATGTTCAGGTCGAGTCAAAACATTTGGGAAGCAAGGCTCGCTTCGCCACAGACCGGCCACGCGTTAGTGCGCTCGCATGCTCGGAAACATGTTCATTCCAAATACCCAAGGCGCGGCCTCGGTATTCAGCGAACGGAGCCGTCAGGTAACCAACACAGCCGTGATTTCGATGGAGCCAGCACGCGAGCTGAAGGCTCTCCAAGGCGCACTTCTAGCTTGATCCGGACAAGGGCCGGGGTATGGTGGACACGCTCCCGCACCTTGCAGCCCTAACTCCATATCACCTGGGCGAACGTCATACACGACCCTGTACTCCTGCAACGGCTTTCACTTGACCTTGTATCCGGCATACTGTTTTCTGAGGATATTAGTATCGTCGTCACCGCTCCGCCACCGCACGCACCGCCGTCAGGCACCTGCCATGCCACGGCATCGCCAGCCAAGGTTTTAATCATGGGCTTCCTACTTTAAGGTTGTTCCCTTCTTCTCCCGCGATTCCGCTGTCGAAATCACAAGCTACCCGTCCTCGTTCCCCACCGTTTCCCGCATCAATCCCGACCAACATCCCCCTCACTCCAACTTCGAATCATGGAATCCTGGGACAATGAATCTACATTGCCACCACCCTACGAAGACGGTTCAACATCACAAGATGCTGCCCGCACGACGGCGCGACCGGAAACGCTCTTCATCGCTCAGCGCTTCATCCACGCCGGCAGCCCGGATGGCCCGGCGGTGTACGAGCTGTCCCACCACATCGACTACGTGACCAACACCGACCACAAAGTGGTGATGCAAAAGGTCACCCGCTCCTTGCGCGACTCGACCGGCACGCCCTCGATCCGCACGCGCCTGCGTCCCATGTACGACCTCACGCACCGCACGATCGCCGAGCTGCCCAACTATTCCTTCCAGGCCGAGGCCCAGTCGCGCTTGGCGCCGCCACACATGGGTATACTACGCGTCGGCCATAGCATCAGAAGCAGCGGGAGGCGACGCTACCACATCCTGCGGACCCAGTGGGGAGACGACAATCGCTTGCAGAAGAGCGGCGACGTGCTGTTCGAAGTCAGCCAGACGCGGAGCACGGACAAGGCCAGCGTTCTGTGGGAGTGGTCCGACGGCAAGGGCGGCATGCTCGCCCGCGAGTTGCTCGGCGATGATGGCGTTCTGAGCCTGGCTGTGACGGCTGAGATGAGCTGTCGCAGGAGAGATGCCCTGGCCGCAGCGTGGGTGATGCGCATATGGTGGGAGGTCGCCGAGAGCGCCCCGACGAGAGAAGGTCTACGCAGTAGAGGTATGCCGGCTGCTCCATGTTGCCATCACATGGATCGATCTAACAGCTCCCAGCGAAGCGGATCATGTCCACTACAAACCCGGACATCAAGAACATACGGCGGCAAGTATTGAGCTGTTTCTTGGGCGGACAATGAGACCCAAGGCTAAGTCTAGCGCAGGAAGGGGCTGTATAGTTTCTGACGACGGCACTGCCGCTCCAGGACAGACTACACGTGGGTACTCATCTTGCTCAAACAGCGTGTGCACCACCGTTTAGTGTGCGGCCCATGCATGGCCGAAGGCTGATGTGAAAGGGGCCACTGCAGCGCTCCTAGATCGAAGCGCCCACATGACTACCGATGCCCCCATCGACACGTCGCGCAGAGGGCGAGCGGTCACGCTGCACGGCACGTCGTTGGCTGCATCAAGATAAGGGAGCCCGCCACGGCTCTCGGACCAGACTCTTCTGCGTGCTGATACCTGGCGACACGCACGCCACCACCTGGATATAGTTACAGTATCCTTCAGCTTTGAACCGTGCAGCGAAATAAGGTTAACACAGCTTGTTTCGTCTGCTGTTCAATGCGGGGTGAGATGGTCCGTGTTGGTCCTGGACAAGTTTCACTGATCACGGGCGGCCTTGTCGAAGTCGCCAACATACGAGCTGAGATAGGATTCGGATTGACGCGACTCCGCCGTGGCCGACAGCTGAACTGAGCCTCTGGCCGCGAAACCCAACTACTGCAGCAAGTCACGATGGCATCCCCCCGCGAGTACGTCAACGACCCACGGTTCACCAGGATCTTTGACCTGCCGCCGGATGCGACTCGCGGACGCTCCAAGCCGTTCAGAATTGCGTACGCCGACTACGGCTACCGGAATGAAGCCTTGCCTGAGCAGGATAATGTTCTCCTCTTCTTCGGGTCGCTGATGGGGTCGCGTCTCATCCACATCGCCAAGGATGAGCTCGCAAAAGTGCACAAAGTTCGGGTGATCAACCCGGATAGACCCGGCATCGGGGGCACGGATGCCGCAGATGCGGAGCACAGAATGGGCTTGTGGCTAGGTAAGCTCGTTCAATGCGGCGAAGAGCCGTATCGCTCTGCGGAAGACCCCGCATTGCGGTGGTTTGTGCTGTGGCTGATGCTGAATTCGAAATAGACGCTATTCCGGCGCTTCTGGACCATCTCGGGATCAAGCATATCTCTGTGGCGTGCCATAGCTGTGGTGTCATCTACGCCTTGGACCTGATGCTTCATCACCCCGAGCTTCTTCACCCTGAAAGACCATACCTCGCCATCGGTGCCCCCTGGATCTTACCCGTGCATACGGGTTCAACAGCCCTCCGTGCTGCGCAGTCTCTCCCGGCAGGAATTATTGGTCAGACAGACAAGATGGCCAGGCTCATCAACAACCACGTCGGACCGCTTGTTGGCACCTCTATTGGTCTCATTCTGGGCCTCGTCGCTAAGCTCTCACCACCCTCGCACCATGTCAGCGAGAACGCCTCTGGTGAGGCTTCATTTGAGGACCAGATATGGCCGGCGATCGTCGAGCGCATGTACGCGGAGGGAGTGCGAGGTATCGCAGATGACGCTGTGCTGGTGATGCAGAAGCATGGCGGCAAGGTGGGGTGGAGCAACTGGGGTGACTACGACACCCTCGTGCCGCGGCTGGCTGAAGTTCTGCGCGCAGCAGGCAGACGGCTAAAGGTTGATGTCTTCTACGCCGAGAACGACCATCTAATTGGCAGCGAGAATTCCAAGGGTCGGCGCTGGTTTGATGACTGCTGGGGTGTACCTCAGGGCAGCGACATCATCAGTTTTCATTGCATGACAGTCAATCGTGCAGACCACGATGAGATATGGAGTATGAGATTCGACGCCATATATTCAGTATTCAGAGCACTCGAACAGCAGGTTGAGAGCCCGCAAATTCATGGATGAGAGAAGCAGCAATTGGAATTAAGCAGGACGAATAACACACCTGTACCCTCGAACGATCGCACACGCAATCAGTCGAACCAGACACCAGACTGCTCTCCACTCAAGGCATTATACATCGAGACAAGACAACAACCTGAAAGTCAAATTGCATAGTTGCATTAGCTGCCGTGGCCTTTTGACAACTCGAAAGTGCAGCTCTCTATACTTTCCTCAAACGTTGCGGCGATCACGGCTATCATGGCTACCTTAGCCCTTGTCGCCCCTATCCCAGACTCTACCGCCATTGCCCGAGACACAGCCTCGGAGCAGGGTACTGCTCAACCCCTGCTAAGAAACCTATTGAGCAAGACGAGAGAACAGCACTGATACGCGTATAGTGCTTGAGATATGGCTCGTACTTCTGCAGGCCCACGACGTAACATTCATGTTGCACGATGGAATGCCGGGGAAGAGGGGAGAAACCTGAGGCTTCGAGGCCGACCCGCGCCGAGTTCCATCACCAATCTTGGGCTGGTATCTCGTGGGAAATATTTTGGAATCCAGATAGTGTTCGTCCATGTATCCGTAAACACGAAGATTCAACATCGACCGTGTCTTGCTGTCGCTCACTACGCATGGCCTGTTATGGGCAGTATCTTAGCGATCTAAATGAGAACTGCCACGGCGAATAATGAGGGACGAAACGTCTTGGAAGGATATATTCAGTAGCGACTAATTGAGCTCCGAACTGTCAAACTCGTGCGTATAGTCGCCAAGCATGGCAGTGTACTCAAACTTATCCGCCAGATTCTCTGCCATTGCAGACTTTGGGTCAGACAGCGCCAGGTCCAAGTCCACTGGAAAAGGCGCCCTGATGCGCTCTGGCATCTCGCTGAGCTTCTTCCTCTCGAGATCCTGCAGGATATGCCGTGCCATTTGGCTCGAGATGTCGCCGTTGCGCAACGACATGGCCAGCAAGGCTTTGGCGACGGCCTCAGTCACGCGCCACGAGCGGCGCAGCCTCTCGTACCCGTACACACAGAGGAGGAAATACGAAAACCAACCCTCCTCCTTGGAGTCGTGGAGCAGGGCGTTGGCCACGTATATCAGAGCGGTGTGCCAGAGGATCGTGTAGGTCGAAGACTTATAGTTGAGGCGGAAATGGAGGGTCAGACGCTTCAGCTGCTCCACAGAGGCATTGCACACGGCTGCAGGCGAGCTGGCGGTGCTTGTAAAGGTTCGTAGACGGCGTTTCGCGGCGGTACTCGTTTGGACACACGGGCGGAAGAGCTCGAGAACGGCTGCGTGGAACCAAAGACTGGACGAGTCAGCAGCTTGCCTCAGTTCAGCTCTCAAATGGCGTTCCTCACTGTAAAATCTGCACATGGTGAGGCCTATTCTCGCCGCGAAGTAGGTGAGACGGGAGACCATTGCTCCAGGCCAACAACTCCCGGAACTTATACTCCGCGAAACGTAGCGCCGTGTGGTCGTCAAAAAAGGCGGGGCTTGGATCCGAGTGGTAAACAAGGGTGATCTCGTGCACGATGCGCCAGAAATGGCACAGGTGTGCAAAGGTCTTGCCCATGAAAGACGGCAGCGGCAGGGTTTGGGCCATGTCGGGGTCTGCTTGCTCGCCGGAGCGGTCTCCTCCCGGGATTGGTAGGTTCGGCGGTCTCTTCGGGCAGTTGAGTCCGGGTTGGTGGTAGAAAAGCGACATCAGCCTACATGTAGTACGAATGTCAGTATTCGAATCTGAAAGGGAGTAGAGGTTACTGGTGCACTTGCGTGATCCAGTTGAACAAACCCCACGCTGCATACAGGCGAGCCCGAGACTCCTCGACCGTAAGCCCCTCTATGGGATACGTCGTGCTGGTATCATCGGTATCGCAGTCGATCAGTCCCATTCGATTCCCCATGTGCAATGCGTGGGCGAGGTACTGCAAGACTTTGTGGTCCCGGCCATGGCCAAGAAACCCTAGACTGAGAAACTGCGCCGCGGCAATGTTGACGACGTTATCATTGCCGAGCTCCTCGTTCCACATTCGTTCAGCCTCTGAACAAAAGCTCATGGCAAACTTATTGGTCCTGGGGTCCATGGCGGTGTACATTTGCTACCCAGTGGCATTAGCGGGAGTAGAGGGAGTGTGGGTGGAGTGAACGTACGGAGGCCCAGTAAAGAAGAGCGTTTACAAGTAAGGGAGAACAATATCCATTCTCGCCCTTTGTCAGGTGAGAGATGAAGAGTTCGGGGTCAAAATGCCCCAGCAAGGGGTGGTCGGTCTGAAGATACAGCGATATACATCGTGCCGCAGTGCTGTTATCAATGTCTACATTCGTCCAGTGACGAATCTCTAGGTTTTGGAGACGAGCATCGCAGAGGTCTGGAGTATAGGTGCCAGCCGCCCGGGGGGGTGACACTGTGTCGTCTGCTGTGGGAGGCTGCTGCGGGAGGTGGTTTTGTCTTGATCGAGGGTTTCGCGAGGGTCCTTGTTCGGCGGGCGATGCTCTTCCATGGGCTCTCGTGTTATTCTGGGGTGTTTTGTGCAACCTGAAACCTTGGCCGATGGGAGCAGTGCAAGGTCGACTTACGGCCTAGGGGCCATGTCATCATCTTTGGCGGCAGTCGTGAGGCCGCGGTATGGCTCCCTCATGAAAGACCCCGGGTCGAACGGTTCCAGAGTGGGATAGGCGACGGGATTTTGCACCTCGAGTTCAAGCGTCTTGAACGGGGCACCCATCACGGTAGTGGCAGAGGGCTGGTCTGACGCGCGCTCGTGACGACCCAGGCCACCACGGACAACTGATAGAATCTTGGACGCGTCGCGTTCCCCTCTGAGCGAGCTCAATAGTCGCACCGACTCTGCACCTGGAAGGACATTCAATATCTCAATGACCTCGGCCACCGTCGCGTCTGGCGAGTCCGACGAGGGTTCGTGTCGGTACGCGCATCGTGTTGTCTGGTCGTGGCACTGCGTGCAGGTCGGTCGACGGCCGTCACACTGCATACGCGAGGTCAGTCTCGCGCACTTCGCAAAGCAATCCGCATCAAGTACCCTGATCTTGCGCCGGCGACAGGAGTTGCACGCCACGGCGACCCCGACGCGGCGTCTCTTGGGCTCCAACGGCTCGGGCGAGCGCCGTTCCGGCACACGACTACCCGCCGCGGCAGGTCTGAGGGGGAGATATCGTCGCTCCATGCTCGTGTTCAACGTCGATAGGTTGTAGCCGTGTCGATGCGGCATTCACGTCTCCCCGCGCCTTCATCTTTGCGCAGTGGATGAAAAGACACATCCTGGAAGACCGTGGCCAGGGGACCGTATGTACCAGTCTGTCCTCTGCACAGCCAGTCTGGGCAGCACAGCTGCAGCCAACACGGGCCCCTGGAGGATTCTCCAGGAGCAGTGTGGCGACCTGGCCGTTGATCGTCCATATTTGTGTGGAATTGTGGATGCGTATTATGAGGTGGTGTGCAGCGGAGAGACAGGCGACAGGGTGCTACAGCGAATGGGTTGCATGACGCGGTCGCCGGGAACCACGGTGGGCAAGCATGACAAGTTCTGGGTAAGGCATATTGATGCAATTTCTCCATCATTTCCCATGCTCAAGGAGCAAAAGGGCTAATCAACGGTTGAATTCAGGTGTGCCTGACGTTCGTACTCTGTAAGTACTCGGTTCAAGTAGTTCGGGCCTGATCCGGCAGAGACACTGACTTTCGTATTGACGCCAGTCACGGCGGAAAGCCAGGGGCCGATGACATCATTGCACGCCGCAGGCGCTCGCCGGGACCCCTGGGGAATTTGAAGGGGTTTGATGGCGGCCGAAGGAGCGACGAAGGTAAAATGCACTGGCTACCATCGTCAATGGCTGGGTTCCCGGGGGCATACCCAGAAAGCTGTGGTCTGCACGCTCTGTTATTTCATGTTGTGGCCACGTCTCGCCAGGGGCATTGTTTTCCGGGAGCTGACGCAAACACCTTGGGTCTCTAACCCGTCGTATTGGGCTTTTGAGACCAATCCAACGTACATCGTCTAGCATCGAATCGACATGCAAAACAAATCAGGGTGTAAGTGGTGTGGGATGCTTTGACCCTCCAGTCCCCACGGCCCACGGCCACATGCAGTTTGGTCTCACAGCGGGCCGTCTTCTTGCCAAGGGGCTTCGTTGCTCTGTACCGACCAGGGCATCCGACCCAGCACAATCATCAGCGAGCGTCCTCGGGCCAGAGCTCTACGGGGCGTGGCCATGTACCGGTACATCGATATACACTTTCTGCGGTGGGCGGTTAAAGGGTCGCAAGGGGGGCTCCAGTCAGGCGTCTCGGAGACGGCTCCGTGGTGTGCAACCAATGGAACCTCCCGGAGGTGCTCCGTGACAGGTAGCCAATGGCAAAGGGGGGGAGACCATCCTGTCGTGGGGGAGACAACGCAGAACTGGAGGCGCAATCTTTGTCGCTGCTCCCAGCCACACGGAGACCCGCAGTGACGCACCGCGAGACAAGACACCTCACCTTGGCCTTTTTCCATTGGGGAACAGGCAACGTCCTGCCTGAGCTTGTTTCCTCGGATGTCTAGAAAGGATCGCCCGTCAAGTACGGAATATCCCTTGTTTGCCTGTAGCATGCATAAAGCCTCTTATTACTGCCGGTTGCGGACAGCAGGCGGCTCGACGTCAGGTCGAGCATGCGGACACTGGGTCCAGAGTCCAGACCACCCCTGAACAGGCCGACAGCAGTGCAGGGAGGGCCTGCTGGCATGGGTTGACCACCAACTGCACTCTCGACGCCAGGCGTGGGATGTCTGCGGATGGTGCTGCCCTCGGCCGAGGATCAAGACTGTCTGAACAGTGTGGTGTCTCGGCTATCTGGTCACTTCAAAGGGGGCTTTGGTCCTGTCTCGCTCATGTTATACTCGTTCATGTCGTCGTGCCTGCCCGCGGGGGGCTCCCCCAACGACACCGAAGGGCTCACGCCAACTACGTCAGCGTCAATCGCCATTGAGGGTGAGCATTGCCATCGAACAGCAGCGGCGCGCGGACTTGGTACATGTCCTTGACCCGCCCTCGTTTGGCGCGAGTGAACTGGGGCCTCGCGGTGTGTTGGTCTGGCGACTTCTGAGCACAGCACGCCCCCCATGCAATCACGCGCCTTTGCCAAGCAACGGTCGTTCTAGCACATGCGAAGGCTGCCACGGGGGCGTTTTCTCATGCAAGCATCCTTGTAGAGAGCGCAGAGAGATTCAAACAAACTCTGCGGGCACGAAAACGCAACACTAGCCTACCATCCAGGATCATGCGAGAGAGTCGTCCAGCATGCCACAGGCGCCAGGCTATTTCCAGCATCCCGCTCCTTGAAAACAGAGTGCCCTGCATTCCGCGAGTAGCTTGAGCCAGGGGCTAAGTAAACGGATGTGGTATCAGGGAGTGGAGGTTTTCCAGACGCTTCCCAAAGCTTCGAGGTGGCGAAGCCCCCACCGGCGCAATCATCATTCATAGTGCAGCGGCTATGCCTAGCACGGTTGAAAGTTTAGTAGGGTAAGGACGGAGATCAAGATGCAGCGATGGCGAAGACTGGACGCAACAAAGAGCCTGAAGCCGTCCGCTGTTCCCAACACGCAGCTCCGTCCCCTGTGGTCCCTTTCCAGCTCCGCTTGCAAACACTGGCTTCAATAAGAAGTGGCATGGTAACCCATGACAGTCGTATGCTGCCACATCAGCTGCATCACCCCGGCTTCTTTTCTGTTCGTGTAGGCCGTGTGTCGCAGCGCGTCGCAGGGCCCAGTTTGCGCTCTGGCAAGCCAAGATGCATGTGTCGCTAGAGTGTCGAGCCGTGATGCAGCACCACCCAGCTACCGCGACGGAACACGAATGGCCAACCTGGCAGCAGCCACAGCGCTTCAAATCATAAGCATCGTGACATACCAGGCTAGTACCGGCACTGACAGACCTCTCAAGGAGAAGAGGGTCACCCGTGGCACAGAACTACCTCCGCCTCAATCACGCGCCCGTGCGTCTGGTGCAAGGAGAATCGCAGCCGTGGAGGAGGCCGATGCGTCTGCGGAGAACGACGTCGTTGGTCATGGTAAATGAAATGTTCTGCGGAATGAAGTTAGTTTGCCCGAAGTAAGTCAGCGATTTCGTGCTGACCTGCGAAGCCCCGTGGGGTTACACGTAACCCGCCCCCTGCCCCCTTTTCCATCAATGATTCCAGGGGACGGGAAAGGGAGAGGTCCAGCTCCTCTGAGCGCAAAATATCCAAGGGCCGTTAATGTGCGCAGTTGAACGAGGTGAGATCATTTGCTTAGATTCTCTAGACACAGATAGAAAGTGTTGTAGGGGCCGGGATTTGCTTGGGGGGTTTGATTGGACTTTGAGTGCAATGGGTCAGATCCTGACTGGAGGCAGCTACGCATCCCCGGACAAGAGTCAGCCTCAAGGTCCGGATGGATGTCTGCACCTTCGCCAATTCCTGTGTTACCCCAAGAACATGCCCTCGTCGATGCACTGTGGTCTCGAACGAGCCTGTACAGTCTGGTCCATCACGTCTGTCGTAGAGGACATGCCACGAGCCTCCCGATGGCACTGCAGCGCCAGTCTAGATGCTCTTCAGCCAGAACAGCCAGCCACTCGGCCTGTCCCTGCCCTCGTCCTGGAACCATCACGGCACAGCGCAAGGGGGTCGGGTCACTTGACAGAACTTTCCGCGCGTGGGAGCCCAGCGTGGCTGTGAAGGGACGATTCTGGACGCTCAATCAGTAGAGGTATCAGAAGGGCATGCAAAGCAACCTTCACCGCGGCGCGCTGTCCAATCCCATGAGCTCAGACGTTCGCGTCAATCCGGTGCGGTGTTTCCATATTCCAGTATCAGCAAAGGGGCGGCGTTGGCATATTGGGGTTCCCGCATCACCCAAGATTGCATGTGAGGGGCCTCGCCTGGAAGCAATATGCTTCAAGACACACATCTGGTTTTGAAAGACAAGCACTGAGAGCATTCAAGTCAATTTTCCTTCGTTTCTTTTTCGGGTTGGCGATTGGGTCAACTATCTCCGTACCCCGTAGGTACCTGGTGATGGTGCTGCTCGCCTCTGGCGGAGCAAGTGGTCCGGTGGCGCTTCGAACCTGTGTTGTCTGCCCCATATCCCTCACTAGCAAACGTATCGTCGTTGGTGCTCCACCGCGTCGCCGGCGGCGCAGCGCCGAGGTGCCCATCTCCCCGGAGCTTCTTCCGTATGGGCCGACCTGTCAACCGCAACCTTCATAGAATTTTGGTTGGCGGGTTCCGATCGTTGCCAATCTCGTCTCGAGCTTGCACCAGGTTCTCCCACACTCCGTCCTCCCCCCTCTTAAAGTACTGGATAAGCGGTCCTAGGCGCTCTCGTCGACTACCTTGCACTGTGCCGCCCAGATCGCGTCTAAATGGGTTGGTAGCGCTCCGCAGACTCAGCACGACCTTTAAGAGTCCCCAGCGACACATACGTCACCGGCTGGCCAGCTCGGGTTCTTTCCCCGCCTGCATGTGGCCTTATTCGACTGCGAGTCGCTGTGTATAAAGAGTCTTCCGGCTGATTATCCCCCGGTCGTACGTTTGACGCCGACTCGATGTGCTTATTGTTTCCCAAAGCTGAGCCTACTTGACCTAGCACAAAAGCCCGGTATGAACTCCACGCTTATGGTATCAAGCAATGCTTTCGAAGTACGAGCCTTCCGTGGCGAGAAATCGACCGCATCCAACCAGCTTGGCGGCCAGTGGGGCAGGACATATTCGTTGGAGAATGGTTTAATGAAGGAGCAGGAGAGCCTTCCACCGTCTACGGCCATGTTTGAGGGGGATGACTTCTCCTTGAGGTGCATAGATGGGACTATGGCCGACTTTGACGCTGGCAGGCTTGATACGTGCATGGACGGGCGAGGCAACGGCATGAACGGCATGCCAGTATCCGATTCCTTTTACACTCAAACAGCCGGCTCGTCTCTCAGCAATCCGTCGCCAGGCAGCATCGACGGCAGCCTGCAAGGAGAGATGGCCGTCGACACCGGCCCATCCTCCGAATCTCCCTCGCCGAAGACCAAATCGACCACAGTCAAGAAGCGTGGCCGCCCCCGGAAGACCCAGCCGGCGGCTAACGCCGCGACAATATCGAGGGTGGACACCAAGACCAACACGAAATCCAGGCGCCGCACCAGCACCAGAAGCGAACCCGACGCTTCGGGCTCCGAAGGCCTGAAAGCATTACGCGTCCGCGAAAAGAACCGTATCGCCGCCGACAAATGCCGCTCGCGGAGGCGGCAGGAGGAAGACAAGCTCAAGTCCAAACACGAGGATCTCGAGCAGGAGCATCGCAGGCTATCGGGGGCGCTGTCGGAGCTAATGGCGGAGACGTATGTCCTCAAGAACATGTTGATGGAGCATGGCAGCTGCGACTGCCGGCTGATACAGGACTATTTGAAGGAGTCGGCGTCAGAATGGGTGGCCAAAAAGCTAAAATCGTCAACCTCGCCAGTCGACGCGAGCCCATCTTGATGATGGAACTGGAACTACATTGGGGCGCCTTTACGGAGTTGACGCGGTCACGAGATTGCGATCTGACTAGATGTTCCGGGTGGGCTGATTCCGTCTGCTCAAGTCGCCCTTCATGGCTGGTCCATAATTGGGGGCGGCGGTTCCCCTCGTCCATCTCGTCAAGGGCGAGACGAGGAAGCGTGGACTTTGAGCTACGTTGCAGGCGACTGTATTTCGAAGCCAAGCCGCGTACTTTGTACAAGAAATCTTTCCGACAATGGGTGTCGAGACGCACGAAGCTTGGTTACAGAGCTTGTCCCGTTCCATGGGATTATGCAGTCGTGTCAGCGTTGTGCTGCCTGCTGAGCCGAGTCCGTTCAACGATTCGGTGCAACTCGGCGGGCAGCGGGCGGCATCCACCCGGACCAATGTCTTGACATCCGTCCTGCAAGACATGCCAACGTCACGTCTCAGACTCGTGCGGTCGCACGGCATTGGGTTGGCGAGTGGGGCGAGTGATGGTGTTGCGCTCGCGCATGCCAATCCTCCGGCCTGTGTGGTGCTGTTGAATCTTGATGATCTTGCCATCGGCGGCGAATCTCTTATGCTGGACGAGGTCAAGGGCTGGATATGCGCACCGCTGTATCCCACAACGCTCCAAGCTTAAGCTGCGTCCTAACATGAACCCTTCCCCTGTCACTCGCATCGAGGACTGGGCGTTGCGACACTGAGCAGGGCTGGAGACTTCAAACCGGTCTTGGTAATGGGGCGCCTGGCAAGCGAGGGAAGCCGCGTGCTCAAGAGGGGCTTTCCTTGACGCCCCCTACTGCCGAGTCCCTCCCCACCCAAGTGCTGTTCTAGTTACAGTTCATGTTGAGTTGCGGCTCCGGGGGTAGGATACGAGTAGGGTGGACTTCAAGGGGCTCGCTCTCACACTTTTTTACAGTGGGTCGCGGCCAGGAGATACAAATACCAAGATGACCTGTTGCCGGACTTCTCAACTGCTTAGGGGTCGCTCATGTAGTTCGCGGTGGCATCCCCCCGCCCGGCAGGCGATACGTTCGGTCCGTGTCGGGGATAGATTTTCTCCCCTGCGTCTGCTCGCTTCGCAGCTGGCATTCGGCCCGCTCTGGGTCGATTTGACCGGCGCAGACTGGAGACAGGCGAAGCGGCGCTGCTATTGCTTCGCCCGGCCCGTGCCACGACGAGCGAATCGACCGGGGCAAGACGGTGGATCGCCGGGGTTCATCGTTTTAGGCAAACCAGTTTGTCCTCGTAGCTGACGCGAGCCCATCCTGCCACGCACAGTGCGACTCGTCCTCGGGCAGCAGGGCCGCCGCGGCGATCTGCGTGGACAAACAACAGCCTCCATATCTCCGGCTCGCTACGCTGGGCAGACGTCTACACCCACAATGCCACATCCGACCCAAACCAAGGAGAAGGCGCCGCGAGTTTCAGCTGCGGCTCCGCGTGACAATCAATGATACCAGGGCGAGGTCACCCTTGGTGGAGCCTTGGTTCCCGATTGTCATCCAGCTCCTCACCATCTTGCACTCGATCCAGCCAGTCCGGTGCCCCGGAGCGCCTCCGAAGGATGTGTGTCGAAGGCGATGTCGTAATTGCGGCTAGCCTGCCCATCGAGCCTGCCCTGCGGCTGCGGCCTGCTAACCTGAAACCCTTTTGGAGGAGCCATTCGCTATGCGGTCGATGGCCAAGCCACCAATGGCGCTCTCAACGATGTGCCTCCCTTGCTTGCGATCTTCCCCCTTGCTAACGAGCGCATCCACCGCTGCCGCACCCACGGCGGCCGTGACGGCGCGCGTTGACCGGTTCGGGTTGTGCCGCGCCCGAACCGCCTCAAACAAGCCCGCCGCTGCCGCGGCCGTTGCCGCCTCGGCAAAAGGATTCCCGCCGGGCCTCCCGGTGCTGGAGTATCGGCGACGAAGTTCAGGGTGGTGTAAATGCTCGCGATGGTGATAGTCGTCGAGCCCCTCGCGCACGTCCACCGACCTTGATCTTCGCGGCCGCGCTTCCGGGTCCTGGTTGTACGTGAAGCGCCTCTCCTCGCCGCGGGCTGTACTGTTTCTACCTCGACGGCCGTAATGTTCTCGGTGGGTGCCGCGCTCGGGGCGACGCTCCAGGAGCACGGATTTGGCGATATCTCGGGCCTCGTGGACGTAGCCTTGCTCGAGAGCACGGGAAAACCTGTCGCCCCTGTGCCGCGACCGCGATGACGGGCGGCGGCGTTCATAGTCGAGGGCATCATGAGGGTCGTGATGGTCGTAAGGGTCGTTATAGAAGTATTCGTGGCGGCGAGACATGGCGGTCGTGACACGGACCCCTTGTGCTTGTATGGCGCGGACTGGTACGCGGTGGACTCGACCTGTCAATGCAAAGCCAATTCGCAACGCTGATGATGCTATCAAAAAAATCCCGGACAGTGCAAACATCCCTTGCCACGGGCCCCTCCTCCAGAGCCTCAGGCGGACGGGTTTACATACGCTACAAAGGCCGTGAAGCTGAGAGAAGACGAGATCCTGGGCCTCGATCTGCCGTCGCCACAACGGCAAGTCGTCCGACGATGTGTAGTTGCGTCTGTCCGCGTGCCCGCCCCTGCAGCCCCGGCAGAGGCGCAAGACACGCTCGACACGGCCTTGTCGCACCGACAACCAGTGTACTCGTACTTGGCAGCCAGGGCGGGCCATCGCTCCGTTCATGCGCCATGACGTACGAGTCGCTGTCACGGCCGACGCCGTTGCCACGGGTGGTCATCCAGCGGGGCGCGGTGCGGCACAGGCAGGGCGCCCCAACACGTCACAACGACGACATCGAGGGCATGTCGCCACAGCTTGTGGTGGGAGGCGCTTCGGGACGGTGTCTGGCTGTGAACGCCGACTGGGTGCGGGGTCACCTCCTATCTAAACTCTTTGCAGTAATGTCGCTGATCCGGCCAGGGCTCACAAGACGCGGCATGGCATCGGCAACCTTGCGTGCTCGAGGAGATTTTTTTTTTCTCGAGCACCGATGCAGCTGGTGCAATTTGCAACTTCCGCATGTGCCAGCCATGGGGGCGAATAAGCAGACCCGGGCTCACGTCCCCGGCCACGCGCAGGGCAACACCGGCTGGGGCTGCTGCACACCTTTCCCACCTGAGCGAAGAGACTGGAACTGACTGCACTCCGCGGGTCCCCTTGAATGGCAAGCAAATGGGCATCCACCAGAAGCAGGTTTTCTTGAATTCCTTTGTGCGTGCTGCTCTCCGCGGAAAAGAAAAGGAGAGAGCACGTTGGGTCCCTTGGGTCCCACCTCGCGCCGGCATCTTGATCACAGAAGCCCATGTCTCTCTGCCGCATTGTCACTCAGACATATGCATGCCTGCCCACCAAAGGCGACCTTGCAACGCCCCGCGGTACCGGGACTTTGCAGTACCAGCAGTCGACCCTCTTGCTGGCCCCAGAGTTCAGCCAGAAACCGGCACCGGGCTTCCTTGGAGGGAACCAGGGACCACCACGAGTTCAAACGCACGAGGTCGAACCAATCACTGTACGTCGCACTGAGCATTCACTCGCCCCTCGGCGAGTTCTGTTGGCGCAAGGTATTTCTAGTCAACCGGGCCTTTGCCTTTTGGTGGCAGAGTGTGCTGCGTCCGTGTCATGTCGACGAGGCAAACGGAAGCCCGTGACCTCACTCCCACTCGCCTCATATCGCGTCACGTCAAAACACAGCAAACAATTACCCTCTTCACCCGACCGCTCCTCCACCGCATGGACGTGAAACTCCGACGCTTTCCATTGCGCAGTTGACCCGTTCCCGAGGAGGGAGTAAGGCAAAAGCAACATGCCCCGACGACACCAGGTTCGAATGGCCTGCCAGCGCTGCAGGAGGAAACGGGCCAAGGTGAGTGAGTGTCTATGCCTGGGATGTGGCCCCGGTCTTCTCCCTCTGGCGGCGACGCATTCTTTCGTGCCCCAGTCTCTGCGACACCCCGTCGGAGTCTTCTCCGGGCCGCCCTTTCGCCGTTCGCACCATCAGGATGGCCGTGCCCCACGCGTCCACTGTTGTAGCCATGACTGCTGCACATGCTGACCACTTCCGACCACCTTAGTGCGATGGCGAGGATCCCTGCGAAAGGTGCAAGGAGGCCGGCCTGGAGTGCGTCTTCGACCACTCCCGGCGGGAGTCCAAGGACGACCTGCGCGCCGAGATTGAGCGGTTGCGGCGCACCAACGAGCGCAGCGATGCGCTGCTTGATGCCCTCTCCTCCATGGACGACGCCGACACGTACCACATGGTGGCACAGGGCCTCATGGACGGCGCCGTCTCGCGCCAGTCCATCTACAACGACCTGCCCGGCCACCTGAGGCTCGTGGGTATGCCCGGCGCCGTACCGGCCGCCGTTGTCGCCTCGTCGCTCCGTCGCAACTCACAGCCCGCCTCTTCCGCTGGTGCCTCCAGCACCGAGACCCGGCCGACGACGTGTCCGCATTGTCGCAGCGCGCTGCCGGCTACGTCGTCGGTCGCCGACAGCGACGAGTGTTCTGGAAGGACCAGCGACCGCCATCCGTCGGCTGACCCCCAGTCCGAGACCAACTGGCTCACAACCCCCGGCTCCGGTGCCGGTTCTATCCCCTCGCTGCCGTCTGTATCCGGGGACGAAAAGCTGCCACCCGCCTCCGTCAACTGGACACGCACCGGGTGGCCCTTGGCCAAGATCAAGGAGCACCTCGACTCGCTCCTGACGTGGGACTACCTGCCATTCTGCCTCCTCTGCAAGGACCCCTTTCTGCAGAGCTTCGCGAGCGGGGACGGGCGTTACTGCTCTCCGGCACTTGTCAACTCACTCCTCGCCCTTTCAACACGGATCGCGCACGTGGACGAGCACCGGCGCCCCCGTTCACAACAGCACCAGCAGGAGCAGCAGGATCACCTCGTCAACGCCGACGGCGGGTCCCCCACCTCCGGCTGGTCCGACAGTCAGGCATTGTTCGACGAGGCTGAGGCCCTAGTGAGCAGCCGAGGGCAGCCAGGCAGCCTCCCGGACATCCAAGCCCTGGGCATGCTGGCCCTGTATCAAGTCAGCTGCGGTCGCGAGGCCGAGGCGAGGGAGCTTGCCGAGGCGTTCGCGAGCGCGATCACGGAATTGTGCCTCCGCGAACCGCTCCCCACAGACAAGCCAGACAGTCAGTACGCTCTAGTACGCGCGACGACGTACTGCGGGGCCATCTCGCTCGTCCGGTATGATATCGCACTGCTTGCCCCCTTCTGCCTTGTACTGCATTTGCGGTGCTGACTGCGGGGGACCTCTTGGTTCCGCATAGGATACTCAAACTCTTAACAGCCCAGCCTTCTGGAATGCACACCACGATGATGCAGGACGATGGTGTCGCTCTTGATCAGCCGCCCTGCGCCTACGGGGCCCACGAGCCACCCGTTCTCTCGGGCGAATCACGTCAGTGGCACGAGTCCGAGCAGGATCGCATGAACCACCGAGCATGGTGGGCTGACGGCGACGACATAGGTACACTGGCGGGCGAGCACCGGTCTCAGCTCAGCAGCCTGCAGCTCATCCCGGCTAAGATCTTCCAGCTCACCGAATGGGTGTATAAGCTTCTCGCGTCGCCTCAAACAGCCGCGGGCGACGAGGTGGTGCTTGTATACCACCGGTGTCTTGACTGGTACGAGAGCTTCTTCGCGATGCTCAAAACGGACGGGAGCAACTCGCCGTTTGTGCTATTCATCCAGTAAGGGACCCTCTCAGGATCCGTGAAGCTGCGGTACCCACGTGCCCATATCTTGCACATGGGGCCATTCGCGTCGGCACGGCGGTGCAGTCCAACGTAGTCCACGTCCTTGGCTAATCGTCTGCACAGCATGTACTATCAGTTCTGCCTGCTCTCCATTTGTAGGCCCTATGTGAGCATGCCCCTCGAGGGACTCAACGCGCATCCGCGCGAAATTTGCTTGCAGACGGCGCAGTCGATCCTCGGGCTCGCGCAGTCGTACGCCGGCGTCTTCGGTCTGCACCGGGTGTCTCCGCTGGTGCCATACTTTGTGTGCGCGGCGGGACTGCTGAGCCTCGCTGTCGAAGAGGCCGGACACGGCGTGCTTGGGGCCGTGCCCATGCCTCATGGCGTTGACCCCCGCGCGGGGGCCGTGGGCAAGACGGCCAAGTCGCCGGAGGACGCGATTAAGAAGGAGCCTGGTGACGATGCGATGGACGTGGACACGCACCATCACCCTAGGCCGAGGGGCGACCGGCACGACCGGCGACTGGCCCAGCCATCCCACGTCAACATGCCGGCGGTGGCGCACGCGCGGCTTCTGCTATCCGAGATGAGCGCCGTGCACCCTGCCGCCACCCTCGCGGAGGTCATGCTTCACAGGGCACCCGGCAGGAACTAAAGTGAAACGTCGATCTGCATATGGACACGAAGCGATGCACGTTTTCCCGTGCAAGGACAGTCGACAAGAAAAGCCAACATGGATGGAGTACTCGGGCGGCGGCCCAAGTGGCAGGGCAGCGCTCCTTTTTTTTTCCTTTACCCCTCTGCCAAGGTTGTATCGTTGCATGGCTATGACGATGATGATGATGATGATTACGTTCAAAAAATGCAAGCAAGGCGCGTGGCAGGTAACACGGCGCGGGCGATCTGGATATCGGGTCTGGTGACGAGGCCGGTATAGCGATCGGCCCGACCCCGTGTTACCTTGTAACTTTCCAGAGTTTGACAGCGCATTTTCCGGGCGCAAGGGATGTGTGATGGACTTTATGGGCTGGTCTCTTATATTGATATCCAGGGGCAGGGAGGAAGCACCCAGCATTCGGTGAAATCTGACACCGCAAGGGGAATGGAAACCGTTTTCCAACCGCGCTCTTGTACCACCTCGCTAGATATCCAACGGCTCCTGACTTTCCTTGTCCGTAAACTGTTCTGTCACCGTGTATCCCGAACCTGTCCGAGTACGGGAGATAACTGTACGTTTATGCCTAAATTACAACTTTTACTACTCCCGTTCTGACGTTCTACATCAGGAGTATCTCTTGCGGGGCAAAAGACGTGCTAGGCTAGAGTAGATACGAGAGATGACCGCGAGTGCCAGGCAAAAGACTACTCCGTCTGGCACCCGTCCTATCCTTTCGCAAAGGGGACTCTCGTACCAAAGGCCTAAGCACCTGAATTGTAAGATAAGATAAGATAAGATAAGATAATTATTTAACGTCCGGGAGCTACAGTAATAGCTGAAAGCCCCTATTGGGGCAAAGGACGTGCTAGGCTGCTGATTCTAATGTACAAAGATGCTGCTGGATCGGGTTGTACGGCGGCTGGTTTCATGCCTGTTGTCTAGGTTAGCGGCCACAGGCGGCTTGCTGCCTGAGGCGCCATCGGCCGATTTCCCGCCGCCCCACCATCCTCAGCGCGTCCTCATTTCAAAACAAACACCATCTAGCATCTCAGCGGCTGAAAGGCGCTCTTTCGTCGGAGCCTCGCACCCGTCAGCGGGATGTGGAGTTGCAAGCGACTTTCTGTCGCAGTCTATGCTCATCAATTGCGATGAGTCTGGGAAGGCGTTTCCTCTCCAGCTGCGTCTTGCAGCTAGAGCGGAGGGCCTCGGTCGGGTGAAGGGCGCTGGCAAGCCTTTCGCTCGACCGCGACCAGAATTGGAGAAACACAAAAACAAAACAGAAAGAAAGACAGAAAGAGAGTGCTGTTCGCCTAATGGCGCGGACAGATCCTTTGGAAGAAGGAGCTTTCCGACGTCATCTCGACGAAGGCTTTGAAGCCCTTGCCTACTGCATGGTGTATCGCTTCGGCCGGTGAGGGGGCAAGCCTCATCCGGAGCCGTGGCGGTATCTTCCTGCAGTAGAATGGGTGCTCTGGCGCTTTGCGTCGTCCGCATGAGCAGTCAAGACATGCGTCGTCATGATTGAAACGCTCGTGGTAGTCGGCAAAGTCTCCGTGGCGAGATCTCGCCGCGAGGACACTGTGGAGGGTTGCTCTGGGGAGCATGAGTTCTGGTGGGCAGCTTGTGGTCACCTCGAGGTGCATAGGCTTGTACGACTCTGGGGCTTCGGTCGTCCACCATGCTTTGAAGGCATCTCTAGGCTGCTGTCTGGCCAGTCGGCGCAGGTGTGCCAGAGATGGTACGGCTCCGGGCGGCTCAGGCAGCAGGCATCCAGCTTTGGCGAGGCTGTCGGCCTCCTCATTGCCTGGTATGCCGGCATGTCCTGGGATCCAGCGGACCTCGACGTCTCCGTGTGCTCTCGCCAGGTCCTGGAACTTGGTGAAAGCGTCCTGCGACGAGTCGGCTGGGTTCCCGCGCAAGCAGGTGGCCACTGCAAGGTTGTCGATGCATACTACGATGCTTGTCGTCGTGTTGACGGCAGCAGCTATGGCGGCTTGTAGGCCCTCCAGGGCCCCGACTGCCTCTGCGTCGAACACCTCGGCGGGCCCTAGTCGGCCAGAGCCGTGGGCTATGGGTTGCTCGTTCCGCTGGACCGTAAATCCATAACCTACGGCCCCGCTCGGCAGTTGCGATCCGTCAGAGTATACGATGAGCTTTCCGACCGCGGCGTCTTTGAGCCATTCGAGAAATTCCTCGGCAGTGTCGGCTTTGGTTGCGGTCTGGAGCGGGCTTGCTTCAGAGTCGGAGTATTGCCGCGGTAGCAAGACTGGGCGGGCGCAGTTTAGGAGGAGTGCGTCGGTACGCTCGAGTCTGGTCTTCTGGCTCCGTCGCTCGACGAGGAACTTGCGTTTGATCGAGCTGTGGTATGCCCGGGCGGGCTTCGGGGAAGTCCTCGCCACGAGAGGGTGTCGTACGTCCAAGGACTTCAGGCGCGCCGAGAAACGGATCCTTTGAGACTCGAGCAGGATGGACGCGGGTGGAATACCTGCTTCTCGATGGAGGGCAGGGACGGGCGTGGTCTTCCAGATGGGAAGAGCTGCTCGGATGGCGTGTCGCAGAACCGCGTCGAAGCGATCGACGAGGTGCTTGATCTGCGTGGACACAAGGCGGGTCGCATTCCCGGTGCCAGGGGCCATTTGTCCGGGATACCATGCTTCTACTCCGTAGAACAAAGTCGGTTCGATACACGCCTTGACGGCTCGTCGGACGGCGCTGGGGAGGGGCCCTTGTCTGGTGTTTGCGAGGGCCTTGAGATGGTTGGCAATACGCCGGGCTTTGGCTGTCCACTCGTCGACGTGGGTGTTGAACGACAACTTTCGGTCAAGCCAGAGACCCAGCCAGCGCATCGAGTCGGCCGGGACGATCTCCGTGTCATTTTGGAATATTAACGGCCGGGCTGGATCCTTCTTGCGGGAGAAGTGCATTATCTCGGTCTTGTCGGGGTCGAATGTGACGCCATTCGAGGCGCCCCATGCCAGGAGCTCCTGCATGTCTCGAGATGCGAGAGCAGTCGTTTCGTCCAGCGAGTACCCTACCCGTAGCATTGCCGTATCATCCGCGTACCCAAAGCGACCACCAAAGTTTCCCAGGCGGTAGATTGGGGCGATATACAGGGCGAAGAGAATGGGAGAGGCGGGAAATCCTTGGGCTAGGCCACATTCGAGCGGAGACGGCGGCGTTGTAATATCCTGGAATCGTACGGCTGCTAAGCGGGCTTGCATGAAGGAAGCGGCCCATTTCACAAGGTTCAGCGGCCATCCTTGTTGACGCAGACGCAGGATGAGTCTGTTGCGCATGACGGTGTCGAAGGCGCCCTGTACGTCCATAGTGACCAATGTAGCGACCATACCGCGGGCTAGAGCTACTTCGATATCGTGTATGAGGGCGGCGACCAGGTCTACTGCTGACCGTTTTGGGAGCGCACCGATCTGTTGGGGCTGCAGTACGCCATAATGGATCGAGGCCCAGGCGAGCCGGCGAGCAATGAGCCTCTCAAGCCCTTTGCCGAGGCAGGACAGCAAAGATATCGGTCTCCAGGCGCGGGGCTTGGAGAGGTCCCGTTTGCCGGGCTTCTCGATCATGACGACTTCTGCTTCCTTGAATCTCCGAGGGTGATAGCCTATCGTGAGGCAGCCCTGGTACAGGCGCTGGACGTGTTTGCCGATGGCAGGCCATGCCGTCTGAAGTAGGCGCACCGTGATGTTGTCGGCTCCGGGTGAGGTATTGCCTGTGCGGAGCAGAGAGTCTTGGACCTCTTCGATCGGTACATCTGCTTGGAATGGAATGTGCGTGGTAACATCCACGGGTATCCATGGGTCGGAAATATCGTCGGCGGCCGTCCTCCGCTCAAGGGTGGCCTGTCGCAGAGCTTCGGCCTTGCCAGACTGAGTCTCGACGATGGTCTCGCCCACTTGCAGCGGTGGAGGGCGGAACACGCCCGGGCTTTTCAGCCAGCGCGTGACCTTGAAAATGTCCTTGCCCGCCTGGACTCCGTTGATGAGATTGCGCCAGTACGTCCTTTTGGCTCTTCGGACAACGGCTCTCAGTTCGCGGCGGGCGGTTTGTACCTCGTAGTTGAAGCCCAAGGGAAAGGCGCGCCTCACACATCGGAGCTCGGCCACGGCGGCTATGCACTCCTCGTTCCACCAAGGGGCTCCCGACGACCGCCGCTGAGATTGTCTGCCCGCGGCGCGGGCGGCTGTTTGCATCAGGTCGATGATCGCATTCGCGAGCAGGTCGAGGTCGCCCGGGGTCGATGCGGCAGCCGGGATGGTCGCGATCCCGGCCTCTATGTTTTCTG